AAAGTCCGTCAAGGTATCCTTTCGGAGAGGCAGCGACGGAACCTTGTCGATAGCTTTTTTTCCATCTTCCGGTCCCTTCTTGACTTCCGGGGGGATCATACTGGCGAAGTAGCCTCCCCAGGCGGCATCTGCGTGGACCAGGAATGACAGTCCCTTCTCGCGGAACTTTTCTCGGAGCTTGATGATCTCGTTCAGTCGGTCGGCAGCGCCTTCTTCTGTGGATCCCATCACGGCCACGACTGCATACACCGGTTGCTCTTCTTTCAAGCAAATTTCGAGCTTCTCCTTGAGATTTTCTAGGTCGATGTGGCCGTCCAGGTCTAGTTCGATTCCTTGCATGTTGCCGGAGCCCAGGCCCGCAATGGCTGCAGCCGTCAGCATTTGTGTTCAATAAATGACGAAGAGGTACATAAACATACCACCACCCTTAGGCCATGAGTAATGCCTGGTCTTCGCGAGGAAGTATTGTCCCTGCTTCTCGAGACCAAATTCCCGCTCCAGCGCATCCTTACCGATCGTCTGGATGCTGTGATCCCTCAAGGAATCCTCGAGATATTTAGACGTGATACCATACTTTTCGTACAGAGTATTGGCGATTCCTAAGATGATATCGGGTCTGAGGTTCAGCAGTTCCCAGAGAGTGAGATCCTTGAAGGGCTTCATTGTACCGAGGCAATTGGGGACCTCGAATTTATCGTCGGCGATGAAGCCGAGGGGGCCCTTTTTCATGGCCCTGCGCAGCGAGAGGGGGTAGAATTTCAGATTCCTTGCTGCTCGTCGTTTTAGCCTGTGCATCACAAGAAAGGGAGGGGAAAAAGGCTACTCACCAACCCAAATAGACTCTAGATTAGCCACCGTGCCATCGCAGGTAATGTGGCCCCACGCCGTCGGGGTGGTGTTCCTGTTGGTATTGTATCCGAACATCTTGCACAGCTGCTTGCCAGCCTTATGTTCAACAACGGTGGTAAAGGGACTCGCCTCGACGGTAACGTTGTTCGGGTTGAACATCATCGTGGCCGCGTAGCCGAGGAGACCGGGCATGGTCAGGTCTGTGGTCATGTGTCCCTCATACCTAGAATTGATACGGTTAGCTCTGTCAGGTCGGAACAGAGAGAGGAAGAGGGGAGGTAAGGTACCGTGGATGCCAGAAAGGAATCGAGTGTTCTCCCATCAACTTCGCAGTCAATTTCAACGCTTCGTTGAACCTTTTCGTGATCTTTTCGAAAGTCTCAGACTCTCGAACTTCTTTTGAGATAAATACCTATCAGGCACAACATTAGCAAACGTTGTGATATCGGTGAGCGGTAAATTACACACCTCATCATTCTTATGATACGCAAGTCGGGTATTCTTAAGCTCATCCAAAATGGTAATAAGATTCTCTTGGAATACCGGGAGATTTTCCGCCTTGGGACCGATAAAGTACGAGCTAATGACCTCGTGAGGGTTGGTGTCGTGGCATGGTGGAGAGGGCATTTTGGCTGTTATCGCCTTTATGGTGCTGCTTTGGCTTGTCTAGTTCATGGGAGAGTTGGGTTTTATTTATGCTTTGCGGGCTTCTATTGCACGGGCAATGCTCACATTCAGTTGAAGTCATCATGTACGCAATGGGCTGAAGATGCGGGGCAAGTTGGACTGCCTTGACGTATGTCTGCGTGTCCTGTGAAGGCTAGAATTGGAGATATGCGTCACATCATGCGAGTTTCAACTCCTACAAAAGCACGAGTACGTATCAGGATTCTGGTCTCAAGACCAGCAGTTTGAAGATCATGACTCGAAGTAATGCTAGCAGCTCTTACAAGAGGAAATTCCAATACTTCATGGGCTCTCATGGATTCTGAAATTGGAGCGTCGGATTACCAACTCCCTTTGAATAGGTAATTTTCAGCTGGGGCCATCATGTCAAGGAAGTAGGCGAGATGTGGAACTGGCTGCCTTGATGCATGCATGTCTGCGTGCCCTGCGAGAATGAAACAGGCGATGTGCATCCATGCAGGTATCATCTCTTGCAGAAGCACTGCAGTGCCTACCAAAATGGAAATCTCAAAAAGCAGATATGCCGGACGAAGAGCGACGATTGAGATATTCGATTCAACACTGCTAGATAGTCCCCGTATATTGATACTGGAGACAACTCTTCTTCAATTCATCCAAACCTGGATCAGCCACGGATTCCACGATTGGGTCCTCAATTGACCAACCAACCTTGAACATGTCATGCCATTTTCAGCTGCTGTGGAGATCTACTGGAACTAATGCATATTCTGCATTGTGCAGTTACAAAGTACTCCGTACTTACGGACATACCCAAACAACTCTCGGGAAGGCCACCACTATTATCATACGAGTACAAGCACAGAATGCTGCATTTGCTATTCGCGACTACACCCGCCCACTACGAATATACACTTGTGGTGTTGGATGCATTGTGAGCGCATAGCTGAGCGACTCAATGCCGCCGATCAGGAGGGGATTGCAGCAATCATGCAGGTTGACCCGTTTATAATTCCGTTAGCGAACGAGAATACAAGAAAGCGAATTTGACGTGGATACGACAGCTCCCCTTCATACTGAATAATTGTGGGTCTTTAGTTGCCTACTGGGCAGCCCTGCTCTAATTACACTTAACGATAGTGGCCTTTCGTCCGCTATGAGCTAGGGCTAGAGGGCTAGGGGACAATCTCCGAGCCTGTCATACAACAAACTCCCCGCATAGATGTGATGAGGCCGGGATCAGAATATTCGCTCCAAGCTGAGCTGGACATCAATATCGCACTTGCAGATTATAGGAGGGCTTGCTGGGTGATCGCCTGCAGTGGCTGGCTGAAATGGTCATGCCACTTGGGTCCTCCCCGCTTCCGACTTCGTGTTGGTTTTCGCTACACTTTCCTATCGTATTTCTAGATGAAAGAAGTTACTCTCGTCAAGGAAAGGTGACAGTACATCATTATAGCCATGTCACTAACACCAAAAAAGCATCCTAGTTTGCTCTATGCAGCTGTCTATCCCCCCAGTTTACAAATCACTTTCATCAACTATCGCAATAAGTTCCGGAGCATCCAGACTCCGAAGATGCATAGGCGTACAATGCCCATAATTCTCAAAGTCCACCATTGTAACCCTCCCAGACTCCCTATCATAGAGCACGTTATGTCTTCCCGCATCTTGCAAGTATATATTCAGTTTACGAAGGACAATAACAGCTTTCTGACACTGCTTCCGGATGTGGAGACGCTCGTCGCGAGTTAGAGATGACCCAGAGGCTCAGAACTGTGTCTCCGGGGACCCAGGATATGATCAGGATGTCACCGGAGGGGAAAAGAGATGAACAGATGATCTCACCGTACGCGAGGAAAGAGGGGAACTCTGGTGTTTGTAGCTTGCAGTCGACTGGGGCCTTATAGAAGCAGCTCTCCGCAAAGTAACTACATTATTGATGGCAATTTTAATCAAGTCACTTCAACAAGTTGTCAGTGAGATAAGCAAACCTTTCATAATACTCCTTGCTCCAGCACTTTGCCAGAGCCCGTTTTCCCTGAAAAATCACCTCCATCACCATTTTCTTTCCTGATAAATGATCTTTGATGATACAATCACTGATGACTTGCACGCAGGTAGCTACATTGTTGACAATCCCGTTTGCACCGAAGAGGATGCTTTTATCGGTTAGTGTGTTGATGTTGATGTTGGTGTTGATGCTAGTCTCGAGTAAGTCTTGGACTAGTTTCATTATGGGTAGCCAGACAGTTCTTTTTACATATCACTCAGTCAATAAAAATAGCTGGTACGGTAGATGTGAAGCTATTCACAATCCGTAGGCAGCAATTGATATGATACAGTTCCACGACCATAATGATGAAATAACCCTACTTCACGAGAGTTATTATTTAATGAGCAAAGAATCGACTCGATTCGTACTACTAGAATCTTCTACACAAAACAGACAAACCTAGGTAGTGCAGCACGGAGTGGTCAAATTTGTCAAAAGACTCCATATGTGGTAAACATTCATCTCGGGCGTTATGTTCACAGAATCCCATTATTCATTATCGATCACCGCGTCGAATACGGGCTGTGACATGTCGGTCAAGAATCAATCACATTCCCAGTGTTAGACTCTCGTCAAATTCGACAAAAATGATCACTCGCAAGTCAGACTGTACTGTCATTAGTAGCGCATTAGGTTTTGAATGTTCACTCTGTGGTCAAGTCTTCACTGTGGGCAATCACTGAGGCGTGTAGCCAGGCCCTGTTGCAGTATTTGGTGTCTCAGGCCTCTTTCGTTATATTATTCTGAGTATTGCACTGCAAGATATGGGCTCACTGGTTGCGTCAATAGTTGGGCTTTTTTCCAAGCACAGTTCGGTCTCAGGAGAAAGTGGTAACGCATTGTCAGGTACCAACCGAAGCTCATGTTATTTGAGGGCCTCGTCAAGATCAGAATAGCATCCGGGAATGTACATTTTTCAATTTCCAGTTGGTGCCGTTGATTCGTCCCCCTTACAATCCTGGGGATGGCGATGCTATTGGTAATTAGTTCCCCACCTGTGTTGGTAAATGGGTCAGGTAGTAATCAGCATCTGGTAGTGACTAACCAGGGAAGTGAGTGACAAGGTAGAAAGAGGAGGGAGATTTGGTGAAAAGCACAGTCAGGTAATATACTAGACGGAAAGGAGTGGCAGAATCTGAGCAGTCTCCAACGTACTGTGGTTGAGAGTGTTGATGTTTAGAGATGGTACTAGTAGCCCTAGCTATTGACTCGTGGCCATTGACATATGTTACGTCCATGTGACTTAATCCGTTTGCATGAAACAGCCTTCGATATCCAGAACAAGTCATAATTTTATATTCCATCCTCAGTCACCTTGCATAACATCAAAGTCCTACGCTGGCCGTATTTAACAACACCCTTCCTCCGACAAGGGGCTAGGTCTTACCCTTTCTTCCTCCCCCAATTCATCACCGGGTTTAGCTTAGCACACACTCCAGCACAAAGCTTCATGCCATCAGCACCTCAATCCATAATCTGGCCCTCACCAGAACGAAAAATCCAGATCTTCCTCCGTGAAAAGCTTGAGAAATGGGACTGGGTGATCTACCGCTGCACCTATGAGGATGGCGAAGCTTGGTCGCGGTTTAAACAGATTGTTGAAGAACGGTCCCGTGCATCCATTGCAAGCTTTGATACGCCAGAGTTTGGGAATACTCTGGAATAGACTTTTGTTGAAGATCGTGATACATTGGACGGCGCTTCGAAGCACCGGCTTCATGCCCGCTTTAGGGAGTGGGCGGCTCATGTGATTGATATTGAGAATCCGCATCATGAGAATAGACACCTTGGGGCTATTGGAATTCCGAGATACGAGTACTTTGTTATGGTTGATGAAGGCGCATTGCGGAGTGTGGTCTATGATGCTCCACGGCTTCCAGACGATGATATGGACGGGGAAGGCTATGTGAATTTTGTGAACACCAGCTGGTTGCCTTTGGATGAGAACCCTTTGGCTGTAGAACTGTCTACCGAGGAACGATTAAATGAAGAGCAGTATGAGCCAATAGATGACTGCCGTGAAAAGAATGTTGGTTGGATGAAGATGGCGTCATCTATGTTAACTTCGGAATTCTACGATGCTATGGCTGATAACTGTGATGTATGGTATTGTTTTTACAGAAGGCCGCCTATAACGGTCAATGGGTGAGTATAGATGTTAGTGGTTCTCTCTTACACTCCTATTTATCGCTCTTGAAATGGATACTTTCATGTTGGGAATCTTCCTTTCAAACCCTTGGAAACAGTCTTAAATTGGCCCCCGATAAACTCCATTTCCGTTAGAACGTATCCGCAGGCATATGGGGAAACCTGTCCAAAATAGAAGAGTGAATTAGTTCAGCGAGTAAGGTTGATTCACGGGAATTTCGTTCCAGTGGGCCGCCATGCTAGTGATGCGTTAGTTACATCTATGCGACTCGGGATTCTAATATACACCTGAAATTACCCTTCCGTATGCTGTTTAATTAGCAGCAGTATAAGCTAGCATCAAGGTGTTTTGGTATAAGCCTATTAACCCCTCAATTGTCGAATGCCACGACTCTCAGCGCTTCGGGATGCTTCTTCGACCATTCGAAAGCCGGCACATGAGATTAGGACCCAAGGGGTTCGATGCAGGAGTCGGATATATGCATGCCCTCCACAGTTTGCCTTGTTGAAAAGACAGGGACTGTCAAAACTCGCTAGCTATACTTTCTTTCTGTATCTCTTGCGCATTGAGGAAACCGTCTAAGGCAACTTCCACACAATATCCGGTTAACCTTGACAAATTCTTGCTGGATTTCGTCTGTGCGGATCACTGAAATATCGTGCCACGAGTACTGGAAAACGGCAGTCGTCTACAGCAACATGTCAGACTATTGCACAGTCTCTCGGGTTTGGGGCTATCTCACTTCCCGCAGTGGAGCCATGAAGCTTTGGACCGCTTCGTGGTCACTGTTCAAAGCTTGACCAATGTACTTTTCAGGTCTCATGGTCTCTTGAAGGCTTCTATCTTCCCTTTTGTCGCGTTTATTGCATCTTGCAGGAATACGAAGCGGATTGGTTTCGTATCAGATCCGAATCTTTCAAATATCCGGTCAAAAGGCCGGCTAAGGGCTGTCGAGGACGGTAAGGCCGAAATTCAGGTAAACCTTGTGTGTTGTTCCAGGCATCTTGCTGGTTCTTGTAGTAATCCTGGCATTTGATGGATAGAAGGATCATGATGAAGGAGTGGAAGGAGTGGATGGAAAGAGGTCACAGGTGAATAAAAGGCAGGTACCTGCACGTGATAACCATGGTCCTTTTGTAGCCCTAGAGCTGCAAATGCTGCATAAGTTTCGGAGATTAAAAGAAACTACTCAGGGGTACAATAAGCGGGGAGAAAAAAGGTTACTGTTTTTTGGAAAAAGTGAAGTCATCAATTATCAATCATCCCCCACATAATTGCGGGGTACAAACCTACGTAGCACACTTGGCTGTACATAAAACCAATTGATATATTTATCTTCTTTCTCTTCCATCTTTCATACAGGCACACGAATTCAACCATTATACTGCAATTTCCAATAATGCCCAACACCAAGACCGTAGACGTTCCTCACCTGGGCGGCATTGATGCCGCCTACCAGATGCCTCATCCATACGACCCCGCGAAGCCCACGCTCGTGCTGGTCAATTCATTCACCACCTCGTCTGAGTTGTACAGCAAGCAGTATGCCAACAAAAAGCTCACGGATAATATGAACCTGATTGCCATCGAGCTTCTGGGTCACGGCCAGACGCGCACCAAGCGCGAACACTGGACATACTGGGATACGGCGGAGATGAATCTCCAGGTCCTGGATGCTCTGGATATTGAGAAGGCTTTTGTGCTGGGGACGAGTCAGGGCGGTTGGATTACGGTTCGGATGGCATTGATGCGGCCGGACAAGGTACGTACATATGCATGCATATGCATGTGCAGGGATATATATGCAATAGACGTGCTAAGAGGCCCTGTAGATTATCGGTATTATCCCACTAGGCACGTCTATGGAATATGAATCCGAACCAACCCGCCAACTTGGCTGCTGGGATGCTCCCAATCTCCTCGCCCCAACTATCGATGCTTTCACATCGAATGAACCAACACCGGATTTCGAGCCGCCTCTCGCCTACTGTGACATGCTAGTTAACACTGGCTTTGGCGAAGATTGTCCGACGGAGACGCGCGAGTACTGGCGCAAGACCATCCGTGAGAACTATCACGGTGATGACGGCCGACGCCGGATTCGCATGTCGGCAATTAATTTGAGGGATCGGGATGGGCTGCACTCGAGGTTGTTTGATGTTAGGTGTCCAGTATTGTGGTTGCACGTAAGTCCATGCCAGATATATATTTGTGCCCGATACATGATGCTAATATATATTTGCTGGCTAGGGAACGAAAGACGTAGTCTATTCGCTTGCCAATGCGCAAAGGGAAATTGGACTATTTGTGAATTCCCCTGATGCGAAACTCGTGCCGGTTGAGGGTGGTGCTCACTTCCTGAGCGCCTCGAATCCCAAGAAGGTTGATGCGGAGATCTTGAAGTTTGTGACCAAGTACAGCCAGTAATGCATAGTCTGTCACGAGGGGGTAACAGTACAGTCTTTGTTCATATTGGTCAGGTGGCAATTTGCAGGACATTCACTGTATATACGTTTTGGGGAATATATAAATCACACCCGTAGTACTCGGACATCGCGTTATAACCCACCCCATGCCATCAAAAACAAACCCTGTACCTACAAACCACTCCTACTACTGCAATCACGGAGCCCCCAAAAGAAGAAACAACTCTTCCTGAAAACATATCCAACAAACTCCTCTCCCTCCAAGCCACAGCTACAGCTCATAACCTCACTCTTTCCACCCTACCCGACCGCAACCCTGGCAAATATACACGCCATACCTATTATCAACAACGCCAGCTCCTGACCTCCGAAGAGGAAGACTTTCTTGCGGAATGGATACTCGAGCAAGATAGACAGGGGCTCCCTCCCACGCACATCTGCGCATGCGAGATGGCTCAGAAAATTCGACGGACCCATAGTGATATCAAACCACTTGAAAACAGATGGGTCACTCAGTTCAAAAAGCGTCACCCCGAGGTCTCGTCAAGTCTTAGGGAGGAGGATCGAGAAGTCTAAGAAGAGAGCGGTTCCTGATCAAGAGCTGGTGAAGATTATGTCTAGGGAGGACGTGCTGGAATTAATGAGATTGGAAAAACTTGGGGAGAAGGCTGAAGAAGCGTCGGAGGCAGTTTCAAGTGCGTCTTAGGAGCTTTGCAAGGATGATAGTTGGTTGTGTACATAATGGTCGTCCGATTGATATCGCTAAAAATGTACTCTATGCAAATAAACGTGATTTGGCTTATGAGTTTAGAATTGAAACAATCATTATACAACAGCCCGGGTGGTCTAGTGGTATGATTCTCGCTTAGGGAAATAACCCAAGCATATCTGCGAGAGGTCCCGCGTTCGATCCGCGGCTCGGGCCGTTTTTTTTTTTTTTTTTTTTTTTGTCTTTTCTTTTTGTTATTCTTATTTTTTATCGATAGAACGATTAACGGCATGTTCAATTGGACCAGTTACAACCGAGAGCCGGAGAGAAACCGGTGTCAGTAAGATACCGCTGCATGTCCGATGCCGTTGCCCCGCCAACCGCCCACCACCAAACACCGCCGACCTATCGAAAGTCCTACGATAGCAGATAACATACTTAGTCGCCTTCAACCTTGTTTATCTCTTATTGAGCATAGTGTACCCAATATTTTACGTTTCGACTGACTGAAACGACGAAGGGTATCGTCGTTGAGATACAGCTACAACCATGGCGAGACTAAATAACACGCCGTCACCGCGAAAACGCCAGGAACCACGGGTACCACTTGGAGCACAAGCAAAGCCAGAGCGTGAACTAAGCGAATTCCCATTGCCAAAGACCACGGGGAGCAGCACGAGCAGGGGCCTGTTTGCTGAAACACGGACGACAAAGAATAATGGAGCTACGAAGGGACCATCTCTCGCAAGAACCCAATCTCAAAAGAAGAGCAAATCTTCGATCGATTTCCAAATCTTCCCCGACAGTGATGCCCTGTTTGACGACGAAGCCGAAGAAACCGAAGAAGAACACAGCACCGCCAGCGAATCTCATACCTCCTCACCAACATTCTCTCCCTCCTCTTCTATCGGCAGCATCTCCTCCCACGACAAGACGAAGAACCCGCTAAAGCTCGCGCATGTGAATTCGATGTTACTTCCGATGCCATCACCCCCGTCTCCAGTCCGTCATCGCCGTCAGACCCGGAAGTCAGAAATACTCGACTACGCGAAGGAGAACGATCCGGTTGAGCAGCCGGGAGATGATGATCTTGAGGCTGCGTCCTTATCGAGGAGTTCGTCAGATGCATCTTCGCGACGGGAACCAGCACAGAGGAACGCACGCCAGACACTCGGAGGAAGGAATCGGCAGCGTGAGACCGAAGAAGAAGAATCTGGGGATTCTGAGGACAATGGCTCCGATTTGGAAGGGTTTATAGTCAGTGATGACGAAGATGTGAGCTTCAACGATGCATCGGAGAGCGAATCAGCGGAAGAAGAAGAAAAGATCCCTTCACCTCCACCCAAGCCAAGGAGACGGTTGATGAGAGGCAGACGGCCAGGATCCATGGAGGAGTCAAAGCCAGAGCCAGAGCCTGAGCTAAAAGAGCCAAGGAGGAAGTCATGGAAGGTGCCAAAGGAACAATCACCCATCATGGAAACAATGCCTTCTTTGGACCCTGGCCCTACGAGCACGCGGCTTTCTCAAGAAAGCTTCAATATCAATGAAGAACTTGACAATTTGAACCTGGGTGATAATGACATTGATCCTTCTTCTCAGCTTTTTAATGACCTGAATGAGTAAGTTGACAACCTCTTCTTTGCCCAGGCTCTAAAGCAGAGCTAATAACATTTCAGTGCTGTGATAGAGCTGGAAACTCCCCCCAAGAAGCCGGCGTATGAGCCGCCTAGACCGCAAACACCACCATCGAGTCCATCTAAGAACAACCATCTTCGCTCTCCTACAAAAGACAGAGTCCGCATACCCCCTACTCCATTCCGCGAGAGTACCGACGCCTTCTGGAGCCAGGAGACGACCAACGACTGGGTCGACCAGCACTCGCCAAAGAAGCTCGACCAGCTGCTGCGTGAATTCGAAGACTCAGACGACGAGCGCAACCGTGAGAAATCATTCGACATCGTCCCTCGGAGCCGCAATGTGAAGGGCAGAGAGCCCAAATCGCCCAGTAAAACGGCACAGAAGAAAGCCGAAATCGAGCAAAAGAAAGCCCTCATAGCGCGCAAGAAGTCCTTCGACGACAAGAAAGCCGGCCTCGCATACGACTTCCTCAAGGTTCTCGACAATGCTGTCGCTGGTGGACAGGTCCAAGAGATGGCCAAGGAAACCGGCGGCGTGAACATTGCCTGGAGCAAAACCCTTCAGACAACCGCCGGCCGTGCAACCTGGAAAAGAGTCCGCATAACCGACGACGATGTCGGTAAACCAACCAAGCACCACGCAACTATCGAACTAGCGGAACGTATAATCGACAGCGAAGACCGGCTGATCAACACCCTCGCGCACGAGTACTGCCATCTGACTAACAACATGATATCTAAAGTCTACAACAACCCTCACGGAGCGAGCTTCAAGCAATGGGGTCTGAAATGCAAACAGGCCCTACAGGACCACCCCGTCTACGCTGGCCGTATCGAAGTCACCACCAAGCACAACTACAAGATCGACTACAAGTACGTCTGGACCTGTGTTGATTGCGCGCAGAACTACGGACGCCACTCAAAGAGTATCGACCCGACTAAGTCGCGGTGTGGTCGGTGCCGGGGTATTCTGCAACAGATCAAGCCTAAGCCGCGGAATGTGTCACCGAAGAAGAAGCCGGCCGCTGGTGCTAGTAGTGGCGTTGGAATTGGCGCTAGTGGTGCTGCTGCTCGTCTTTCGCCGGTTGACACGAAGGCTGTTGATGATGTGATGCAGGTTCTTGGGGGCGTTAGCCTGCATTGATGTGGATTGTTTTTCTTTTGTCAGATCACTCATTACATTACTGTTTAATAGTCTGTCTTTACAGCGTTGTTTCCTTTTTTTTTTTTTTTTCCAGTTATGCTCCGACGCGAGTGCAGAACACTTTGTTGATGGATAATTGTGTCATATTGGACGACTTTGTTTATAATGGATATATGAATGATGTGTTAAGAATTGATCTCACATAAAGTATTCCTCACTGTAACTCATACCCTGTAAGCCCACGAGTTGTAACCTGATTCGACCTGTACATTATAGTAATGCCCCGAATACGCAGCAGATACAATAAGATCTCCGTGGATCTCGATCGACGTTGATCCCGAGACTATCATTGGCCTGTACTTTACCATCTTCATCTATTATCATAATGTTAGGTCTATTTCACAGCATTTGGGGAGACTCTTCCTCTCCGGAAAATACCCCCAGAATCAGCATTCGAGTAATTCCATCCTCGGACATTCTCCACAAATACGGCTCCAACGAGCTCTTCACCATTACCCTCGAAGCAACCCTGCATTCTCCGAGCAACAAACCCCTAACAGTCCTTATCTTCGAGAATTTGTTACATCCCAACAGCACCCCCCCTCCTCAGAGGTGGCATGGAGTTGATAAACATCGAAACGGGCGAACCCGCGCAAGGCGCAAGGATCACATGCGTGTTGCACGCGTTGGGGGATGAGTTTCGGACCATGCATTCACCAATGCCCGCTTGTGAAAGTGAGCCAAGTCTTCTCGTAGGGAATCTTGGGAATGTCACAAAAAAGAACACACTGATTTTGATATGGCCTTCGTCATTTACAAGGACGGTGAAGCAAGTCAAGTTTCCATGGCAGATTCCCAGATCATTATGGATATATTTGGGCCCTTGAAGAGTCTACACGCAATTAGTCTGATCCTCGGCTTCCATGTAGCTGCGAGTCCATGAACACTCTTAATGTCGGTTACGGACTGGGTATAGCCCGTTAATTTCCAGAGGAGATGATCTTTCAACAGACATAAATGGAATATGAGTTAGCGTATCAAAGCGGAATGCATGGCTAATAAGTATTTTTGTACTCAGGAACAGCTTGATTTGCTCTAATTGACCCGGCTATCAAAACCTACAATTATATCCTAAATGCCCAACTGACCATCCGATACATAATGGGATCCTCCAGCACATCGATATCCCCCAGCCTGTTTGATCCAACGGAATCCCTGAACACAGACGCCTATCTTGCGAAGTTCCTTCTGTGCTTGCTGTTCCTTCTTGCGCTGTCCCTCCATTTCTACCTCTTTCTTTCGAAGCTTTCTCAGTTCCTCTTCTTTGGCCCGTCTTTCAAGTTCCCGTTGGAGCCGCTCTTGTTCATGTTGTTGTTCAGTGCCTTCATCCTTTTTTACCTCATTCTCGTCCTCTTCATTCCCACATTTTGCATCTCTTTCAAGTTGTTGTCCTTGTTTGAGGAGGTCCCGGTATGCCCCTTCCTGTTTGATCGCTGTTTGCTTGTCCTGGATAAGTTGGTTCCATACTTCATCCGTAACGCCGCCATCTCGATTTTTGGTCGCTGGAAATTTTTCTGTTTGACTGGGCTCTTCCAATTCCGATGGAAGTTGTGGAAGGTGTGTTTGAGTGTTGGTGTAGGTTTCCGTATTACCGGAGGCAGGATTTAGACTGAGATCTACCGATGCAGCCGGTAATTTAACAGCCTTTGAAGGATTGTAGTGAAGTCAATGTTTGCGTTCTTTAATCATGCAGTCCAACTCTGTCAATATACCACCCTCGGTAATGACACGTTCTCAGTGACGAGAGCTCGGGCGGCCTTCCTAAATATTGACTTGGCCAATGTCTTTATATCCCGTCCGTTTGCCCAATTGAGAAGGCCAGTTAATGTCGAGAATCGAGATTGCAAGTCGCGTGAAAAGTCACTTGTAGGCCCTTCAAGGTAACTGATGCCCATTACTGTTCTCTTCTGCAACAACTCATCTCACCGTGTTTGAAAGACTGTTCTCAGCAGTTTGAGACATGCATCCGGATTAAGTCCATCAAACTCAATGGAGCCAGGGAATCGACTCGTTAACCCGGGATTGATGTCAGTAAGTCAGTTGATGTCATTATCGTATCCCGCCAGGATGATAATCAGCTTGCCTGCAAATTTGGGTTTTGTGATACAATCCACAATTTCATCCATTGCTTCTTTGGCGAACTTGCCATCTGCCAGACTATATGCTTCGTCAACAAGGAGAACCTTTCCCAACGCCTTCTCAAGTAGCTCCTGAGTCTTTGGGCCTGTGTGCCCGATGTATTGTCCAACAAGATCTGTAGCAGAGCTTTCAATAACTTCGTCTGAGCCCAAGATGCCCATATCGTAGTATACCTTGCCCATATTCCTTGCGGTCGTCGTTTTGCCAGTTCCTATAATATATAAGTATCTTGATATTTACATTGGCAGTGGAAAATACCTGGAGGTCCACGAAACAAAAAATTGAACGGGACTTGCTCTCGAGGATCCAGGTCCAGCACTTTCATCCCCTTGACAGTCTGGCAGTATCCCTCCATTTGTGCGATGATCTTTTCACACCTAACACTACCCGCGAACAAACCTGCAATGTTCATCTCAGCTCTTTGTCCACAATCATAGTCTGGATCAAAGTCCTCGGGTACAAAAATGGATGCAGTGGGTGATGCAGTGCCTGCACTCAAACGCTGCTGATGGCTAAGTTTGGCCTTGTTCAAAAGATTATAAATTTCACCAGCATTGCCAAAATGAGGGACAGTCTCGTTGAATCCTCCTGACTCATCCGTCACTGCCATTATGTGCCACGCCCCACAAGGAGAAATCACCTTGCCTTGCGTTACCCGTGGCTGCGCCTTAACGAGGTCCTGAGCCCAGGCCATTCCGTGGCACTCCCAAGTGACTTGCAGAACCAACTGCTCTACCAGTTGTATCCTCCCTCGCCGCTTGACAGAATCATACATATGTATGTATTGGAACAATTTGTTCAAGGTTTCATGGGGTCGCGCGATCTCAGAGTGTTCAAGCCCAGAGGTGTCCTGTCTCCTGCCTAGGCGATTCCACATCCGCTGGAAAAACGAGCCCAGTTTCGGTCTTGAGTACGAATTGAGTAGACAGTCGTCGGATGGTTTTCATAACCCGTTATCCTCTGATGGCGTGGTAAAGGAGCTTACACTGCTGAGGGTACCCGCTTCAAGAATATCAACATGTCGGTACCGTTCAGAGAAAACAACGTGGTAGAGACGGTGCGCATATTCTAAACAGAGGGTCAGTTGAAGCTAACGATAGAGGGGTTAGAGTAATACCTGGACGGGCTTTTGTCGGTTGTGAAACTCTGAAATCCAAGACAATGTACTCTTTCATTTCCCCAGATTTTATCATGCTGTAGTACTGCCCTTCAGGTTCAAACCGTTTCATATGTTCCACCAGGCGATCACGGTCCCTTAGAAGCTCAAAACCCCAATTCTTCTGTTCAATGAAGAAATCAATCATCCCACCACCTTTGGTGGTTTCCCCAATCCCAAACTCTGGGGACAGTATAACATGGCCGCTGAGTATTGGTATTAGGCAGCGATAAAATTCTTTTTGATATTGATCTTCAACAGGAGTTGTACTTGAGCGGGGAGCATCTGCCAGCTGAGACGGTCTGAAATGCCTGATAGCATCAATTGCGAGATCAAGTGGTGTACTGTGTTTGATCTCATTGTCACACTCTGTAGCCATGTAGAGCATGTTACAATACCTAGATACCAGTTATCATTATTGGCAGGGCGAGAAAGAAAGAAAAGGGGAGAGGGATGCAGCACCTACCACCAGTGTACTCGACTGGCAAATACATAGTGAGAATCCCAACCTAATTTTTCTTCATGCAGCCATCCATTGCGACAAATATTTTCAAGAGCTTGTTGAAATCCCCGATCTTTCTTTTCAGCTTCAGACCTAAAGACACCATTGCAAAGAATAGCCCTTCTAAAAACTCTGATTACATCACTTGACTGTACTTGATCGGGTCTAGGCAAGCCCCTAGCAAATGGCTGACCAGAAAGGTGTCGAAAGAGCGCTCGAGGTCGACCAAAGAGAGCTCCAGCCACGGTCTTCCAATCAAGCAACCTACCTTTCCGCACAATGTCATAAATATCCTATTGAAAGCTTCATGTGAGAGGGAATTCGATATCTGGAACTAAAAGGGTTGGAATACTTACTGGTACACCTTTTAGGGCACCTAGCAGACTTTCGAGTAATCCTATATGCCCACCACTGAACGAAGCCAGTCCCTTCTTCAGGTCTTCTGTCAAAGATGGACGTGGCTGCATATGTTTTGTGATTAATGTCACCACTTCCAATGCTTCATCTTGGTCAAGTAGCAGACCAACTGGCGTCAATAAATGTGCTCGCCACGGGTTGTAATCTCTGACATTTTCATCTGCTCGTAGTGATATCTGCTGGTCAGGGGCAAATATCAAGGGTGTTTGTGTATGCTTTTGCTCGCTGAAGCCCACAAAGCCCCGACCTGGCGAGCCGTATGATGTGAAGAGTAGGATGTATGGGCTGACAAGGGGCACAATACGTTTGAAGAGATCTGTCCAAAGTGCGCCATCCCAGTACGACATTTGTGCCTCATCTATAATTAGATAGGCGGGGTAGGTGAGCCACTTATCACCATGAACACCTGTCTCGTGCTCTAAGTATGCACCCCAGCCGCCTATTCCCCTAACTATGCTCTCATCCCAATCTGTAAGAACATAGATAGGCTTTTCCTTGCCATAGTTCTCAAGCAGCTGATTGACCACAAGGTTCATCACAGTTGTTTTCCCGGAAGCTGGCGTGCCACGCACTCGAATGATATGATAGTAATGAAGTCGATCTATCAACTCATTGACCAATTTCGTCCGGGGATGAATCCAACTTGGAAGACCTGTGGGAGAATGAGTTTCCTTGTATGTACCTTTCAACAAGGATTGACTTACTGTAAGGTTCGGTTTTCTTTGATGGAATGTTGCCAGAAAAGGCGCTGCTGGAGGGAGCAGGAGCAGTAGCAGTGCTGGGAGCAGAGGGGCCTGGAGGATCTAAGTGTCCAATAATTATTAGCCATAGACCGTCAACTTATAGGAGGTATAAGGAACTAACCATAATCAAGGTGCATGGCTATTGGATGCCAGCACTTCTTACAGCTCTGAGCATCATTGAAATTTGAGTCGATGACTCCGGGGACTATCCCTTGCTTGCATGGACAACTGTAATCGCCATCTCCGACTGTACATGGACCTAGCATGATGAATGCAGTGTATTGCCGTCGTGTGGCAGAGGGTAATGTAGATGACACTGAGAGAGGAGGTGAAGGTGAAGAAGATGAAGGGGGAAAGAAGGACTCTGACGGTGGTGAAGAGCAATTTGAATCCATGATAAGCATGTACGTCCGAGCAATTACAGTTCTCTATGGAGTAGGAGCTGAGTTGTAGGCGCCGTTATAGCAAACAAAGTCCAATGTTTGCTTAGAAGGTCGATCCTTAGCCCTTGTTGAAGACTGACTGCGAATCAGGTTGGAGTGGATGAGCACTTGGTATTATAACAGATAGTTATCTCGTGGAGATGGAGCGAAAGAGGAAGGAGGAATGAAGGAAGAGGAGGATGAGAAAGAAAGGGGAATCTTGTATGTAGGTCAACATGTAACTCCAGTACAGTCCGCCTTGCCGATTCTGCCGTTTCCCCCACCAAAGCCATCCATAACTGTCCAGCGCTTTCATTGTCACTTTTGTCTTCTATATTCACTCTCCCTTTTCTCTATCTTCACCATGTATTCTATAGTGTCCATTTTTCTTTTTTTCTCACTATTGAATGTATGTATGTATGTAAATATTTTATGTCGGGGGCTGCTCAGGTTTTCATGGCTGTTAGACAGCAAGTTTGAGCATTTTAGTGCAGCCTGAAATACGTCTATGCAAATCATGTTCTTGCACTTGTGTTGTAAATTACCGGCTGTCACTCATCCTGTTACCGCCGCGTTTTCGTATTGTATTGCAATCTCGTGACAGAACCAAAATTACTAGCGCAAGCACCGGCTTCTGTCTACCATCCCGGTTGTGGGGCTATTGAAGAAACGAAAAGTGTTTGAAGCGGAAGCTGATTTCGCTATCATGTGTATTTTATCTGAGGCCAACACGGTGATTGCAGCACAGTTGGTCTCACAGACACGGCATTTAGGACAGTCTATTGATTTGCTAAAGCGAGGCGCCAAGAACACAGTGTAGTTGGGCGATCCGTTCGGACCACCCGGACAGTGGAGACACTTAAACGCCAACTCTTTTTTAGACATAGCAGGATGTCAACCAGCCCAAACAAAGATAAGCGTGTGACACTTCCAGCATTACAAGGATAGCATGAATGGCTCAGACTCAGTTCTCATTTCGCATCGGCGGGGAACAGTGTCTAGTTTGCGTTTTGTGCCTGGCTTGTATCTTATCCATAATGAGATTCTAAAAAGACCGTCTCGTGTATTTCGGCTGAAAGAAGGCGCTTATTCGTATTATGTACGACTAAGTGTGGGGGAACCGCATCTATATCGCCATTGATATCAACCATCATGAATACAACTTTGATACAGCGCACAAAACCAAAACCATTCTTCCAGTTTACGTGCTTCGACAGCAAGGGAAAGGGAAGGGCTGGGCTCTCATAAGATGGCCTCAAGAGGATGAGCCCCTTGGTGTGAAACTAGCGGACCTTCACAATGTCAATGGGTTTGATGTCACAACACCTTTCCTGGAAAACCACAACTCACGGATTGTACATGCCAATCCCCGTGAGTATTCTTAATGAGGTGCTACTATGCTAAGCTCGAATTCTCAAATGCTCGCTGCTTCGTGTAAATAGCTGGTGGTCATATACTTGCAGTAATATTCGAAATTAGATATACTGCCATACTCTTATGAATTATCTCCTAAACCCTATTTTGAAACGCTCTAATCTGAATGTGGAATAGCTGTCGATCTCCAGTTTCCCAGAATAAATCTTTGTATTTTACACGAAACTGCTGAACACACTTTACCCCCTTGCCCCTCCATCCTTATCCAATCCAAGCAATCGGCGGCTTCACCTATTATCTATTGGACATCACTCAAAGTTGAACTTTGCAACATGGCCCCAAGACTCCCTCTCTCAAAGTTGTATCTCATTCATGATATGATAGAAAGCCAGTCACTCACCACATCCCAAATGGCCGAAGAAGCTGAATGTAGCAAGCTTACAATAATCAATACTCAAAGAAACTTGCGGCTCTTTGGAAATGTCCACGCACCCCCAACTTGAGTAGGCTGTAAACGAACCGTTACACCCTTGATGACCAAGGCGCTCTGCGACCACCTCTTTGAAAAACCTGGTCTTTACCTTGATGAGATGGCTGTCTTCCTCTGGGATGAGTTCCAGACCCTGGTTACAACCTCCAGTATCAGAAGAGCCCTTGTCGCCGAAGACTGGTCCAAAAAGACTGCTCGGCAGCAAGCTAGGGAGCGGAATGCCGATTTAAGAGAATTTTACTTGCATAATTTGTCAGACTTCCAGTCATATCATCTGGTTTACATTGACGAATCTGGCTGTGATAAAAGGGTTGGGTTCAGGCGGACAGGCTGGTCACCACTCAGCATGGCCCCTATGCAAATATCACAGTTCCATCGCGACCAGCGATATCAGATACTACCTGCGTATGCGCAGGATGGGATTGTCCTCTCGCGTATCTTCCGCGGTTCAACTGATGCCACTTTGTTTGAGGATTTCATCGAGCAGCTTCTCCAGCACCGTGGAAGGTGGCCCGAGCCCAGATCCATTGTTATCATGGATAATGCGTCCTTTCATCGCTCCGAGCGTGTTGCGCAGTTGTGTGAGAACGCGGGTATGAAATTGATCTTTTTGCCGCCCTACTCACCGGACCTCAACCCAATTGAAGAATTTTTCGCCGAGCTCAAAAGCTTCATTAAACATAACTGGTGCCTCTATGAAGAAAAGTCTGGCCAAGGATTCGATATCTTTCTTGGGTGGTGCATTAATACCGTGGGCGCAAAAAAGGAAAGCGCCAGAGGCCATTTTCGGCACTCTGGATTGAAAATTGTAGAAGCTTAAGAATTTGCTAAATAAAATTCTAGTTCAAATACAAAAGATTATACAGGACGAAATAGACTGGAGGTATTTCCAAAGCGTGAAGTCAATAGCTCTTCATCTGTATACCACTGGCGCCTAAGAGCTTGGATTTGTAGAAAACTCGCATTCTAGTGCAAGTGCAAGTGCAGCCCCGTACTCAGCAGCGCTGATTGAATATTCATGTTGAGCATTAGATATATTTGCAGCAACGCGTCCAATAGTATCACCCCCTCCAGTACCTCTCTCTCTAACCCTTGCAACTGCTGCTTGTGGAATGCAAGTACCAAGGGTCTGAAGAAATAAATCATTTAATGCATATTCTCTTGTGCTGAGGACACCGATGATAGCAACCTTCAGAGAAAACTGGTTTCGGACACCGTGCAGGAGATATGCTTCAAGTAGGCTAAGAATAGAGGGTTTTGTTGGCCATTTGATACCTAGCGCGTCTATCCAGCGCTGGACGTCGGTATTGATAGCCGCCGTGTCAGACAGACCAACTACAACAGACCCAGTAGGAAGAGCTGTTGCGTCCCTGACAGCGGCATGACTGTAACATATCACTGCTAGAGGTCGTCCTCAGAATATTTAGAAGGACAGAGTTGGCGATCCACTTGTCTCCAAATTTTAAGAAAATTCAAGATTCTCAACTTTGCCATGAGCACTCAGATGATCAAATAGGCGAGAATATATCAATCTCTTCATTAAAACTAGACCTCTCCATATACGGCCTCGCTAGTTGCAGATAATCGACTCCTCCGGACCTCTGGCCCCCGATCCCCATTTCAATACGACAATGGCAGTGTCATCAGCCCTCACCTGACCCTTGCGGGCAACCTTTCGTCGAAGAACATTTTCTAATTTTTCCTCCAGAAACAGCTGCCAGAACGCACTGGGGGCTAAAACAAGGTCTTCCTCCGTGTCCTTTGCTACTACCTGGTTGTTGACCGTCACTCGCCACTCTATAAGGTAGTGGATACAGGTTGGCGGGTACTCGTCATAACCCTTCCATCTTCCCACTTGGACAGCTGGAGCAGCCTGAGAGTGTTTGGTCGTGATTGGCTCGCCGATTCAGGTCCATTATCGTTCACACTAGACGGGGAGGGACTGAAGGAGGAGGGTGTTGTGTAGGGGCTGTGAAAGTACCCAGGGGTTGGAGCGTACTGCGAGTCATGTTCCCATGCTCCCACTTCTTCGAGCTGAGAGATGTAGTTACTGTTAAATGCGCTCTGGTTCATTTCTACATGCAATCACAGCCTTTGAGTGTGTATGTCAGCTTGACAGTGGTACCAATTCTTGAGAGTCTAGTAATGAATAGGAATTGCAAATTGCAATAGATAACACAAGCCATGGAAAGAAGAAAGCACCTTAGCCTACTGGAATTAGTTCTCTACTGTATTAGCACAGCCTTCTGCTAGATGAGTGTAGATGAAGGCTGTGAAAGCTGCGTACAACGAGGTGGTAGCAAAGACACTGGGAAATCAGGGGATCTGCCAGAATTGGCCTTTTGTTTGAACTGTTTGCACTAAGGATTCCACTGGATTTTACAGGGAATTACGGCAGTATAACGAGAACTCATTTACCATTACCAGAGAATACAATACAGTCCAGCAGGGATTACTGGGGAAAAACTAAAATTAGATTAGCGTGTTTCAAGTCAGGGTTTGGGAGATAATTCATAAGAGTATGACGGTATATCTGATTTCGAATATCACTGTAACTGCTTGGAGAGTTATCGATAATTTCTTTTGGGGCTCTGAACAGCAATGTAAGTTTAATACTTGATGAAATACGTATCTCAGGCATTTTCTCTCAGAGCATTAGTGTTTGAGCTAATACAGTATGTTTGCGTGCATGTCTGGAGGGGTTCCGATTGGCTGCATTATCACATGAGACTAATGCTATAAGGTTCGCTGATCTCCACTTCAATTTTCCGACTAATGTAAATGTTTTCTGCGGAGATCTCGAGACTTGCCCTTTCCGTTTTCGGTCCGATTTCACGCCGCTTTTTGCTCCCTGAGCAGCCCGGAGCGTATCCGGAGCAGGGTGGTGCGTGCCCGGAGCGATCAGGGAACCGCGCCGGAGTGATCCTGGAGTGGTCCCGGAGCAATTCGGGGGCATACCCTGATCGCTCAGGCTAAAATCACTGCACCCTGACAAGGGAGCCAAATAAAACGTGCAAAGCCAAGCCTGCAATCTTACCTCACAAAACTGACCGCGTGGAGGGAAGGGAAGGAAAGAAGCAACCAGCTCAGGGATTCCTCCATTCCGACTACATTGTCAACTGGTGGTCGACCGGTGAATGAATGTTGAATTATCAAGTTCCTCATTTAAGACAGTTGGTTCTTTGAGATTTACTGTAATACAACAAGGATAGCTCGATATTCAGCAAATAGCTTAGCATCTGTAGAAGCTATATTTTCCCAAGCAATGAGCGAGGACTTGATACTTTATCCTGCTAGATCTCATCTGATGAGAGCTGGGGCAGACTGCAGTAACTCGGGGTCTTCAGTCTGGAACCAGGAACGTCTTTGGTACCAGTGTCTTTTAATGCACTTGATCTCGGATACCTTAAGTAGGTCATTCAGCCTAGACTCGAAGTGCCAAAGAATACTCCCGTCCTTGCGCAGCTCGATGGGGACCAATGCAGTCATCCCCCCATGGTAGATTAATCCCTCGTCCACATGTATCGGGGCATGAACGCCTGCCAGCTGGTAGGCTATAAGGAAGGCTGCGGATAGTAATGGGGCTTGTGGGACGATATGATCCAGACAGACAACTATGGCATGGCCAAGCGTTTTAGTCCAGCTTCTGCCAGACCAGTCTACAACCTCCATAACATCCAGATGGAAAGTTTCTCTAAACCAATAGCCTTTGGACAACGCGATGTGGTGCCTGATTAAATTGCGCTTAAGAAGACAGATCCATGATAGTGTTAGTTTCAAAGTCGAGAGGAATTCGGTATCACATGGTGGCATAAGAGCATTTGAGTAGGTTGGGCGAGATTGTTATTTCAAACTCCGTATCTTCTATGCATTCATATAAATTAGTACAGAACCAGAAATATTTGGATTTAGATAACATACTATGCGAGCCAAGCGGACTTTCAACGGCGCTGATGACTCCTTCCAGGACACGAGTGCCAAAGGAGCCGTATAATTTGGCAACTTCATGCTCACAACGTCCGATGTGGACTACGCCATCTTTCAATGTGAGAGCGCCACTCGCTAAGACCCATTCCCTAATATCCTGTCCTTCCAGTCTAGAGGGCAGCTCCCACTCCAGCTTCAGGTTGCCAGTAAGCATCATGTCTGGTGCCGGAGTGTGTTGAGCGGAGCTACAGTCGGATGTTGGACGTTTCCAGCGTAGTATGCCCTTTATTGTCTGTAGTTAGTTATGTCGAGACATTGTGATTCAATAGGTCTCCCCATTTGTGACTGGTTTAAGGGGATATCGTCTGGTCAGCATGAAGTCAGTATTCCACCAAAATAGACAAGTTGCCCTACCCTAGTTAATCTTATCCGGCCCATTAGTCATCCGAAAATCCCGAAAAAATCCCGCGAGTCATTCCCCTTCATTCTTTCCTCCCTGTATAGTATATACCGGTCTGTCTCCCTTTAACACAATTGCTACATTAACAATTGCTATTCAACATAGACAGCTATATCCTGACCCTTTCGTGCCCTGACCGTCCCGGCATCGTACACGCCATGACCGGATTCCTGACCCAGCATGACCTCAACATCGTCGACTCGTCGTAATTCAGCGACCCCACCTCAAAGCGATTTTTCCTCCGCATCCATTTCGAGCACAGCATGGACCTCCAGCTCTGGCTGATCTCGTAGAAACCGCGCATGCTCATCATGGTGTCCAAGATCGGCCACTGCCTCAACGATCTTCTCTTTTGACAGTCAACGGGACAACTGAGCATCGATGTGCCGGTCATCGTCTCGAACCATCCAGATTATGCGCTGTTGGCGGCAACCTACCACATGCCCTTTGTGCATCTGCCGGCATGGTGCGGGTGAACCATGCGATGAGTCCGAAGGAGTTGACGCATACGGGCAGTACGGTTAAGAGCAATGTGTTGGCGGGGGCTGTCAAGAACGTGACGGAACGCAGGGCTTTGCTCAATGAACATAAGACGGTTGTATTCAATCAGGCATAGAATAGATATTTACCAGGGCAACCTGTATAATCTAGAGGCTCTGTACCAACTTCTCCATACTCTTCATCTCCTTGTTATTGTTTTCCCCAACATCCAACGACACCAAAATCCGACTCACACAATTATACCCAGCGATGCCAGTTGTTAACTCGACGACACTCCCAGTCCGAAAGATCTTCCTCCGTCAATGCCCCAAACATTGCATCCTCCATCCGCACCGTCACCGTCAATTGATCCGTATACCTGATGATTGCCCTCTGTAACGGCGATAATGCACGTGCTCTATTGATTGACACTGGCATGAGCAGATGTTATTGGAAGTACGCTGTTGCCACGGCTAATTACTTGAGAAATCGGACGATATTGGGAAAGCACAATGGCCAAAAGATGAGAAGACGCCATATGAGCTATGGCATGGGTATAGGCCTGATTTGGCCCACCTCCGTGCTTGGGGCTGCTGGGTACTTTTCTACCATAAGGGGGGGGGAGCAAGTTTGAAGGCAGAGCAATGGAGGACACTTTCTTATTGTATGGGAAGAGCGACAAGCAGTATTTGGTGCTGCCTAGGGGTGGTAGTGAACTAAAGCTGGTTACTAACCCTGAATTTCGAGAGCGGGAGAATGGATATTTGAGCGAACCTAGTCAGATTGACGTACGAAACATACCGACTAGCCCCCCAACTGGTTCTAATTCGCCTGTTAGACCACCTGCCGAAGCGCCTGCTCAAGAGCCCATTGAAACGCCTTCTCGAGATCCCCGAATGCCTACTGAGGCGCCTGCCCGAGAGCAACTGCCAGTTAATGAGTCCTCTCATACTGATGAGCCGATGAACGATATAACGCCAGAACCGCCGAAATTGCCGAATAGAGAGAATGGAGAGAAGGAAAGGGATTCCTCTTCATTGAATGGGGGCATGACAGATAATCCATTAAAACTGTCTGAGGAAGTTCAGTCTAAAGGGGAGACAGAGCAGCAGAGTGCTCCTGAAAGGCATGCAACTGAAGAAGTATGTGAGATTACCCCACCAGAGACTGAAGAAGAGCCTTTGAATGCTGGCACAGAGAGAATGCCAGATAAAACACCTGTACGACGCTCAGAACGCGTCTGCCAACCATCAACAAGGCTAGTGGAGAGCCAGCAAATGGATGGATTGAGTCGCAAGCGCAAAGCTGAAGGGGAGGAATCATCAGATCGTCCAGCTCAGCGCCTGTGAGCTCAGTTGGCAAGGTTATCAATAGCTGCGGAGCTATTGTAAATTGATAGAGAATATGAGGTTGCAGAGAAAGCATGTGCCGTATGTGAAAAAGCCGGAATCCGCATACCAAAATCATACAGTGAGGCTGTGAATGATCTGATATATGGCTCAAAGTGGAAAGAAGCAATCCACAAGGAGCTGAATACCTTGATAAACTTTGGCACTTGGAGAGTCATATCCCGAAAGAAAGCTGAAGGGACAATTTCATCAACCAGATGGGTGTTTGATGTGAAGCTAGGCCCAGATGGCCGAATTGAACGATTCAAAGCCAGACTGGTTGCCAGAGGAAATGAGCAATCGGATGATGATTTTGATGAGACATTTGCACCGGTATTTCGACTAGATAGCCTGCGAATTTTGGTGGCTATAGCGGCCCAACTGGGCCTGTTGGCGCATATACTTGATGCGAAGAATGCATTCGCTGGATCTGACCTTGATAAGCCTAATTGCATGGAAATCCCGGAGGGACTGCAGGATTTTGATCCGCCACTTCCTATACACCATTGAAAGAGGATTGACTGGGCCGACGATCATATATGAAGACAACCGGGGCGCCATCCACCTAGCCGATAATCCTGTTGACCACCCGAAGACGAAGCACATAGCTGTTCGCTACCATGCTATTCGGGACCATATAGGCAATGGAGAGATTCGTCTTGAGCATCTGCCTACCGAAAAGATGATCGCCGATGCTCTAACGAAGGCTACCCATCATGATGCCCATACACGATTTCTTTATAGCGTGGGCATGGATTGATTGGGGTGAGGAAGAGAAATTCAACATACAGAAGTTGAAGCGCGCGTCCAACCGCCGCTTATCAAATTGCCAGATTATTATTGCTTTATTAGATAGATTGATATTTGCGGCGATTGTACGAAGGGGAGTGATGAAAGTCAAGGTGGATTAATAGTTGGTCCGATTACCGAGGCCGACAGACCTCTCATATACGGACACACACACATTCGGTTTAGATAAAAAAAGCACTCATTCTATCACCTTTGTGTCTATAGAGATCAATGTTATCCTCGTGTAATTAAATTCGTCGCCTACAGCCTCGTGCAGTCCGGATAATCGACTCCCCCGACTTCCCCGATACGGAGTTTTAACCGCTACATTGGTTTATCCGTTTCAATATTGAAGCGGGGTCTCTCGGATCGTAGCTCAGAGGGGAAATCGGGAGTCGATTATTCCGGACTAACGAGGTCTAATCACCCGGAACAGAATATACGACGGGCGAAGCGGACTCGCCTATCTAGTAGCTAAACTACTCTGTAGTAGAAATCCATATCGCTCGTAACCATCATTTCATGTGATCCTTTTCAATAGATAAAAGTTCAACCAAACAATCCCCAATTCTTCACCTCCAAAGTCTCAACCAACTTGTCAATATACCCCGACGCCAGCTCCTCCTCCTTCGACAACCCACTCGGATCCCCCTTTGTATCAAACTCATCATGCGGCACATTCATAAACGCCAGCAGATCCGTCTCCTGCTTCTCCAACCGCACAAGCAGATAATGACAGCTCAACCGCGAAACCTGTGGCGCATCCGTTCCTCCAACACCGTTACTAGCACCCATCGTTGTTGTCGCCGCAGATCCGTCCACAGACCCTGGAACCCGACCACCGCCCTCCCGCTGCGTCTTGGGAGTCGTAAACGAGGCCAAACCCTTGTATGCGCGCACTTGGTGTTCTGGATTGAAGTGCGGGAGGGAGATCGGGGCTGGCGAAATAACAGCTTGGATGGTATCGCCTTCGTCGCAGAGGTCGTGGAGGTGGTAGTTGACGGCGGCTTTGTCGATGGTTTCTTTATTTGCGTGGACGCCGCCGGCCGGGGCGGTGGATTGTTGTTGTTGTTGGTCGAGGTGGGCGAGAGCTTCGTTGTTGGGGACAGCCTCGTTGACCTCGAGGATGAAATTGGAGAGAGTGGTTGGGGAGAGGTAAATTTCTTGGTGGTCGGGGACTTCGCGGAGGTCGCTGTTGAAGGCGCAAGTTAGTGGTCTTCTTCAGATGTAGGGAGCTGGCATAGGTGCTTACCTGCTGTCAATCCAGCCTGCAGGAATAGCGCCCGTGATGGCACCGCCGTAGAATTCACGCTCAGAGTAAGCCATATTGACTGATGTCCGTTGACTTGAGGCTTGGAGGGGTAGTGCGACACGGTTCTCGCGATGAGGAAGCTGGGGAAGAACAGAGCTCTGGAATACTGAGCAGCAGACGAGAGCACCGGGCTATTTATCTATCAGCACCCCTCGTATTCCAAGCGCAAAGTGAATGAGTCTTGTCGATTGTTGACTGTTTGACTACGGGCATGAGTCCCCCGCGCCGCCAATCACGGGCAGAAAATTCGATAAATGACGTCCTCCTGCCGTCGCCGCCTAATGCCACCGCCTTTGCTACTCATATCTGACTAATAGCCCTCGGACAACATCGTTCCTGATCTCTGCCTGGAGTATTCGTCCTGTTGCTTCATGACAGAGTCGATGTACAAACACTACGGATTTTGAGAGGGGGGCCACTGCTCTCAAGATAACGAGAAATCGGAAAAGCGAGCCAAGCTTACGAGAATCTTGCAACGAAATAGACATGTCGAGTCCTTTGCAGATGAGCTAACTAGACTGAGCTAATTTAGTCATGAGTTTACCATTTACGATATACATAGTGCACAGCGTAGTCTGCATCAATTGTATTATTATATGCATTGATTATACCGTAGCATAGCCCTAAGTAAAAAAGCTCCTGTATAACCGCCTGTCTTCAATCAAATGTCCAACGCTATTCAATCATCCAACCTTCTTGATATTATATCATAACCGTATATACTGGCGCAAATTTCACGACGGCAGCTCATATCTAACATGATCACTCGGAGCTTCAACTGCAAAGTCACCGGGGACTTCAACCGGAAACCGTGGCTGTTGAGTTATAGGCCCCTGCTTGGAAGGGTTTTGTGAAGGATCTGGCGGAGACCAAGCAAGCGGCGCATTTGACGCGTTCGAATCTTTCTGTCGACGACGGAAATACCAGATAATAGCAGCCATGGCCATGAGAAATGCACAGCCGAGCCCGACGCCGACGCCGATTCCAACTTTTGTTTTCGGTGTAAGTCCCGCTTCATCGCATTGGTCTGAAGACCCGGTAGGTGTGGTAAGGCATGCTTGGGTGGGTGAAGCACCGATGGCGGTTGATGAGATAGTTGACGTATTCATCGACGTGGTAGAGGGGAGCCTCGCTGTGGTGGCCTTGTTTTCGAGGATGTTGAAGCTATGGCAAATGAAATAATCACTATTATTTTCATTTATCACTTGGAGGACAAAGACATCTGTCTGTGTTAAGTCCCCCACTGTCGAGACAGTCCAGCCGTAAGAGCTGACACCGTGTAAAGAGCCTGTGGTATTCAGTCAGACGTGAAAAGGGAAAGTCACGTTAGCTAAACCGGACATACCCTGAATACGCTTGCCTTTATTTGTGCCAATTTGCCACAGCCAGAGAGAATAGACTTTCCAGTTGGTCGACCATTGGATCTCAAGCAGATCGCCAGTTTTGTATTTTGGATTCTTGTCCGCCCATGCTGGAGGTAAAAGGAATTCATTCTTCCCCGCCCCAAGTACAGGGGAAAGCAAAAGGAGCGATAGAAATTTCAACATGTTTGCCATGTTACAGAGATCGAATGTTGCTATCAACCAGAAAACAAGAAGAAGGGGAGACAGCAAAAGAGAGAGTAAAGTTGAGATGCTTACTTTTAAGGCTGTTGGTGTTGCGCAGATATTTCCCCCTCGTCAATGTGTTACACGCCGCATCGCACTGCTTAATTGACCAGGACTCGAGTTGTTCAAGGTGCATATAAGAAGTTGATCATTCAAATATAAGGTTCCTCTAACCGAGAACTTTGTCCACCTGCAAAGATACTATATACATCGAGTCTAAATACAAACAAGGCGATCTATGATAACTCAGTTTCTCCCACACTGTGAACAAAAATAGCATCAATTAACCATAGCCTCTTATCAGACTGACAAAGAAAACAGGGTACCCGCAAATAACCACGGACAGATCTCATGGAGGCAACTCATATCTGACACTGTTATGAGCAACCAAGTCACCTTGAACCCCAACTGGAGGAATCCCGACCGTGACTGTTGATGAGGAAGGATATTGTGTATTATCAGGCTCACCAGGCCATAGAAAGTTTTGCTTGACGAACAGCCGCGGCTGTTCGGCGATGGAAGTACCAAATAGCAGCGTCGAGGGCTATGAGAAATGCACAACTAAGGCCGACACTAACGTTAATCTCTACCTTTGCCTGTGGGGATAACCCGGTTTTACTGCAAGTACCCGAAGATGCCGTGGATGTGGAATCGTATTCCTGAGTGGTAGACGAGGGAGCCGCTGTCGTGCTGGCATTGCTTGCAGTGATGTTAAAGTCATGGCATATAAACCGGCTGTCGTAGTCGTCCGCATCCGTTATCATGAAATAACAAACATCTGTCGCTGTTGAATTTCCCACTGGACGGACAGACCAGCTATAAGACGTATACCCCTATTTTCTGCCTATGATCATCAATCAGGCTATGGAAGAAACAGAGGAGATGTTGCAGTTAGGACATACTTAGGATTTCTTCGCCTTGACTAGTACGTGTCACGGGCTCGGAAACTAGCAGATAAAACGAATAATATTCATATCTAGACTAGGTAGCCTAACAACGAGAATATCGAATCTGGGGAAGAAGAAGAAAAGGAAATCTATCTAGGCGATAAACGGTCTCTATAGAAATTTGTGTGGTGCGGCTTAAGCCCTTGTTTGCCCATATTGCTTGTATGGCATCGTTTGATATGTTGGCGCTGTTTGTCTGGCGTTGAGCCGTTGAGCCGTTGAGCCGTCACAGTACGTTTATTGAAGACCCGGGGGTAAATTGAGTTTTTATGCTGGTTGTCCATTTAATATGGATCTTTTGGTTAACAAAGTATACCGGATTATAATCAGAGCTTTGTGGGGGATTTATGAAGGAACCATTTTGGCTCGCTCCAATAACGGAATGGACCAGCATGACTAGAACGGAAAGAACTCTCAGCATATTAGCCTCTTCATAAATTAAATATTGATATTAATAAGGAAAGAACAAATTTAGAGACTGCTGAAAGAAACTGCTGAAAGTGAGAGGCCGGGACACTTACTTTTGAGGCTGACGAGGCTATGCCTGTAGGTTCTCCATTCCCCTTTCCAAGATGTTACACAGAGCCTTGTTAACTCACATACAGGACTCAAGATTAGCATACTGTGCTTTTAGTGGCATAATCATATATTCTACATTCCAGAGTCTGATGGAATAGCAAATAGCAGCATCGCCAAACCACATCGCTTTTCAACTAGGGACTTTTGATAAACGATATCTTACATAACCTTATTTACAGTCAGCTTACTTTGCCCGGTGATGCTAGGATTCCGCTTTGAAAAAGGATGTGTCAACCAAACTGTTGGGGTTTTGGAGGAGTCACGGCCTGGGTCAAAGATTGCACTTATTTCTGAATCCTTCTCCACAAACTCTGTATAGCCAACGAACTGTCTCATACTAACCGATTACCCGTAGCTTCTGTATATTATGCCAAAATATATGTACATGCATGCACTGACAAGCAAACGTAAGTCTCACGATGGCAACTCATATCTGATACGATCGCTAGGAGCTTTAGCAACTGCAGTCACCGGGTACTTCAGCCGGAGGAGGCATTTACTTGGAGGGATTTTGTGTATTTCTTGGAGGAGACCAGGCAGGGGGTGGGTTTGACGCATCCAAATCAGGAGTAGCAGCGGCAGCGGCTTTTCGACGGCGAAAATACCAGATGATAGCGGCTAGGGCTATGAAAAACGCACAACCGACTCCAACGCCGATGCCGAATCCCACTGCCAGTGTAGAGGTTCCAGTACCGCTGCTTGAATCCGAAGACCCAGTAGACGTTGAAAGGTTAGTGGACAAAGGCGTGGTGTCGTTCTTTGGTAGAATTCGGAAATGATTGTGGGTAAAAGTGTTCATGCCATTATAGACATCAAACATTTTGAAATAGAAAGGATATGTCAAATCTATTTCTGTTTGTACGATCCAGTTCCAGGATTTCTTTTCTGTCATATTGACTGTATTTATCAGTCAGGTGTGAGATTAGCATGTTGCTGCCAGAGCGGACATACGCTCAATGAACTGTCTTGAGACTGTGCCAACTTGCTGAAGCACAAGGGAATAATTCTTGAAGTTAGTTTCCCAGAGGATTTGGAGCGTCTGGTCCATATCGTACTCCAGGATTTTATCGGTTTTCTCTGGAGGACGCCAGAAGGAATTAACCGCGTTGACCCCAATAATAGAATAAAGCACAAGGATTAAATGGGAGCTCGACATGTTTACTGTCCTTTTCATGGTTCAAATACCACAACCAGGAACAAGATTGAAGGCAGCTAGAAAGCTCGAAAGAAGAGAGATTCCAAGCTGGGGAAGTGGAATGCTTACATTTTGAGGCTGATCAGGTTGTACGGGCATCTTCTCTGAAGGTGTTACACGTCGTCTTGTCAATTGAGCAAGGCTCGAGTTGCTCAAGACATGTACCTAGAAGACGATTAACATTGTCTTCTAGTGACGTGCATATGGCGTATGGCACCTTCCCTCGATTAGCGACATTGCCTACCTTCCGAGTTAATGCACATTGACTTTATGATAAACAGGGGCTGATATTCATTAAAGAGACAAAGAAAATCGGTTTTCCTTTTGTTTATTTCCAATACAACTGGATAGTCCATTTCCGACATCGGGAATAAGTCGTTATATCAATCCCGATGTTTGGGATATTTATCGGCTCATTCACGGACCCTTAGCTTTCTCGAAAACACACGCTTCTACACAATTTCTTTTCTTTCAAACATCATATGAAAATGCCTGGTTCCTTTTCTGAAGATATGGCACCGCCTCAATACAGCTTTATGGACGATTACAGCGAGGGTGCACACCCCCAACTTCTCGAAGCTCTTGTGCGCACCAACTCGACCCAGCAAGTCTCCTATGGAAACGATGAACACAGCAACAAAGCCCGCCAATTAATTCGGACCAAGCTCTCTGCCACCGAGGATGAGGTGGCTATTCACTTTGTGCCTAGCGGAACTTCCGCCAATCTCATCTGCATCGCGAGCTGCTTACGACCTTTCGAGGCGGTCTTAACCGTCGATTCAGGACATGTTGTTAGTAAAGAAGCGGGTGCTATTGAGGCTACTGGACACAAGATGATCGTTGTCCCTGGGGTAGGAGGAAAAATGACGCCCGAAAATCTAGAGAAAGCTGTTCGCCAGAATCAGTTCTTCCCGCACAACGCTAAACCGCGGTTGGTCTATATATCCAATGCTACGGAGCTGGGAACGATTTACACCAAGCGAGAATTGGAAAGTCTCAGTGCCGCGTGCAAACGTTGGAACCTGTTGCTTCTCATGGATGGCGCCCGCATTGGAGTAGCACTGAGTACCCCCTCAAATGATTTGACACTGCGAGACCTAGTCGACCTAACCGACATTTTCTGGATTGGTGGTACCAAGAATGGCGCATTACTGGGGGAGGCAATTGTTGTACGGAACCACCTGGTGGACGGCTTTGCTTTTTACTTGAAGCAACACGGTGCATTGTTGGCCAAGGGTCGCATAATAGGTGTTCAGTTTGCAGAGCTCTTCCGGGAAAGCCTCTTCTTTGAGCTTGCAGCGAATGCCAACAACGTGGCCCAGATGATCTCAGACAATTTTCAGAAGCTGGGTTATCAACTATCCGCGAAAACCGAGACGAACCAAGTATTTGTGAGATTGCCGGAGAGCTTGGTTAAACAGCTTGAAGAACGGTTTCGCTTTTATATTTGGGAGCATCTCGACGATCAACAGGTTGTGGTTAGGATCGTTACGTCGTGGGCTACGGATACATCAATGGTGGATAAGTTCAACGCGTGGGTTCAGCAGTGGACTGTCTAATGACACACGACAAGCCATTCCACAATATGAATTATGAAAAGTGCACATAAATTTTAATGAAACAAACCCAGTACAATATAGCTGCCTTCAATTCAATACTGAGTGCTACCGACTTCACAGCCGTCCTTGCCCTAGAAATAGCTAGTCAATACCAGTACAAACGGAAACTTATGATATTAGGCAGTTAGCGAGGCCGATGGATATAATTGAAGCGCTAGCAGTAATACCAGTATATTTAGAGTCCTTCTCATACACTAAAACTATTATTGTTTGGAGAAATGCTCGCTTCGTTGTACTGATTACTAATCGCCCAAATTAGCATTCCCGACATCTCGATTCCCGACGACTTTTGTTCTTGTCATTCCCGAGGAATGCATTAGAAAAAATGCGCCTTTCTATATCCTGCGATTCTTGTCGGTATGCGAAGCCATTGTCATGATTTGCGCAATCCCACTAAGAATGACTATAGGAAAGCGAAAGTCAAGTGTTTTCATGAGGGCCATCCTCCATGTCGTCGATGTCAACGGGGAAATCGACACGGTTGTGTGCTCACAGATCCGCGAGCGTCATCGTCACGGCCAAGGGGAGACTCATTGAGAGTCCAGCAAAAGGCAATATCTGCTTCCAAGGCTGTGGTTGACAATGTTACAATCAATCCCGTGGACTCCAGCGATACCCCCCAACTTACGCCTTCCAACCCGGTTGCTTCTCTGTCTCCGTCCACCCTCATCAGCGCCTGTGACACTTACCGTAAGAAGTTCCCTGTAGCGAACTTTCTTCACTACCCTTCGCTTATTGCCAACATCTCGGCCAATCCCTCTTATGTGGACTCGGTGTTCGTTGCCTCATTGCTCTCCCTCTGTGCCCGCTTCCTTCCGGAGTATGACCTGGACCCTGGCGAAACATATGCAGAGTTTGCACGCTCCGAACTGGCTCGTAAGGCCTTCGAAACCCCCTCATTATCCCTGGCACAGTCTTTGGTGATGCTTGTATTCTACGAGTGGGGTTCAGGGCGCCCATATAAAGCGTGGATGTATAGTGGTGAGTATATACCATCTTTTTATTCGATATATCACTGACACTGTTAGGGATGGCAACTTACATGATCCAGTCTTTGTTAAAGACAGCGGACGATAGCATGGAACACAACCCAGATGAATTCCATGCTTCTCAAATCCAGTATGAGCAGCTTGTCCGCACGTATTGGGTTTGCTTCGCCCAAGATTGCGAGCTAAGCTCAGGAGCTCGCCAGCATTTTGCTCTCTCCTTTCGTCATATTTCCGTTCCCCTACCGGTCAGCGATCATGATTTTAATTTCGGCCGCCGGGGGCCACCTAGATTGATGCCGGCGGATCTTACTCGAGGCTCCCCGCTGTGCGTGAAATTGACTATTGAACATGGCCTGACGGTCGTAACGCGCGGTTTTGATATCTTCGTGCGCATCTTACGTTATGCTAATGAGAGTCGTCGCGGTCGAGTGTCGTTAACGACGACGGCGCCATCATCACCACAGCAAACCTGGCAAGTCCTCAAAGAAGAGCTGGATGAATGGAGGTCCCTGCAAGACTCGACTATTCAGTACCCGGCTACAAGTGTCCAAGTACATGTTGCTCTCGGATACGGGGAACGATTTGCTTATATCAATCTGATATATTTCATGAGGTAGGGTCGCATGGACACCGTCAACCGAAGCACAAAGTGACTGACTTGCCGAAGCATCCTTTTCCTTTATCGAGATCAGCTTTTGTCTAGTTTAAAGCAGATCCATGATCCACGCCATAATCCTCAATGTTCAACCAGCTCGGACGGGCCCACTTGGAGCGAAGGTGCCATTGACCGTCTTTTTGAAGCAGCGCAGAATATTGGAGGTATTTTATCAGCTTTGGAAACCTGTTCAGCGTTCGTCATCACTCCATATGCCGGGTTCAGCATCTTTGTTGCTGCCCATATAAATATGTACGGCACTGTGTCACCACTGCGATATCCAGGCGGACAAGAGCGCGCAGAGGATGAGAAGAAGGCTAATTTCTCATATCTCGAGCGGCTGTGCGAATTTTGGCCGGTTGGTCACAACTGGGCAAGTCTGTCGTTACTATCCCGTTACTTACACCTGACTAACAATCGGTAGTGGCGAGCCGTACAGGACGCAAACAAATTCTACGAAACGGCTAGGAATAACCAGGAACATGCCCTTTCAGGTGACCGTTCTGGCCATATAACTCTGGCAGGGACTCTTGATGAATATGGGGACATACGATCTTCTCGTCCGCGGAATGAGCCGTCCTCAAATGCGAGCCATATTCCGCTGCATAGGGGACAAACTAATTCCCCTTCTCAGTCACGTTTACCGTTTAATGACCAATTTATATTGGATGCCCAGGAATTGGAGACGGACATGTTGCAATGGCCCTTTATTGATGAAACTTGGTCATCTGGGTTTGATACGGGGTTTGACGCTGCGTGGCCTAGTTTTGGCTAACACAAGTACAAGGACCACATAATAATGTGGTTTAAAACATGAGGACAACTAACTAATGTTCTTTATGACTTGAAATTACATACAATTGCCGAGCCCGCTCGAGTACAGAATTATGAGAATTCACACACTCATTTGACAATCATGGACCTTCAATAGCATAGGAAATCTTAGTCACACCATTTTGTCGACTTATCCTCCTCACAACAATACTCCCAATATCTGCGGTGGTAGGGAGATGCGTCCCTCCACAAGGATAAGCTCCAACACCTTCAACATCTACAACCCGAACATCGCCATCTTCAGGCATCGAGAAGCCCTCTGATAGCGCAGCACAATGAGCTTTTGCCTTCTGCTCGTCCCACCAGTTAAACTTCACCGGAAGATTCTCCTGTACCAGCTCGTTCACCCGCTCCTGAATATCACTCTTATGCTCACCGGCAATCAAACCCCGAAACTTCACGAACGCCATACCTGGGGCATGATTTGCTTTCACCTCAGAAACATCCCCAATCTTACCCTTCAATTGTTTCACAGTAATTCCCAAAATGTGTCCAGCGGTGTGATACCGAGAATGATAGTTCCGCTTGGCAGTATCAATAATCTGAACGACAACATCACCCTCCCACAATAATTGTTCAGGTCCGGAAAACCTCCCAATGTGATAAATCTGACTCTTTGCTGCTTTCCGGACAAGCTTGACGTCGAAAGAAACTCTGGTCGCGCTCTAACTTCATCTGGCCGTTATCGCTGGGTTGGCCGCCTCCTTGGGGGTGGAATATCGTTTCTTCAGTTGCAATGACATAGTCACTATCCTCGGTGTCTTTGAAGAGTGCTCTGTCAGTCTCTGATAGAGATCTTGTGGATTGGCAGGAGATTATTTTCGTTACAAGCTCGTGTAGAGAGGCTTGCTTCTGGTACACTGGTACCGTGCGGGCGATTGCCGAGATTGACTGCATAGGTGTGAGTGCAAATCTCCAGGTTGGCGCAGATATAAATAACATACCATGTTTCACGGAGTACGACACCTTGAACAAGAAAAATTGCAGGGAATGGAAACCATCTTGAAAGATCACCTTTAGATCACATTATCCATGTGGGTTTTATTACCGATGCGGGCGCGGGAATACGTCTCGCTGCGCCATTCCCGCCAATCACGAAATCAGGTGCCTTGATAAAAATATCTATGCAAAGGCTTATATGCGTTGAGATCCCGTGCTCAAAGGTACTTGAGCTGTTAATCATACGTCGTAAATTAGGGCTTCAATGTAACAAGTTGCATATCCGGTTCCGATGATACATGAGACAACCGCGTACAGAGTAGTAACGATGCAAAAGTCCGCCCTGAGATTAACTGAATAGGTAGACTTATTATAACCATCTAAAAGGTTCTAGGGGGCTTCCAAATCTGTATACTCTTGATATATATGACAGGGTCACATTCCTAGGAAGCTCCTCAATAATAATCCAACGAAGGTTACCAAATAGTGATGGTTTGACTAGGTTATGTAGTAAGTTGGTTATATAAATGAATACCCAAATGTGTATGGGCTCTAATTTCCGGAATTCAGGAAAAGCTCACTTTGTATTCTTTGTCCCAGCAAATTAATACAATCGAAGACTCGGATTCAACATTTCGCCATATTAGCGAAGAAAACTTGCATATGAAGCTTAAGTAAAGAGTTTAAAATGAAGATGAACTGGCAGATGGGGGTACAAATGTACTCAATCTATGCATCATATAAACCATCCACGCATTTGGTTTCTTGAGGCAGCATCATTGCGAGCATCTATAAGACGCTGACGTTAGGACCCTCTACTATATGAGCATAACATAAAGTCTCCATCTATAGGTTGCACAAATTATCCACGCATTGATTTACGGTTACGGGTGCTCGTCTTATAGATCGTTCCAGCTACCATGGTTACCCGAGAACAATCTTCCGCGCAAGATTGACCTTGCAATTGTAAGTTTGCAATCCTATGAGTCGTGCGGAGATTACTAGCAGCCAAGATACCCTACGTGCTGCAAATCGAAGCATATGTAACGAACGGATGTATATTTAGCTCCACCGGTTCGCAGTAGACATGTTAGCCCTAGCTGCGTAACGATTGTAAAAAACAATGCGTATCGCGAGGTAGTACATCGTAGAGAGGCGCGCACATGCTCCGGCGATATACCTTTTTCTTCGAGGATATATGGATATATAGCGCTTGGTTTTGGTCGAGTCATATCACGCGACATCTTTCTATTACTTTATTTGCAGTGTCACACAATGGCATAGAAATCCCTTTCTTATGTTTATTCCATGGTGCATTGAATGCTAGCATAGCAGCTCTTGTACCACATTCCTGCGGAAGGAATGTATAAGGGAGAGGGTATGTAACTCATCGATCACCAACCATTAACGGACCACAATGGATCCAACATACACAACCCAGCAGTTCCGTGATTACCTCCAGTTTAGCTGTCCTGCTGCTACACTGCTCGTTTTCTTTATTTCTTTTATTACGAACTCAATTCTGATTGCTAAAAGCCCCCAACATGGTAACGTGTTACAGTACAGTCCCGAGGGAAAGCCCTTGCCCAAGGGGTTAAGGAGCACGATAAACAAGATTGCGGATGCCCAGAAGCATCACTTTTCTTCTAGAGCGAGATATACATTTGTATGGCTTGTGGTTGGTGTTCTGCTGACTTTTGTGGCAGATGCTGCTGTTCACATCAGTCATGTTATTGCAGCCAAGGAGGAGAGGTGGTGGTGTGGGCAGGCGACTGTGGTGAGTTATTCGCCCTGCATGACCGGAAAATAGCTAACAGGATCACCGTATAGATCTACGTCGTGGGATCATTCTTCTCCCACGTTGTCATCTTCCTCTCTCTCCTCGACACCCATCCCGCCCCAACCTTCGCGCAATTCATCCCCTGGTCCATGGCGACTCCATTCGAACTCGCCATAGTCGCTACCTCGTTATCAATTTATACCAACATACATCATGAACCCATCGTCGGGAACGCATTCGGTGGTCCTCTGCGGGAAAGAATCACAAAGTGGGAATTGCTGGAGGTGATATCCGGTGTCGTTCGGCTCGTGGTTCTGATTTTCTTGGTCGCTTTGTATGTGCTGCATTTTGTCCGCACGAAGTCGGACGAGCGCTCTCGCGAAGATAGCCCAATGGAGCAGATTGGCCTTCTCGACTCCTCAGAGATCAAAGCTGAGGCCGAACACAACGAGGGCGACGACACTCCCGAGAAACCCACAGCACCCCCAAACACCTGGTGGCACTACCTCAGCGGCTACTCCATACTATTCCCATACCTCTGGCCCTCCAAATCCCGGCGTCTCCAAATAATTGTCATAATCTGCTTCGGCCTGCTAATCCTCCAACGCATCGTCAACGTCCTAGTCCCCTACCAAGTCGGCGTAATCACCGAAGCGCTCTCCATCGAAGACAACAAACTCCATCTCCCCTGGCTCCAAGTCTGCCTCTACATTATCTACCGCTGGCTCCAAGGAAGCCAGGGCCTTCTCGAGTCCCTGCGCTCGTATCTCTGGATTCCGATTAGCCAGTATGCATACATGGAAGTGTCGACTGCGTCGTTTAAACACGTGCATGGGTTGAGTTTGGACTTTCATTTGAATAAGAGGATTGGGGAGGTGCTTTATGCGTTGAATAAAGGGAGTGATTCTGTAAATACTTTCTTGGAGCAGGTTACATTTCAGGTTGTGCCTATGATTATTGATTTGGGGGTTGCGGTGGGGTACTTTCTTATTGCGTTTGATGTGTATTATGGGCTTGTTGTTGCTGTTGTGACATTTTTCTATCTCTATGTCACGGTGCGTATAGCGCAGTGGAGGGCTGAAATGCGAAGACAACAGGTCAATGCTCACAGACAGGAAAATGCCATCAAGTGAGCCCCCCCCCCCCCCTTCACCCTCATATAGTCACATATGCTAATGCGAGCAGAAACGACTCCCTCTCCTCCTACGAAACAGTAAAACACTTCAACGCCGAACCCCTCGAACAAACCCGCTACCGCACAGCAGTCTCCACCTTCCAATCCGCCGAATACCACTCCCTCTACGCACAATCCTTCATGACAACAGCCCAAAACACAGTCTTCACAATCGGCCTGCTACTCACCTGCTTCATCGCCGCGTACCAGGTCTCCATCGGGCAGCGGCCCGTGGGCCAGTTCATGACGTTGCTTACGTATATGGCGCAGCTGCAGACACCGCTGAGTTACTTTGGGACGTTTTATCGGTATATTCAGACGGCGATGATTAATTCGGAGAGGTTGTTGGAGTTGTTAAGGGAGCGCGCGTCGGTTGTTGATGGGGTAGCTGCTATACTCATGGATATCTGCCAGGGGAGGATTACGTTTGAGGGGGTTGGTTTTGCGTATGATGCGCAGAAATACAAGAATGCGTTGAACGGGCTATCTTTCCACTGCGAACCAGGTACGACAACAGCCCTAGTCGGTGAGTCTGGAGGCGGGAAATCGACTATCTTCCGCCTGCTCTTCCGCTTCTATAACCCCCAAACCGGCCGGATTCTAGTCGATGGGCACGATGTCCAGGATATAATCATAGCTTCGCTCCGCGAACACATCGCCATCGTCCCCCAGGACACAGCCCTCTTCAACGAATCCCTCCTCTACAACCTGCGCTACGCAAACCCCTCTGCCACAGACGAGGATATCCACAATGCCTGCTGCGCAGCGTGCATCCATGATAAAATCATGACTTTTCCAGAAGCCTACGAGACGAAAGTCGGTGATCGGGGGCTGCGGCTTAGCGGTGGAGAAAAGCAGCGGGTTGCGATTGCGCAGACGATTCTTAAGAATCCGCAGATTATACTGCTTGATGAGGCGACTGCTGCGTTGGATAGTGAGACCGAGGAGCATGTGCAGGAGGCGTTGGGGAATTTGGCGAGGGGGAGGACGGTGATTATGATTGCGCATCGGTTGAGTACTGTTACTGAGGCAGATCAGATTTTGGTACTGCATGAGGGGAGGGTTGTGGAAAGGGGAACGCATGGGGAGTTGTTGGGGTTGGAGGGGAGGTATTCGGGGATGTGGCAGAGGCAGAGTCGGCAGGGTGATGGTGGGGAGTTAAGACGACGTAGTCCACAGTAGGGACTGCTCTAGCCTACACGGTGGATTGTATATAGGACAGACACTTGAGCCGCATTGCGAGGTAGCATTTTGTTCTATCGAAACTTCTTTTCTTCATAACCATAACCCATAATGCATATACAAATCACTTTACTCGTCATCACTCTCCTCTTCTTCGTCACTATCCTCTTCCTCGGCATTGGCAAGCCAATCTACAAACTGCTGCGTCTGAGCCCTAACCTTCCTCATATCCTCTGTCCCACTAGACCGCTCATCATCCCACCACTGCTCATACGCCTCCTCCTCAATCAGCTCAAGGTCATAAAGTTCCTTTGCAGTAAACAGGAGAACCGTATCGCCCTTTGGCCAGGTGACGAGGTCTTGTTGGAGTAGGACTAGTAGGTCCACCTGATCCGGCTTCGCAGCGGTGTCGCGGTCGAACAGGGACCGCTCCACGATCTCGCGGTATGTGCCGAAGATGTCGCGGACGGCCTGGGATGCGGATTTTTGGCTCTCGTCAATGAGGTTCCCGATGCGTTTCATGAAGGCGGAGACCACCGCGCGGCGGACTTGGTTGTCGGATGCGTTAGCGGTCATACGCAGGGAGACAAGCTCGAGTTGCACGACATCTGAGGTGACCTCGTCGCGGAGACTGTCGTAGACGCTGACAGCGGCGTCTTGGACGAAGTGGTCTTCTTTTTCTTCTTCGGAGACGGAGGTGCCGTAGCTTCCTGCGCGGGAGCCGGCGAAGTCGGAGGTTTCGGAGGAGAGGGTTGAGATGGATTCGGTGGAGAGGGAGAGGTTGGCCATGTTGTAGACTAGGCCGGAGGAGGTTTCGCTTGCGTCGTCCTCTTCGTCGTCTGAGTCTTCGTCGCGGGTAAATTCGTAGCCCTCGCCTCCTGCACCGACAACTGCCGGATCGCTCTCAGGTGCAGCTTCATCATCCTCTTTCGGAGACTTGGTGATACGAATTCCTTCACCAATGGTGATACCATCGGCAATCTTGACTCCATACGAGAGAAGCGCTCCCGACTCGATCTTGCACTGGTTACCCACCACAGCACCATCGGCAACAATAGCCTGGTTAACAGTCGTGTTATCCCCAATCATAACATCGTCCCAGATATAAGCACCGTCCAGAGTCACGTTCTTGCCGATCTTGCAGTTCCTCCCGAGCACCGTGTTCTTCACTGTCGTCTTCTCGCCGATGCTGGTACCTTGTCCGATCACCACCCGACGACCAACGATGCATGACCGCGCCAATGTGACATTCTGTTCTTGGTATAGGTTGCTCTTGCGGAGTTCGTAAGTGTGGCCGGGGAGCAGGTTCGTGTCTGGGCAGAGGGGATACGTCCATCTCGAGATGACGTCCTTGCTGATGGCGTCGTACGCCTTGAGATTCCGGGCTCTTGCCGCATAGTGGTCCTTGATGATGTACGTGTGGATCGTCTTCCCGTTCAGCTCGTAGTCCTTCAGAACACCGAACAAAAACTGCTTCCGCGGGGCCTGGTAGTCGAAACTGTCGGACCACAAACTCAGAACGTCGGGCGTGCAAATGTCGATGCTGCAGTCAATCAAATCCTGACGGATATCAATCTCCGGATGCTCAGCAATAATCTCAGTATCAATGCTCAACCGCGCTCCATGCTCCGAATGCTCCGCGTGGTGGTCGATCTCCTCGTAATGCAGACAACGGTCCTTGGTCGGGTCGACGACAAACACTGGCGAGACGGACGAGGACTTGGTTCGGTGGTTCCGGCCAGCTTCGCGCAGGACCATGGTCATAATCGCGTTCTTATCGGCTTCGCGGCGGGCTCTGTGGGTGGCCAGGGCTCCTTCAATCGGCATGTTGCTGATGACATCTCCGCTCAAGACGATAAAGTCTCCCGTAATAACATGCTTCCCGTCGAGATCGCGCATAACATCACCGACTGACGTGGACGTGGATTTGAGGAAGGTCAATTGCTTGAACGGCGACGAGGGTGCTCTCCATTTTGATGCGCTGGTGCCACAAGTTAGCTTGGTGATAGCCACGCCTTATTCCTTCCCTCGCGTACTTGATATATTTCTCCAACTGATCCGAGTGAGCACCTCCATAGAGGAACACCTCTTCGACGCCCGCATTGGCAAGGAATTCGAACGTATACTCGATCAACGGCGTGTTGGCCAACGGCAGTAAACACTGTAATTGTACACTCGCATTAGCACCAATCCCACCCTTGATCATGGAAGAAAAAAGAGAACCCACCCTAGGCTTGTCGAGAGTAAATGGCTCGAACCTCGCCTCAAATGTATCTGCCAGGACCTAAACCAGTCAGTCTCCAGCCCCGCGCGTTGTGCCTGTCGATCTGCAATATCGAAATTCGGGGTCCAGGGACGAACATACAACGGCCTGAAGTGTCTCCTCGACTTCCTCCGCGGCATTCCGCTGCTTCGGTGCACTACCGCCTTTCTTAGGGGCCATGGCTACTAACAATCAAAAGTTAGCAACCAGTCTCCGTGTGGTCGACCGGAGAATGCACAACGCGAGGAATCGCACTTACCTCTATCCGTGCAGTCGCGGAATCAAAGGCAGAAAAAGGCTTGCAGATAAAACACAATAATCCAACCCTTTCACAGGTTCGTCGTTGACTCAATCGCGACTCTTTCACAAAAAACTCCGCCAAGCCATCGGAGTCATCTCCATCCCACTTTTGATTCTGCCCGGCGGTAAATATATTTGCCATGTTTATCTTTTTTGCACTGTTTACAGCATTCAATCACGTGAAAATGCCACAGTGGCGCTGCGCAGCCCCCGAAAATCCAGACCCTCGAGCCGACCCTGGGCAAGGTCTAGACCCGTGGAGAATGCAGGCGTGTGTATTTTTGTTTTTCTGTCAAAGGTTTGTTTAGACGAATCTGTCCCGACGATGCGGGCTGCCGCTCATGTGGAGCCTTATTGAGCTTATTGATAGTAACACAATAATATAGATGCAACCAATTTGTTCATCGAATGCAGATAGATACATTGGAAGGGGGGGGGGGGGAGAAAAAAAATCAAAATCACACGCCGCCAATCCCAATTCTTGTACACCAAAAACCAAACGCTTCCCCATAGGGAGTATATAAAAATGGAAACATCTCACGCTGCCAGTCCTCAAAGTCTCGATCCAGAGCTCCGCAGAACGCCCCATGTAGTCTATAAGTCACAAAGAATGTAAAAGAGAAAACCTCCCGGAGAACAATGTAAGAATATTCGTGGTAGAAATGAATCGTAGTCCGGCGACGGTATGAACGAATCGAATGCTCGAAGCAAATTTGTACGCGAGAGTGTATATGTGCAGTTAGAAATGGAATAGAAATGTCGCGTCAGAAGTTCAGGGAGAAGTAGACTAGCCCGTCCGTGCTTGCACCGGGTTGACTATCGTCTGTGCAGGCTGAGCATACATGCGCGGTCGCTTCGCCCCGTTGGGGTTATCTGGAGCGCTGGACATCTCAGATACTTGTCGCCGGTGCGGTGGCCGTACTGCTGCTGGTGCTGCTCCGGCCGGGGCGAGTGCCACTGTCGGTGCTGGGTACTGCACACCGTTTTGATCGACTGCGTATGCGACCGGAGCACCCGGGGTGGCAGCAGCATATTGACCTTGTACATGCGGAATACTGGGGTGAACCGCCATGCCGTGAAATTGGCCTGGTGACTGCCAGTTGCTCATCGACGCAGCTGGCGATTGACCGGGTGAACTATCCTCCTTGACCGATTGAGCAGCGGAGCCTTGCGCAGCCATTGGGACCGCAGGTGCAGGTTGTGGAGCTTCCATGCCCGGCGGAATAGTCTTGAGGTGAACGAGATGCTTCTCAAGCATGTCGAGCAGGCTCTTGCGAGTAAACGGTTTGGGAAGCACGTCATCCATCCCTAATTGAATTAGCAGCCGCATGAAAGCAGGCATCAGTAACAAAGTACACTTACCATGCTGGAAGTAAAGCTGAATATCATCACTCCGGATGTTGGATGTCATGGCAATGATAGGAGTCCGGTCGAACTGGCGAATAAGATGACAAGCCGAGACACCGTCCAGATTGGGCATAATGATATCCATCAAAATTAGATCGTATTTCGAGCCATCCTGGATTTTGTTCACAGCCTCGAGACCATCAAACTGCGGTGGGTTAGTGGTGTTCCATAATACCAAGAGACAAGACATACCGCAGTATCAATGACACAAGAAAACGAATACAAAAATTTCCCACCAATTTGACGGCACGTTGCGTCGTCCTCAACGAGCAAAATTTGCGGGCTGCGCATCCAGCCCGGATCAACGTTGGTGCTCTTCTTTCGATTATCGGGGAACTGCCGGCGAGCATCCCCGGACTCGATCTCCGGCTTGGGTGGCATCGGATACGGCACGTTGTTGACATGCTCACTGTACATGGGGTCAATGCCGTTGGTTGCACCAACTGGGTAAACCACGGTATCCATCTCGCCATTCATCTTGGGCGTTGTGGTGGGATAAACCAGAGTCGCGGGATTTCCAGCCGTTGGCGCACGCACCATTCCGTTAGTCGGCGTTGATACCACGGTAGTCGGTTTGGCTTCCCCTAGTTGATCAACACCAGTGAGGTTGAACTGCATTTCGGAGTGCATATCGTTGAGCAGCTTCGAGGCCTGCTGAAGTGGCGATGATGGCTCATCGTCAATCGGGGTGACCTGGGACGGACTCAGGGTTGAACCAGCTTGCCCTTGTGCTGGGAAGGGGGCGGCCGTCTTGCTGTCATGTCTCTGCCGGGCATCGACGGACAGAAGGAAGGTCATCAATTGGTGGATGACATTCTCGTGGTTGAGGACGGTCTTTTGCACGCGCATCACCTCCTGCAGCATGAGCTGATGATCGACGGTGAGTTGAGCATAGCGGTCGGACAGGTGTTGGATCTGCTGCTGTTGGGCCACGATTTGTTGGTTCAAGAGATCGATCTGCTGTGTCGGAACAGAGTCGTCATGGTCGCGGGCCTGTTTACGGGGCGCCGGCGCTTTCCGTCGAATGTTGTCCAGCGATTCCTTGCTGTTGGCCCGGAACTCGGGGTGCTTAAACTCCCAAGCCTATACACTATTAGAATACTGTACGTCCAAAAAAGGAGTAGATGTCGCCTACGTTGGGACCGTATGGTGATTGCCCATTCTCCTCGTTATTCTGTCGGACTTTGTGGAAATCGTACTTGTTCAGCTGGCGGACGAAACTGGCAAAGTTGCTGTGCTTGAAGTGTCTGGGCAGGATGGTTTTGGTAAATTTTTCGCACTAGAGCAGAGGGTCCTCCAGTCAGTCTAGGTTCTCGCCAGCGGAACGTACGGGGGCGAAGTGGGCGCGAGTTATTTACCTCCAAGACGACGAAGCTATCCCCCTCGTCACCCCAACGAACTATCTCCGAATATGATGGGTCCTCGAGCATTCTTGAAACGAGTCAGAACACGAACTATTGATGTGATCCATGGTCGCGCGCCAGGTGTTGGGCCGAAAACGCCGCCGAACAAAGGCAGCAAAAAAAAAAAAAAAAAAAAAAAAAAAAAAAAAAGGGAAGGGAAAAAAAGGTAGCGGGGTGGAAAGAGAACTCACTTGTAGAGTTTTCGCACCTGCCATTGTCAGTATAATTGAGATAATAAAAATATGTAGGATAAGAAGAGACGTACAAAATCGCTGGAGTTGCCCGAGGGCCCGGAGTTGGACGAGGTCGAGGTCTGGCCACCCTCCATCGTGGGCTAGACGGGTCGCGACCGATCGAAAAACAGCAGGGAGGATTATCACAGTGAGTGACGGGAAAATAACAAGATACAAGAGAGAGAAAAAAAGATATCAAAAAAAGAGAAGAAAAGAAGAGAAAGAAAAGAAAAAGAACGAGAGAAGAAAAGAAAAGAATTCAAAGAAGAGAAGAGAACAGAAGAGTGAGTTGGAGGAGAAAAGAGGGAAGAAGAGGAGGAGAGGAGAAAAGAGTGGTCAGTGGGACGGGGCCCAGTGGAATTCCGCAGTGACCCCGGAATACTAGGAACTATCACCACTAGAGCTGTTATATATAGTTGAGTTTGTTATATTTAGAGATTGAATAGTAGAATGCACATAAAATGATTTGGACAGATTCAAGTGAACTTGCTTGTTCCCGGGGGTAGTTCATATCATATATGAACTACTACTGATTGACAGCACTCACTGCGATGTACTGTACTTGTCTGCAGACCAATGAGGAGAATCAGGCATCTGATTGGAAGCTCTGTAGTGATTGACATTGGTCTAAAATCCCCATGTCCATTGTGTTGTTCTACACAGTGATCCGTAGTATTACTCCGTATAGCAGTGTTGTATACAAAGTACGGAGTTCTCATTCGGGCACTCGCTATTGTTATTATTCTACTTTACAACCACTATTCTACATATCTGTACTCGTGGTACTCCGTATATAATCCTTGAAACACTCTACATAGTACATTCACATGTTGATGGCTGTGATATACAACCTGCAGTCATGCAATGCATATTCAAACAGCTGTCAACCCCTCATCCCCGCTGTGAGCACCAACATTCATGTAGCATTAGGATATACAACTACAAAATAGGAGACATCTTGAGCTAGAGCTCATGTATCTATTACAGGAAAGGAAGATAGAAAAAGAAACATAAAAGAAAAAAAGAAAAAAAGAAAAAAAGAAAAAAAAAAGATTCTCAGGACCTTGAACTTGTATGTAGCCAATATCCGAGTAAATCCGAGGCGTTTACTCCCGCCGATCACACGGAGTACACCACCTGCAACGATCAAAACGAGCATCATGATACACATCTACAGAAATATACAGAGCTTCACCGGGCATATCACCCACTTTCCATACGGTCAGGTTCAGGGTCTCTACTTTTGACGGAGAATAACTCGGATAATTGGCGCCACATATATCGGTGCCATGGGCAGCTCAACTTGCCCAAGGGCATTGGCCTGAGTACCGGAGCAAGCTTGCAATGGTATCTCGCTGAAGCTGTGAGGTTACTTCACCCCACGGATATGATGGTCACCAGAGTAGCTTCTTGGGGCGAGGATTTGTTTAGATTTTGTAGGGACTGGACAAGTCTTTCTCAGATTGCCAAGCCATCGTCTTGAGAATGCGTAGTTTAGAAACATACAAGATTGACTGGGACAAAATGCTAACATACCAACCACTACTGCAGTTGCACCCACATTTCCATATCCTGTACGAAATACTTGCGAAGTTGATCCTCAACCTGTGTACATGAACCTTGGTACTCTCTCGAACCTAACTCATAATGCTGAGATAGCTCGATCTCAGGTCTCTTTCTAAGCAAAGAGCCTGCATAGCGTTCGAAATGTGATTAACCATGAATCACAACCACAGAGTGAGTATCGAGTATCTCCTAAGAATAAATGTAAATTTATGCGTAGAAGTATAAATGTTGTGATTGTGCCATGTGGAGTAGTAATCGCTCGGCTATGACGAAATCGGCCAGGACCCAATATAAGCGGAATACATATTTTGCCTTCTTCAACCTACCACCTCAATTACTCTAACAACCTCAACCACTCCCTCAATTCACCCCAAAACCTCACACAAAATGTTCGCTACTCGCCGTGTCGCTACCTCCCTTCCCCGCGCCTTCTCCCAGCGCGCCCTCTTCCACAAGACCGCACCGGCTTTCGTCCAAAAGGGCGACTCCATTCCGGACCTTGACGTTCTGGTCGAGAACTCCCCGGGGAACAAGGTCAACCTCGCCAAGGAGATTAAGGGCAAGGGTGTTATCATTGGTACTCCTGCTGCCTTTAGTACGTCGCTCTGGTTATCTCCCATACCGTGAAGAGTGCGACTGACAGAATAGGCCCGGCTTGCTCGAGCACCCACGTCCCTGGTTATATCAACCACCCCAAGCTCAAGGAAGCTGGTCAGGTTTTCGTTCTCTCCGTCAATGATCCTTTCGTGTATGGAAACCCGCCCCCGGCTTCAATTGAATAACATATCTTACTGACCGTAATAGAACCAAGGCTTGGGGAACATCCCTCGACCCCACCGGCAAGAGCGGCGTATGTCAACTCTCTCTCCATAACAATAACACAGTCCAGTTGCTAAATGTCTGACTAGATCCGCTTCCTTGGTGACCCCACCGGTAAATTCTCCGAGGCCCTCGACGTGACCTTCGACAGCACCTCCGTCTTTGGCAACCAGCGCAGCAAGCGTTACGCTCTTACCGTGGAGAACGGCAAGGTCACTGAGACTTTCATTGAGCCGGACAACGCTGGTGTCAATGGTATGCACGCCTTTATGACTTTATTCAGACCACTGCTAACATGAATCAGTCTCCACGGCCGAGAAGGTCCTCGGTTAAACGCTCTAGTATAGATTAAATGTACATTCATGCCATTGTAAATGACCATCTATAACAGTGTAATTATTCATTCAATCATATTCGACAACCATAGTCCCGTTGCCAACATTATCCGTACAATATACATTTTTATTCCTCCAACGCCTAACAATGGCATTTATGCAATCCGTCCATATCACATTCCAATGTCATTGTCAGATCACTGTTGCATCAACGACTGCCACTGCTCCGGTGTGTAGCACTTTGGTGTCCAGGCATGAATAGCCGCAATCTCTTCCTTAAGCGCGGCGTTCACCAACCGATGCCGGGCGAGCATGTTCTTGCTCTCGAACTGGGGGGAAACGATAATCGCCATGAACGCTTGTCCGCAGCCGCCTGTCACTCGTCAGCATTCATCCCTTTTGTCCTTTTTCCTTTTCTAAATCTCTTTATAGACCCGTACCAGACAAATCTTCAATCTCAACATGCTGAGCCTGCAGCTTCTCAATCAACTTGCTGCGCACCAACTCCGCCGTAACACCGGTACTCGAATCTGCCATGGCTGCGTCGACGGCCGCGAAAGAGCGCGCGGAGAGCGAAAAGAACGATTTCTTAACCTGGGGGTTGTGGATGGGGGCGCGGAGAAGATAGCGACAACTTCTGCGGAAGATAGTGGTGCTGCGGGAGAACATCAACGCGGTCTATAAAGAGGAGAGGTAAAAAAGAAAAAAGAAAAAAGATAAGGGTATAAAAAGTAAGGCAGTAAAGATGCTGTTATCGGATACCGAATTCCAATTCCAATCGAGAGAATGACGGAATTAATCATCCAACGTCGGTCCGTTGCTTACCGTTCATATGCTGATTTTTTATTGGTGAGTTTGATCGTAGGGTATGTGGCTGGTGCTGTGGCTTGAGTTCTACAACAATCGGCGTCATCTTTTCTTCCCCAGATATCTTTCTTCTCTCTACACGGGTTGTCTATTGATGTCTGTCCCGCGCACACTGCGTCGCTTATCCACCATGCCATCATCATCTCCCACTTACTGCTCGCCTTTTACGCGGGCAGTAGTGAACTCCATGAGAAAGCTGTACGTCTCTTGTTGAAGCTTGAGCTTGACATTGACTGACAAAATGAAATAGCTATCCCGAAGCACTGGCAGATAAGAGTTGGGACAACACAGGCTGTACGCAAACCACATGTCCCCAATGGCATGTCATACGATACTAACAGAAACAGTACTCCTCGAAGCCCCCTTCAACCCCTCCCAACACCGCCCACGAAACTCGGTCCTCTTAGCCATTGACCTCACCAAAGCCGTCGCCGATGAAGCCATCAACCGCAGAGACTCGGTGGTCGTGGCCTACCGTATTCCCTTCCCACCCATCACCCACTACCATATATCAATCCACTAACAAGTAACCAACGACAACAGACCCCATCATCTTCCGCGGTCTCAAATCCCTCACCCTAAACGACCCCCAACAAACCTCCCTCCTCCGTCTCGCGCAAGCAGGAATTAGCGTGTACTCCCCGCATACAGCCATCGACTCCGCGCCAGGCGGTATGGGCGATTGGCTCTGCGATATCGTAACGGGGTGTTTCATCTCGAAACCGCAGGAATTGCCCCCGGCGCCGGCAGAGCAGAAACCGATCCCCCAGCTCTACACGCAACCGACATACCCCCAGCCAACAGGAATTACCGAAAACCCGCTGCAACTGGAACATACCCGCAAGACGATCCACCCTTCTCAGTCTGTACCTGAGGGATGTGAAAATGCGGGTATGGGGCGTCTCGTTACGTTCTCTGAACCGCAGCCGCTGTCTATGATTATCGACCATATTGCCGCTGGAGTGGGTAACCCGGGCGGTATCCCCATCGCCATCCCGCAGGGTTCGCAAGTTGAAGACACCCGCATCCGCACTGTTGGCGTCTGCCCGGGGTCCGGGTCTAGTGTGCTTATGAAGGGTGTAAGCGAGATCCCCGATTTAATGTTCACGGGAGAAATGAGCCACCACGAGGCTCTTGCGGCTATTGAGCAAGGGAAGGTTGTGGTTTCATTGAGCCATTCGAACACGGAACGGGGGTATTTGCGTGCTGTTATGAAGGAGAAGTTGCAGAATGCTTTGCAGGAGGAGTGGGAGAGTGTCAGACAAGAGGGGCTTAAGACTCAGGAGTTGGAAATGTATGAGGATGGGGGGTGTGAGGTTGATGTTAGCAAGGCGGATCGGGATCCGTATGGGATTATGATTCGGCGGATATAACGATGCCACGCTTATGATTGCTATAAAGATGATTTACAATACCAATGAAAGAAAAGTCTAGCTCAACAACACCCTTATCTCCCCCGTAGTCCTCGGGAACAGCGCCCTCAAACTATACTTCTCCTTACCCTCCTCACCTTCACCTTCATTCTCACTCCCACTCCAATCACCACCCTCACTCACAAGCGAGACACCCCTCGCCTCATCCGCCCCTATAATCATCCCCTCAACAAACTCAAAGTCCCGACAAAACGCCTCCACAGCTTCCTCCGTAACCCTCTTCACAAATCCCGCGCTTTGCACCCTCTTCAAGTTCTCCGTGGCATCCATGAGCGCCGACGGCAGGAAATCGTCAAGTTGTTGGCTGGTTGCGATGAGGGAGTTGGGTTGGAAGGCCGGGAGTGTGACTATCGAAGCGAGATTGGTGCTTGGTTGGCGTTGGTGGGTTTTGGTTTGGGTAGTGGAGGTAGATGGGGAGTAGGGTTCGAGTGCTTCGAGGAGGACTTGGAGGCCCGAGGACGATAGGAGGTAGCGGTGCTGGATCTCGAGGAGGGCGATGCGGATTGTTGAGATGGAGGTTGAGAGGGGCTGGAGGTGTGTTGCGCTGGCGAAGGGGTAGGCGGAGATGGATGTGCGGGTTGTGAGGAGGATGTTTGTCTTGTAGATGGTGCCGGCGGTTTCGTCCTGGAGGTCTTCTGCTGAGGACTGAGCGAGTTTGACGAATGGGTCGAGGGCGACGCGGAGGACGGGGGTGAATTGGTTTTCGCCGGACGTTTCTGTGTCATCTGCGAAGGAGACTTCGTGGGTTTTCATGAGGGAGGTTAGGCCTTCTAGGGCGTCGAGGAGGAATTGTGGCGCGGAGAGGTCTCGCGAGGGGGTTAGGGCGGGATGGTCGTTGGAGAGGGTGGTGGTTTGTTCGCGCATGAGGGTTTCGAAGTGGCCGAAGGTGGACTTTTCCAATGTCTGCATTAATTCCACCAGGTTGGAATGCTGGCCCACTAGTCTGGAGAAAGTCGTCCGGTAGAAGGACAGTAGGTTGATGACCTTGAAGCAAGTGACGGGATCGTCGTGGCCTTGGATGACCAGCTCAACACGCTGTCGTAGGGATCGAGAGACTCCGGTGAGGTCGCGGTTGACGAGGTCGCTGAGGGCTTTGCGGCCATCGAACGCAACCGTCTCTTCGTCCTCGTCGATTCGAGACCATGGTTCACTGCTTAAGCCGGCTTGGATGCCTTTTGCGAGTTCCTCTCCGTCGGCCACAAACAGCGCCTCCAAAGCTTCACGTTCCGAGACTGTAGTCGAGTGCACCCATGCCAGCATATCTCCAACGTATCTCATAGGATCATGTGCCGAGAATTCAATAGGCTTCACGCTGCGATCACCACCAGCACCAGAAACAGCATCACTGAGTGCGTAGTGAAACGCTTCAGACAGAATGTAGTCTCGCGCCTCTGCGAAGAAGTCCAAACAGCTGTGGAACAAACTAGGCCGCTCAGCCAGCACCCGTAGCGCTTGTCGGATCGAGCTGCTGATCCGGGGATCTTCAAGATTCAACGACCGGAACTCCTTCTGAATCCACACGTAGAGCTTCTGATACGCCGAATTGAGGTTCCGGGAGCTCTTCTCCATGATCTCTAAGCCCAGTCTCTGGTTCTCTCCTCCCAGCAAGACCTCGCAGTCATGGTGTACCTGTTTTACTCTGGCGAGCACGTCGAAGAAATGATCATCGATGGGCACTTCGGCAGACGTCAGAGCTAGCAAGTCCTCGTCAGAGATTATAAAGTGCTGCGTGAAAGCGTGGAGCAGCTCCTGCTTTGTCTCCGTCTCTTGTTTCTGGTTCATCAACGACGTTGCTTCATCCAGCACGGGGGCGGTATCCTGCTTCGCAAGGACGATATGTTTCCGCATTTCGTCGCATGTTTGGTTCAAACTCGTAATCACCGTTCCAATTCGTTTCAATTGCTGTCATACGTCAACCAGTTGATCCCCCACAAGATCCAAGACCCAACTCACCTCCGCGACCTTGCCAAAATCTTTAACAACCTCGGCATTGCAATCAACAACCTCCTTCTGCACATCCAGCCGTAACTGTCTCCGTGTCTCCGCCGTATTATGAACCCCTCTGAGACTCAGCGTCTCCAGCGCATCGCGTATATCCGAATCCGCGTAGGAAGCCGAAAGGACACTCGTCAGTCGGTTGGAGAGCGCATTGGATCGCTGCGCCGGCGGGGAGAGCGGCGAGTTTGCCGGAGAGAAAGCTCGTGGGGACGCATGGCTGAAATTCGCGCCGGGTGGGAAGTAACTTGCCATGTTGGTGTTGTTGAGATCGGGACAGGGGAAACGGTGGTTGACAGCTTGATGCTTCCGTGGAGAGAAAGCGGGACCGGATTAACCGCCCCGGTTTATTGATCGGATCAACAACATTTCAAGCCTAAGAAACAACACCATTTAGGCATATACTATAAACGACAAAATAATAATAATAATACATCGAACACTCCAATTAATATCTTCGCCTAACGACATCTGAATCGCATCATGGACCCCCTCGTTTCCCCCGCCAAAGCACGACAAGCGGCCATCCAGGCCAAAGACTGGGCCTATGTGAATTCCTGGCTGAGTCGCCAATACGCACCGAAACCCGTTCCCTCATTTGAAAGAAACGAAGACACCCTACGAACTCTGCTAGCATTAGCCGCAGCCAACGATGCCGCTGATGAGGAAGCCACCTTACTCCATCGCGCACGGGAAGAGGCAGTACAAGGATTCAAAGCGCGGGAAGAAGCGGAAGACACCCAGAAACTAGAACTACTGGACGAAGTTGAAATGTGTCTGGATGACAAAGGGAGGCAAAATCTGGATGATCTGGCAGAAACGGCCGCCGTTCTGGGGGCATTGAGCACGGAGACTACCGATCTCGGACAATCAGTTATCGAGCTTACGAAAGAGGAATTCGATACTCGCGAGCAAATCTCGAAGGTGGATGCTTTGCATAGATATCTGGAAAAGGAATTGGCTGCGTTGCAGGAACAACTGAAGACGCTCAAGTCTGATGAAGCCAACGATACGTCCTCGGATCTGCCGGCGTTGACGGCAAAATGGACCAGGAATACGAAGCTACTCACAGCGAAAGTGGGAGAATATCGGGACAGAATCGCGTCACTTGAGAGGAATAGGCATAAAGGGGCTACAATTGAGGGGTTGATTGCGGAAGAGGGGGTTGTGCTTCAAATCAAGGAAATGGTCGAGACCCTGGAAAACCGGGTCCGGATGTTCTATGATTTGCCCGGGGATATACCAAGTGCTCGGGCCCAGTATCGACAGTTAGAACTTGAACTGGGACAACTCACTAAACAACGGGATTCAATGCTCGAACAAAGGGAATAACAACGCTACGCTACGTGAGACGGATGAACATGGACATTAATGATCAGAACGAATTATTCATCAATTATTTAGAACACGGCATAGTGGTATCGTCAACTCGTAAGAGTCATAGGTCTAATTATACATATTCATAACCCATTCTCAGTTCAGACAAATTATTTGTTGCCGCCAAGTCCCAGAGTGTCCTTGACCTTGTCGCCACTGCAACAGAGTTAGCATCTGTCTCTTTTGAGGTCGCAAATCACGGCTAACTTACATCGACTGGCCGGCACCGCCGTGTTGCTCGTTGTCGTGGACACGCTGGCCCTTGTCCCAAGCCTCCTGGGGGGCAGACTTGTCCTTGTCGGACTGGGTGCCACGAGAGAAACGGTCGGTGGTATCGGTGACAGTCTCCTTCGCCTTGTCCTGGGTGGACTTGGTCGAGTCAGGAGTGACCTCCTCCTTAGCCTCTGCTCATTGTTAGTAGCTGTATCTTCAAGTCATCGTGGGAGAAACATACTAGTGGTGAAGTCCTTGCGGCCGTAGTCAGACATTGTGATGGTTGTTTAGAGGGTAGAATTGGTCTTGAAATGATAGAATAGATTGTTTTGTTCAGAGATATAGAGATGCTGTTGATGGATTGGAAGTCTTAAGAGTCGAACAAAAGCACCCTTATATACCTTTTTATTCTCCCCTTGAAGCCAAATATTGTACCATGACGTCGTAGAAGATTCCGGCTCAACTTGTTACTCCAAGTAATGTTTCATTCGAAGCCTGAACAGGGAATTCCATGGTAACAATGCCATCGCAGACCAATGAAGATCATACTACATGATAAATGGGTGAACCGTGGATGACGTTCGAGACCAAGTCCAAGTATACAGTGACGTCGTGATGGCGCACAGAGCACGTGCAGTTTATGATATAACCTAGACTAGTCCAGAAGTGGTTAGTCTACTGACCTTGTCTAAATTTGGAAGTCTCTTCGGATCATCTGTTCTCGCACCTCCGTGACACTAATCCATTTTGGGACGGATGATTCAGACTATGCATAGAAGGCGGTGCATAATGGCAGACTAGAGACAGTTCACCGCCATCGAGTCATTATCTCCTCTTTCTCTTTCTCCAACTCCAAGGTGTATGGCATCAAGTTTCTGCCTTCAGGTCTCTTCGACCACCATGTTGACTTGTCTTATCTCTTTGATATATGCGAGCTCTTCACGATCCTTTGTCTAGTTATCGGTTTTCCTAGTTATCTTTCAGTATCTCCCTTTTGTTTTTGTCTGCCCCGCATTCAGGAACAGAACGTCTTATCGCAGCCACGGTTTTCAATTTACAGCATTTGACTTTTGAGTTATATCATCATCAATGCCAGCATCGATTACATCCAACTGGGATCTCACTCCGGTGATTAACCTGCTTCGCTCCCCTGCTCACGCCGCTGGTAACAACTCCATCCCGTCTCGCCACCCCGAAGACCATGTCGCTACACCTCCGGCCGAAGAATTGAAGGATGTCAACAATGACTCAGGCTGCCCGACACCTAAAAATACCAACAATGGGGACAATGCTACACCAAAACTTGGTGATTTCGGCTCTCTGTGGGATTTCTTAGGTCAAGGTACTGCCGTTGCTTCCGCAACCACCGCAGCCGAAGATCGTCAAGATTCCGAGTCTTCGAGTACTACTCCACGTCCACGGTCCCCACAACCATCTACACCAATCAAGATCCTTCAGCGGCCGTCACCTAAACTCGTCAATCCTGAAGATACCCCGAGCACTCCAAGACGGGTCCTCGTTCCTAAATCTCGCAAGAATAAACGTGAAGCCGGTGTGGAATCCGGCTCAGCCAAAGAGCACAATACTCAGAAAGCCACGCTTGAGGCTACTTCGTCTGATAGTACTGTTGAGTCGGACGGCATCTTTGATCCTCCGCTCTCAAAGAAAGGAGCTGTTACATCCTCCGCACAGCCTGCGAAATCAGAGCTATGCGATAGCCCGCCGTCCTCTTTCGACGAACTTGATGGCGCCTTGACTTCTGAAACTATCAAAAAGTCACCTGAGAGTGGTGTGGTTCGTATACAGTCAAACGTATACAAATCAGCGGATGAGCGGAGAGATGGTCTCCATTCCAAATTACTCAAGAAATTTCCGGACTATGCAGAAACCCGGCCTGTTCATGTTTTTGTTGACATCTCCAATGTAAGTTTCCCTGACAAACACGACATATCGAGTATAGTTACTAACAAGTATCAAGATTATGGTCGGATTCCATGACTCGGTTAAAGTGTCACGGAACATTCCCATAGCAACCCGAATTCGCCGTCTACCGCTGTCGTTTAAGAATTTCTCATTGATTTTGGAGCGTGATCGACCAGCTGTCAAGAGAGTCTTGGTAGGATCAGACCGCTTTCCAGCAATCGACGAAGGCGAGAAACTCGGCTACGAAACAAACATCTTGGATCGCGTTCACAAAGCGAAACAAATAACACGCCGCCAGGTTAAGTCCCGAAAGAATGCCCGAACAGCCTCCCAAGAAGCCGTCACCAGTTCTGAAACGAACGAGGCGGCCCAGCGCTGGGTCGAGCAAGGTGTGGACGAAATTCTACACCTCAAGATCCTAGAGTCTCTCCTGGATACGGACGAACCGGCCACGATTGTCCTCGCCACGGGTGATGCGGCGGCAGCTGAATACTCGGGCGGGTTCATGAAGATGGTGGAGCGGGCTCTGCAGCGAGGCTGGGCCGTTGAACTGGTGAGCTTTTCGCAGGTGACGAGCCAGGCGTATCGGCGGAAGGAATTCCGGTCGAAGTGGGGGAATCGGTTTAGGATGATTGCGTTGGATGATTATATTGAAGAACTTTTGGCGATGTGAGAGTTTACCTTGATCGAGTTTGATCATTAGTTATCGGAGTACATAGATTAGGCAGGCCTTGATTGTCAGATGCAAAAGATGGAGGATTTATCTTGTTCATGTCTATACCAGGGCGCGAATTTTTCTACTTTGTCAATAGTTATCATCCTGTTCACGTTTTATGTCTCACACAAGCAGGCCTTGCTACATCAATCTACACTTCGCACATTGCGAATTCTTTTATGTCCAACATCATTCGAAAGATTCGAAAGAATTGAGTATCATAACCATTTATGCTAACCAACCAACCAAACCAAAACCAATACTCCCCACCAAAGCAACCAAACCAAGACAAGTAAACCTAGCACAACGTAACGTACATAAAGCATCAAAACGCCAACATCAACATCAACATCAAATACATACAATACAACCAGTCCGCAATCTACCACCGCAATCATACTTTTAACCACATCGCAACCACAACCACAACCCAAATACTCCATAATGTAAAGCAAAGAGGGCGATCACCCCCCCCTCTCCCCAAAATTCTTCGCCCACTCCTCATACGCCTTCAGCCCCTCCTGACTAACACTCGGCCTAATAGCATACAAACTCGCCTCGAAATCCGCAAACCGGATCGGCCGGATCTGGTCCATGGGCGTGTGCAGGAGGGCTTCGCCGAGGTTGCGCAGGGGTCCCATGGCGGCGTCTTTGGCGAGGGCTGTTATGTCGCTGCCGGAGAAGCCTACATTCATTTATTAGTACATGGTTTTTGGGTGATGGGGGGATAAAAAAAAAGGGGGGAAGTACCTTCTGTAACCTGGACGAGAACTTCGATGTCATCATTGCCTAACTCGTAGACTTGATGGCTGAGGAGTTTGCGTATCTGTTGTCCGCGCACGCCCTGCTCAGGAAGTGGAATGTACTGTCTTCTTACAAACCGGCGTCGGGCAGCTTCATCGATATCCCAGGGCATATTCGTAGCAGCCAGTACAAGAACACGACTTGCGTCTCCGATCTTCTTATCTGCTTTCCCTTGTTCGCGTCCTGCGGCTGCACGTTGCAGATCAGACCATTGGATTAAGAATTCTGTCTTTGAGCGACGCGATGCTTCGTTTTCTGCGCCTGATGATCGCGCAGAGAGGAGGGAGTCGATTTCGTCGACGAAGATGATGGATGGGGCGAGGGCTTTTGCGAGGCCGAACAATGCGCGGACGAGTTTTTCGCTTTCACCGTGCCATTTTGATGTTAGTGTTGAGGCGGAGACAGAGAAGAAGGTTGATTTGGACTCCGTGGCTACGGCTCGCGCAAGCATTGTTTTACCCGTACCCGGAGGTCCGAATAAGAGCATGCCGCGAGCTGGTTCGCGGAGGCCGGAGAATAAATCTGGACGCAGAAATGGGTAAACGACGGCTTCTTTGAGGGCTTTCTTTGCGCCCTCGAGTCCTGCTATGTCGTCCCAGTGTACCTCGTCGCCGCGAACGACAATGTCGTTGAGGATTTGGCGGGCTGCCATGGTGTCGACGCCTTTGGGGAGTTTGCTCATGATATCCATAATCGCGTCATCTTCGTCCTCGTATTCGTCCCCGTCATCTTCTTCGTTATCCTCTTCTGCATCTGTGGACCGGGGTCCTGGTGACTCGGCATCACTCGACGGTGGTGTCTCTCTTCGGGCCTGCGGTTTCCTTCGAATCGCCGGATCTGAAATACCCATTCGGTCCATTGAACCAGAAAGTCCTGCATCTTTATTCCCAGTTGAAGTAGGAGTGATTCGAGTTCTCGATACGGGGTGGCTTGTCCGACTAAACTTGGGCGTTCCGGAACCAGATGCTGCGCCATTGAGCTTTGGTCGAGCAGGAGCCTGTTGCGACGTCCTCAATTCAGCCGGCTTGGGTTTAACCGAAGGCTTTGGCGAGGAACGCGGCACAGACCCTGACGAATACGACCGCTCGCGACTCGCAGAATGAGGATGCGCACTACCGGACCCAGCAGATGAGATAGTCACTGGAGTCTTTGCAGGAGCTCGTCGTATAGCCTGGTCAGACGTCCGCCAGGTGCTCGGCTCGGTGTCATCAGCAAACGTCCTCCTCGTCGGCAACTCCTCCCCCGACGAATATCTCGAGTCCGATACGCTAATCCTCGACGACACTAGCGCCGCATCACTGGCCCCTCTGTCCGACGACGACGGTGACCGATAGTTACTATCCCACGCTAAGCCCGCGGCGGCCTGCGAAGCAGCCGGCCTCGAGTCCCGTTCCGGACTAGCCCTGGGACTACTGGCCTTCTTCTTGGCCTGTTTCTTGGGATCCTTCTTAGGATCCTTTTTGGGATTCTTATTGCGCAATGTCGACAACATGGGCGGTATATTGTCCGGTGCTTTTCTTTCCGGACTCGAGGTACGCGATTGCGACGGGGGCTTTGGCTTGGTCTTGGGTCTGCTGGAGGAATCGGATAGGACCCGGGATGGCGGTGAGACAGCAGATGATGTCGTAGTCGCGTGTCGAGGGGCGATCGACTCGGAACTGATCCTGGTCTGAGGCTGGGGCCGACCCGGTAATGCGGGGGGTTTGGATAGATCGGCGTAGTGAACAGCGGGGATGGTACCGTCACCGATCCAGCCGGGCGTGCGATTATGATTACTAGTAGTATTTGTGGGCGAAGTCGGACTCTTGGACGAGAATTTCCCTTTTAGCGATGATAACCCGGTAGGACTTGTAGGTTTGCTGTTTCCGTTGCCGTTGCCGGTACCGTTGTCGTTGGTTGCTGGATTGTTGTCTTTCTGTGCTTCTTTCCTGCTTTCACGAAGGGCTTCGAGGAGATCAACGCGTTCTCGACATTGAGTCTCTAATTGACGGATGGAGTCTTGGAGGGCCTTTTCGGTTTCGGTTCGGGGGGTGTAGGTGGCAGACAGGCGATAGGCATTATGGTAATTGATAGTTTCGAGGGCGGAGCGCCAGGATCTCAAAGCCTCAGCTTCATTGTTCTAAACCATTGTCCAGGTTAGCTGAGGCAAAAAAGTGAGTTGGAGAGAGAGAGAGAGAGAGAGAGAGAGAGTGTGTGTGTGTATTGGAGTGACGGAGCCAGTGACGGAAGATGAGGACGAAAGGAAGGACGGAAAAGACAACCCACTTTGCCTTCGAAGTAAACGGCGGTTGAACACGTGAGGTAGCACTCATCGTAGGTCTTTTGTAGCGAAGAGGTGGTTTTGGCCATTGCGATTGAGCGAGCTGTGGTCGTTCTCAGCGAAGTTGGTTACCTCGGCGCCCGCCCGCACCAGCCATAGATCGACACAGATCGAGATAGGGCAGTGATATTCCAATGTTCACTGGATGAGGTGTGAGGCGTGGCTAAACGAAAAAAATCTTCAATCCCCGGGTTGTTGAAGTCAATGAGAGGACAGAAAGTGAATGGAGGTAGGAGGGGCGCTTGCGGCGTGACGTCGTTGGTCACCGCTGAGTCGCAGTCTTGGGCGAACCATACTATGTACATAGTGGTAGTACTCCGGCATACGTTTTCGGAAGACGTGCTTATATAGATATGTTAAGAGATGAATGGACTCTATGCCTAAAATACAAATGGCCTCCAAGAAATCAGCGTTCCAACGCCCGTTATCGGATAATACATTGCAACGAAATGTCAGAAATGCCCAAAATGAACATCAACAAGTCACGCCCGGAGAACCCAGATCTCTAATAATCAATACATGGCCAGAATTAGAATCATAAATCGGCTGCGGAGGATATCTTATTATATCCCTTTTGTCATAACCCGGCTCCCTCTGCCCCCTTCACATCGCTAGAGACAATCCGGGGTGTCTCGTTTTCTGCTGGCACCTGAGTTCAAGGTAGATTTCGGAGCATGAGAGAGGTGGTCAGGGTGTAGGTAACGGAGAGCAGAAAACACAATGCGTCGACCCGATGCGATTGAGCCCATCAGCAACATTCTTCCTTCATTTTTCTCTTTTTGTATATTCCCTTATCCTCCAGGATCATACCGGGTCTTCACGTAATGCCAACAGATGATGTCATTACCCTCAGTTTCCATTTCTGGCCGAGGTAAGACATGGTGGGTCACTTTTTTTTTTTTTTTTTTTTTTTTTTTTTTTTTTTTTTTCTTTCTTTTTTCTGCTGGCACAGTTGTTGCTCCGCCCAGATCCGTACCGGTACCAATTATAAAGAAGACATGTCGCAGATTCGTGGATTCATCGCAATCGGGTTCATCGAGGGATGTTACGGAGCATCCTTATACATTTTCCTGGCCCTTGAAGTACGCCTTGGCCATTTCATACGATGTCCTAAGAAATCAGCATTCACGCATGTTAAGAAAAAAGAGGAATAAACTCACCAGCAAATCGCCGTACTGGGCATCGTAGAAATAATCCGCGGCCTCGCACCACGCAGGAATCCACCCCAGCCAAACTGCCGCTTAATAATAGACGCAGCATTAATCAACCCCTTGGCCGACCGTACCTCCTCATTTTGTGCCAAGCCACGGGTCTGAAGGAGCGTCTTCACGACGTCCAGAGGGGTGGTGAGACCGGCCGCAAAGGCACCGGCCAGACCACCGGCGATACAGTGGGTGAAGGGGTCGTATTCCTGCGACGGGTTCATGACCTTGGAAAGCGACTCATATGCGACGAATTGGGTGGCGGTGAAGGGAACGGTCATGCAAAGGGTGGTAGGGTAGGAGACGTAGAAAGCCTGGAGACCTTCTGTGTGGTAGACGGACCGCGCACATTGGGCGAGGGTCTTGTGCACTGAGCCATGAACCTGCATGCGCTGCTTGATCACTGCTGGTTGTTAGATCGCGCCGCTGGATAGACCGTATCGCACATTTATGGAATGCTCACCATCAAAAGGATTCATCAATGCGTCACTGGCAATGGTCGCAGATGCACCACTCAGAGCAGCCGCCAGCGGATGATGCCCCTCGTCCACATTCCCACCTGCGAATTCCTTGACCAGCTCGTATGTGCCAAAGTACACCGCGTGGGCCGGACCAGCACCCACAATCACACTCGAAACACCCTTCCATAGTGTCCTCCAGCCTTCGATCCGGTAAATGGTCGAGACCGCGTTGGTCAGACCTGTATAAAGGGCTCCTCCTGAGGGATGTATGATTTGCATGCGAGTCTAGCGAAACCATTAGCAACCATTCCCCCATTCACAATCATGGATATCGTACCTTCAACAAATCCACCGGATACATAACAGCGTGTTCCTATCCCGCGCGTCAGCACCACCCAGTATTTCCGGCGCAATTGACCATATCCATACCGCTATCCCTGCGAAAGCACCAGCAAGCATATTCCGGCCGAGGCCGTAGTTCGAGGGGAGGGCTTCATAGCTGAATGCGACGTTAGCTTAGCTCTATTGATACCGTAGACGATATCTCGACAAAATATCAAGGCGTGCAATGCAATTGACGTTGACCCAACAAGAAACCAGAAAAGAGAGAGGCAAGTCAATGGAAACAAAACACGAAAAAGAAAACCGCGGGGAAAGTCAATCGGGATATGTTGGGGGGTAGCTGGGGGACAGCAAGCACGCAAGCAAGCAAATGACATACTCGTATTCCTCCCCCGGAACCTGATCTGGGGCTGCCATGGAGAGCTCTGTAGCCGGGGACACTGAAGAGAAAAGGGAAAAAGGAAATCGGCCGGGGAAGAGCGGAGAGGTGAAGGCAACCGAACAGTGGCAGCAACAGGTCCCTGAGATTCTTATTTGGTGGTGGTTGCCAAAAGAGTAGGTTTGCAGGGAATTTTATGAGTGGAAAAAAAAAAGTTTCCCGGGCGGCGGGAGCGGAGATTCTCGAGGTTTCTTGCTGTTCCTTGTTAGGACCGAGTCCGAAGGCCGAGTAGGAATCGGGGGCCGACAGGAGAGTAATATGAGAGTAAGCAGAATATTATTGAGAGAAAGATTGAGGAGAGGGGAGAGGAGGGAAGCTGGGCTGAGAAGAGTTGAAGAAAAAAAAAAAGTATGTGTGGTGAGGGGAGCCAAGTGGACGAGAGGTTGGCCGCTGATGATCCTCCTCAGCCCGCCAGTTGGTAGGTGTTTTTTTGCACGACTGCCGGTCACTTGAATTCCTCTTTGGTTCTTTTCTTTTTGTTCTTCTCGCTTATCTTTCTTCTAGAATATTATTGATACTCATCATCATATAAAAATATTTGTTTTTTCGGTGTTTTCCTGCTTATTCAGATCTCTGTCCAGACCGAGGTTTCCGATGACGGAGATTTCCCCAGAGTGCATAACTTTATGCTTGTATAGGATCTTATACTGTAGCTCTACGGAGCACTGTTGTCACTACAGATACACGGCAAAGAGCCATTTGATTAAATTGCTTGACTCTGAATCATATCCAGAGCAAAGAAATACAGAAAAAGAAAGTACATACCAGACCCTGTACTACTGTCCTATGTATGTACAGTCCGCATCTCCGAACAGCGGAGGAATCTCTTATCAGATCGGATGGCCGATGCTCACCACGACTACGGACAGACTTGTCAAACAGGCATGTATCTCCGAATTATCCGAGTCATAGATTGACCTATCTCATAAAATCCATCATGTCCGATCCTCCAGCTCTTGCTTCATAGAATCCCTACTGACACACGAGTAGAAACACATGGTGCACTGTATACACTCGGCACGGGGCAGACGCCCGACGCGAGACGCCCGGCCTGTTCCCAAACGGCTCATGGTCAAACAGGCCACGCGGATCTGCATGCTCCCGTCTTGTGTAATTTGTAGGTAATGAAAAAGAGCTGTCAAATCAGACGAGATATAGTGCCACCAGCGCCCGCCAAAAGGAACCGAAAACAAACACAACCGCACAGCTATCAGCTATATCAGAAACAAAAGAAATAATAGTGGTAAAATGAGAAAATATGCTCGATCAAAGAATACATTCAAGTCCAGTTCGCGAGTCCGGAAAATGGACGAGATCGATCCGAAATGCAAGAATCATATACGCTGAAAATGTCATTCACATCATGAGAAGAATATCTTTTCCGTCTATAAACGGGGGATATAAAGTAGGTCGGTGGCAGGCGTTTTTCACCATTCCACGTTGAAGGACCACTCGCCTAGGCATCGACATTCGTTAGACTCAATCCACTACACTAACCAAAAGAAGGAAAGGGCATTACTCACCATCTTTCAAGTTTTCCGCGGTGTCACTCAACAGGATTACCCGTCGCTTGTTGCAATACGCCGTCTTGTCCAAAATGTCCACCTTGAGATTCGCCAGCTCCGGCACCGGTTTCTCGAACATCTCACTCAGATTCTCCACTGCCAGCTCCAGGTCCTTCTGGTTGTCCTCGAAGATCTCCGTGAGGTTGTTCCGGGCAAGGTAGTAGGCAAACGCGTAGGTCCACTTCAGCGTCTGCCGGCACTGTTGGAGAGCTTGCGATGCAGTGTCGAGGAACTGCACTTCAATCCACGAGAGACCCGACTGCGACTGAAGACTGGTCATCTTCTTCTCGGTCTTTAGATACAAATCTCGATCCAGCTTCGCAGATTGTTCGTGGTTGGCGTATCGGTTATAATAATGTAGATACCGTTCCAGCGACGCGCGAGACCGGGCCTGCTCTGTGCGGGCCTCAGATCCCGACTTCTCTTCGAATCGGCTGCAGTTGTACCAACTCGTGCCGTGCTCTGACCACAGACCCATGCACATCCAGCAAAACTCGTGTTTGCATTTGCGGCACGTCATATGGTTGCACCCGCCGTTCTTCTCGATAGTCGAGTAACATTTGGGGCACTCCTTAGTGTTGGCGGAAATCCAATTGGCCGTTTCCGAATCGTCTTCACACTTCTTGAGCCACTTCTTCACCAACGCACAAGGTGTTGGTTGGTGGTCGTTGAGCGTGCAGCCAAAGCAGAAGTTATGCTTGCATCCACATTGCACGGTGGGCACGATACGGTTGAGTTCCCGTTGTCTGACCGGACAATCAATCGCATATTCGCAGTTCGGAGCCGGGCACCATTTGAGGTTCTCCTTGTCGTCGACATAAGTCCGGGTCAGAAGCGTATTATACCTATCCTTGAGATCAGCTGTAACAAGCAAACTCAAGCTCTTCGAGTCCACAATCATATGGCAGCTATCTCCCGGACACTCAATCCTTGCTGCCTCCCCTTCTTCACGAATCTTCTGGCCCAGGTAATGTCGATAGCAATCCACGCAAAAGCGATGCCCGCATCGCATCGCATAGGTCTCCAGGTCATCTCCATCCTCGCAGCAAATGTCGCACATGAATCCCGGCACCACCTCTGTCTTTGCTGCACTATCGAAATTTGTCCCAAGACCCGCATCTTCCAGTGTCTTCTCGGGGCGGTCCATGTAAGATTCGATCACCTTTTCCCGATTCCATCGCCCGTATCGCAATAGAATGGCGCACGACTCGGGTGGCAGGCCCAGAATCGACGAGACCTCGTTGATCTGTACATTCTGCTCCCGCTCGATGTCCTCCGGATCTAATACCTTGTGGTCCACTTCGTATGGCTTTTTCGTCTGCCCGATAATGTCCTTGTCTTGGGAAAACCCTACGTCGATATCGTCACCGAAATCTAGAAAGCACAGAAACGTCAGTATCGGGAGAATATTACATGAGATATAGGTTTGCAACATACCATCCATGCTTTCAATATCACTTCCTTGGCCATCCAGGAAGTCCGCGTTCGAGGACGCATCGCTCATGAAATCATCGTCCGAATCCATGCTGGTGGTCGCAGGTGTAGCCAAGTCGTACCCCTTCTTCTTATCCTTATCAGAAACCGGGATTTTCCTAACAGACGACGAGTCCGAGTCTGATTCTTTCTCAACTGGCTCGACCTTGCGGACCTTTGCGGAGCTAGAAGACGAGCGTCTGGAGGTGGCGTTTCGCGTACCGACGGCGACGGAAGGCTCGGTGGCGGCGGTGGTGTTGTTCGCCGCCTCGGCCGCCTTCCTCTTTCTCGTTAGAGGAGGCGTGGTGAAAGGTGTGTATTGGTAAGCCGAGATGTGCTGTAGAAGAAGGAAAAAAAGAAATTAGCCTCGAGGTAATAGACCGTCGAGACTGTTTCTCTTTTCCCTTTTCTCCTGACAAACACACGTCACAGCCTACCAAAAGGGGTTTCCCGGGTAAAAGACAAGAAAAATAAAAGCAACAGGGCTGAATAAAGAAAATAAAAAATAATCCCCAGCCGGACTGTTGCGAGCGAGGTTTATTGGGAGTCAGAGAGGGGGGGGGGGGGTTGGAAGAGGGAGGATCGAAAAGCGATGAGCAAAGGGTGGGACGTCACGGGAGCGGGGACTTGGAAGTCTTGGTCTATAAGGAACTCGGATAACGATTGAGCCTCACAGTAAGTGCCCTTAATAGATCGTATTATCGCCACTTGGTGTTGGTTGATTGGCAAACCACGCTTGTTGTCTCCTGAGGATCGACTCCACTGTGGATGTGTGGAGAGATAGAGAGAGAAGAAATAGTGCAGTAAAAGATACCAGTGGTTAAATAGTGGTTCTGTAGAGAGAACGCCTAGTAGGCCGCAGGAAGGTGCCTATTGTATCTTCAGGCAGCAGAAGAGCAATCATTTCCAACCAGCCCATGTCACGTGCGCTCAGTCAGCTGACACTACTGCACTCGCTCAGACTCAGCGGCTGTCAGTCCATATCAATGATGGGGGTTGACCTATCATAGAGTTCAATGCTGATGTACATGGAAAGAAGTCTATTTATTCTAATTAAGAACCTCTAGACGTATATCACAGAAGAGCAATCCCAGTAAATGCCCTCGAATCCTCATGATACAACCTCTCCTTACTCTTCCCCTCCAAATCACACCGATAAACACTACCCCCAAGATCCGTCAAATAAACATGCCCCCGCTCAACATCCAACTCCAACCCAATAGCCTCATTCAAATTTCTCGTCAGAATCTCATACTTCCTCTCCTGCACCTCCGCAGTAAACGAAGCAGAAGCAGTCATGATAGTCTTTGGCATGACAGACTCATCCAACCGAGCCCGGTTCAGCGAGTTTCCAAACGGTATTTCGCCACGATCAGTCCAGTATAGCGTGTTAGAGGTTTCGTCGATTTCGATATCGATGGGTTCCGGCAAGCCTGGCAGAACGACTTGGATATCATCACGCGAAGTTGCTGACTGGCCAGCAGGCGTATCGATGTTGGCGGAGAAGATGCGTCCTTTTCCGGATTTCGAGTATCCCTTTTGCGTCCAGAAGAACTTGCCCAGCGAGGGCGCAACGGTGATTCCAACGCACCACGCAGACTCATCCGGTGGTGTCGTGGGTTCACCGTTCAGAATCAATGCCTCGAGTTCCGATCCGTCAAAGTTACACCGGTACACACCCAGACCCTCACGATCACAGAAGTAGACCTTCTTCGCGGTCTCGTCCAGGGTCAACTGCTTTGGCGTGTTCACTTTCCCTGGTGCCACGAGGGTCCGGACATCAGTGCCGTCCAGAGCGGACGAGTAGACCGCTCCATCCCACTTGCCGGGAAATCCCATGCAGGTCCAGAACATGCGCTGGCTGGCAGAGTCGACGGCGATGCCATCTGGGAGGACTTGGCTTGGGACTAGGACTCGTAGTTGCTTGGTGTTGTCGTTTGGGTTGAGCTCGAGGACTTGGCCTGCTTTGAGGAGGGGTGGTTCAGCTGAGAGGCCGATGTCGAGGACGAGGATTCGGGGGTAGTTGGTCATGTTGATGATCTTCAGAAATTGGGTTTGGTATGACGATATTTGAGTGTAGATTGTAGATTGTAGCTAAGAAAGTCAAGGCAAAAGAGGGAGCATTACCAACTTATATACAACCCTGGATCTAGTCACCCAGTATGACAACAGTACATACTCCGTATGCCATAAATCACAACATCGGCCAACAATCGATAGATCCAAGTTTCCAAGGTAAGAAACCGCGGAAGGCAAGCGGATAGCCCTGCGGAACTGCGGGAGTATCTCGGATTCGAGTCGGTAAGCCAAACACCTCCGAGTCAGGACGGGAAGCCGATTAGCCGGTGGGTTTGATGGAATCAGATCAGGTTGACTTACCAGCTTCGTGAGTACTGTATGGGATAGTTCAAGCATTGAGTTCGTAGTGATATTCTCTGTGTATAGTTTATGCTTACTCGTGTATTTAGTGCTCACATCATGCAGTATGCTTAATGAAGTGACCCGAGTGCCTGGCACTAGGGCTTCTTTGGACGTTCCAGAAACATTCCCGAGCGGATCCGGTGGATTGTTACTGGAATTACCATACGTCATGTATTTCCGACCTCGGAGCGGAACTTTGCTTCCTCGGACAACATGCGGGGCGCTATTGATGCCCTGTTCCGTCGTATTGTTCTAGAAGAATAACCTTACACTATAAACAGCTGGGATTCCGGTATCTGATAGCCTGATAACTTTCATTTATCACACGACGGAACATGGCTGCTACTATCAAAACAATTGGCGTTGTCGGAACCGGCGTCATCGGCACCAGTTGGACAGCCCTATTCCTATCCAAAGGATATAAAGTCATCGTGACAGACCCAGGCCCCAGTGCAGAGGAGAAGCTCCAAGCCTACCTGCAGAAAGAATGGCCGACATTAACCAAGATTGGAGTCGTACCCGGCGCATCATTGCAAAACTACCAGTTCGTCAAGAACATTGACGAGTACCTCGGAGAGGTAGATTACATTCAAGAGGTTGGTCCCTATCCCCCTTATTCAAGTAAAGAAGATAATGTTAACATGTGCAGAATGGTCCCGAACGCCTAGACATCAAACGCCCCCTCATCGCCCACCTCGACGCCAACACCCGACCAGACATCACCATCGCATCCTCATCATCTGGTCTCCCCTCCTCGCAATTCGTCACAGATTGCACTAAGAACCCATCTCGCATTCTTATCGGCCATCCGTTCAACCCACCACACCTTATTCCCCTTGTCGAGGTGGTTCCTCACCCGGGTACAAATGCGGAGACCGTTTCGGCCGCGATGAACTTCTACGAGGGGCTGGGCAAGGATCCGGTACTTGTGAAGCAGGAAACACCCGGGTTCATTGCCAATCGCCTTCAAGCGGCTATTTGTAACGAGGCTTACAGTCTTGTTGAGAGGGGTGTTATTTCTGCCGAGGATCTGGGTAAGCCCCCCCATCCCCTCATTCTTCAGAACCAAGTCTAATGCACGCAACAGACAAAACAATGACATCCGGCCTCGGTCTCCGCTGGGCAGTGAACGGTCCCCTAATGACGAATGTCCTCGGCGGTGGTCGAAGTTTCCGACACTTCATTGACCACATCGGACCTGCGGTGAAGTCTTGGGGTGATGATATGAAGCAGTACGAGTTTAGGCATGAGCCGGAGAAGAAGGAGAAGGTGACTGAGAGGGTTGAGGAGTATGTTGGGGGTGTTGATTTGGATGAGGTTGAGAAGGGGAGGGATGAGTTTATTCTTAATTCTATCCAGTTTAAGTCGGGTGATTAGATAGCTTTGATACCATTGATTTGTTCATTCATTGATGAGAATATCTCGAAATGCCATTTCTCTAGTGAGACGAAAGTCTGTCGGGATAGAAATAACGTGATTGACCCATATACTAAGGCAATCGGATGCTCGAAAAGGCAATGCCATGCCGTCTTCTCCGGATCTGAACCCGAAGGCGATTCCGACTTCCTAAAGCGGTAGTACTTCCTCGGAAGCATGTATGATTTCGTAATTTTACGATACACTGATCCAGACCCACAAACCGAAATCCCGGCATGCCGTGCAGTTGCTCCGCCAGCGGACAACGGTTAACTCGGCCACGTTGATGAATTTTTACTGCTGAGCATAATAATAAAATCTTTACAGTGGTAACTCAGCATTCTATGTCTACACTCTAGAGCTTTTTGGGTGTTGGCTAACAATATGTATATATCGGTAACCACCGAAGTAAGTCCGAACAGCCCGTGCCTGACCCTAAATCTCCTGACTCGAGCTATGATACAATCATGGAGTTCGAAACGTCTAGATTACCTGTAGTCTCACGCCATGATCTTTTTTATTTGGCCCGCGGGCCGCAGCGGATATAGATGTTTCTGTTCCGTATATAAAAGTAGGGCTACGTATTATCCAAAGCAGCCAGATATCTTCTTTTGATACAATCATATTTTATACTTTTTTTTTTTTTTTATATCAGAGACAATAAATAATGGCATCCCATACAGTAATCCCCGGTGACGACATTTATGGCCCGGGCTCATACATCGACAAAGAACCCATCCCCGTCCCCCAAGACACCCGTCGCGTCTTCGAATACCTAGCCAAAACCACCCCCGGCTTCACCCAAGACCGGCGACACTGGGACAATGTCACCTTCAACGGCCGTCCAGAGCCCTCAATCCCAGGCCCCATCAAGGCACCCGTGGTAGCAGCCGCGCTGCACGCCATGTGCGGTGTCGTTGCGAATGAGATTGTCGAAGACCGCGATGTCCAAGAGCAATCAAGTGAGCAGGCGAAGGTGTTTGTTAACACGGACCACGCGGCGATCTGGATGGGCAGTATTTTCACGCCGTACATCAACGGGACGAATGTACAGGATCTGTTCAAGGCGAAGAAGTTGGGTGCGTTGTTTGAGAAGGATCTTGAACATGGGTGGATGGGTAGTTTCATGAACCTGCGCACCACTGCGATTTATAAGACTGCTACGCCGGGTGTGTGGTACCAGCTTCACGGCTCGCTGGATGCACCACCTGTCCTGCGCTCGATGGGCATGGATCCGGACTACCCGGCCAAGACGCCGCGCGAGGCGTACGAGTACATTGCCTCACACGTCGAGAAATGGACCGCCGACGAGCTGGAGATGCACAACGTGCGGAACGGCTTCTGCGGTGAAATCTGTTATACGCCCGATGGCTGGCGCAAGACGGAAATGGGCAAGCGGCTCGCTGAACACCCGCTCGTTAACTACAAGCGCCAGTCGCACGCTGTCCCAACACCTCCTACACCACTCCCCCCGCGTGTTGGATCAAGTGACCGTCGCCCGATGGCCGGTGTCAAGGTCGTGGAACTCGTCCGGATCATTGCAGGTCCCGTTATCGGAAACACGCTCGCAGCCTTTGGCGCAGACGTAATCCGCGTCGGATACAGCAAGCTCCGTGATCTAAACGTGCTACAACTCTCCCTGAACACCGGAAAACGCACCATCGACCTCGACCTCAACAATCCCGAGGAAAAGCAGCGTCTCCACGACCTCCTCCAAGACGCCGACGTTTTCGTGCAGGGTTTCCGTCCCAATACCATCGCCCGCAAGGGCTTCGGTCTTAACGATCTGCTGTCTCTCGCTGGCGCCCGCGGCAAGGGCATCGTCTACGTCGAAGAGAACGCCTTCGGGCCTGACGGTATCTACCACGAACGCCCCGGATGGCAGCAGATCGGCGACGCCGCGTCGGGATCTTCGTACGTCACCGGCTGCTCCCTGGGGCACACGGACGGGACCAGCGTGCTGCCGCCCTTGCCCATTTCCGACATGACAACCGGTCTGCTCGGTGCGCTGGGCGCGATGCTTGCCCTCCGTGACCGCGCGCGCACCGGCGGCTCCTACCACGTGTTGAGCTCGCTTGTTGCTGCTGATGAAATTGCCCTCCGCCCCGAGATCGGCCTGTACAGCCCTGAAGTCGTGGCCAAGAATGTCGAGACTTTCAAGTGGGGGACTATGGAACCCTCGCAGTATGTTATTGAGATGCTGGATGTGGTTATGGATGGGTGGAAGAGGGTGTTCCCGGAGCATCTGACACCTGGGACGGAGGAGTCGTTTATGGTGGGCTTTGAGGAGAGTGCGTGGGGGAAGATGGAGTTTTTGAAGCCGGTTGTGAGGATTGGGGATGAGAGTCTTAACCCGAGGTGGGAGACGCCTACGGTGCCGAGTTGTGGGCAGGATAGGGGTATTACTTGGCTGTAGTTCTGCAAGTATGTAATTGTTGTAATATTTTCTGCAGAAGCCCTGGGGTGTACAATAACAAATGAAATAATAACTCGCCAGCTTTTCTTGCTTTTGTCCAGATTCACCATCCCACCATTTCCTGTAGCCCACAAGATACATGGCTAATTCCTTTTTCCCGGCAATATGATCAAATGGTCGTGCTGCACCCCAAACGCCCGCGTCGATGCGCCTGACGCTGACTTCCTGGTATCCTCGCCTGCTCCAGTACGCACCAGCAAGTTCACGAATTCCCTGGATCCATATGGTGATTTTCTCGGGCATGCATCTGTTGTCTTGGTTTTTTGATCGCCCATCTTGAAACTGGTCGATGAGAGATGATTCGACTTTAACACAGCAGCGAGCTGCAAAGCCTCGCCTGGCGTATTTTGCGTCATTTTGGACGACTACACTGAACAATTCCCAGTCCTGGATCGAGGACCAATGTGTAGGCCTCGTTCCGGAATCATAGGGATAGCCTTCCAGCCCGAACTGTTCCTTATATGGTTTCATGGCGGCATAGGCAATCGGAGTACTTGCATGTGTATTATCTTCGGTAACGAATAACACGCAGCACATGCCGTGAGGGCCAAGGTCGCCAACGACATCTTGCGGCGTCTGGAAGCGGTCGCTATTTCTGTGTGCTGGTTGCAAGAATCCCTTCCGATGGGAGATGAAGGCGCTATTAATCATGGACCAAAGAGGTAGCAAACATGGGTGTCCCTGCAGTTTCTGTGCCGTAAACACCTTGAATTCGTACTGCGAATCGGCGGATGGAACAGACATAGCGGTTTGAGTTTATAGGAAAATATAGGAACGTGATTTACTGCCAAGGGAAGAAGCTGTTGAGTGACTACTGGTAACCTGGGCATTCTTAAAACCCGGTTGGATGGCGTGAGTCAGATGTTGCGGGAGGGCGCAAGGATTGTATTGGCTGCTTTGTGGAGTCTCTGGATGCACTGATAATAAGCCTAAAGGATCAAGATCCTATATGAAGTTTACTAAAAGGCAATTAGTCTAGGGCTTAACGGTACAGTAAGCATAGCCCTTTCTCACTTGGCCTGGAAATCCGATTGATGTAATCTTCATTGAACATAAATCATGATATTTCACTTTTCTAACATAAACCATCAAACAATAAGAGACAAATCACTCGGCAATATTGACAAACTGGAAAGTCGGCTGCCCAGGCACCGCATTCTCAGCCGAAATCCCCTCCCTCTTCTCACCAGTACCAACAACCTCGCCACTCTTACCACCCTCATCAACAGCAACAATCTCAATCTCCTTGGCACCAGTAATCCGCTGCAAGTTGCCAATCATCTCAGTCAGAACAGCGAACTCGTCAAACGGCAGTTTCCGCTCAAACACGGCATCGGGCTGCTCGCGGCTCGTGACCAGACGCTTCTTGAGGGACTGCACGAAGGGCATGGCCTTCTTCATCTCGCCCAGCTTGCCGACCTTGGCGTTGAGTTCCTTGTCGTTGATCGAGATGCTGACGGCGTCGAAGGCCTCGCGGACAAGGTCGATGTACTTCTCCTGCCAATCGGGGTACTTCTTCGCGGCGAAGATGGTGATCTTCTTAGGCTTGCGAGGGTCGAAGCTCGAGCCCTTGCCCTTGGAGAGTTTCTTGGCGAGGGTGGCCTCCGAGGAGGTGATATTCGAGGAGGTGCTGCGGACGTAGTTGGTGGCGGCTGTGAGCTCAGGAGAGGGCTCGGGGGCTTCAGGGAAGCGGGCAAAGTGGATGGATTCGGGCTTCTTGAGAACCTCGAGCCAGATGTATTCGGCCCAGTGAGGGGCGATAGGGGAGAGCAGGAGAGCTTGGAGCTCGAAGTAGCGGAAGACTATGTCACGGTGCAATCCGATACCGGCATTGGTGGCTGCTTCACGGTAGGTGTCACGGGCGTGAGTCAGGTCGTAGAGACCGCTCTTCAGGGCGAGCTTGAAGTTGGTGCTAGACATGAGTTAGTAAACTGTGGTTGTGAAAGCTGAATTGTCGCCACTTACTCAGAGTAGTGCTGTCTGGTCTCATGGACAAGGCTGTTAAGCTCGTTGTCAAACACCTTGTCGAAGAAGGTGTCGGCAGGACCGGTACGCAAGGACTGGTCCTTGGCGGTCTCCTCAATCCAATCCTTGAGAGTGTACAATCTCAGGATGTTGCTGTTAGCGACAGTCTCCTCGAAGTTAGCATCCTCGATACCGTCGCCAGCATCAGCGAACGCGATACGAGTAGCATCAGCACCGAACTTGTCAACAGCGTCCCGCAAGGTAAGGAAGTTGCCGGTACTCTTGCTCATCTTGTCACCGTTCAGGAGCAAGTGACCGTTGGCACGGACACCGCGAGGCCAGTACTCCGAGGGGAAGAGAGCAAGGTGGATGTAGAGGAAGAAGGTCAGGTGGTTCTGGATCAGGTCCTTGCCCGAAATTCTGACGTCAAGAGGGTAGAAGTATTCGAATTCTCTGCGCATCGCCTGCAGAGACTCGTTGCTGATCCCGCTCTTGGAGACGAGCTCGTCGTTGAGCTCACGTCTCGTGAAGATGTAGTCCCAGACCTCGTCAGTCATCTGCTCGGGCTTCAGGCCCAGAAGACCAGGCTGGGATCCGTAGCGGTCACCGTGCAGCAAGTGTGCGATGGTGTAGTATGCCATGTAGACGGTACTGTCACTCAAACTCTCAACGAGGAATTGAGGGTCCCAGGGGAGCTTGGAGCCCAGACCGTAGGTTCTGGCACATGCCCAACGGTTGAGCCAAGAAAGATTCTTTTCGAAACCGTTCTTGGTCTCGTTCGAGTAGGTGTTGAGGGTGTTGACAACGTGGCTGAGGGTGTCCTGCTGCCACTGAGCGTCGTTCTCACCGTAGTTCAAGAACCACTGGCCGAGGTAGGCAACGACACAGTCGTCACCACTACGGCTAGTAACCTTGCCCATAGGGTCGGCAAATGGGATAGCGTCACCGCTCTTGTAGAGAGACTGGCGGATCTTGTCCTTGATGCTGCTGACAGGCTCGCCCTTGTACTCACCGACTAGCATGGTACCCTTGTAGAATGCCTCACCGTAAGCCAGCTCCTTAGCCTTGGCGAGCTGGTTGACATCCTTGGGAGAGTTGATCTTGAGCTGCTTGACCAAAGTAGGAGCAGTCAGGTTACCGTAGTTGGGGGTATCAATGAGAGGGTGGATCTCGAGCTCGGCCCACTCCTTCTTGATTCCGTAGAATTCGGGCTTCTTGGCCAGGTCCATCAGGGTGGCATAGTCGTCAGGGCTGTCCGAGGGAACCGAAGTGACAACACCAGTACCCTTGGAAGCGGAGACACCGTCCATGGGCAGGATGCGCACACCCTCAGCGTGGAGCGAAAGAGGAGCGTTAACCAGAGTACCAACGAAGGCAGATCCAGGAGCTTCGACAACGAGCGGCAGCTGGTCCTGAGACTTGAGGAAGTTCTCGCTGTCGACGAAGTGACCCTGGAAAGCCATATTCCAGGCAGCCCGCTTGGTCACGACGAAGTATTCCTTCTCGCTGACCTTGTACAGACCGTAGTTGATCTTAGGGCCGACAAAGCAGCAAGTCTGACCGTACATGGTCTCAGGGCGCAGGGTAGCGGGGACGAAGTAGACCTTGGCGTCGTCCTCAATCTTGCCCTTGACAAGCTCAGCAACTTCCGGTGCCCACTCCTTAACCTGCAGCTTCATGGCAGTATATTCCTGGGGGCCGATACCCTCACCCTCAGTCCGGTCGTGGTCCATGCAGGGCTGGCCGTCCTTGGGTGAGTAAATGGTATAACGGCTACCGTACATGATCTTGCCCAGCTCGTGAAGGCGGTTCATTTGCCAGCGCACGAAAGCGTCGTAGTAAGGGTTCGCGTCAGTGGTGACGAACTGTCTCCGCCAGTCAACGCGCGCACCCAAGCTGTCAAGATCCCGGATAGCCAGCGGCGGGAAGTGCTGAAGCCAGTGGTCCGCGTCAGCGAACTTGTGAATCTCCTCAATCGGAAGACCAATCGCCAACATAATCTGGAACTGGTACTTCATCTTCACAGTCTTGGCGGCGGCCTTGCTCTTCTTCCCGGAGAACTTCTCCTGCTCGGCCTTAACCTCCTGCGTGGGAGCAGCAGTCTCCTCCACCTGCTCACTCTCCTCCTTGTAGCCCTCGAAGTTCTGTCCGAACTTCTGTACCTCGTCGCGCAGCTTGTCCGCACAGGCCTTGATGGGCATACCGGTGCAGTGGAAACCGAGGGGGAAGAGGGCCCGCTTGCCCTCCATGCGGGCGAAACCGGTCATGAACTCGACCTTACTGGCAGTGAAACTGTGGCCAGCGTGCAGGGTACCGTTCATGTAGGGGTAGGCCATGGTTCCGAAGAACTTGGGGTACTTCTCACGGAGTTCGGCCGCAGTCATCGAGCCCGCGGGAACCTCAGAGAGGGAGGGGGCGTTAACCTCGAAGACCTTGTCGTTCTTCCATTGTGCCTGGTACTTTTTCTCGAGCTCGATGAGGGCGTCTCTCCGTTGGGTCTATCGACAAGACAGCAAATTAGTCACATATCCTTTCTTCAAGACGAGGGGGAGGGGCAGGCGGTCGAACATTTTCGAGCTTCAAAGTGTTCTTGCTGCTGTTGCCCGGATCGAGCGCAGCTGCGGATGCCGCGGCGGCTGCCATGGCTCAGGTTCAATTCGTTTGTTTGGAAAAAGAGGGGAGCCGTGAAGGCGAAGTGGATTGAGAGGGAATCGAAAATCTATCTCCCGCGGGGTCTTATCCAAAGCGAAAACGGCATTTTACAGCACGTGACATCTGCAGAGTTGAGTCACTATACTAGCAAACATGATTCTTTTACATTGAGAGTAACACAATATATAGATAGCCACTCGAAGTGTTATTGAGATAGAAAATACAGTCATATATCCTGTAGAATGCCAGTAAATCCTCATAGAATCTAGTTCAAGTCACGTGATATACAATGCAATTGGCTTCCGCCGAACAACCAAAAATCGACGTCCAGATCTCCGAGTCAGCACCACAAGACCCGGCCTCGCATCGACACTCTCCCGGTTGGATTCGATTGTTCAGTCTGTTTTCTCAATATTTCAATTTAATTTTCTATATCGATTGAGTTTGGAGAGAGCTGTGCTCTCTGATCCGCAACCATGGTGAACCTTTTCAAGCGGATGCGGAAGTTGAGATCAGTATGTTTATGGATTGAACCCTTTTCCTCGGAGATAAGCTGGTATTGAGGACAATCGCTAACTGCCATGTACTTATAGAGGGTAAATACCATCCAATTTCGTTCGCACATGCCCCATTGACTACCTCGTTATCCACCCGGATCCCCGACCCCACGCCGCGAAACACATGCTCGAATATATACAGCACCTCGAACCCATACTAACAACAAGAATAGATCCTCGATGTCACCGTCGGCACTGGCGCCGCAATCCTCCCAGCCCCCCAAACCGCAACAAAAGAATTCCCCGCCATCACCCGCCTGCACCTAACCTACGCCCAGAAAATCTACAACGGCCACCAAGGCGCGCGCCACTTTTGGCGCCAATGCCTCCCGCGCCTGAAATACCACAACCCTTCCATCCCGATAACAGTCAAGCAAACCGAGGAGCAAGACGGTCCCGCAGCCCTGACGATTTATTTTGCGGAAAATGCGAGTAACGCGGCCACGCTGAACGCTGCGAAGGATATTAATGATAAATATGCGCCTGCGGCGGGTGAGAGTGAGAAGACGGCCGTTGTGGATTTGAGGGATTTGGATTGGAAGAGGATTTGGGATAAGGTGCGGGTTATGACGGGAGCGAAGGAAGTGCAGGCTAGTGCGAAGGAGGAGGAGGAGGTTAAGAAGTTGGAGCAGATGGCGGTGCAATCTGTGAAGGATCAGGAGCGGAATGCGAAGATTCGGCAGACGAAGAGGGATCAGGAGAGGATGTTGCAGGAGGCTAGGGGGGAGGTTGAGAGGTTGAGGCAGACTTGAGTTTGTTTTATGTTATTTCGTCTTCTTTTCGTTATGGGAATTGTGGAAAGGAAAAAGACTTCATGGCCAATTATGTATCATAGCATCTTGTTTTTAGATTTATGTATTTCTGGGAATCTCTCGTTCTTATGGATTGGCCGGGGCATGGAATGGGCCGTTACGAAGCAGTGTGGGTATATCGTGGACCATATTCAAACCATATTCAAACCATACCAAGCAAGCAAGCACATATCCTCTCATGTTCAACAAGTAACTATTTAATTTCAAATTTTGAACATCCTTAAATCCACAAGACTCCTATCCCATGCAAAGAAAATTTTCGGCGCCTTTTTTATTTTCATTTTTTAAGCGTTATCTGGCGTGTAGTTGGTACCTCCTAGCATACCCTGTCCTGATACGGTAGGTGTTGCAGCGCGAGTAGGTTGGCTAGATGTTGCTGACGACGGCGAGTGAGACTGCGCTTTTCCTGCAGCCGCCGCCTGAAGACGCTGGTCCAAAGCCCGGAGAGCCAAGGCTCGTCGCCGTTCTGCCTCCTCGCGCTTACCCGTGCCTCGACCGGCGCGATGGCTGCTGAGGAGCGTCGGGAGACCGGCCTCCCCTCTGGCAAGGACCTGCTGGTTCCCCGAAGCGATAGCCTCCTCCGAGAACGGGGTACAGATCCTGAGAGAGACGAGCAGATTGTAGATTTGATCAGAGATCGCGGCGATGGGTGGCTGGATCACATCGGGGAAAAGACAGGCAAAGGCAAAGGTTTCGCTTGCGTCACCCTTGATGCCCATGCCATTGGTGGTGGACGTGCCGGTGAGATCGGGCTGCCGCTTGAAGAACCGGAGATATGTCCAGCTGGTCAAGAGACCCAGCCAGGCGAGGATTGCTGCGGTTTCGGTTCCCAGCACCACGCCGCTGATGGTGTTGAGAAACAGGAAGATGGCGGGGAAATGTTTGACGCGCATCTGCACCAGGCCCTTGAATACAGTGACGGTGTGTTCGGGAACGAGCTGCTTGAAGGCGACAAGGAAGGAGGCTTGGATCGAGATTCCACCGCAGATTTGAGTGAGGCTATTTATCGGGAGCATGTTAGTATGTACTTGAATGGGATGAGGGGACATCCAACGTACCCTATCGAGGGGTTACCCCTGATGGCTGCCCACAGCAGATAGAACGGCACGATAACCACATTGGGGAGGACGGCGATGGTGACAATGAATTTGGCAAACTCCCGAGAACTCCAGGCACGCTCAAGGTACTTGCCGCCGTAGAAGAGGGTGGCCAGGTTCAGAAGGACGGTGAAGATGTTTTGCTCGACAAAGGTGGCCGTGAGGAGGGTCCATGGATAGTAGAAGAGTCGCAAGGGAACGAGAGTCAGGTAGGGAACAACGATGGGCGTAGTCAGCTGGGTTTTGCCGGTAGTGGCACTGATGCTGCTAATTTGGCGCCATCGGGCGATGTTGTAGAGTAGGGAGAGGGTGAGGAGACTGACAAGGCAGATGCGGGTTGCCGGAGGAATGTTGACTCGGACCATTTTGAAAAAAGGATTAAAAAAAAAAAAGATAAAAAAAAGAATAGTACCGGAGAAGCAAAAAACGAGAAGAAAACAAGAGAAAATAGAAAAGAGAAAAGCACTTGCGGCTGCTGAACGAAGCGCAGGCCGCGGGCTGAGGTTGAGAGCCCAACTGGTGGTTGGAAGTGGGAGAAAGAAGTCAAGATGGTTGAAAGGGGAATGTGGAGGGATTGCGGTGGTGATATTATAGGCAGCCCACGCCTACATAACCTCTAGTATAGCTATATATATATAATATTCAATGATACAGAGATTAATTATTTGAATGGATATAGAATTTTTTTTTTTTTTTTTTAAAAAAAAAAAAAATAAATAAATAAAACAAAATAAAAAACATTGGACAGTGCTTAGTTCTTCAGTAGTACTCTGTAGTGGTGTCTCGGGGATTATTGCAGAATCGAGGGATTCTTGACAGGGAGACACACGAGCAGCTCTCTACCAATACAAAGGATGATATAGGTCATTTTCTTTCTCTTTTCCTTGATTGTTTTTTCTTAATCATAACTATTGAATAATGAACATTGTAATAATGTCTAAAATCCTTATGCTGCTCGGTTGTCGACATGCAGAATTCCAGACAACAATGAACGGATTCATGATCCACGCGTTGTCGATCTGTCCACTGTAAGCTGCCGGTACTGCATGGCTGAATGGGATCTGAAAGTACCAAGCAGACACATAGTTGTAGATATTTCTTTCTATATACAAACTATATTTGTAGCACTGAATAACTATCAATGCCAACTTACATAAGGCTAGGTCAGGATAACCATCAGCCTCTCCGGTAGAGGATCTTCCCCGGGGACTGTGCGCCGTTGACACAACATAAAAATAGGAGACAAGAAGTATTCTGTCGCAATAACAATAATGATGAGATGAGAAAGAAAAGGCCAACAAATATCTCAATACAAGATAAAGCTCAATATATTTATATATTCTCTGCAGAGACTCCTAGAGCATGGAAGTGGAAGTGGAAGTGGATATGGGAGTCCCTTGGGTGGATCTCGACCATTTTTGACTTCCGTTCGTTTCTTTTCTTCCTCCAGATCCGACTTCTCCATTCTCCGTTGCACTTGCAGTGTACTTGTACTTGTATCTTATTCTTCTCTCAACTATTTATCTTCCCTCAGTTACAGAAACAGAGTACTGTGATTCTCTGTTGTTGCGGTGGTCTCGACTACCCGCGGTCGTGATCATTCCTCCATTGACCCATTTCCCATTTCATTTCCTCTCTTGAATTCCAACCTTCCTCTCTTCTTTGCCTCTGTCTTTTCCTTTACACCTTTTGTCTCTTTTGCAACTGCTTCTCTTTTTGTCCCTCTTTACCTTTCACTACTCTTCTACACGATCAGATCTCTTCTTTACTTCACCCCTGCGACATCGTCTAAAAGACACGACCACCATCATCACCACTTGACGGTCCTTAGATTGTCCTGCGGTTGCCGGGACCTTTAAATCACCATCAACAGATCATCTTCAACTGTTTCAACCACTGTCCACCTCTTCGCTGCGACCATATCTGTCAACCGCTTGGCTGCGTCCTTCCCCGGTCTTTCTATCCGCGAAAAAAAAAAGCAACGACCAGGCCAACGCCTCCCATTTCAACGCATCTTCGGAGTACTCTCGCTCGCAGAGCCTGTCTCTATTCCTCCCTCTCTTTCCCATTCTTTCGATCTTTAACCTTTTTGACTCTCTTTCTCTCTCCACTCTTTTCTCTTTTCTCTCTTTTATTCTCTATTTTATTCTCAATCTGCTTCTCCATCTCTCTCCACTCCCCTCTCCGTTCTTCGTTCTCCATCCCCTCACCAACCGAAAGAGGCCTGTTTTGGCATGCGAGCGGTTCCTGCGCCATAGCTCCCTCTCACACATGTAACAATGTCGCACCCCGATCTAACCTCGCATCATGTCAATTATTTAATATGGAGGTACGTATTACAATCGCCATAATAATATCCAACGTGGATGCATTGACCAATGGGTTTCCTTTCTGGATCGCTAATTGAGCTTTTCCACAGGTATCTCCAGGAGTCGGGTTGGTGATCACTTTTCTAATTATGACTCCCTATCCCTGTCTAACAAGCTATCCCAGGCCTTGGTGACGCTGCTGTAATGCTACAGCGCGCATGGAACCATGATCCGCAGGGTTTACCATTTGCTCCCTACATCAGAACCCATGCGCTGGTGTCCTTGGTTCAAAAAGGTCTACAGTATCATGAACTCGAGAAGTCTCTCGACAAGGTATGGTTTGTTCGTTTCTTTTTGATTTGCGACTTCTAACCAACAGGATCCGTCACAGGAAGGGAATCCGGTCCCTTTTACCCCATCCAGTTATTTCTTCGGACCCCAACCACTCGAATCGGAATCGCTGCGCACTCCAGCTGGCCCGGCTGAAGCCGCCGCTGTTGGTGCGGACCACGCGGCGCTTGTTTCGCCAACCAGCAGAGTGGCGCGAGACGCCGCGATCAACGGTCACCTGACAGCCGAGGCTGGCAAAAAGTCACGCAAGGGAGATCGTTCGGATGTCGTCGCTGTTACTGCAGCGAACGGAGATGGGAGTTCTATGGAAATCGACACCAATGGCATCTACAAGGATCAGGATGAATCCCCTGTCGCCGATGCGACCATCGACAATGACGGAGATGTAAGCATGACTCGGTCGGAATCGCAAGGCCAGGAACCAACCGCGCCGCCGCCGCCGCCCCCACCGCCTACCTTGGCGACCGGCCACAGCGTTGGCGTCCAGATCAGCCCCGCCAAGGCTGCTGACCTCAGCCCCGGCACCGCCCTACTAGATGTGGCTGGTAATGACCACGTGACACGAACCTTGTGGCGCCCACAAGATCCCACCGTTGTCGTGGCAGCCGGTGATACCTTTTGCAGTCTGTGGAAGCTGTCGTCCTCGTCACAGCCAGTGCCAGAAAAGTTAGTTGATGGCTCCGGGGAGGACACTTGCGTCTCTGCCGTGGCATGGGACCCAACCGGTCAGAAGCTGGCCGTCGCAACCTACAATGACATGCGCGGCTCAATTACCATGTACGATGTGCATGGCCATGCAGTCGACCTTTTGCCCGAGGTACCTCGCATGATCACAGGATTGCATTGGGCAGAAAGTGGCTCGCATCTGGTTGTTGTTGCGTCGGACAGTCGGGTCTCCGAGCTGGCTCTCTGGGACGATTCATTACGGCCGGATATGTTCCCTGCGCCCCAGGTGATTGATGGGTCTATCTATGACCTGAGCTGGATTGGGCCAAATCAAGCCTATGCATGCAGCGATGGTTCGGTCTACCAATGTCAGGTCGACTCGAGTATTCACATCACCCGGACGTTCTCGTCTGGTGCACCTGACACTACATGGACATTTATTCGCTGCGCCAGTGCCGGGCCCTCCTCGTCCATGGCAGTAGCTGCGTCCTCGTTCACCGCTTCGTTCTGGATTCCCACGCATGATATGCGCCTAGACGACGCGCACCAAGGTGACATCACGGCTCTTGAACTTCGTGCTGATTCTCGGCAATCTCCGTTTGTCCTGGCGTCTTCGTCGGCTGACGACACCGTCAAAATTTGGCACATTGACCCGGAGTCGAAACGTTTCGAGTGCATCCACCGCTTATTCCTCGGTCCGTCCATTCCCGCTCTTGTTGGATGCTTTTCACCGGATGGTTATGCCCTAGCGGCCGCCAGTAAGGACAGATTGTACATTTGGAATGCTGAGCGTGGTGGCTCTGCCATGGCCACATGGGCGCTTCCAAGTTCGGAAGACGCCAAAGAAGGTCCGGACCAAGCTATCAATGGACACAATGGGACGGCTGATTCACTGCCTGATCGGTCTCTTTCCTGGGATACTAATGGGAAGAAGCTTGCCTTTGGTGTTGGTCATCAGGTTTGTTGCAACCCCACCAATCGTGAAAAGTGTGCTTGTATAACTAATCATTGTGATCTTCTATCAGATGGCTATTGTGAATCTGCAACGCTGAAAACGGTTCAACCATTTACATCTATTATCGAAAGCGAAGCATATTTCATTTGGCTTTAGCATGTCCGGAACTTATGAATATATGTACAAGACCGGACCCGATGACAGTTCTGCACCCTTGAAACGGACTTATCAACTTTGGATGTGTCACGATCCTAAGACATCAATTGTCTTAGGGTCATTCAGGCCTTGTCCCGATTTGGTGACTATCGGATCCCACCAGAGTACAGAGCTGCTTTGAATTCTTTCTCGTCATTTTACGTTTTGCACTTCGAATTGAGGGTTATTGGCTTTGGGTAGACAACACAAAACGGCGCGGGTTGGCAAGGGAGGCAGGCGATCTCGGCGAATCATGCGGTTTGGGGGGTTTGTCTTTTTATATTTTGCTAATATGGAATATTTGCTGATCGATCACACCAATTTCTGGACCCATTATACCATTTATCGAATGTCAGAATATCTTATGTCTCTGTTTCTTTGTGAATCACTGGTTGGTTTTACGATGGACACCTACGGTTGGCGTTGTTTGCTCATCAGGTGGAGTTTACACAACTGGCTGAGAATATCAACATTGTGTTTATAACTCCCAAGGGTTTTGTTTATTCTTTTTCTCGATATTAATATTCAGCTGTCCTCATCTGCACTAGATAATGGAAGGTGATTATTAGGAATAGCGTCCAATGGCTGCTGCTTCTGTCTTTCATCCCGTCGCTGTTCGCGCTCACGTTCCCGGGCTTGAAAGCCTTCCTCGACATCTTTCCACCCACGCATCCACGCGGTTATGCCATCGAACAAGGCGTCAGCGTCATCTTCGCTCCGGGCGGGTTTACGTTTCGTCCATCCCTTCCGTGCTTCTCGTGCTTGGATTATTGCCAACTCGTGATCGCGCTGCCATCCGTCCACCCAATTTTCCAGACCGTAAACCGTTCCCCGGAGTCCTTCGCGTTCTATCGAGTTTTCCAAGATATCGGCGTGTCTGCAATAGCAATACAGTTAGCCTGACCATGACATATCTATACAATGATGGATCCACTTACAACTCGCGAACCTCACCCTCCAATCCAGCAACCCTCCGCTCCAGCCCCTGACATTTCTGAGTAAACAGCTCATAGATGTGAAAAGTCTCGCGACGCCTCCTATGCAATTCGTTACCCAGCGCTGTGACTTCCTCCAGAATAGCGGTGAGTTGCGATCCGGTCGGGTGTGGCTCTGATCTTGGCTCTGCGGTATGCGACGCCGCCGACGGCGATGGTTCCGCTACTGTTGACGGAGGCGATGGGTAATGCGGAGTAAGATTAAGACTCTGGGGTCGATGTTTGGTGATTTCTTGCGTTAGAGTTGAACGGGGATCATTGTCGTCGTCGTCGGGTAGTGATAGTGTGTTTTCGATAGTATTCAAACAGCGGTGGAGAATCGCCGTATCGCTTTTCGAGAACGATCGCGATTCAATACCATTATCGCTCTTTCTCGCATTCATCGCAAGTTTCGCTAGTCGCGCCGCGAGGTGGAGACTCTCCGTTCCTGTTTCACCATCGTCGAAGTTCGTATCAGGTTCTGTTGGTGCTTCGGAGGTCTGGGTCTGCATTTGAGTCTGGGGAAGCTGAAGCTCCGCCTCTAGCACCATATCTATGCCGGAATCTGCGAAAGAGGGAGAAAGTGGATCGTTGTCGTGGTTTTGAGAATGATGGGTGAGAGCAGAAGGTGGATCCATATCAGATGTAGTCGTATGCATGCATGTATGCTATGTATGTACGTCGATAAGGATGTTGGACAGGTGGACAATGACTTAGTTGTCGGCGATTCGCGGTGTCATCATCGTTTCCGTCCGGGTAAGTTACAGGGGTGACAGGGGCACCGCCTTCTGTTCCTGGGTAGAATTGTAGCCTGAGAGTTTAGGCAGTGTGCTTGAAGACCCGGGCATCAACGCAGACTTGGCATTTGACTGTCTTTCCCAAAAAGGACGACGCTAAACCCAAGTGGGCACTGTAGCTGAAAGTGAGTCTTTCTTCGCTGCTTAATTCACTGCGTGCATACATAAACCCTCGTTGGACCAGCTCACTGTAGCCAGTTGTCTGGCCAATTCCTGTGCGACAGACGGATTTTGGCTTCCTTTCATTCACTTCTTTTCTTTCAATCCCCCTCCGCTGACTTTCTTGCCTCTCTTCTCTTTGTCTTCGCTCTTCCTCTTCCTCCTCTACACTCCTCTCTCTTCATTCTTCTAATACAGAGACTACTCTAACAGACCGGCAAAATGGTGCCCCCTGTGAGTTGTTCGTCTTCTGTTCTGTCTCGCGAGAAATCAATACTAATGAGTCAGGCGATTGTGCCCACCCTAGAGACCGCGGCCGATGTGATCGCTCGCACGAGGAACACGGCATTCCCCCCGAACCTTCTCCCTCTGACGGCTTCGATTCCTGCGGACCTTTTGACTCCTACCTTGGCATACTTGAAGATCTCGGAGAAGTGAGTTGCGAGGATAATCACCGTGGTGGGGTGTGGGGTAGAAACTTGGAGGACGAAGAGACTGACGATGAAATGCGCGATAGATCGAAATTGTCGTTCCTTTACGAGAGTGCCGCGACTACGGAGACTATTGGAAGATACAGTTTTGTTGGTGCAGGTGCGTTCTTTTTCTCTATCGAGTCTTGGTTTGGGCGCAGAATCTGACCGATGTCGCAATGTCTACCAGACCCCCATAAAGTCCTCAAGACCGGTCCTGGCCATGGCCCCGCATGCGATCCTCTTCCTGCCTTGGAGAGCGAACTCTCCCAATACCGTGTTGCGACAGTCCCTGGCTTGGTCTTGCCGCCTCTCACCGGGGGAGCCATCGGTTACGTGGGGTACGATTGTGTGAAGTACTTCGAGCCCAAGACGGAGCGGCCGCTTAAGGATGTGCTGGGCATTCCGGAATCGTTCTTTATGATGTACAACACCATGGTCGCCTTTGACCACTTCTTCCAGGTTGTCAAGGTTATCACTTTTATCTCGATCCCGACCTCCGATGCCGAGCTGGAAGCCGAATACCGCAAGGGTGCAGAGGCCATTCAGCGTACCATTGATACCCTTCTTCAGCCCGAATACCCTCTGCCTCCGCAGGGTCCGATTATTCCGGACCAGGAATATACGTCTAACATTGGTCGTGAGGGCTACGAGAGCCATGTGACGAAGCTTAAGAAGCATATCGGCAAGGGTGACATCTTTCAGACGGTGCCATCGCAGCGGTTGTCACGTCCTACTTCTCTTCATCCTTTCAACCTTTTTCGCCATCTTCGCACTGTCAACCCTTCGCCGTACCTGTTCTACATCGACTGCGAGGCATTCCAGCTTGTGGGAGCCAGTCCGGAACTGTTGGCCAAGGAGGAGAAGGGTCGCATCATCTCGCACCCGATTGCAGGCACAGTGAAGCGCGGCAAGACCGTCGAGGAAGATGAGGCGCTGGCGGACGAGCTGCGCGGAAGTCTGAAGGACCGTGCCGAGCACGTCATGCTGGTCGACCTGGCGCGCAACGATGTCAACCGGGTGTGTGACCCAATGAGCACACAGGTGGACCGTCTGATGGTTGTCGAGAAGTTCTCGCATGTGCAGCATCTGGTGTCGCAGGTGTCGGGTGTGCTACGACCTGAGAAGACGCGCTTCGACGCCTTCCGCTCCATCTTCCCGGCAGGAACCGTGTCCGGAGCCCCCAAGGTGCGCGCGATGCAGCTGATTGCAGAACTGGAAGGCGAGAAGCGCGGAGTCTACGCGGGAGCCGTGGGATACTTTGGATTCAACATGTCCAGCACGGACGGCTCGAAGGAGTTGCCTGGCGCGATGGACACGTGCATTGCGCTGCGGACGATGATGCTGAAGGACGGTGTCGCGTATCTCCAAGCTGGAGGTGGTATTGTGTTCGACTCTGACCCGTACGACGAGTACGTGGAGACGTTGAACAAGCTGGGAGCTAATATCCAGTGCATCAAGGGGGCGGAAGCGAAGTATTTGAGCTTGGAGCGGGAGGCATAGTCCTATCTCTCTTGTTTTGGTATTGCATGTTGGTTATGTTTTCTAGTTACTTCTGCTACGTCTGAATATGTGAAATGATGGATATGAATAAATACAGAGAGTATGCTACTGTACAACTGTGGCGGTGCAGGGTCAAAGCGGTGACGTAGGAGAGGACCCTTTTCCTTTCTGACAGTCAGTTTATTCTAGGTTACGCGGCCTTCGCCACGATTCAACGGTATGGCATTGGGCCGTAGTGCTTTTTTTTTTTTTTTTTTGACACCTAGTACAGAGTACAGTACATAGCTATATCTCGCAGTGCAATTGCGATATTTATAACCAAGACCACTAGTTTCACGGGAGTGTACTTTCCTGGAAAGTGTACAGAGTACTACTATTGGAAATACTGCTCTGCACTGCGTCGTCATAGTCATTCTCCGCTGAGCCTCCATTTCTTTATCCATCCCTTTTCCCTTCTCACTACCACTACCACTACTACGGAGTACAGATACTACTATACTACTCTGTGCAATAATTCTCTTTAATATCCTATTCTGTACATCCCTGACTCCGGATTCCGAATCCCTTGTCCTCCGCCACTCATTCCAGCTCCTCCCCGAACGCGGCACCAGCCACTCGCCCAACGCCGCGCGATAACGACCGTTCGCCGGCGCTTCTTTGCCTCTACTACCATCTACCCTCACTCTCCTCTTTCTTTGATCTGAACCACTCCGGACAACAGTCCTCGTTTTCACTTCTACTCTTCCTCCTATCCTGTCGAATTCGCGCGAATTTAATTCTATAATCTGAGGTTACGGATCGGTTTCAACTGCGTCGTATTCTCGCTGCCTGGTACAGCCTCTCACCACCACCACCATGTCTAAAGTCGTGCGAAGCGTCAAGAATGTTACCAAGGGTTATTCGGGCGTGCAGGTCAAGGTTCGAAATGGTATGTTCGTACCTGAGAAAAAAGACGTTTTCTAAAAGATACTGACCTCTGTAGCCACAAGTAACGACCCCTGGGGCCCAACGGGCACCGACATGGCTGAAATCGCCGCCATGACGTTTGGCAGGTAGGTCTTCATGTACTTGACGCGATTCAAGGGTTCAAGCTGATGGTCGTTCAGTCCTACAGATTTCTACGAAATCATGGATATGCTGGATAAGCGGTTGAACGACAAGGGCAAGAATTGGCGCCACGTCCTGAAATCGCTAAAGGTTCTCGATTACTGTCTGCACGAGGGTTCCGAGTTGTCTGTTACATGGGCGAGGAAGAATGTGTATATCATCAAGACTCTGCGCGAGTTTCAATATGTTGATGAGGAGGGGAGGGATGTTGGTCAGAATGGTTAGTCTCATTCTGCGACCTTGATTTCTTGTGATGCTAACCTATACAGTCCGCGTCGCCGCAAAGGAACTTACTTCTCTTGTCATGGACGAAGACAGACTGCGCAGTGAACGCTCCGACCGTAAACTCTGGAAATCGCGCGTCAGCGGACTCGACGACTATCAACAAATGGGCTACGAACCTCCGCGACGGGCAGAACGGCCGCGTCGACGACAAAACGAGGACGAGGACGACACCGAGTATCGTCTGGCTATCGAGGCAAGCAAGGCAGAGGCCGAGGAGGAACGGAGACGACGCGCAAAGGCCATAGAAGCGGCAGAGGATGACGAGGACTTGGCCCGAGCGATCCGGCTCAGCAAGGAAGAGGAGGAACTTCGCAAGCGCGAGTTGGAAGAGAGCAACGCGCAGTCGCTTTTCGATGATGCCCCCGTGCAGGCCGCTCCCCCTCAGGCGACCGGATACAACCAGGGCTACCAGCAGCAGAACGCGGTGGACTGGTTCGGTAACCCGATCAATCAGCAACAACCGCTGTCGACTGGCTACTTGAACAACCAATATGCGCAACCGACCGGTTTCCAGAGCCAGCCTACCGGCATGAATGGATACGGGGCCGGTGTTTTCGACCAGAACCCGTACGGTCAACAAAACAACTTCTTGCAGCCGCAGGCGACGCTCCAGCCGCAACATACCGCATTCAGCACGAACAACCCCTATGGGATGGACGTGTACTCGCAGCAGGCGCAACAACAGCAGCAGCAGCAGCAGCAGCAAATGATGCTCCAGCATCAACAACAACAACAGCAGGAGAGTTACCCTTCTGCCGGTAGCAACAACCCCTGGGCCACCTCGCAACCCGCTGATACCCTAAAACCCATGCCAACTGGCTCCAATAACCCCTTCGCGGCTCGTACACAGTACCGACCCACTTCGCCATTGACACAAGGCCCCCCAAGCCTCAACACCCTTTCCGAAGACCGCGCCACCACGCAATTCACCGCCAGCACCACCAACCCCATCGCCAACTTCCAGCCCTCGCCAATGGCCGCTCCTCAACCCCCCAAGAGCACGCCTCCACAGATGAACAACCCTCACCACGCTCGTCTGAACGCCCTTCTTTCTTCGGGCGAAGGTCAGGACACCTTCGGAAACGTCGGCGACCTCCGTATTCCCGCGCAGCACACCGCGCCAGGTACATTCATCAACTCTGCGGGTCAGGGTATGTCACGTTTGCAAGCCGCGCAGACAGGAAACAACCCATTCTTTGGCCAACAACAACAGCAGCAACAGCAGTTTGTGCCGCAGCAGACGGGGTTTGTTAACAATCCATGGGGTGGACAGCCTCCACAACAGCAACAGCAGGGCGGGAGTTTGATTGATCTGTGATGCTGCGATTTCTGGTGTTTTCAATTCATTTTGCTGGTTGTTACTTTGGTTGGGGGTTGCAATGTCGGATTCCGGATACCAAAGTTGTTTAGTTTTCTGCTCTTGTTTTTGACTTGGTTTGCTTCTCTGCATATGAAGAAAGAGAATCTATCTAGTAGACTCTATTCGGTCTTTTGCTTGTACTTTTTCCTCTGTTCAAAGATTAACCCCCTCTTACTATATTTCCTTGTGTTGAATAAGTTCTTGTTTTATAGCTCATGCCCTCCTTCTATACTATTACATACCAGTACTTAACTACCGAGTATATTATTTATCGTATTTTTCTTTCACCCGCCACTCACCGACGGCCAGAAAAGGCAAATTCCACAAGGGCTCTCTCATACGTATGTAACGAAATTTGTGTGGGGGACCAAAACCGGGGGTCTCTATACCGGGGCTCCAGTTTTTCACCCCGCCACCTGATGTAAGCAGTCGAAACCGGCGGTGACCTAGAAAAGCTGCACTCGTCGATTCAATCGCAGCAATCCCTTCTTCCATCTTTCAATTCATTCTACTCACAATAGTAATAATGGCACCCCTCAAGCTCAATAGCAAGAACCTGTCGCAAATCTCGGCGGCAGGTGAGGCCCAGATCAAGGTCCCAACCTACCAGCGCGGTGGCGCCGTCAAGGAGGGAATCGTCCACGTCGGCGTCGGCGGCTTCCACAGAGCTCACCTGGCTGTCTATGTCGACCAATTGATGCAGAAGCATGGTGTGTCTGACTATGCGATTGCCGGTGTTGGCTTGCAGCCCTTCGACGTCGCCATGCGCGATGCCTTGGGATCGCAGGACCACTTCTACACCGTCATTGAGCGTTCGGCCAAGGGAAGCGTTGCCCACGTTGTTGGCAGCATCAACTCCTTCCTCTTTGCGCCGGATGATCGCGAGGCCGTCATCGCCAAGATGGCTCACCCGGATACGCACATTGTGTCGCTCACCATCACTGAGAGCGGTTACTACTACAACGAGAACTCGCATGAGCTGCAGAGTGAGCACCCTGACATTCAGTTCGACCTTGACCCGGCCAACGAGAAGGCTCCGCGCACCACTTTCGGCTTCCTCTACGCCGCTCTGGCACGGCGTCACCAGCAAGGTCTCAAGCCCTTCACTGTCATGTCGTGCGATAACATGCAGAAGAACGGCTCCATCACGCGTCACATGCTCGAGTCGTTTGCGCGCCTGCGCAACCCCGAGATCGCCAAGTGGATTGCCGAGCAAGGCGCCTTCCCCAACGCCATGGTCGACCGTATCACACCTCAGACAGGAGCCGCCGACAAAACGGCACTTGCAGACAGCTTTGGCATCGAGGACGCATGGCCAGTCGTCACGGAGCCCTTCATGCAGTGGGTTATCGAGGACCAGTTCTCCGATGGCCGCCCACCATTTGAGGAGGTCGGTGTCCAGGTTGTCAAGGATATCCACGCCGTCGAGCAGTTCGAGAAGCACAAGCTGCGCCTGCTCAACGGCAGCCACTCGGCCATCGGCTACCCAGGTCAGCTGGCAGGCTTCAAATACGTCCACGAGGTCATGGAGAACCCGCTGTTCCACAAGTTCGTGTGGCAGATGATGCAGGACGAGGTGAAGCCGCTCTTGCCCGAGATCCCCGGCGTCAACATCGATGAGTACTGCAACACGCTCATCGAGCGCTTCACCAACCCCACAATCATGGACCAGTTGCCCCGCATCTGCCTTAACGCTTCCGGCAAGATCCCACAGTTCATCATGCCGTCGATTGCCGAGGCGATGTGGGTTAATGGCCCGTTGCGCCGCCTGTCCTTCGTCGCGGCCGCTTGGTTCCGTTACCTCAACGGCGTCGATGACAGCGGCAACACGTTCACAGTCGACGACCCGATGCGCGAGGAGCTCCAGGCCAAGGCTCGTGTAGGAGGCACCAAGCCGGCCGAGCTGCTCAGCATCAAGAACCTGTTCGGTGACGACTTGCGCAGCGACAAGAGGTTCCTGCAGGAGGTCACCACGGCTATGGAGGACATTGCCCGGGATGGCATTTTGAAGACGCTTCCCAAGTACATTGACTAAACGGCCACGGCTAGGAGCTGTTTTGTTGGTTTGGCGGAAAAGGTACAACTGCGTGTGTTAGCGATGTTTAATGTTGTCTTTGCATGTGTTATGAATGAGTGGTTTTACGGGAAAAGCACGATATAGAGGTAGATAGTGATAGATAAAATTCTCACTCTATTGCAACTAACATTCCGCGATTCGTTCCACCGAGAACCTCCCGAGAAAGTTGGCTTGATCTAGAAGTTCGGAGAGTAGGGCGAAAGTCACTATAGACTATAGAACACCAGTAGCCAGCAACGCGGTCACTGTCAGAACAGGTGAATAGAACTCGCTGTTCAGGAATAAGATGTAGTTTGAAGAGTGGTGAGAGCGGGGGAATACACGAGGGAACACAACTTCAAGTATGTAACCGAGATCCCGGAGACTTACGCGGAGGGGTCGGTTAACTACTCGAAATAATGACGCATTACTAACACCTATATATACATAATACAAGCCAAGCCTACTCCTCACGCAAAGATCTCAACACACCAACGAACCTATACCAATTAGCACTCGTCCCAATTCAGCCCCAATAAAGATAACTCACCTCCTCAACCCCTCCTCCAGAACTTCTTCCTCGTGAGAGAACACCAACCGGAACCATCCTGGCTTCTTACCGTGTTCTTCCCCGGGATGTAGGAATACGCCTGCATCGAGGAATTTCTGCGCTAGGGAGAATTCGCGGGTTGATCCTGCTCCTGCTCCTACGTCTGGTTCTGCTTTTGAAGCGCCGTTGATACCGTTGGTGCTGCTGTCAGGGAGGAGGGCAAGATACGGGGAGAGGTCTATGTAGATGAAGAAACCCGCGTTTCTATTTTATTATATAAGCAATTGTCCATAAACCAGGGAGAAAGGGATGCTTACCCTCCCTTGATATAATTGATACTCTCCTTTTCCAGAGTCGAGGTGGTGATCTTGTATGTCGAGGCGAGATGGTGGCTGGATTTGGTGAAGAAATTGGAGACGAATTCTCTGTCTTCGAGGATTGTTGCGCCGATTGTTACGGCCGCGGTGGAGGTGCTGTGTAGGCGTCTGTATAGTATTAGTATGGACTTCTCTGGTTAAGCTGTATTGAAGGAAGGCATACAGAATAGCCTGACAGGCACGACGAAGCTCCTCGTTCTGGGAAATCAGGAATCCGAGACGGAGACCACCAGATGCAAAGTCCTATCATACTTAGTTTGAATATAGAATGGTAGAAGTGAGTAAAACTACCTTGCTAAATCCGTACAACAAATGTACAAGGTTAGGGTCAATCAGCGCCGGGAGATCCAACGACAGGACCGAAGTAAACGGAACAGCATCCGGATCCCCCGAGTCAAAAATACAAGAAGCATAAACCTCATCGCCGATAAGATGCAACTGGTGTCGACTGCAGAACTTGACTATTTCCGTCAAAGTCTCAGCTGGGTAGCAGCGTCCTAAACCTCGTCAACCAGCCTGCACAACTCACCCAAGCAGAAGATATACATACCAACAGGATTATGCGGATTCACAATCAAAACCCCCCTAATCCTAACCCCCCTCTCCCCAGCCGCCTTCAACGCACTCTCAAACTCCCCAACAACCCCAGGCTCAAACCCCTCCTCAATATCATTATCCGCATACACCATCTCCACACCCGCCTCAACACCATAATCCAGCTCGAACCGGCCGTACACCGGCCGACTAACCAGAATGCCGTCTCCGGGCTCAGCGATTGAAAAGCCCAGCATGTGGTCTAGGGCCGTCGCGGAGCTAGCCACGAAGATGGTTTCTGGGGTGAGGGGGGTGTTGGAGGGATGCGGGTGGAGGATTTCATTGAGGTGGGTTGAGAGGGCTGCTGGGAGGCGGGTTGAGGAGGGGGGTGAGGGGCGGTAGCCTACTGAGTCTGGGGTGAATGTTACCTGAGATAAAACATGTCAGGGTGTCGTACTTTTGTGTATGTGGATGTATATATGTGGGTGTGGGCGGACCTTTTGGTTGATGTAGTTGGCGATTTCGGTCCGCATTGGGCCCTGATTGCGTTAGTATTTATCATGTTATAGGGGACATGGAAACATACATGCTCTGCCATTCCAAAGGAAATGGTCCCTGTGGGGTTTGTTTCCTTGTCGTATGTGTGAGGAGCCGCATAGCGCCATGGGATATCGAGCATTTCTGCTCTTGATGTACCGCGGGAAGACAACATCTCGGCTACAGTGATAATTGAACGTCAAAATAAGTGAAAAGACAAATATGTGTACAAATTGAGAATGAATTGACGAGGGATAAGGTTAATATAGAGGTCCCCACAGAGAAATGTGCTCAAATGTCAATGGTAATTAATTAGCGAAATGCCTAGAAAATCCCGTTGATCATTGAATATAAATGTATGTAAGGAGAAAGAGTAGAGTATTGTACACAATCGTATATCCCACATAAAACACCAATCGCTATGCTACAGCTATTTAAGAACAGAAAAAGACACGTATATCAACATAACAACATGACATCCAACCCATATCCTATGCCAACTATACTACCGAGCCCGCCTCTGCAGACCGATATTCTGCCGACCCCGAGGCCCTCGCTTGCGCTTATCAGACGCTTTCTTCTGCGCAATGAATTCCCAACACTCAATCGGCATCCGCGATCCAATGTGTTGACCGTTCGGACTGAACACCTCGACCTGGGGCAAGGACCTTGGTGACTCCGCGTCCGCCGATATCGACTTGGCCCGGACCTGCACCGTGAGCTCGACCCATCCACAGCCCTCGATCAAAAGATCGGTCGACATCACTTTGTACGGTAAGGGAGGCGGTGTGGCTTTGTTGTCTTCCACAGCTTTGGCGATCGAAGTTGGCAGGTGGGATCTTGTAACGTCGTGTTTTAGCTCGAAGGCTCCGGCGGATTTGATCACTTGGCTGAGGCCTTCCTTGGCGATGGCCTCGCCGCGGTATGGCCGTGTTTCGGCTTGCATTTCGATTGCCTTTTCGGTCTTTGTGATGTGGGTGTCTAGAGGGACGAAGCAGGCTGCCATTAACACGTCGTCTGGGTTTACCGGTGTGATTCTGATGAGTCCGCCGCCGAGGAGGAGAGATTGGCCTCCTTTGATAGAAAGATGTTCCGGCTTCGGTCGCTTGGACATGATCAGGTCGCGCTTGTGCTCATCGCGTACGTAGTCTTCTAACTGGCCACGGTCGAGTCCGGGCAGATCAATCATCTCGCCCTTTCCGCGACCAAACGGAATACGGATGGGCGAAACGGTAGTCCCAGGTAGTGATGACACCACCGGAAGAACAGGATAGAGATCCTCCCGAGGAGCAGGTGGTAAAAGACTGTCAGGATCAAGCATGGGAGCTTGGGCTTGGCTCTGCTGATTCGCAACGTCTAACCCTTCCTGACGACGGCGTTCAACCAGCTCTGTAATCTTCTCCAGATTCCTCGAGTCTTTGGGGAAACAAGCTTCGATGAAACTGCTTTTCCCAACATTGGCTTTGCCAACCACCCAAATCCCCTGACCGTGGTCTTTAATCTCCTCCTTGACTTTATTAGTCCACCACCCCCGATGGGCGCTAATCATATGCACATTTCCCAGCCGCACATCTTCCGCGTCTTTCCCCAATGTCTGACGCAACACAGAGCGCATGTACTCCATCTTCGTATCCACCTGATCTTTCGTCGCAGCCAAGAGATCGGAGCGTGTTATAATGAACGATATCGTAGGCAACTTCCTGCTTCCCCGGTACTTGTCGTCCGTAGCCCTCCGATTCCGCGAGAGCTGCTCCTGGAGCGAAAGGGCTTCGTATATATTGGGGATGACGGACATGGGAAAATCTGCTGCGTCGAGGATATGGTAGATACGGTTATGCTTGTACGGCGATTCGTCGAGGAATGCTCGAACAGAGTCGATCGTAGGTGAGGGCGCGGATACTGCTTTATTGTGGTGCATTAAGTCGTGGCATCTGTCGCAAACCGGCGCGCGAGAGGTGGACGCTTCGAGGTATCGACTGGCGGTACTAGCTGCTTTTTCAAGCAGGGCTCCATCTAAAATAGCCCGTGGTTAGCCAAAATGAAAGACAGTACAGAGTAGCATAGCATTCCCACATACGTTTAGGCGCAGGCCTCGTGTATCCTTTCTCTTCTGCATCCCGAAGCACCTTCTCGATTCTTTCTGCCGCGGCCTCCCCCTCAGTCTTCAACTCCTCGGTATTCTCCGCATCCTTGTCTCCCTCCTTGGGTGTTGGCTGGCCCTTAGCAATCTTTCGCCGCCTGCCCTCGCCGTAGAAGCCCAATTCATCGGGTTCGATCGTTTGCGCGTAGGCTCCGCATCCGGGGCAGCAGATGGGAAGGGTATTCGTGACTGTATCTAGATTTGCGCATGGCTGGATACTTGAAGAGAGGTTGCGTCGCTGGTTGATTGTGCTGTGACCGGAAAATGATTTTGGCGAGAAAAGTGACCGCGACGGTAACACTCTGGGGATAAGTCGGGTTCGGTATAAAGGCGTTGGAGTAATATGACGCAGTTTGACTGCCCTCGAGGCAATCCCTCTAAGACATGGCGCCATAATGCAATGGTTTGGTAGGTGTTGCGGAGATGGAGGAGCAATACTTTTTTTATCGCTGCGGCGGCAGCTTGATAACACCGGTCCCACCGAGGTCCAGTGGCGAGCATGACCATTCTACGGAATATTTGCAGGTGCTCTGCGTAGATATGTACTCGTGTTGATGAGATTAACAAATTTACGTTGATGCGATTGAACCAAGCGTTAGAGAAATGATGTTCAGAAATCATGACTATGTACATGGGAGCTACCCTCTAACCATCATGGAATGCTAGAAACAACGCCGTTGAATAAAAAAAATCAAATGCTCCATGTCGCCAGGCAGTTATGCCTTGCCTTTGCCTTTGCCCTCAGGCTCTTCCTCTTCCTCCTCCTCAGAATCACTCATGAATTCATCATCGTCGTCGAAACCGATGAACTTCCTAGGGGCCGCGGATGTCTGGTTTGACCCAGATGAGCTCTCAGCCTTGTCCTCCTCCTCGCTTTCTTCTTCAGAACCAGACGATGCCGCATTCTCACTGCCTTCACTGGCACTCGTACTCGATCCACCCATAATCGTATCGCGAAGGTTATCAGTCCAAGCGCCCTCCTTCATAGCCAACATCACAGCCTCGCGCGCCTTCTCATTCATCTCCTCCTTATCATCCATCCACTGACCATCAACCTTATGCTTCCCACCCCCGTTCTTCAACTCCTCCTGACGTTTCTCCGCAACCTCCACGACAGACTGCCACCTGCGCCGGCGCTCCTCCTTATCCTTCTGGTCCATCTCAGGCTTGACAGCCAGGTACTCAGCTAAGGCCTTGGCTTCGTTGACAGTGCGAATACGTCGGCCATCGAGGTTGCGGCTGGATGCATTGTCGTCGCCTTGGGTGCGCTTACGCTTACTGGACATGCGCCCACCGGCAGCACGAAGCTGGGATCCGAAACCACCCTTTCCTCCGCATAATGGGACGGTGAGGCGGAGGGGAAGGAGGTTTGAGGTGATCGAGGATTCGCCATCGCGGGCAACTAGAAGGGATTGGAGACGGTCTGAGGATGGGACGACTTGTTTGTTGTTGGTTGTGGTCAAGATGAGCGACTGGAACGGCACGGCCGATGGAAGGAGAGATACGACCTTCTCGGTGAGGTCTGAGAGGGTCGAGATGGATGGGAGGGAGAAGGAGACGGTTGAGGGAAGCGAGAGTCCTGGAAAGGACGAAAGGAGGACGTTGACTTGTTCGGCCATGTTGGAGTGTATTCGGGTTCGTGGTATCGTAGAGCGTATGTGTTTGGGGTCCGAATTTCGAGATTGATAACAGGGGTAGAAGCGAGTTCGTAGGATTGCCGCGCGACGGCGAGATTGTTGTCTGGATCCAGAGGCGATGTTGAAGTCAGGATGCGGAGACTTCGATAAGGCCCAGCTGAGTCAGCTTAATATGCCTGAAGGTTCAGGCTATAATGGAGAGATCATGTGATAGGGCGCCAACCCTAGCAAGCGCTCCGAAACGGGAAACGTCGCACTTTTCTCGAGAGGTTCCCGCTCCACTCTGATCATTCCTATCATTTAAACAAACCACTTTTCCTGACGTTGTCTGAGCGATTCCCCGAATAGCGCCAGGAACTCGCGACAATGTAAGTGTCTCTATTATTATCCCAATGCTTATTTGAAATGAAAAAAAAAAATATTGACAATGCTCAAGGCTTATCCCCAAGGACGACCGCAAGAAGATCCACGAGTACCTCTTCCGTGGTATGTGAACGACCGACGAATCCCTAATCGCTTCGCTCGACGTTGCTTCGATGGTTTATAACTTGTTATACGCCTGGAACAGCATGAGCCGATTATACGTAATAAAGGATAATCGCTGACTTGGAATAGAGGGTGTGCTCGTGGCCAAGAAGGACTTCAACCTTCCCAAGCACGGCGACATTGACACCAAGAACCTCTACGTGATCAAGGCCTGCCAGTCGCTCAACTCCCGCGGCTACATCAAGACCCAGTTTTCGTGGCAGTACTACTACTACACCCTCACCCCCGAGGTACGTTCGCAAAGCAATGTCACATAATAAAAAGACAGACGATCTGACAATTCCCAGGGTCTTGACTACCTCCGTGAGTGGCTGCACCTCCCCGCTGAGGTTGTCCCTGTCACCCACATCAAGCAGCAGCGCTCTCACGCTCCCCCCCGCGGCATGCTCGGTGGTGAGGAGCGCGAGCGCCGTCCCCGCGTTCCCCGTGAGGGTGGCTACCGCCGCCGCGAGGAAGGTGGCAAGGAGGGTGGTGCCCCCGGCGAGTTCAACCCCAGCTTCCGTGGTGGTTTCGGCCGTGGCCGTGGTGCTCCCGCTTCTTAAGAAGGTGTTGTCCGCTACTCGGTCTCCTTCATGGGATTAATGGTGGATGGTGCAGATGCGGTTTAAGTAGACTTTGAGAGAGGTTCGAAATGAACTGCATTGTTGTACATCTACTATTTTCTGAATAAAAAAAAAAAGGGAACATTTCAAAAAATTTAGCATTGTCGCTGTCGCGTGTTATGTATCGCTGTAATGACAACGTCTCGTTGCTCACTACCTGTAAACAATTGTAAAGAGATCAACATACCTGATCAACAGGTCCTGATTTCTATTCCCTACTCTCATGTCGATGCGAACCTCTTGCGATCATACCGAATAACTGCTTGCAAGATCACAGATGTACCCGTCGCACAATCATCAGCAGAACAATACTCCTCCGGGTGATGACTGAGTCCATCCCTACACGGCACAAATATCATACTCGTCGGGACCCTCTTCGAAGTAAACACACTATCATGACCAGCACCACTCATAATCGTGCGCACCAAGGACTTCGGTTCTGGTACACTAGCGTCAGCAACGACCGCTTCAGCAGATTGCTGCACACAATCGATACAGCTCTCGTGAAATTTGACTGCCGGTGAATCGAAGTCCAGGGTCCATTCGACGCGGCACGGTTTGCCGATGCTTTTGCCTTCCTCTGCGGCAATAGCGTCGAATTCCTTTCTTAGTTCTGCTTCGACCGATGCCACCATTTCGGTCTCGGGTCCGCGAATGTCAAGCGTGAAGCTGACTAGTCCAGGGACTGTGTTCACGCTGCCGGGCTTTGCTTCTACGATACCGACACTGGCAAGACATCCCTTTGCTGCTGCAACTTCGCGGGCGCGTATCATCATACGCGCGAAGGCGTACAGAGCATCTGCGCGGTGTTCGAACGACGTCGTTCCCGTATGGGTGTCTCTACCCACTATGTTAAGGCGGAACCAGCGGTATGCCTGCACGGCTGTCACGACGCCTACTCGCTGTCCAACGGAGATGAGATGAGGGCCCTGCTCAATGTGTAGTTCGAAGTGCGCAGCCATTGGTGTTTCTTTGTAAGAGCAGGACACGGAGCCGAGATAGTTGATCTTCTCGAGAGCTGATTTCATAGTCTCGGGGGCTGAGGAGGCTGTTGGGAGAGAGGCAACTGTGGGCACTTCTTTGAGATCGTGGGCTCGAGAGAGGGGGATGCATTCTGCCCATACGCCGGAGGATATCATGCTGATGGGGAAACGGGCGCCTTCTTCGCTGTAAGACGTTAGTAACGGCAGTCGTCCTTAACGGTGAGTAGGGCTTACTTTGTCCAGTTAACAACGCCTATGCCTCCTTCTGTCTCTAGGCCCATCTCGTCAACGACCTTGAGAGTCTCGATACCCGACAAAACACCCAAAATGCCATCGTATCGACCGCCTGTTGGCTGCGTGTCTAGATGACTACCGATGAATGTTGGAGGGACATCCTTTCTTCGACCAGGCCGCACGGCAAAGATGTTGCCCATCTCGTCCATGGTGACATTGCATTTCAACGCCTTTGTTGTTTCGATGAACCAATCTCGTACCTGTTTGTCTTCTTGGGACAAGGAAAGGCGTTGCATGCCCGTGTCTGTCGACCTACTACAGTGTCATGTATTAGTCCAGTCATTCCGACGAGAAGCATAGAAAGCGAGTATGGCAGTTTGTAGTACGACTATGAAATGCTGGATACTCACTCTCCCCATCGAATTCCATATCCCCATTGACAACTATGGTGAAGGTCCTTCGCCAACCGCTCCTTATTAGCCTTCAAGGCCGACACTTCCGCCTCAGACAAATCCGTCGACAACATGGCCAGCGTTCGGGAGACTGAAAAGCACCGGTACTGCTGGGTAGCACTCTTTGTAGACTGGGATAACGACCTAGATGATACTCTTCCTGATATCCTAGCTGTACGAAAGAGAGACATCATATTGATTGCAAGGGGCCTGTCCCGATAACGACGTCTTATGTAGGCCCTGGCTGTCGGGGTAGACCTGGGGTTTTTGGAGACGATTGCCGAATCCGGAAGCTCTAGTGAGACTCGAGATAAGCGTTCAAGCGGGGTCAGTGTCCATGCATGCTCCTTTAGCCGATATCGAAAGATTGGAGGTTCATTTCAAAGCAGGAGGTACAGTCGGCTGTCAATTCGGAGGTTTTCATTAGGTCATGGGCGTCGATTGGAGGACAGAATGTATAGGGTTTCAGTACTTGTCATAGAATTGGCCATATACTCCGCAAAATAGTGAGATAACCGAGGAGAAAGTGTCGAATCACCATTGCCATGGCTCGAACGCATGTCTTTGGGAGGGCGGACGTCGTGTGTTCGGGACACGGACATCAGCGGATAAAGTACACGCACCAGGGGACTTTAAAAAGATTAATTTCAGTCGATAAGACGCGGGAAAATAGAGAGAATGATAGAATAAAAGATGCGAATGATCGTGATGCAAAAATAAAATAATAAAAATCGACAACTATGTCGATGGAAGGATTCCAAAGATTTAGGAGAGGAGTATTCTGGGCAAGCCACGGCCATCTCTGGTAAAAGGCAAGAAATGGGTTCTGAGCTAGCTTGTCCCACTCCTCACAAGTTGTACCTTACAGTGACCTATATACTCCTTTGACTTAGGACATCGCGCGTTCGAATCCCCCTCATCTCCAGTCATTTTTATTTTTCCTTCCAGCCGCCAGCGACCCCGCATCGTTCCGGATAACCTCATATCTGCTTGTTCTGCTGTCTGTACATAATAACTGCTGTTGATCCTACTGTGTTATTCTATCTAGTCCAGCCACACCACACACAATGTCTTCCACCGCTGCGTGTATCTTCTGCAAGATCATCAAGGGTATATAGTTCCATTTCTCCCTTGTCGAGCTGTTGCTACTTGAGCTCGTCGCCTCGAAGACAGCTATTCCGACAGCTCTCAATTGACGCAATTCACTAAGCGCGTATCAACAACAGGTGACATCCCTTCCTTCAAGCTCTACGACAGTGAGAAGGTCTTTGCTTTCCTTGACATCGGTCCTCTGAGCCGTGGCCACGCGGTGAGTTCTTCTTCCCCCGCACCGCACCGGTGTTCAAACGCACATGGTGTATATTCATCGAGCAGCGAGGGAGTTCCTTTACACGCTTCTTTGCATGTTCATCTATCCAATGTCTCCAAATTCATGTTTGACGTAGAAGAAGCAATCACTAACAACCCGAATCATCCCAACAGCTCGTGATCCCAAAGTTCCACGGCAAGAAGCTCACCGATATCCCCGACGAGGACCTCCTCGAGATCCTGGTATGTTGAAATGTCAAAACAAGCAGTGATGGAACCGGGGGTATCTGGCTTTATATGATCTTCCGGCTGGCGTCAGTTCCCGGGGACCTTGGGTGATATGATGCAGCTGGACCGGATTCCCCTCACATGGTTATGCAAGTATGATTAGTTGGTGGTAATGAATGCTAACGGGGGTGTATTTGAATAGCCCGTCGCGAAGAAGGTCGCCCAGGCTAGCGGTGCTGAGGATTTCAATATCCTGCAGAACAATGGTCGCATTGCGCACCAGGTTGTTGACCATGTAAGGCTCTCTATCAATCTACGGCATTTGGCAGACAGAACGGATGCTAACACACATTTCTTCGTATAGGTCCACTTCCACATGGTATGTCCCTTATGCTACACCTTCTCGCTCCGAATACCAAAACCACATAGACATACTAACCACCGTAACAGATCCCTAAGCCCAACGAGACAGAGGGTCTCGGTGTTGGCTGGCCTTCCCAGCCCGCGGACATGAACAAGCTCAAGGCTCTCCACGAGGAGCTCAAGGCTAAGATGTAAAGACATTGCGGTACAGTTCCTAAAAAGAATATCCAAAATAATGAGATGAAATGAAATGAGATTCAATCTGTGCTTTACCAGAGGATATGCAGTAGAACCGAACGTATAGCGTAGATTTACCAACAAAATACAACTATCTAGATCTAGAATGCTTAAATCACCACGCGACACATTTAGACAATGTATCTCATCGCACCATACACGTCAATTTCCCCTTAAGCACCAGGGTAGAATTCAACCTTTCCATCACCCTTGATCACATTGGTTCGGTCATACAATGACCGAGACCGGATGTAAGGATCAAGCACCCAGTAGTGTTCCCTCAACCGGTTGATGAAACCGTTTCTTCGCTCCTCAGCTAAGCTAATGGCCTCCTTGTCCTTGCTGGAGCTGGCAGAGAGCCAGGAAACGGTGGCGTCCTGGATCTCCTTGGCAATCTCCTGTCTCTCAGTGACCAGGGCATCGCGTCTGGCTGTGTCTTCCATTGCCTTGTTCTCGTCGGGTTGGGGCTCGGCGTATTTGTATTCCCAGTTCTCGTTGCCTTCGAGTTCCTTTACGATGCGGTCTCGGGGGATGAATTTCTCGAGGTCGTTGGCGTTCTTGGTGAAGTGGACTTTGCCGGCCACGACGGGGTCGAGCCAGCCCTTGATGATGCTCCAAACTCCCGAGAAGAGCCAAGGAGCCTTGTGGACGAGCACTGCGCCTAGGGACTCGGGGTAGTTGGCTTCGAAGCATTTGATCATGAACTTGACGGGGGCATAGTCCTGAGATCGATCGTTAGCGATTGAGCAAGCCTTCTGACAAGCACCCGACTTACCATATTTGCCAAAGAAAAGTTGCTCATGTCGAAGACGATGGTCTAGTTCTTGTTAGATTTCCGCTTCACCATCGTTACAGATGCTGATTACTTACCGCTGTCTCAACCGGAGGAGGCAACATCATTCGGGTCGTCTCAATCACGTAGACAGTGAAACGCTCCAAGGACTCCTCGCTCTGCTCGCCTGCCTTATGCATCCGCACCCTAACAACGCAGATCGGCCGGCCATTCTTATCAACGCCGTGCAGGTAACTCTTACCCAGACGCATCTGGTCCAGGAAATCCTGGCCCTTCTTCTTTTCCGCAGGGTCGGCGCTCTGCGACTGCTTCTGAGCAAGAGCCTCGCCGTTTCTCATGATATCATCGTCGACCTTGATCTCCTTGCTCCTCCAGCGTATTGTCGAGATGAACATGATAAAGGCCTTCTTGACGTTCCACTTCCGTGCCCGCAGGAACCGCAGAAAGAGAGAATCGGGGTTGTCGTGCTTCACCATGTTCCAGTAGGTTACCCGGATCTCCTCTGGCGACATGTCGGCAAGCGCTTGCTGGAACTCCTTCGATTGTCCATGCTTATCGTCATCGTCGGCGACGTTGAGGGAAGAAACGCTCGATTGTTGTTTTGTCTCTTCGGACTTGACACCAAACGTCTTGAGAGCCAACTTCCAGAATTCTTGCAACTTGGCTTCTTGTTCGTGGGTGAGGTTACCCACGGTTCCAGGGGGCTGCTCGACAGGCATTGTCTGTAGAAGATCAACGATTCCAAGGAAGGGTTCTTGCGGCTGGTCCGGTGGCGAGTCTTCGGAATTGGATGGTTGTAGCGATTCCTTTTCGGGGTCGAAGTATATCCAGGATCCCCCGCCGATGAGAAGAAGAGTGAAAGCGAAAGCCCAGAAGGATTGCGAAGCCCGTTTCGGTGCTCTGACAAAGGGTAACGGAAAAGTGGAGAAGGGTCGTGTGGGCGGAGTGCGCCGGCTTGGGGAAGGCTTCAGGGGTCCAAAGGGACTAGACGGACTAAGGAATTGAGCACTTCGAGGTACAGATGACGACGAACGAATGGAATTGGCCGAAGATTGGACAAGACGGCGGCGTGGGAATAAGCAATTGTGCATCTGCCGCTATTCTGAAACGCAAGGGAAAATGTTCGCGTGAGAGGATGGAGAGGCGATGGTAGGAAGGAAAACAGCTGTAATTGACTAAATAGGAATGGTCAATTCTCTCATTAACATCAATCACAAGGCTTGGAAGTAAACCGAGAGATCCGCTTTCTTTATCTGGCGAGTTACTACTAGCAAGTTACTGTCTATATGGGGATTGATGAAACCGGAGATCTCGGTCAGGTGAGCGTCGGCGGATAAAGGCGGGGGATCTTCCACCAAAACACACCGTCAACAACCGTTTTTCTCCCGCAGACACCATATACCTTACCGGTTACAATCGAATAGAGAAGATGGATCCGTCTGCGTCTCGTTCGTCCTCGCGCCAACGACTTCCCTCCAGGCCTACGACCCCTCTGCGCCCAAGCTCTCGGTCTTCATTTCGCGAAGCACATGGCTACGGAGGAAGCATCAGCAATACAGGACACTCGCAGCCTGCTATCAATGCATTGGAACCCCAGTTTGCCGAACTAGCAGACTCAATGGCGGATCTCGAGGCCAACTTTATGCACCTACAGTTGTTACACGAGAGTTTGACGCGGTTCAGCGAGAGCTTCGCCAGTTTTCTCTACGGGTTGAATATGAACGCATTTTGTGTGGACTATCCAGAGGTACAATTGCTGAGGCCTAGACTTTCTGGGGTATCTTGAAGTTGAAAAGCTGACTCGTGGGTTCTGTGCAGGCTCCTATTCCTGATTCCTTCCGAAGAGCGAGACAAACAGAGACTGAAAAAGAGAGAGGTACAGTCATCCTGCACCATTCCTGAGCACTAGGACTGCAATTGCTAACACTCATGCAGAGGCTGAAGCTGAAGAAGCCCGACCGACGGTGAATGATGGCGAAACAACGTTTTTGTGAGTAGAAGACTCAGAGGTCGTGCAAGATCACTGCTAACAACGGAATTAACAACAGGACTACGGACACTTCCTTCCTCGAAAGCCCTCCTACCACGGTCTCTTCGAAACAGACCCCTATATACTCCACTTCTCGCGCAAGAGGATCTTCTACTCGTGGGGCTACTCGTGGGACAACTGGTGGTCGCTATACAACACGAGGCACGAGCCGGGCTCGTCCCAGTGCGTTGCCTCGAGGAAGGGGAGTGCGTTGAATGCGTGCGATTCGCCATTGCAATAGCGTGAAGCGAATGGAATGAGAATACGAATGGGATACTATATCAAATAGCGTCCTTGAGGGCATATCGCATAGCCTGGTCTAGCTGCAAGCCATTGCACCAGTCCCACATCCGCACTGTCACTAGCAGCTTGGAACGAGGCATGAAGGATGACAAAGAATGTCACTCCTATCGTTTTATGCGGAGGACTACAATCTCCTGGTACAAGATGGAGGCATGCGGCTTCAACTTTCCCATGTGATATAGCATTCTATGGTGGAGAGGCAGGAATGGGATATGGCGATTGCAATCTCCCTTGGTGGCGGTCACAACGGGAGTCGCATACGTCCAAAGAAGCTGTTAGAATCCAAATTAGAACATAGTATGATATCTCTCAATAATTTTCTTTTATTAGTTAGCAGTAAGTACTGTTCTGAATAATATCTGACTATCCCTACGGGGTCGCGGATCAAACCCCGTCCCGAAGCCTTATCACCTCCGAACCCCGGGATCGCTCTTTTCTTGTCTCATCGCAACGAGTGAAAAGCTGAGGGCCACTGGCTTTTCACAACACCAGAGACTATACTATAAATCACGATTCGGGTCCAGGAAATACCGTCCGGTTGATTGGAGCAGTCCATCCGTTCCGTTGCCACGCGAATCGCTCGTCGCCAGCCTTGTGACCCTCTCCGCGGTGCTCGTCCCGGTCTCCGACGCCGAACATCCCCAGTCCTCATTGAATGGCTCCGACTGCACCATTCACTCTCTACAGTCAGCAATTTCTATCGTTGAAATGGTTGCATTTTGAATAACTCGGGGAACAATGTGGTTGTAAATTGCACAAATTGTTATTCAGCTCCTGCGCTTGGTCTGGTCTATGGGTTGATTCCCTGCCGTCGTCGCTATTGCCTTCTTTCGTTCCAAAGAGGCTCTGGGCCATTTACGGAGGTTACTTGAGCCGCTGACATTCTTTCTTTCTATACTTGCCCTGCATTCTCTTTTGTCTACCTTTGCCGGTGTAACTTTTGAGTTACGCTTCACCTACGGACTATACATCGACTGCTGCTCCGTCGTCACTCGACATCTCTGATATTCGACTATCACAATGGCTAGTATCAACTCAGTGTCTCTTCTTTCGGAAGCGGCGTTTGGCTGCGGTATGCGACTCCTTGAAGATCCCTTGTTGTCCCATGCTAACCTACGCAAAGGGCATCTTGCTACCGTCATGAAAGGTGGACAGGCTGCTGGACAGTTCAAAGATTCATTCATCAAGGCGAACCGGGCGTTGGCTCCACTAGGAGATTCTCCAGCAGCTTTACTTCCATCGAAATCTCGTTTCCAGTCTTCCGCTCTCCTTAGGCCCAGGTACATATGCTTGTCGTGCTCGGAGTCTTGCTTGAGTAACGAACGACGCGCACACACAGAGAAGACCGGGCATCAGTTTTGTATGTACCCCTGCGTCTGTTGTCGACGCAGGTAAATCATGTGCTAATGAATTATCTCATCAGATATGGATTCAAGAGCGCGAAACGTGTATTGTCAGGGTTGTGATGACCTTGTCTACGACCATGAATTGGAACGGCTTCGGTCTCCAGCACCAGAAGTGTCGCTCAAAGGTTCGGGGTTCGTTCTAAATTTCTTTACTCCTGGTTACTGACATTCAGGTAGTCTCCAAGCGCAAGATCGAAAACTCAGCAGACGAGCTCTTCGTAAGGAGCAACGCTAGCAAGCGTCCCTGTGCGAGACAAGGCGTTAGGGGTCTTTGGAATCTCGGGCAGTCTTGTTTTATGAATGTCATCTTACAAGCGTTGCTGCATGATCCCATCCTCCATGCGCACTTTCTAGGAAACGGCCACCAGACCCAAGAGTGTACTATCACCGACTGTGTTGGGTGTTCCGTTGCTGAAGCATTTACGGAATTCAATACCACCGAAAAACCCGAATCATTCGTGATTTTGAACTTATTAGCTGCCACTTGGCGAGGAAGCGATGTCAGTTGCCATATGCTATCTCCTATCAACGGCTCAAATGCTGACTGACTTCCTTAGGCATTGGCTGGATATCGCCAACAAGATGCACACGAATTCTATCAATTCCTTGTCGATAAGTTACATTCAAGTGATGATGACCATGTGGATGACTACGAATGCCCGTGCTTCTTTCACAAAACCTTCCACGGAAAACTGCGAAGCACAGTTACTTGCGACAAATGTGCTAACGTCACCAAAACGGAAGACCCCATGGTCGATCTAAGTCTTGACGTACAAGTGCAAGCGAAGAAACGCGCCATGGGCAGTGGAATTGGCCCCTCATCCACGGCTACGCTCAAAGGCTGTTTAGACAGTTTCACATCACCCGAACATCTCATGGCCGATGCGTATAACTGCGACCAGTGTGGTACTCCCCAGAAAGCAACGAAACAGCTGCGGATTAAGAAGTTGCCGGCGATTTTGTGTTTGCAACTGAAGGTACTTTCTTCCCCCTTCGCCTCTCATCTCGCCTCTTTTAAACATCCGTTAACTTGAATATAGCGCTACGAGCACACATTCGCCGTCTCTGAGAAAGTCGAAGGACGAATTGATTTCCCTCTATCGCTCAACATGCTCCCATACACAACGAATCCGGACGTGCGAGTTGACAGAAGCAAATACGTCTACGATCTATCAACAGCTGTGGTTCACAAAGGCAAGCTGGACGCAGGACACTACTATGCCTACTGCCGACAGGGTGACCAGGTTAGTCAATACCTCTTACTTCTCCTTGACTAGAATTAGCTAATTGTATGGATGACTAGTGGGTACTCTTCAACGACGACCGCGTGACCGTCGCCTCGGAAGCCGAAGTCCTCAACGCAGATGCCTACCTTCTGTTCTACAGCCTTCGCACATTGGCCACTGCAGGATCATAATCATAATCACAGTAATCATTGCTCAGAAGGGATCTGTGAGGGGGTGTTTCTGCTTCTGCTTTGCATTTTATTTTCATTCATCATTACAGATACCATTGATTGCGGGTAGGGAGGAGAGGTTTCGTTTCTCAATGTTTAGAATTCTGCATATTCGGTATCAGTTTACTTGGAGTCAACTTGGTGAAATTGGAAAAAGGGACATTGTTGTTACTTTTCTTGAGATATAGTATGATCATACAAGACTTAGTTTAGTTCGGGGTTCCGTTTACACACTTGTCTGCATAGAAGGATTTAGATGGTTGCTTGGGTAAGTTCGCATGTGATAGATTAGAGTTACAGGAATGAACTACATGACTCGCGCAGCATAGAAGCAGTTGAGTCTGGCTAGGTTGAATGCGAGACCGTGCATATCTGGACAATGGCTGGGAATATGCGTCAAACGTGGGCGTATGAAGGACACCATAGCGTGCTGTGCTCGCAACAGTGTCTGTGTCTGTCATACGGAGAATAATGCAGCAGTGCTCGTCACAATTCCTCCGCTCGCGTCGGCAATTCCCAGCGACGATGTCGAACCAGTATCGGGGAGAAGTAGGATACCAAGGTGGACATAAATAAATAAAACTGTTTTGTCTTTTCCTCATTTCAAACGTAGCGAGAAATAAAAAAAGGAAAAGGATAGCAAAAAAGAAGAGGGGATATTCGATTTGATGTGACACCATCGATCAAATTGTCCACGCCGGTATCCTGGAATTATGATTCATATTTCCACCCCTCCGTCAATTTTCCCCCAATCCTTTTTTGTCATTTGCCTTTTATTCCATCCACCCCATCGGGAAAACTCAGGTAAGTCGGATCCCCTTTTTTTCCTCCCATGGTTGATACCAAGCGCCGAGCACGTAACGGAAATCGTGAAACACGAACGGATCGAGAAAAGAGACGAGCGGGAACGAGCTTAACGGTACTGTAGTGCGAGTGGTTAGAATATTGGACGGTCCGGATGCTTTTTGCGAGTTTTTGTTGCTGTCGTTTTGGGTGCGTGTAGTGTCAAAACGAACCTTGTTGAAACCGATGTCCGTAGCCTTCTCACGGAAGCACTGACGGCAGATGTTCATCTGTAAATCGAGAAAAGTCTCCGTCAGCCAAATTGTCCCCATATGTGTATCATGTCCATCCAAAAACACAATAATTTAAAGGTTGCAGTTATTCCATACCCCGTACTTGCGGATGAGACCACCGCGGTTGGAGCAGACACGGCTGAATTCGAGATGTCCATATTAGCAATTCTGTTCTTTCGGTCGCCCATATTTCGCCTTCCTGTCATCTTTATTCTCGGGGGTTTATCTGGTCACACACCATCCACGGGATCCCTTGCCGTACCTAAACAAATAGGAAAAAACCACGTTAGCATTAAATGTTCAAACCCATCCCATCGCCATATCTCCAATATCCAACACCTTCAAAGGGGGCACAACAACAAAGGGGAAGCCTTACTTGCGGGGCCGGCTGTACCACACGGACTCGTGAGTCATCTTGAAGAATCGGAGGCGAGGAAAAGACCTGAGTGAGGTTTGACGGTGGTTTTGCGGCGGGTGGTGATGGTGGTCGTCGTCGCGGTCGTTCGCTGGGCGTTTGGGGGAGGATTGGGCGGAGGTCGAAAAGGTTAGGGTTCAATTTGCGAAAATTGCGGTTTGTGTGCTTTTCCCGACGCCGAGATGGGGCCGCTAGCTCGCTTGAAGGTGCGCTAAGCCCTTTTGGGTCACATTGGTTGAACTGCGGTCATGTGATTGGCGGGTCGGTTTAGGTTGGAGATCCGGGGGCTGGTTTTTCCGTGCTTTGGTGACATGTCAAACGAAGTACTATCATTCTCGATTTTAATTGGAATGGTACCGGATAGATGCTAAGCTGCAAGATACTGCTCAGACGCGCTACTTGTTGCTTGGTGTCCACATTGCGGAGCTGGATATGAGCTTGGTTGGTTTACGCGACTCGGACGCAGCATATCGTGGTAGAACTACAGCCATGTAGGCTATGATATTGACTCTAGGTCCCTAATTTACTCGAGATTTACTTGGCTTGGAACACACCCAGAGCGAAGACGTTGAACGTCTGGCCTCATTGGAATCGATAATGAAGGAGCTGTGACCTGGTCTACTATTTGGCTTCAATGATGGTCCAAGATTATCGTTCTAGACACAAGTTGGAGGCTATCTCGAAGTTCTTGGTTTATCAGCCAATGGAATTGATTGCATACGATGTCTTGATATCTTTGGCATGGTACTGTTCTGTGTCTGTTCAGATGCTGCGCTGACTGTTTCCCGTCTCAAGTCCTAAGTAGTTTGTAAATCTTCTCTAGGATCGTAAGAACCTAAGGAGCCGCTGTTGTTGCTATTTCTCTTTGTCTTTTCTCAAGCCTGGCAGTTGCGATAGTGAATGGTCTACGCGTGCAAATTGTTTGCATATGCACTATTATCAACAACTTTCGCTGACTTCTTCCTTTCTGCAACAACCACATTGAGACGATAATTCATATCCCACTCGGTGTAAAGAACTAGCTTCCCATCTCATGGTTGGGCTGCAGTCGCTTAGCCGCATGGCTAGGCGCATGTCGCCGCCTCTTCGCGTCAAACCGGTCCGGCTCCCTACTTCGAACTCATCTATCCCCCAGCATGAGCTTGTTGATGAGGAACTCTGGTCGATTTACGACTACAAACGTTACTACCCCGCTAAACCTGGAGAGATACTTGATGGCCATTACCAATTGCTCGTGAAGGTCGGCTGGGGAAAACACTCAACAGTAAAGCTCGCGCGAGATGTCACAAGGCATGTTTTGAGCTCTTGCTATACCAGCCGCGGCGTTCAAGGCTAACAAACGATGGCTCTAATACAGATACAATTGGCAGTCTGAGCGGACAGTGGCACTGAGGATAAACAATACCAAAAGCCCTGGATTCGTCAATCGTGAGCGTGACATCGAAAACCACATCGCACGGCGAAACCTGTCACATCCTGCCCATGGGGTCATCCAAACTTGGATTGAAAGCTTCAAGGATGGATGGCCCAGAGGGGAGCCATTTATGCTTGGCATACGAACCGATGCGGGAACCGCTCTGGATCTTCCAGAAACGCTTGGTGAACCAAAGGCTTCCCCTTCCGATGGCAAAGGCATAAATTTGCATTCTTCTTGCTGGTCTTGAGTATCTACACGCAGAATGCAAAGTTGCGCATACTGGTGAGTAATCTTCTTTCGTCAAACCTAGTTCTATAGAGAAGGGATGCACTAACTTGTACGCTCGGTTTTGCAGATTTGAACCTCGATAATATCCTAATGACTCTCGAGAGCTAAGGCGTTCTTTCTGATTTCATCAAAGAACACACTACCGAAATTTCCATGCAATACAAGACTGATCCAATCACCGGCCGGACTATCTACAGCTGTCACGACGACTTAGGTCCCCTGAACGCGAAGGAGCTGGGGAGCATGACTACCAAGATTGTCGACTTCGGCCAGGCGACTTGGCTCGAGAGTGGTAACCCGAAACTGGAAGCAATTGGCCTCCATCCCATACAGCCGGATCACTGTTGTGCTCCAGAGGTTATCCTTGGTTGTGGCTGGGACGTCAGCGCTGATATTTGGAACTTTGGTGTTCTGGTAAGATAATTTTCATTTCTTTGGGATGTACCAGTTAGGGATTCGAACCATCAGGCTAACTAATTTGAGAAGATATGGCGTATCATTGAACGCACGCAGTTGTTTCAACAAGTATATGACACACCAAGGTCGTTCTGATACCAAAGCACATCTAGCGGAAATGATCGCTTTGCTTGGCCCACCTCCGAAGGAATTACTTGCAAGATCAACTGATGACATGGTATAGTACCAATGGCCTACGGCTATTCCAAACGGCGCAGGCAAACTGTGCACCAACGCGCAGGACTTCTACGGTAGACCATTTTTCAACGAAAAAAGTACAAGATCCATATACAACAGGAATTGGCATCCTTGCTAATTGTTCCATCGTGCAGGCCAATTCCTTTATGAAGATTTGATACCCACCCGGACCCTCGAATCAGCAGTTCCGTCATCTCTGGAGGAAGAGAAGGAGAGGCTAGTCTTTCTGTCGTTCGTTAGTGGCATGCTCACTTGGCTTCTGGAAGAGAGGAAGAAGCCTCATGAGTTGGTGAAGCAACCTTTTCTTGGTTTTGGGCAGCATTAAAGTACTCAGAAGTCATTTTTTCGTCGGATCTACAATTGCCATTCTGATCCACAGATCGGGCACAAGCCGTTTTTGCCTAGTACGATGGATGTTAGATTAATATTGCAGTATGGAGAAGGAAAATGGAAATTAAAAGTAGTATTATTGTTTAAAAGAAAGGAAATTAAAAAATAACAATAAAAAGGCAGGCATCTGTACCAAAAAACTGAAACGTCAAAAAAAAACAATGCGTTAGCTGGGAGTCGAACCCAGATCTAGTGCTTGGAAGGCACTAATGCTAGCCGCTACACCACTAACGCAACAGATAGTATCATTATTCACTTCTATAAATATGTTACTACCTAATTAACAGAATTCATAATGTCATCGCATCGACACCAAATAAAACCATCTTATTACTGTATGGAACACTCAGAGCACAAATAAATCCACCTACCCATATTTCGGCAATAAAAACACCCATTAACCAATCAATTTTATACCGATCAGCACTACCCAATGCACATCATCCTCGGTAGTGTTGAAAAACCCATGATCCAATACGGGACCATCCGCCCTATCGGCCTACATAGATCAAATTTTTGGACTTCGGAAAACGGCAGACGGCAGATGACAGGGCTAGAAAGCGAGCCGGACAGCCGCCAATAAAACCAATAAAATAAAGGAAAACAAAAAAAAAAAAGTTTAATAACCCACCATAATGCATCCTCTACGGATGACGGGACTTCTCATGTGCCGTGTACAAGTCGTGGATGGGGATTGCTATTGGCTGGGCGTAGTGAAGCGGACTTTCCATATGTACCCGGAGTATTGATGGATTGATCGGAGTTGCAGAGTGCCGGATATCCGACTTTGGTTTGGTGCATATTACTGGGAGGGGTAATTTAACACGGCGGTTAGGCGATGTTTTACGGACGGGATGTGAGACGATGGGTTCTAGGCGTTGGTTAATTAAGATTATGCACTCAGAGTGTTGAAAACCTTGGCCCTTGACACGATTCATTACGTCAGTAGTGTCTTTGTTATGGCTGCATGTCCACTATGTATTAGAGGACTGTAATGTTACTATCAAGCAATCATGTACACTTCCTTCAAGAGGCGAGAAGAGTAAAGGCGCGAGAAAAAACCGGATATCAGAAAGCATAAACTTAGCAAATCCCAAGCTGAAGAAAGCCAGATGATTCGATCGGAAATTTAACCCCACTACAACAAGTATACAGGTGGAGTAGGTTGGGAACTCTGCTCGGGATTCGCTTAGAGGCCAATTAACGGCCAGACGTTGTACCACCTACTTTGTATTTTGTATGTTATCACAGGGCCATGGTTTTGATAGAGTGCTCCCGAGTCAATGTATATATGCGGTGTGCTATGTAGGCGTACAATTAGCCAAATGACGAGCTCGATGTGACTTTCCATTTAGCTGTTCAGCTGTGCGGAGAGGATAAACTATACGCTACTGACTAGTATTAGGTAGGTGCGCCCTCGCTTCACATAGCACATCTTCTATCTAACCGTACTCTGTACCCGACCAGACGAGTCATATGTTCATTCCACCAACCACGGATAAGCAAAGGATCAGCTAATATTCAGTTATGAGTCATAAGACGACGATGACCAGGATTCGGACATCAGCTGCCTAACACCGATTCTTCCGGACTTCCGTAGATAATAAAGTAGAGCTTGGATGTGTGCACAAAGAAAGTGCGTGGGCGACAGGCGCCTTATGCATACAGAGTTAGAAATGAGCACCCGATGACCTCACGGAACGTCGCGGATAGCACCGATCCTCGCCAAGAGGATCGTCATTCGGCGTTTCCCCCTCTTTGTAGAAATGAAAGAAATGCTTTGATTTTACGAGCACTTGGTGGAATGATCAGGTAAAAAAAATAACCAACTATTGAATCCTGTCTGATCCGGTGGTCTAGCCGGTCATTATTCATTATTGAACTGCTAGTGGTAGCTTCGAAGCAGGTTTGTTTATATGACAGCATAACTGACCACCCAGGCGGCACCACGATGTGATGTTACGGAGACAGCTGCAGAAGGGAAGGATGGCCCCGGCATACCAGTATTTCTGCCTGGAGGGCAGCCACGCTCGTACAAAGTACACACACACACACACAGCCATTGACGGCTACTTTAGTTGATCTGTGAGGGGCACAATGATATTCAGATGATTTTCTTCTGTCCTCCAATAGATCTCAACCTACACTGCAAGTCTCGGGGTGTACAGGACAAAAGCGTCTATTCCGTAGAGCACTATCTATGCGGACCTTGTTTGGCCAGCATATAGTCGTGGAATCATGTGCCAGCCGTGCCATACTCGTGTCAGACTCTGCATACCATCTGACACGGAGGGAGGTAGGCGATGCCCAACGTTATTCGTGGCTCCATGAAGAGATGGCCTATCATGCCATCGCTTTTTCTTGCGCGTAGTGGGATGTCAAAGTCCCCGGATTCCATGCTCTTGCCCTTGTACGTACAGAGTACTCTATACCTGGATGGGAAGTCATTCCACTGCCAAGACTGCCTAGAGAGTGACCTGGAGAGCAGGTTCCCGTGACTGCCGATTCCCGAGATTTCTTTATTCGTAGTGAATACAGAGTGCACGGTAACAGAATACGGAGCTCAGAAGAGTCTCGGTGCAGTAGTATACCACGAGTAGGGTGTCTGGAACTGGATCAATCTTTAGTAGGAAGATCCAGCGTATCATGACGGACTGATGAAGTCGTATCAATGGAGCACAACCCAACTCATACTCTTAAGAAGCATAATACGGCCTCCATAATCATGCTGGTTATTTCCACGGCCTGCCCGTTGTGATCCCCACTTGGAGTAGTGAACGAGCTAAGAATCCGGATGCTCAAGGATAAAAAAAAAAAAAAAAAAAAAAAAAAGGAAAAAAAAAGGGAAAAAAAAAAAAAAAAAAAAAAATGTCGGATAGATTTCTAAGGCCTTGTTTTCTTCTCGTCTTCTTTTTCTTCTCCTTTCTCTGTTCCTGATTTTATTTCATCTGATCTCTAAATCCTTCTTTTATCTCTCTTCACCTCCTTGTTCTGCTCTTTGAGTAGCTCATACATACCTCGATCCGTGCTTTTCAGCCCTACCGCGGTATACTACACGCTTCGCCAATCGGCCTCTTCCCCTCCCCGTATAACACGCTCGTGTACTCCCTTATTAGCGACACTCTCTGCCGTTCGTTCTGTCCTACTCCAGTGTGCTACATTTACGCAGTTGACCAGGAGGAAATAAAAAAGGAGCTCCATACGGTGCTCGATACAGCTCTTTACAAGCTATCCGGAGTTGACGGCTTAGCTGGAGTGTGATATCATCAGCTCTGGGTACCGTCATAGCATAATCATTGCTCCCCAGAATAAAAAGGGAAAACGCAGAGGTCGTATTCAAATAGTTTCTCGAATCAACTCCTTCGTCCATGTGGCGCAAAACTGCAAATGCCGCGTTTACCGCGGTCTTCTTACTCGCGTCGCTCGCGAACGCTCTTCCTCACGGCGATGACCACTCGATGGATGATATGAATATGGACGTGGGAATGAGCATGGATATGGATGGACATGGACATAATTCGACTTCAGAATTGTCAGAACCAGCTGAGGACTCGCCCATGAGCTATTTCGCATATGGGAAGCACTCGGGTACCATCGTCGCCCACATCGGTCTGATGGTTCTAGCTTGGTGCTTTATTCTTCCTGCAGGTGAGAAGCTCTCCTTATGATCTCATAACCAATTGAATCTAACTGTGAATTTCAACAGGTGTCATGCTCAGTATCGCGCGCTCGCGGTTGGCGCTTCCCGCTCAATTCGCGTTCTTGGTTTCCAATGCCGTTGGTCTGTTGGTCGGAATCATCTATAACAGCCAGACCCCCGATCTTTACGAGAACAATGCGCACCATAAGATTGGCTGGATCGCTACCTGGGTCGCTAGCGCGCAAGTTGTCATGACCTTGCTCTTTGCTTATGCTGGACGGGGCGAAACTGAGGTGTCCTCTCACGAACGCGCTGCGTTTCTTCCCGTGGCGACTGAGGACACACCCAGTCCTTTGCAATCTTACCCGTCCGGCTCTTTCTACGACTACCGGTGGTCCAGGGACAGTGGCCAAGGATCGGAGCGTAACTCGTCCTCTCTGCACAGCCGCCCCGGGTCGCCTTCGGACGAATATGATGGTTTCGAGAAGCCGGACGATCAGGACCACGCGAAACCTACTGAAAGCCGGCGTTGGTTCCAGGGCACGGTTGTCGACCGATTCTTGTCCAGTCGTGTGCCTTCCATGGTTTCTAGTCGTTTTCTCCGGACTATGAACATTATTCATATGGTTATCGAGCGGATTATCATGCCTTTCGGTTTCGCTGCTATTGCTACTGGAGGTGTAACCTACGGTGGTATTATGGTAAGAGCAATTTATCTGGACTTCATTTCCCATCAGGAAAGTTGGCTAACGCATGTTTGATAACAGAGAGGCGTTGAAGTTTTCAACGGACTCGCACACTTCATCAAAGGAGGTATTTTCTTCTGGTACGGTCTGCTCACCCTTGGACGATGGATGGGCTGCTGGGCCGACTTGGGTTGGGCCTGGAACGTGAAGCCTATGCCTCCCATTGTGCCCAAATGGAAGGCCAATATCGCCAACGGAGAGTTCACCGAGTCGAGTGTGATCTTCACATATGGTATCACCAACGTCTTCCTTGAACACCTTGCCGGTTGGGGTACGGAATGGTCTGCCACGGACTTGGAGCATGTGTCAATCTCCATCATGTTCCTCGGTGGTGGTCTCTGTGGTATGCTTTTCGAGTCTAAGCGCATCAAGAACTGGTTGAACGAGACCATCTTGCAAGCTCCTGGACGCGGTTTAACGGACGCCAACTGGAAGCTCCCTGACACCCAGGGTGTGTCGCTCAACCCGATGCCGGCTCTGGTGATTCTTCTCTTGGGTATGATGATGGGATCGCACCACCAAGATAGCATGGTGTCCACTATGATTCACAAGCAGTGGGGCAACCTTCTCGTGGGATTTGCCTTGGCTCGTGGCGCGACCTATGTCTTGCTCTACATCAAGCCGCCGACCTCCTACCTACCCGCACGCCCCCCGACTGAGATTATCTCTTCTTTCTGCTTGATCGCCGGTGGGCTGATCTTCATGCTAAGTGTAAGTATCCACGAGTATCACGTTTATTGGAGAAAGCAATTAAGCTAACTATCTTTTGCAGACCCGCACCATTGTCGAGTCCATCGAGTACTACCAATTGGACGCCATGTTCACGTTTACCGTGGGCATGGGATTCACGGCTTTCATCATGGCCTGCGCTATCCTGTCCATTGCTCTGAAGGCGTGGGCAGTGAAGCGCGAGTCCAAGCCGCAACTGCCGCCTTTCCAGTTCCCGGCCACAGCATAAGTTCTGTCTTGACAGGAACATCGACACTCTCGACTCCTCAAACCACCGTCTTGCTGGAATTATGTGCAAGATCATAATTCTCCTTTCTTTTTGTTTTTGTCTTTTGTTGCTATCGAAGACAACGGCGGAAACAGAACCATTTCTGGACCCCGTTTATCGACTTCGCAGCTTGCAGCTTGCAGCTTTATACCCCATGCATTTATTGCTTTCTTCGGCCCAGAGTCGGAATTAGCCTCGTTAACAGAGGCATGATACCACGAGTACCGACGTACTGACGCGAGGAGTTTGCTATTTACACGATTTTTCTTCTGGTTTTATGAAAATGATATCCCATGGGTTATGGCTGAAATAATGAAGTGGTTAATTTGACGACTGGGCTTTGATTTTTGTGATTATTGCGAGATTGGTGGTCTTTGACACACGGTTAATAATATTGTCTATCTGAATATATGGTATCAACATGGTTTTTCTTTGTAGGTGTTTTGTAACAAATTTGGCGAAGGGCAAGCTTTTACCCAGTCCTTAGGGCACTTACTTGATCCTTCCTGTACGTCCGGTGAGGTTTCAATCACCGGGCTATACCTCTCGATTGTATCCGCTGCGATGTACTCAGACCCTAACATCCACTGGTGATGCTGTCCTGCATGTTTATCAGCACCGTCCTCATCAGACGTATTTCCTTTTATGGACGGATCATGTTTGGGGATAACGGGGACAGCGTTTACTGGGGATGAGTAGCATGCGAGACATTGGTCGTTGGATCTGGCTTTGACTTCGAGATGGGTGTGTTCGGAGAATGGTTCTGGTTTCTCGCTTGTGTAGGACATTTTGGTATTGGGTTCGTATCTGTAGATTCCTGCAGGAGCAGGAAGCTTACTATCGACATATGCTAAATCCGTTCCATTTACGTCAGAATTGGCAGTGGACATGCTGATGTGGTGTCTACAATTCATGCTCTCCTTTGATATAGCACTACATAGTACAATGCTGAGTTGATCACTGGTGATCTGCTGAAAGTAGTTTCGAATACCAGGAATGAGCATGAGCGAGTCAGACCGCTGTGCCGCCTGGATAGTGGCGTAGTTATGCTCGAGGTACATACAAGGGTGTCTGGATGCATAGATATCTCCAACCGCGGAGTTTAGTGTTTAACCCCGAGCTGCAGAAAGCTTAGCCCCACCCCACCGAGATGCCAACAAAACAACGTTACCACAGTGTAGGGGTATCAATATGACGCATTGAAGCTGCGCTTCATTGTCATAATAAACGTGGTAGGTTAGAGATAACAAATGGCAATGAGAATTGTTTCTTTTTATCTAAAGAATTGGGGTCGAGAACGAATCAGTCTTCCCCGCAGGATTAGTCATTATCAATGAGTAACTACATAACTAGTTAACTATTTCCCGAGGAACGGAGCAGGCAAGTGGGGTGAGAAAGAAAAAAATGGAAAGGAGACGTGGGACCTTGAATGACGACGTTATATAAGAGGGGTCGGACCGTCGGTCAGTGTAGTTTTACTCCAGCTTAGACCCCTTGATATCCCAAATTTCTCCCCTATATCTCTCTTATACCTCCATATCTTTGAAAATGGCCTCTAACCCCCCCGGAGCTTGCTGTGCCACTGGCTTTAAGCATGAGGGTACTCCTGTCGGTGAGGTGAAGAACATCGCTGGTGGTAGGTGTCCCATAGCTCTATTATTCGCCCCGTGTCCAATTACTGATTCCAACTCATAGTCGACACCTACATCACCTACCCCAAGGACAACAAGAACCCCGACAAGGCTGTCATCATCCTCACCGATATCTTCGGTCTCTTCGTCAACAGCAAGCTCCTTGCCGACGAGTACGCCAACAATGGCTACCTGACCATCATCCCCGACCTCTTCCACGGCGACCCCATCCAGATCGGCGACATGGAGGCCGGCAAGGTCAACCTCCCCGAGTGGATCCCCAACCACCAGCCCGGTCGTGTCGACCCCGTTATCGAGGGCTCCATTAAGTACCTCAGAGAAGACTTGGGTATCAAGCGTGTTGCTGGTGTTGGCTACTGCTTCGGTGGCAAGTACGTTTGCCGCTTCTTGAAGAACGGCAAGCTCGACGTCGGCTACACTGCTCACCCCTCGTTCGTCACCCACGAGGAACTCGGTGGCATCACTGGTCCTCTGTCCATTGCTGCTTCTGGTATGTTTTCCTTGAACCCTGCTCACTTTCTTTTTTCTTCTTCAGTGACTGATTGTCTATAGAAATCGACCAGATCTTCACCACGCAGCTCCGTCACGAGTCCGAGGACACCCTAATCAAGACTGCCCAGCCCTGGCAGATCAACCTCTACAGCGGTGTCACTCACGGTTTCGCCGTCCGTGCCGACCTGAGCAACCCGCACTTCAAGTTCGCCAAGGAGCAGGCCTTCTGCCAGGCTGTTGTGTGGTTCAACCAGTACCTGTAAATTGATAGAGTTTACACTGTAGATATCGGAGATCACGAATGATAATAATGAGAAATGAGTAAATTTATTTTTCTTGGCAGTCGTAGATCGTCCAATTCGATAACGGGCTTATCGGGTCACGTGGAACGGAGACCACCTGGAGTTCTGATCCTAATTATTATCCGGAGTTGGGACAGAGTCAAGCTTCGTTTCAGTCCTTTTGCACTTGACTTCACACTGGGGGCTATCGCTTGTGGCTCCTTTTACTGGGGTCTATTATTGCACTCTTTTGTGTCTCCTCAACTTCCTTCCACTCTGTTGCTGTTAGTTTTGCATAGCCCCTGGTGATCTACCAGGTGTCATTTGCGATAGCCGATTTCGCCTTGTTGTACAAACATTGGTTTGACTGGGGTTTAGCATTGCTTCTTTCTCTTTCCTTGGGAATTCGCATCCTACGGTTAAATTCATTCTTTTCGCTAGTGATCTCGGCAGCAACGTGTTGTATTTCCATTCATTGGCGACCTCGACCTCTCTTCGCTCGCTCGTGACCTCGGTTCGTCTACCGAATCGATCATCCGCCAGAACCGGCGTCGTACAACCGATCTCTTCGAATCTTCCCGCTGAAACGCATCGAGAAAAATAAAAGACCCGGTATCACACGACAAACAAACACTTCTCGAACAATGACTACCCCGGCCGCGCTACCACCGTTACCTTTCAACCCATCCCGGGTCCGGTCCTACATCCTCCGGCTGCCGCTTTTCACGCGACTTGTGCTTCTGGCGATTGTTGCGTTTTGGATTCTCGAGTTACAGACAATATGGAGTGTTGTGCAGTGGGGGTCGTTGACGCCGGATGAGATCGGGCTTGGTACTAGTATGTCCACTTCCCCCCCCCCCCCCTGCCTGTTTATAGGGATATGAGAGATGAGATGGAACGGGGCTAATGCAGCGAACTAGTGTACCGGCTTAATACGTATCCGTTTATTCATATGGGATTTTTTCATACTTTGTTGAACATCTTGGCTCTTACGCCGTTGTTGGAACGGTTTGAGGCTGAGCATGGGACGTTGACTTCGGTGGCTTTGTTTATTGGGCGTGAGTGGGCGGTTTGCTGTGGTTTCTTTCTAAGATTATGCTGACTTTGGTTTCAATAGCGCTTTCTACTCTTCCTGCGGGTCTCTATCTCCTCGTGGAAAAAGTGATTTTGCATCGCAATACTCCGGTTATTGGTGCAAGGTTCGTGATGAGTTCATTTCTTGGTTATGTGGTCAACAAGGCTGACTGGTACAAGCGTTTGGGCGTTCCTGCTCTTGGGCTCGGAGGCTGTTAGGACGTTCAAGTCCCATCCGTATTTCAGGTATGTTTTTGTTTGAGTGGAGGAACTACATAAGCGGAACGTCCATGCTAACTATGTTTTGCAGCATTGGTAGCTACAAGATACCCACCTGGACGTCGCCTCTGCTTGCGTGCGTTTTCGCTTCGGTGCTCATACCAAACACAAGCTTTCTTGGGCACCTTTGCGCTGTGCTTGTCGGATACTTGCGTGAGTACTATAACCTCTCTTACATCAGAGCGCATGCGCTGACTCCACATACTATCTCCAGTTGGCCTTGGATACCTCAAGGTCTTTGTCCCGCCAGAGAAGATCCTCCGATGGATCGAAGGCAAGCTGAATCTCCTGGGAAGATTGCCGCATTATGTGTCAGTGGATCAGAAGACATATGGTCGCTATGGTGTGCTCCCTACTGCAAACCCCGTGGGGGATCGATCGACACCCTTGACCTATCTGGGATCTACGCAGCGTCTGGGAAGCTCGGAATGATGACATTTGGGCTGCGCGTTACATGTGTGCATATGAATGATAATAAGAATGTTTATAATTGTATGATAGTAAAATATAATTTTGAAAAGCATCCAGAAGCATTGTAGGTCAAATTGTGCAAGTGGTCGCTACCGCCGGACGTATATTTATGATGCACGGTCTAGAGACCAGTAATCCGCGACCAAGTCCGACGTGCACTCCGTACAGCATGGAAAGATAACTCGGATGACTTGAATTTATGAATCAATGGCTTTAAAACGTGAGCATAACCCATCCTCCCTCGCGCTTCACTCAATCTCACACCCCTACCCATCCATCCATCTCCCCCGGATCTACCTCTCGAACCACCACTTCGAAACCAATCTACTAACACGCAAAAATGCCAGTCCCTACCCGCAATCTGCGGAGTAAGCCTCACCTCCTCTTCGTCCGCCTCCCGTACCTCCTCTCGTTTCTCTGCATCGTCGTCGGCGTTATCTGGCTTCTCCTCCTGCCCCTGAGCGAATACTCACGCCGGACGTATATATCGGAGAATGCGCTGCTTCCCGGTCAAGTGCATGCGTATTTCTCGGGTAGTGAGCAGAATATCTTCCGGGGGTATAAGAAGGAGCTTGAGGGGTTGTTGGTAGGTGGTAATGGTGATAATGGTGGTGAGGATGGAGTGAGCGGGGAGGTTGAAGTGACACCTGAGTATGCTTTCGAACCGTCCCCCGAGATATTGGACGAGTAAACAGTTGATTGGTCGTTGCGGATGCTGATTGTGGGTGAAAAGGGCGTCTGAAAAGGTACAATCGATCCTACGAGCCGCCGGGTTGAAAGTCGCGACGCAGAACTACGAGTACACGTCTGCTGGAATTACGCATCAAGGACAGAATACTTATGCGATTATCAATGCGCCGCGCGGAGATGCTACGGAGGCCATTGTGTTGGTTGCGGCTTGGAAGACGGCGGATGGGGAATTGAATACCAATGGGATTACTCTTGCGCTGACGTTGGCGAGATACTTCAAAAGTGGGTTTCTCCCTCTCGCATGGAGAAGGGGAAACAATATGTTGACCATGTGATTTATAGGATGGTCTCTCTGGTCCAAGGATATCATCTTCCTGATCACCCCCGACAGCAAGTCTGGAACGCAGGCATGGATCGATGCGTACCATGACATGCACCCGCCGTCCGTTCAACCATTACCATTGAAGAGCGGTGCATTACAAGGTGCCCTAGTGGTGGAATACCCCTTCGACCACCGCTTCGAGTCACTGCACATCGTTTATGACGGCGTCAACGGCCAACTGCCCAACCTTGACCTCTTCAACACAGCCGTCTCGATCGCCGGTGGACAGATGGGCATCAGTGCCGTCCTGCAAGGAATGTGGGATCACGACGACAGCTACGAAGCGCGACTAGAGACCATCCTCTGGGGAATGGTCAAGCAGGGCTTTGGCTACGCGACTGGTGCGCATAGCAGCTTCATGCCGTACCATGTTGATGCGATCACCTTGCAGACGAAGGGAGAAGGCTGGCAGGATGAGATGGCTCTGGGTCGGACGGTGGAGAGTCTCTGCCGGAGTTTGAATAATCTGTTGGAGCATCTGCATCAGAGTTTCTTCTTTTATCTGCTTATGCAGTCGAATCGGTTTGTTAGTATTGGGACGTATTTGCCCAGTGCGATGTTGATTGCTGGTAATTTTACCATTATGGCGATTGCGCTGTGGATGCGTACGGGGTATTATGCTGGTTCTTCCACCTCTAGCAGCGCAAATGCGCCGGTCGACGAGAAGAAAGAGACGACCCAGAAAGAGAAAGACGCCAGTCCAGCAAAGACAGATGCCAGTGGTGTCATGGAACGACAGCTAGCCCTTCCACTTACCTTTGTCGTTGGCCTCCATCTCCTGGGCTTACTTCCTCTATACATCTTCAACAACCTCTCTCACCAGGTAAGACAAACCCGATCCCATTCCAGTTTAGAAGACATCCAAACTAACAAAAACAGTACTTCACTCCCGCAGTCTACACCTGTATCCTCGCAGACATCCTCCTCCCCCTAACCCTCGCCGCCCCCTTAACCCACCACTCCCCTTCAACCCCTTCTACCCCTACCAACGCAATCCCCCAACACTACCTCCTCATAAAATCATTCTCCCTCCTCCTCCTCGGCCTCTTCCTCTCCACCCTCGCAACCCTAAACTTCTCCCTCTCCTTCATGATCGGCCTCCTCTGCGCCCCGCTCACCTTCACAAACCGCACTACCTCCACTTCCGTTCTACGGTACATCTTCTCGACAATCGGGCTGGTCCTTTTGAATGTTCTTTCGCCGCCAGTTGTGCTTGTGGGTGGGTGTTGGTATGCAGGCGTGAGTGTGGAGAGTGTGCTTACGCAGGCGGCGTTTGGGTGGGACGTTTGGGGGATGTGGACGCAGGTTGTTGTTTGGTGTGTTTGGTGGCCGGCTTGGGTTATTGGGTGTGCGTTATTGGGGTCTTCGATGTTTTAGATCGGCTGGATATGGTGGTATATGCTTGATTGTGAAGGCTGTATAGATTAATATGGGTTTTATGTACGGAGTGGTTTGGGATATTAAAGTCCTTGACATTGCAACCATCATCAATTACCATCATGCTTTTCCTATCATGATCAGGAAATCTAATACAGGATTGTACGTAAATGCAAGCAGTGCCATCCCCATTCAGATAGAACACATCTATGCAGCCCACACATCCTTGCCAACACCCTCGATCCAGTGACCCAACTGGTTGACACCAGCATCCCAGTCCTTAAGCCTGTTCCGCATGCCTTCAATCTGCTTCAGATCCAACACCTTGGGCTGCACCCAGTTGATCTGAGCGACCTGAGCGACCTGGTCGATCGATCCCTTAAGGAGACCCAACGACAAAGCCTTCATAATCAGATGTTCAATCTCCTCCGGCTTCACCTTCGTCTCGATAGAGATCGATTCGAAGGTCAGGTTGCGGTCGTGCGGGGGACGGCGGAAGACCATCTCTGTGAGGGCGGAGAGGGAGATCTTTTGGTAGAGGAAGATGCGGTGCTGTGCCAGGAGGGGGTCCTTGGCGATGTTGCCGGCCAGAACATCGTATGCGGCCAGGTCGCCACGGTTGAAGGTGAACAAGAGGTCACGCAGCCAGGTGTGTTGCGCCTCCGTGAGCGAATCGAGAATCGGGTGCATCAACAGTTCACCGAAGTTGTAGATCGAGTCGGACACTAAGGCGGCGATACTGAGGTTATATGCGCGGGTGGCCCGCTCGGATGCAGACAGGTCCTCCAGGTTTACGCAGGCGAGGTAGAGGAGGGCGTTCTTGTAGAAGGAGGCGAATTCTTGCTTGGCCTAATTTCGCGATTGTCAGTTTGCCATGTAATCAAGCCAGAGATCTTATAGTAATGACTTGTACTAACGTGATAGTAGTCTGCATTCACTTTATAGAACGAAGCGTGCACAATAGTCTCAACCGCATCGAACGAGTCCAAGATCCGCTGGCACATCTCCAGATCCTTCTTTGCACCGTCAAAGTCCTGTAGCCGCTGCTTAACGTTGGCAACGTCCGCAAGAGCGTAGGCATAGGCATCTTGTGATTCGGGCTTGTTGACTTTATCGGCCAATGATGTAAGGAAAGACAGTCGCTCTTGGTCATCTATTCCAACGCGTGCTGTTAGCTTCATACGCCTCCAATCCAAGCATTTCAACAAACCCACCTGCACATCCCGTCGATGCCATCAACCCCAGCGACACAAACTTTAGCTGGTTGATCCGGTCCGCAAAGCTGAGAACAAACGTCTTGAAGATCGCTAACCGCTGCGGAGCACTCTCTGGTGTGCGGAAGAAGTCGATCAGGGTATCGGTGAGTTGGTGCCATAACTTTCGCTCCCAGTAGTCTTCGAAGCTGAGGAAGAAGGGTTGGGATTGCTCCGGAGCTTGTGAAAGCTGTTCGGTCAGGAAATCGGAGATCTTTTGGTTCTCCATGGTGGAGTGGCAGGGTTAAGAGGTGAGCTGCGGGCTGAGACGAATCGACGAATTCAAGGGGAATGAAGCTTTGATAATAAACAGCGAAATAGAACCAGTCCGGGGTATACAGAAATCGAGACCGTTTCTGATGGAGGCAAAAAGATGGCCGTGATGTGTTGAGAGATGACAGACATAGCGATGGCTGGCCGCTTTGGGAGGAGCTCAAGGCGGTGTCTATGCGGCGCCGTAGTCCGCTGTCGTCAGTAGATCCGCTTCATCTTGACCCGATTCAACTATGTACTCCCAATTACCACAAGGCGTGTTTTCTTTTCTTTTTCTTCTTTTCTTTTTCTTTTGCATTGACTCAGAAAAATACCAACTTTCTTATACGAGGCTTTGGCATGGCTCTAGTCCAATTAATGCCTTCCACGCGCAGGCGCTATGGAATCCAGTTAGAAAGTATCCGATATCTCTCCGAACTAGTATAGAGTACCTTGGGAAATCTTGGTGCTTAAATATCAAGCTATTCTCTCGTCAAATTGATCTTTCTCCGTAGCTTCATCACTCAGAGTCCCAATCCAGATATAGTCAATTGCTTTTATTTGACTTATACACTTTGCAGCAGCTATCTTCACTCGATTACAGCTATGGCAGAACTCACTGAGAAGAACAGACAAGTCTTTGAGTACGTGGACCTTCTGTGCTGCGATGGACAGTAACTGACCGTGACTGTAGCAAGAAGGCTGGCTCTTACATGAACGACTTTTCTGGTGTTATCCAGTCCATCTGCAACCAGGTCGAGAACCGCCGGTTTTGGATCAGTGACAAATGGACGGATACTGAGGCCGGAAAGGGACAAGCGCTTCGGATGCTCGAATATGCTTGTGGTCCAGGTGCCATATCTGCGGTATGTATAGGCAATGTCCTTCTTTGGCATGAGAATGAATGAATGGCTGATTTGCATAGACACTGGCTCCATTTGTGACAAAGGTCCTTGGATTAGACGTCTCGGATAACATGGTTGCGGAATTCAACAAGAACGCTGAGGCGGCTGGTCTTTCAGACAAAATGAGTGCGCAGAGAGGCGACCTCCTGGCGGACAGCGCGTCAACTGAACTGTCCGGTCCGGAATTCTTCAACTTCGATGCTGTGGTTGTCAGCATGGCCCTTCACCACTTTGATGACGCCGGCAAAGCCCTGAAAAGCCTCGCAGAACGATTGCAGTCGGGTGGCATTTGCGTGATCGTTGATATCATCCCGGACCATTCACACGATTTCCGTCAACAAATCCGTGAGCATGTCAACAGCGAGACTGCTGAAACGGTCAAGTCACACGGGTTTACCCTGGAGCAAATGAGGGACTTGTTTGCGGGTGCAGGCTTGACAAATTTCGGCTACCATGTCTTTGAGGAGCCGGCAGTATTCCGCAAAAATGGGAAGGAGATCTCGAAGACTCTCTTTTTGGCCAAGGCACAGCGCTCATAGACCTGTTGGCTTGACGGATAGGACTTTTTCTCTCTCTATGAATGAACGATGGCGTTATCGAGTGCCTCTAATAGATTTTCAATTGATTGCACTCGATGGTATTGCATCCTAGATAATTGAATCCAGTCTTAAAAGGCTCTGTAGTATGTAACAGGCCATCTTATTGGTCGAAACTTAACGGCCAATGATATCCGCTGAATAGTCAGACATAAAGAGCATAGAGGTGTTCAGCATCAACAAACTGGGTCAATTCAATTGAGAATGAAAAATGTCAAATCAATAGCACCTCCTAACATCTCACTTTTCACAGCATCCCAGAAAAACCACGATGTGGGCTATGATGCGGCTCCAGCAGCTATGTAAAGTATTTCCTAATAGGGACTAGCGCGGTCCCGTGGCCTGCACGGGAGTCTCTGGAGAACGACTTTCGCCAATCCAGCGTCAAGTCCAGCACCACTTGCTGAGCTCTGCCGGCCCGCCTCCCATTTCTCCCACCATAGTACGTACCTTTCCCCCTCGAATGTCGCATTTTATTGAGCTCCTCTAACCTACCCGCGAACAGATGACCATGCAGAAGTGCAGGGCCGTCAATTCCGCCCTGGGGTCGAAGGCATTCGTCCCCGCTCCTCGGGTTCAATTCCACGCGCAGCGCCGATTCCTCCAAGATGTCGCGATTACTAGAACCGGAAAACCAGTTCTGAAGGTCCAGGGTGGACGGTAAGAATGCGTTGAAGCTGAGGTGCTGATCAATGGGTTGCTGACGGGTCGTTTTTCTTCCACAGGTCGTCCCTCGGAGGTATCAAGCTCTTCCCAACCGGTCCGCATTGTTCGCCTGTTCGATCAATCTGACAATCTTTGATTTAGGTCATACCGTAACCGTCTTCGGTGCCACCGGTTTCTTGGGTCGTTATATCGTCAACAGACTCGGTATGTCAATATGCTGCCAGCAGGGGAAGGGAGAAGCTGACAATCCGTCCAGCTTCGCAGGGATGCACGGTCGTTGTTCCCTACCGCGAGGAGATGGCGAAGAGACACCTGAAGCCCACTGGTGACCTTGGCAGAGTCGTTTTCATTGTACGCCGTCAGCCCGAGTCAATGCAAAATCATATCGTGCAATAAGCTTATACATACCTAGGAATATGACCTGCGGAACACCCAGTCGATCGAAGAGAGCGTCCGCCACTCCGACATTGTCTACAACCTGGTCGGCCGTCAATACCCTACCAAGTGAGTGGTTGCTAGGAAGTTTCGGTCGTGAAGCTGGTGTGTTAATGGCTATGCAGGAACTTCTCCTACACCGATGTTAACGTCGACGGTACGGAACGCATTGCAGAGGCGACCGCCAAATACGACATTGACCGTTTCGTTCACGTCTCCTCTTACAACGCTAGCAAGGATTCTCCATCCGAGTACTTCTCTACGAAGGTCCGTTCCTTGATTTGGATAATACATTTGTTGGGTATACTGAACTGTGTCATAGGGCTGGGGTGAAGAAGTGGTTCGCTCCATCTATCCCGAGACCACCATCGTCCGACCCGCTCCCATGTTCGGATTCGAAGACAACCTTTTCCACAAGCTCGCTAGCGGGGCCAACCTCTTTACCGCCAACCACATGCAGGAGCGCTTCTGGCCTGTTCACGTAAGATATTCTGCGCAGCGCATGTTATGGTTGAATGTTTTGCTGATGTCCAATCCAGGCCCCTGATGTTGGCGCTGCTCTCGAGCACATGCTTCACGACGATTCCACTACGGGTGAGACCTATGAGCTTTACGGTCCCAAGAACTACTCTACCGCTGAGATTGCCGAGCTCGTGGACCGTGAAATCGTCAAGCGCCGTCATCACTTGAACTTGCCCAAGGGTGCCCTCAAGGCTCTGGCTTACTACCTGAACAAGTACCTCTGGTGGCCCACCATCTCCGCCGACGAGGTCGAGCGGGAATTCATCGACCAGAGAATCGACCCCACGGCCAAGACCTTCAAGGATCTTGGAATTGAGCCGGCTCAGCTGGAAGACCTCACCTTCAACTACCTGGTAAGTGTTTGTTGTCTTGTTTTGTGATTCAGTAGCTAACTGTTGCGCAGAAAGGTTACCGGAGCGCTTCCTACTACGACCTGCCCCCGGCCACAGAGCGGGAGAGACAGGAAGAGAGGAAGTACGTGCATGTTCTCGACGACCAGTAATCGTCTCTGTTTCCATACGTGTGTACATAAACTAGACTCAATCAATTTCCTTGTGTTCTCCAATGACGTATGTCGGAGTATAATGTTGCAGCGGCCAGGCATGAATGGGCTATATTCAGCAATTGAATTCATGATAATGAAATATCAGTAAACCGAGAATGAGTCTGTCTATAGCATAATAGCAATCCACCTATTTAGCTGCCAAGCTTCTTATTAGAACAAATCCCCCGCCTCATCCGACAACTCCAACGATTAACCACCCACCACCAGTACAACAACCATTACCAACCCTCCAAAACAAAAGAACCAACAACAATGTCACAAAAAACCCCAATCCTCCTCCTAAAAACCAAATCCACCCCTTCGGACGCCTACGACGAATACTTCACCAAAAACTACAACCCGCTCTTCATCCCCGTCCTCTCGCATCAATTTCACGCCCAGAACCTCGCGCACATCTGCGACCTCTTCAACGCCGGCGCCTTGAAACACGATAACCCGGAACGGAAATATGGGGGGTTGATATTCACCAGTCAGCGCGCTGTGGAGGGGTTCGCGAGGATGGTTGAGGATGTTGATGGTACCCTTTCCCTCCCCCGCTCCAGAGTATGGGATGGATTGGTGCAGTGCAAGGTGCTAATGAGATTCGATCAATAGGACAAATAGCTTCGGATTCTTCGAAATCACTCCCCCTCTACACCGTCGGCCCCGCGACATCCCGCTCGCTATCATCGCTCGTGAAATCGCACCTCCCGCACACAACAATCCACGGCGCGGATACGGGGAATGGGGAGAATCTCGCGCGGTTTATCCTTGAGCATTACAACAGTCTCCCTGGGAATAAGAACGGGAAAGGGGAGAAACTGCCGCTTTTATTCCTCGTTGGTGAACAGCGACGAGATATCATTCCTAAAACGCTTATGTCGGAGGGGTTAGAGGAGGGGGAGAGGATTGGGGTGGAGGAGGTTGTTGTTTATGAGACGTGTGTTATGGAGTCGTTCGAAGGTGACTTTACTAGAGTCATAGACACTTATAAATCTGGGGATAATGTTGATGGTAGTGAAGGGGAGAAGGAGATGTGGGTAGTCATCTTCTCGCCAACGGGATGCGATGCCATGTTACGGGTTCTTGGACTGGATTCTTCTTCAAAAGATAACGGGAATGGGGTGTTAGTGGCACCCGGGAAGAGGGTGTTCGTTGCGACGATTGGTCCTACGACGAGGGACCATTTGCGCTTGAAGTATGGGTTCGAGCCGCATGTTTGTGCTGAGAAGCCTAGTCAGGAGGGCGTTGGGGGTGGGATTAAGAGGTTTATGGAGGGGAGGAATGGTAAATAGGTGTGATTTGGTTGTTTTATAGCGATATACCTATGTAGATTACTCGATACGTATGATGGAATGAATGGAGATATGCTATTTAAGTGATCCTTTGCAAAGAAGGTTGGCTATCTTAACGCCGTACTTTCAAACAAATACAATAACAAAAGGCCCAAGAGGGATGGTAAAGTGCTCGAGTGTATGTATGTCGCCTTAAAAACAAAACTATCCTGACCCATATCCACTTCCTATTCACATGGTCTCTTCTATCTACTCGATGTATGGTTGCAATCATTTATGTACTCGGGTAGCCCTTAAACGAGGTGTTTACCGCATGATCTCTTCGTAAATCAAGTCTGGATGGTTGTTAGCTTGGTTGCAAATAGGCTCATTTGGGTGGAGGTGGAACATACACTTCAGCTGCTCCTTGCTGAGCGCATCCTTGTTCTTGTCGAAATCGAAGAATCCATCCGGGATCGGGGGAGCAGTGGGCTCATCGTCCGGGTCATGGTACGGCTCCAGGTACGGGTGCTGGAGGGCTTCTTCGACTGAGATACGCTTGGCGGGGTTGAATGCGAGGAGTTTCTCCAGGAGATCAAGGGCCTGGTCGTTGCTCTTGGGGAAGAGGGCCTTGAAAGGAATCTTCTTCTTGAAGGGAAGCGAGCGGATGTACTCGCGAGCACGGCGGGACTTGATTCCGTAGTAGTCCTCCATGGTTGGTGTACCCAGGACATCAAGGATAAGGGTCAATTGGTGGTGGTCTGTTTCACGTTAGCGCATTGAAGTCTTCTCTTCCGGCGCTGCCACTTACAATCTTTTCCAGGAAACAGGGGCTTTCCGCTCAGCATCTCGGCCAATATACATCCAACACTCCACACATCAATGGCTTTTGTGTACTCCTTAAAGGTCAACATGATTTCGGGCGCACGGTACCAACGAGTCGCAACGTATTCTGTCATGAATCCAGAGTTGTCGTCGGTTGATGCGGCGGAACGGGCCAGACCAAAGTCGCAGACTTTCAGGTCACAGTTTGCGTTGAGCAACAGGTTCGACGGCTTCAGGTCACGGTGGAGGACGTTTGCGGAGTGCATCGCTTTGAGCGCACGGAGGGTCTGGTAGATGAAGTACTGGCAGTGGTCGTCGGAGAGGTCTTGGGTACGGATAACTCGGTGCATGTCGGTTTCCATCAGTTCCTGCGATAGTTAGCCTGGTTCCCATGGGGTAATACCAGGGAAAGTAGTACCTGAATGAGGTATACTTCATTGAAAGAGTCATAGCTGCGGGGTCTCTGGATATCCAGGATAGAAATGATGTTCTCGTGGTTGAAATAGCGCAGCAGCTTCATTTCACGCAGGGTCCGCAGACAGAACATCGAGTGGTCGAAGGGGATGATCTTCTTGATCGCGACCTTTTGGCCTGAAGGTTTGTGAATCGCCGAACTATGAGATACCGTTTAGTACTGGACTATACTCCGACAATCACAGATACATACCAGACAACACCATAGGCACCCTCTCCGATGATGTCAGCGATCTCATACTGCTCGGAGATGTTGAAGGAGATCTTCCTCGACCCTTGCATCTTTGCTGTGGTTTAGAACTATGAATCGGCTTGTCAGAGGTCTAATTGACATGGAATCGGCCATGGAGAATCCTGGCATGCTGTTGAAATAAGCTTACATTTGTTTGTGTCACGGTTCGTGTAATCCAAGTGTGCCAAAAGCAGACGGACTATTCAAGGTGTACGTCGCAATCTGCACTGAGGTATAGCGAAACAATCGGGGCGTAACCGACGGTTGTTGGTGAATTCAGGAAATTGTAGGATGCGCGAATCTCGCGATTTTTGTTCCCCCCTTATTCCAAAGCCCAGTGGCCCTTCGAACAAGGTCGACTGACGTGGGTAGCGGGGATGAGCGGTTAATCGATGGCGGATAGTGGTACACTTGATGAGCAGTCACGTTAGAATCGAAAGGCTGCAAGAGGAAAACGAATGAGCGAGACGCCTTAAGCGCTTAGGTCGAGCCATGCCATTCCATTGGAGAAGCCACGGTCATCGACATGGAAGACAAAGCGAACGAATATCCGTACCTGGGCGTGTAGTTTCCCCTGGCCTGCAAGTGGGTGTTTATCGGGCTGCCGTCGGAGAAACCGTCGTGGGATCTGTTGTTGGAGGCCGTCAGTGTCTGGGAAATATTAAATATAAGTGAGTGGAAAGGCAAAGCAGGAGATAATTCTGACAGAGCACACAGACTTTTTTTCTGAGACGGTCGGAATAAGGATGGATCTGGGTTTGTCTGTCACTCTCTGCTGTCTCAATAGTCTGTCTGCGGAGGGGCTGGAGAGGGGGAGAGTGACGGGGGTGTGGGGTGGGGCAGTCAGCAATAATGCAGGAGTACGTACAGAGTAGAGTACAGAATACAGAGAAAAATGTATGAGAGAAGCTGAGGAAGAGAGTTGAAAGAGAGAAAGAAAAAAGAAGAAAAGAAGAACAGGGAATAGTAGTGAGCGATCAAGCACAGCAGTGATTTCTATTTGGTCCAGGCCCTCAAATAATAGTCTACTTTAGGAGCAGGACTATTAAATGGAGATTCAGGGAGATTAACACCTTTCTTGATAGAGTATTCCATGGAGTCCTCTATCCATGGTAGAAATGTCTGCCATTGACCCTGAAAATCCTCTGCTACTCTTCTGTCTCAACCAGTGTTTCATCTTCTTTCTTAGTTGCCTCAGCATTCACCAGAGAATCACTCCATAATCTACCGACGGACTACTACTACAGAGCAGAAAGTTGGCACTACTGCTGGGCCAAACTCAATCATCACAGTTCATCACAATCCATATCACATGGCCTCTCATAGTCACCTCCTCAACTTCCATACAAATATTAATACCAGCCAAAAAAGGGGAAGTACCCTGACTGCCAAATAAGATATCATTGTAATCGGTGTTGTATCTCTCATAGAAAATAAGGAACCAAAGTATTTTAGGAAACGGAAGCCATCTTCTCCTACTGCACAATCTGTATACGTGTTTTCAACCTTATCAGCTCAGTGGTCTTTATCGCACCAAGTCGACTGGGAGAGGGAGAGAGTAGAAAAAAGAAAGAAAAAAAGGGGATCAAACCTTTTCCCGCAAAGATCCCATCCATTGCACCAAACTGGCGCTCTGATCCGATCGGTCCTCAACCAACAGCGTCTGTGCCCACAACCGGAGGCCTGGCTCCCCGTCCTCCCTGACCACATACAGATGCGGCACCACGATACTGCCCGCACCCTTCGCACGGTGGTCCCGGCTTTTCTCAACTACCGCCCGAACCCGCTGGCTGAAGTCATTGTCCAATTCGGGAAGGTACTGCTTGCCCACGCGGAGTTGCAACTTGTCGGGTAACTCGAACACGTCGAGGATGAGCTGCGGCACTGCATCGCGTCCCACCCACAGGAACTGCGTCTGCCCGTCGTCGAGAAGGTAAAGACCATACGACAGCATCTGTTCAGACACCAGATTGATGGGCGGCGGAAGGATGATTTCGCCCGTCTGCTCATCCGGCAATCCCGCATTGTCTGGCATGTCGTGTAGCGAGTACATCTTCGGGTAGATGTACTGCATAAGAAGGGGAAGAGGAAGCGTCGAAAGCATACAAAGAGCAGCTGATCGCATATCGGTCGGAATCTGAGCGGATTTCCGGAGACCAAGCTGGAAAAAGTCAGTTATCACAACGTTTGACAGTGCAACCAAAGGTCAAAAAAAAAAAAAAAAAAAAAAAACTTACGTTCTTGATCATGGCGAGGAAAAGAACAGGAAGTGCTCTCAAGTTGGCAGGGAACTGAAGTCCGCTACCGCTTGCGCTTCCACCGGCAAGCTCCTTGCGGTATGTCGACAGAAGTTCCGTGACCTTGGCCTGCAATGCCTCTCTTGCTGGCTCCAGACCATTCGACAGAGCCCGCTCAACAGCTTTGTGGCTGAAATAAGCGGAAATCGCCTGTTGATCCGCTGAAGCATACAGGTCGGCAAGGTTCTGGGTGGTGGGAAGCGCCACGGTCGAGACACGGATCCTCCGCTCGCCGTTACACGTGGTGTGAAGGACAGCTGCCTGCATGCATACTACTGGCTTCGTGACAGTCTCGTCAATCGCAACCTCAACGACGTACGCTTGATCACGCGGGAAAGCAGGGAATGCACACAGATCCGAGCTACGGTTAAAGAAGTTACCGTAGAACGTGTTCATCCGCAGACCAGTCGTTGCACGGACACGCAGGACAGCCTCCAGCCCAATCTCTGACGACAGGTACTCAGAAAATTCCCGTGCGAACTTAATCGCATCTTCGCTCCGGGCCGCGTTCCACCCAGGATAGAAGTAAGTCTGACCACCCGTGTATCTCGGAAGGTTACTCAAGGACGCCACATCTTGATATTGGGAGGAGAACAAGAACATGTCCACCGACACCTGCGCCTTGGAACACTCGACGGCAAAACTCTTGTAGAAGCTGTTGGCGGTCTGCAAAAGACTGTTCTCCTTGTTCGTACCTAGGACCTTCTTATCTTCTCTCATGGTAAGGACACCTTGTCCAACATTAGGGAGCGACGTGCTGAGGACAGTCATCTTTCCACCCACGGGGGAGATCAACTTGTAACCAGCCCGCAAAGCCGATCCCATAGCACAGCCATTGCTCTGGGTGTTCTGGAACATGTCCTGCAGCTTGTCCAAGAACAGCTCGATGTTCTCCCGACATTCACTCAGTGGCACCAGAAGATCACCGGGGATGGGAAGGAATGGCTCGTCAAGGTCGCTGACAACAAGCATACGCGGGTCTGAGCTCTCGGATCCGTCTCTGGGGATGCTGAAGTAATGAAGGCTTGTGTCCACGGCCATAAAGCCCAACCGGGTCCGCCGATCCGCGTTAGGGATCCGGTCAAGGCTCTCCTTGATGCATCGTGCGGTTGTGGCCAAGAGGCCGTTAGCAACCGAAGTATAGCTCACATCAATCAGGAAGAGGTAGACAAGCGGCTGTGGTGGTCGGACCATATATTCTTGAGGTGCGACAAACTCAACGACCGAGTGGTTGAGTTCGGGTCGCAGAGCCCGGTCCGCGGGCTTTTGCGCAGCGCTATCCCAATCGAAGGCTTGAGGCACATCGTTCGTCAAGCTGCACATATTGCAACGCCAGCGGTGGCCATTATCCATGAATGTGACGAATGGATTGATGTAGGATCGGCAACGCCTGCATCGTGAGATGACTTGATCGGGAATCACCGGGATAGGGTCCTCTGCGTCATGGAGGGCTGCGTATGGCTGAATGACAAGAGAGAAAGGTAATTTGGATTTCTTCAAAAGCGAGTGGTTTGTCGGAACGGCATTTAGTGTCGAGCGCATGTACTTTGGAGGGCAGTTTGCATGGGGAGACGGGAAGACACTGGTCTAAGAGCAAGTCAGCAAGCTCCAACACCAAGTAGTCCAGTAATCTAGGTACATACACCCGGCGGCAAAATGATAGGAGGCGGAGGCAAGTCTAGCTCTGCGACATTAAATGGTTGACTGAGAAGGTCGGTCGGAATGAGTTGGTTGAGAGAAACAGGTCGTGCTTGGGCAGGCTGAGGCGCCATCTGATGCGGATCGGCCATACCCATAGCACCAAATTGCTGGGTCATCTGTGCGACTCCAGGTGCGACAGGCGGGGCGTATCCTTGAGCCATAGGCTGCATCTGGGATGCGGGATCTGCCCCGTACATGGGCTGCGCCACGGGTTGTTGGTATCCCGCAACAGGCTGGGGAGGGTAGCCGTAGCTGCCGCCGGCTGGCATCTGACCTCCCAACGCCGCATTGGCACCGGAACCAAACTCGAAAGACTCGCCAGCATATACTCGCTTCTTTCTACCAGCTTGACCTTGAGGAGGCTGCCCGGGCTGAGGAGAACCATAGCCAACGGGTTGGCCATACCCTTCCTGGGGAGGGTAACCCCCCTGTGGTGCTTCCATGAGAGACGAAAGTGTGATATCAGGTAACGACGACTATTGGCGCTTGGTAACTCTCGTCGAAGATAATCTCGCGGGAGGGAGGGTATATGTAAAACGTCGTGCGAATTGTAACTGGTTTACTGCTTGTTTCGGTCAGCCACGATATCGACTTCGAGCAGAGAGAGGGGCAGAGCGACTCGGGCCACTCTGCGTGCTAACGAGCAAGTTTATAGAAGGAAGACGAACATATAACCAGAATATATTAAAGGAAGAATTAATGAGTTCGCACGCAAAAGCCGTACACCAGGTCGGTCAACGTGTCTTGGAGGGAGAAGTTATGGTTTATGCTCGAGTAGGCGAAGGTGTACGGTGGCCTTTGCGGCAACCTTGCCTCGGACCAATCAGAGCCCCGCAGGCATCAGTCCCCCAGCCAGACTTCAACGTCGTCTCAACCTCTCTCATTTTCAATGTTAAATATTTGCCATGAAAATATTGATTTAGCTACTAGGGAATGATGAAGTGTTGCCAATGAACTACTGGCGTCATTGAGTGAGTACTGTGCGGATTTTCATTGGTATATATCCACACGGTACTACTAACAGGAACAGGACTCCGTACCATACTTCTATACAATAGGGCTCCTCACACTCTTCTAAAGCGATAAAATGGGTTAAACTACATTGTCGGACGCCCCCAACGCCCACAGCGATACACAACACCACGCAGGACCACTCGAATGCCACTCTATGGACCAAGGGTTGATGTTTAAAGAGAAGAGGACAGAACGCTTGCACCCTGGGGAATTGCTGGAACTTGTTGAACAGGTTGCAGACTGTCTATCACTCGTCCGCGACACAGTGCTACGAAAGAAGAAGGTTATCGTGTGCGATTGTGACCTACTGGATATGATGTGCCCTGACTCTCCTTCTTGAATACCTTACAGAACTACTCTGTAGTTCTGAGGCATTATGCGGTGGATGCTTTCATGGTAAGAGAATGTACTACCAGGAATAGCAGGACTGAGTGATATGCATAGACCATAGCTATTTTTACCATTGTTGCTTGCGCATATGCATGGCAAACGCAATTGATGCTTTCCTATTCCCATCACTACTAGTCTTCCTTGAGCCTTGAGTTCTCTTTTGTATCTCGACGCTATGTTAGGGCGGTCACGGGTTGCCGTGCCAACGCTGGGCGGTTGTGGAGCGCACGACCACAACGCATCTTACCCCCATTCTCCTCAGTTTGTCCTCCACTCGAGGGTCAGTTTGTGGCTGCCAGTACTAACCAAACAGGTGCTGCAGGCTTTGTTGTGGCTTTCGGCTCTTCCTTTTCGTGTTCTTCTTTTGTTTTGCATTTCAGCGTCAATGAACAGAGAATTGGCATTTCTTCCTGGTCCATAGAGAGATACCATTGCATCGCAATTCGCCTCTTCCCACTTTTTGCTCTTTGCCCCACTTGCTGCTGCGTTGTATTATTATTATGCAGCAGACCTAAATCCGAAGACGCGACTGTTGACATCGAAACGATAACCCGTTCGCACAGGCACCTAGCCGTACACGTCGACGAGGGACACACGGAACTATCGCTCGACGGAATACAAGGCTTGGACGAAGAGGACATACAGTATGAGTGTTCGGGTCGTTGCGCGAATCAGACCTCTCTTGAAGTCGGAACGAGAATTGGATGTCATTGTTCGGACAGGCACCAACAACAAAGGAGAGAAGAAGAACACTGAAGACAGTAAATCTCTGGCCGCATTGAGGGATCGTGATACGCTTGTGCGAATTCCAAACCCGAAACATGAACACGAGGAGTACTCTTTCCAGTTCAATGCAGTCTACGACGCGGAGGTTTCTCAGCAGGAGGTCTTCGACGCTGAAGGTCCGCACCATCCTGAATTATACGCGCCGAAAGCTCCTTGACTTACTGATTGGACGTGCAGTTGCTCCCACCGTGAAGCACCTTTTCAATGGATTTGACGTCACCTTGTTCGCATACGGCGTTACGGGAACCGGGAAAACCCACACGATGCGAGGTGGTAAAAGCCTTGCTGACAGGGGTGCAATCCCCCGACTTCTCAGCACCATCTATCGACGCGGACGGAAGATCGAGAAGGACAGCGAGGGGGCTACATCCGCGAATGTTTCCTTGAGTTATTATGAAATATACAATGACAAGGTCTACGATTTGTTCGAGCCCCCAGAGAAGAGGACGTTCGCAGGACTGCCCCTTCGGGACAACGGTGGGAAAACGGTCGTCGTGGGGTTGACAGAGAGGCCCTGTACGAGCTTGAAAGAGTTTGAGAGCCTTTACGACCAAGCAAACACCAACAGGTCAACCTCTGCTACCAAGGTGAGCACGCTAGCTGTTGTCCCAGCCGGCATACACAGCACTAATGGAATATAGCTGAACGCTCATTCTTCACGATCTCATGCCATCCTTTGCGTTAAGCTTACGGTCACTACCGGCGACAAAACACGAATTAGCACTGCTTCCGCCATTGACCTTGCAGGCTCCGAGGACAACCGCCGAACGGACAACGGGAAAGAGCGCATGGTGGAATCAGCCAGCATCAACAAGAGTCTATTCGTACTAGCCCAGTGCGTCGAAGCAATGACCAAAAAGCAACAGAGGATCCCGTATCGAGAGTCGAAGATGACGCGAATTCTATCGTTGGGCCAGAACCAAGGATTGACGGTCATGATCCTCAACCTTGCCCCCGTTCGATCTTATCACTTGGATACACTCAGCTCACTCAATTTCGCCAACCGGACGAAGAAGATTGAGGTTCGCGAGGTCGAAAATGAGCCAATGTTCAAAGGTCCTCCTAGGCCAGCCATGCGGCCTTCTGTGGCTGCCCAGCGGCAGCCTCTCCGGCCATTGACGGCTTCAGTCAACGCAAATCTACCAGCACCTGGCACAACAGATGCGTCGAAACCTGCAGACAGCAAGCCTGTGAAGGCATTCTCTGTCTTCTCCGATAAGCCACAGCCGAGGAATTCGACACAATTCAAGAAGCCTGAAATTCCAAAGCGGACATCCTTGACCTCTAATACTCCTCGACCACAACCGTCGAAGATCGGCCGTCCTTCCCAAACAACAACACAACAGCAGAGCAACCACGAAGATATCTCCGCTGTTAGAATTGAGGAAATGGTGCAGAAGAAGGTCGAGGAGATCCTCGCCGTCAGAGCTGTTAGCGAACAAACAAGACAGACACAGGTCCACGAACTTAATGAGCAAGTCCAGAAGCGATTGGAATCCCTCGAGCAACGCATCGAAGGCTCCGAGGATGCAAGGGCTGAAGGGTTGTCATACCTGCTAATGGCAAAACAACACCAGGGCCGAGGGGAGGACCATTCCGCTCTGAAAATGTACCAGCTTGCATTGCCGTTCTTCCCTAACAACGAGAAACTGGCTATGAAGATTTCCCGTCTGGAAGAGCATCTCTATAACGGTCAAGAGAACACATGTTCTGCTACTCCGGCTTCTCCGCCCGCAAAAAGGGAACCGGGAACCATGCTGTCAATCAGGAAGCAGCCCCTGAGACCCCAAATCAAGCGCGCAGCTGACGATTCCGACAATGACTACGAGGAGCCCGAGGCTGTATCTGAAGATCTCAGCGAAGAAGAAATCCAGGATACCTCTCGCGCCCTCCGCAGGAAGCGCACAAAGACCATCAAGGCCGCATCGAGCGATAATGAGGACTCGGATGTACCCGAACATTTTGAAGAGGCACCCTCACCGCGTACGATCCATCTGCTCTCTACCATAAACTCCCGCGATGTCAACCAGATCAAGTTGCTGAAGGGCGTTGGCGTTAAGAAAGCAGAGGCCATTGTTGACTGCCTCTGCGAAATGGACCAGAAACTAGACGAAGGAGAAGAAGCCCACACACAGGTAAACAACATCTTGGAACTGAGCAAGTTGAAGGGTGTCGGGGCACGAACAGTCCAAAGCATGAGAACCGGTGTTTTGGTTTAGAAAAAGTATTGCATACTTTTGTGCATTTGAAGCGGTCTTATCAGAGACTTGTGAGCATTGATTGCATTGGTGCATCGTGCATATGTATACCCCTTTGCTTGTTTTTCTTATTTCTTGATTCGTACTTGATTTTACAGACAGATTGAACTGTACCAGGCTTCCAGAATGGAGTCACACTTTTTCTCTCACGGCAAGGGATTCTGCCATGGATGATCTGCCTGATCTGCAAAGCCAGATCGTTCGTGCAGTGTCAGGCCATGCAGAATACCAGTTTGCAAGATGGGATTTCCGACGTTCTCCGACCGCAAGGTGATTTATTGGGGTAGGCGGCCGTTAGCTGACTGAAGCACATGCTGCCAGAAATGGTCCTATGTGAAGAAGATGTAAAGCATTCCTCTGGAAAGTCGCATTTGTTCTATAATTGATGGGAATCAATGTAAACACCTGCCAATGCCTAACTAAATGTACACACATGATGACTAAGTATATTACATCAACAATGTAACGTATTTCACTACCGAACCGCCAGCACCCCCGAGCCGCCAACCCCAAAACCCCATAGTAAACGCGATATTTTGCAACCTTATATATCAACAGTAGCATGTTTCGCTTTTGTTTTCGAAAGACTATCGATTTTGATTCTAACTAATATCATATATAGTTATTGAGCAACTTAAATTATGATTTGGTAGTGATACAATAAAATACGCTGTAATTTTCATGTAAATAACTAACAAATATATATATATCTTAGTCACTGATAGTGAATAACTAACGCCAAACCTCTCAAATTCGTACTTATTCTTGTCTTGAATATGGAAACACAATTTATACTATTAATCAATCTCCTGTTGTTGAGATATAAGCAACATGGGCAAACAAGGGCTTAAGCCGCACCACACAAATGCCTATAAAGACCGTCCATCGCCTAGATAGATTTCCTTTTCTTCTTCTTCCCCAGATTCGAGATTCTCGTTGTTAGGCTACCTAGTCCAGATATGAATATTATTCGTTTTATCTGCTAGTTTCCAAGCCTGTGACATAATATTGAATCTCGCCTTTTTTCTTTTTCACGCCCTACTCTATTGGTTCGATCCAATGATCATGGAACCATAGTAGTGCATCCCCCACACCAACTGACTGAATGAATCAGATTGATACTGATAACCGATGAATATGAAGATCCTGGCCAGTATGGCTCAACTGAACGATACTGTTGCCCCTCCTAGGGCCAACCAAGACAAAGCAAATAATGACACCAACTGAGAAAACTGATGATCCTCCATCATCATTGATGGGGATGAGAATGAAGGACAACACATGGTTACTCTGGAGGAGTTCCTGCAGTTTGTCTCTGAGAAGCCTGAGTGGTTCTATGAGAAGCTCCGACAAGTCCACCAACGATATGAGGAGTGCCTGGAGGATCGTGAGGCTCAGCTTGCAGATGAGGAGCTTCAAGGTCAGACCAAAGATGGACAAATTGCAATCCTGCTCTGAGAGATGGATGAGACTAGGGCTGAGCGTGATGTGTTTGCCACCCAGATTGCCTGATTGGTGATGAATGCTGCCAATGATGGCCGACAAACTTCCCCTGCACCTGCTGTCTGAAAGTCAACCAAGATTCCCGATCCCCCGATGTTGACTGATGGTAAGGAGCCCCGATTCGAAGACTGGTTGCTTCTGATATCCCAGAAGCTAGCCGCCAATGCGGACCACTTCGATACTCCTCAACTCCGCATGGCGTACATTGCCAGCCGCTGTGAGGGCAAGGCCCAAAAGCATATTACCCCACGTATGCGAGATGATGCTTTGAATCCCTATGTCGACTCAAGGGACATGCTGGACCACCTAAAGATGATCTACAATGACCCAAACTGCATCACCACTGCGAAGCACCAATTTCGACAGTTGTACATGAAGACCAGTGACAAGTTCCATGACTTCCTGTCCAAATTTCTGTACCTTGCTGCAGAAGCAGGTGTTGCAGAGTGTCACGGGCTCGGAATAGTAGATAATATTGAATCAAAGTTCCTATCTAAACTATTGTAGCCATCGACGAGAATCTCGAATCTGGAGAAGAAAAGGAAAAAGGGAAATCTATCTGACTATTCACATTGAATCCTTTTCCTCCAATTAGTTGGCTAAGGTCCAATTCGCCCAGGTCGACACCATCTAGCCCCAGGTTGGAGACTTTCTCCTGGGCTAGACTTTTCCCGCATCACTAGTCACTTCGGTTGCTGCAGCCTGCTCAAGTTCCTTCAGTTCAGGAGTGGATGACTTGGTTGGACAGTCCCGAGCTAGATGTCCCTGTTCCTGGCAATGGAAACATCTGCCTTCCTTCATCAACTGGTCACGTCCGACACCACCAGTCTGCAGGGCAGTAGGGCTAGAGTTCTGAGGTGAGGTTGGTTCCTTCTGTCACGGAGCTCAGCCAGGATAATGGAACATCAACTCATGTGCTCTACCTAGGTAGCTATCGACGAGAATAATCAACATGAGGAAAGAAGAAGAAGAATGATGTGCCATCAGCGTTGACGAGACTTATATCCCTTGCTTCCAGCACGTGAGAGGTATACACGTGACCAGACCGTCACACCTTCTTGATGGTGGTTCCAGATTGACTAGCACTCTTGTTCATCTCCTTGTTGGGGGTGAATGTCTGATTCTTCTGAGCATGGTGGTTGATAACTTTGAGAAAGCTGGCCGTCTGGGAAACTGCACTGGAGAACTCTTGGAAGGTACCATTCTTAATGCAGTCAGAGATGCACAGCTCTTGGAGTCTGGTTGTCAGCTTAGTGTAGAGCTCATTCTTCCAGTCCTTCTCTGCAACATCTGCTTCAGCAGCAAGGTACAGGAACCCAGACAGAAATTCATGGAACTTGTCACTGGTCTTCATGTAAAGCTGTCAGAATTGATGCTTTGCAGTGGCAGTGCAGTTTAGATCATCATAGATGGTCTTCAGGTGATCAAGCATGTCCTTGGAGTCAGTGTATGAGTTCATGGCATCCTCTCACATACAAGGGGTGATGTGTTTTCAGGCCTTGCCTTCACAGCAGCTGGCAATGTATGCAATGCACAGTTAAGGAGTGTCAAAGTGGTCTGCATTCACAGCGAGTTTCTGGGACATCAGGAGCAACCAGTCTTCAAATCAGGGTTCTTTGCCATCTGTGAGCATCAGGGGATCAGGGATCTTGGTGGTCTTTCAGAGAGCAGGAGCTGGAGAAGATTGGTAGCTGTTGGCACCATGTTCAATCCTCATCAAATCCTATCCACTTCACTTGATACTGCAGTCGACGCCGATACACTCGAGAGGCTAGGATCTCTTCCACTTCCCATTCCTGTTCGTCACCAACAACTATTGGTTCCGGGGGTTCTAAAACCTGCCCTGGCAAGGGGTCATCAGTGGCGCGAAGATATTCACAAAACTGGATGTCCGACAGGGATTTCACCGGATTCGACTGAGTCCAGAATCCGAGGATTTGACAACCTTCCGAGCCCGTGACACAGAGGATAACTGGAAGGATGAGCTGTACACCAAATTGACAACCAAGCTCCAAGAGCTGTGCATCTCAGCAAGCTACCAGGATGGACCTTTCCAAGATTTCTCCAATGCAGTATCCCAGACTGCAAGCTGACTTGAAGTCATCCACCATCAGAACCAAAAGAGTCAAGTGTTCACTCCCAACAAGGATACAAGCAAGGGAGTCTGTCACGGGCTCGGAAACTAGCAGATAAAACGAATAATATTCATATCTGGACTAGGTAGCCTAACAACGAGAATCTCGAATCTGGGGAAGAAGAAGAAAAGGAAATCTATCTAGGCGATGGACGGTCTTTATAGGCATTTGTGTGGTGCGGCTTAAGCCCTTGTTTGCCCATATTGCTTGTATGGCATCGTTTGATATGTTGGCGCTGTTTGTCTGGCGTTGAGCCGTTGAGCCGTCACACTTGGTATACTATGTATAAATATACTACTGAAATATACTATACTTTCAACTTCTAGCCTTCTATATACTTGGTGGTTGCCACCTACCTCTTGAACTTGTTATAATGAAGTCTAAGGATCCTGTACTGGATTTTTCCCATATTGTGGACTTTACTGGCTTGATCTCTGCAACCCTACCATTGATGAACAAGTATTGTGCAAGGGGAAGCAACTGTTCTGAACGGGGATTATGAATGATTTAACCGTGTATATACTAGCTGTTCCCATGATTTCGAGATATCTCACTTTGTTGTTACTATGCAAATACCATTCATTTTGCCATCGAAGAACTTGGGTATTCTCGTAACTCCCTGATGGTGTGTAGAAAGCGAGAACTAGGGAGAAGACTCTTGACGATACTTTATTGAACGAAGAGGTCTAAATGATATAATACATTGCGGCTGCAGACTAACAGAAATGACAAAAACGACCCATGTGCATTGCTTGCGTTCAACTGATGCATGACTGTCTCAATTCTTCGAAGCCGGCTTATCGAAAATCACCTTCCCTTCCCCCGTAAGCTTCGCAATCTTCTGGTCAATCCCTCTAACCTCTTGGCTCAGACTGTCGACCGATCGAGCAGGCACAGGCGCAGCGTGGGTTGCTTCTTCAGCTTCTTCCCGGAATTTTTTCTCCTCGCTCTTCTTCTCCGTGTTTTGTTGCGAGGGTCCGCTTGTTAGACCGCGAGGGGATTCTGCGATTTCGTTTACTTCGCGTTCGGAGAGGACGTCGTTAAGGCGGGGGCCACGGGATTGCACGAGGATCTGGGTGGGGCCGTCAAATTGGAGGAAGAGCTGTTGAGTGAGAGCATGTTAGTTTCAGAATTGCATAGCCAATGAGAGGTAAAGTTCCATACCCTATCACCCCAGATGGTCATGCGGGACCATGTCCGGATCTTGTGGAAGACCTTCATGGCCGTCTTCCATGTGTCGGTCTGTGACATGTTCTGGATGAAGTTCGTATTTTGGAGGAGGCTTGGTAACGTCTTGAGGCCGGGCACTTGGAAGTTCAGGGTGGTAGATTTGAATCGGTAGGGACGAGGAGGGTTAGAGGTCATAGTGTAAGCCACGACGTTGCTTTTGATCTGTTAGTACACCTGAAACGTCCCGACATGTCAGATAGTCATACCTAGGATGGGCAATGTATTGCTCCCCGGGTTTCACGTCGACGGAATATAACTGTCCACTGCCGACTAATGCTAGAAGACCTCGTCCGGTGACTTCAGAGTTACCCCAGTGGGTCAAGCTCTTCGCGAATTAGCCTGTGGTATCCATGCCGTGCGTGAAGTTGGACGAACCATGTTTGTGTTGATAACGGGCTTGACGGAAATGGAACGTCCGGTCCAGGCGAGCAGAGCTCGTTTCTGGGCGATTATCCAATCTTCGGAGCCATTGAGATGGAGGACGGCGAAGGACGTGGTAGGGGACCGAACGGAGACCAGGGCGGTCACAGGACTGCTAGAGGTGATCTATCCAGTGTCAATTGTCTTTCCGGTGATCGTAGAAATGGGCAACCGCTAGCAGACCTTCTGGTAGAGGAATGGCACACCGACGGGGGCTCTTCGGACGGGTTCTAGGACGCTCAGCGTCGAAACCATCTGCGCGCGGAGGTCAACTATCAATTGCACAATATTGGAGAACCCTTTGCCAAGCGACAAATGGACCGCATACATTATCCGCCTTCCCACTCAGTCCGACCAATGTTCCTCTGCGAGTGTAGAGATTCTGCGAAGCCGAAAGCGAAACCGACAGCAACGAGTATGGGGAGCCGATGACATCGAACCGGGCATCTAATTTTGCCAATTTCAGCCGTTAGCCAAATGAAGTGCCACAATCAATCCTAACCAGGGAGAAACGTACCGGGCGACTGAGCCGAGTTTGGCGTACCGGCGACAGGAAGGTGATCTCCATTGAGTTGCTCCGAAGGCACGGCGCGAATCTGGATTCCTCTTTTTGCCTGCTGCAATGGGTTTTGTCGTACCCGTGGCGGAAGGACTCTTGTCCAGGAGAGAGCCCGGACACCTCCCCTTAGGCCTTGGTTCATGGTGGGTGGTTGCGCAAAACTGCAGCAGACGGTGCCGGCGGGGAATATACGGACCGGGTTTCTTTTCCCCTTGCGAAGTGGGTATTTCGTCAAGCTGGCACTTGGTGAGTGGGCGCCTGAACTGGGATCAGGAGTTCAATGTTGTTCCAGGCAAGAATTCAACCACACGCTTGTTCTCGAAGAATTGTGAAGAGTTAGTAGCCGGAGTTGTTTTGCTTCGAACAAGGCGTGAAGTATTGATGCCTTAATATGCCTGATAAGTAAGGCATGATTAGCAAAAGTTACGTCATTTATAGATCAGCTAGTTACGCGAAATGTTCAACTGCGCTACGAAGTACACTCTATCCAAAGTGCATCACCAAGATATGCCCGTTCACGTTCAATTTGAGAGACGAGTTTCCCTTGAAACTAGTGTTGCGAAAGCCAGAAGAGAAAGAGGTTCTCAATGCCGTTCAAATAGTTAACTAACAAGAATGAACCGGCATTAAGGCACCTTCTAGTCACCAACAAGTAAACATCAGGGCTTCATTCTTTTACTCAGTATTCAGCACCCCAAGAACAAGCCCAATTGCTTCAGGCGTATCCAAAGCGAAACTTGCCATAACTAGTATCTGATCGTAGGAAGATCCCGGACTAGACTGTAGACAAACAATGCAAACTAGCAGCGGGGATTTGATTATCAGATTGCGAGCCCTCGCGACATATTGACGAACTGGATCGGAGTGTTTCACTGCCGGAAAATCATATGAGAGTTTTGCTTTATTCTTACTCTCCCAAAAGAAGCGCCCCTACTACCACCTATTGCGATCCCTCAAAAGAAGACGAAAGACATCCACCTAATCTCGGACCTTTCCGCCGACCCTTTTCCATTCCATCTCCGAACCCGGCGGTCCCCGTTACAAGTCTCAATTGGAGGACTTGCAGTTCAATTGCATCTACAACCCTCACAATCTACAATTATGAGCCATTAGGCCCGGAAGAATCTACGACAATACCAATCGGTTCGCTGAGAAAAAGAAAAGGGCACTGTACCGGCCGTCATGCTGCCCCGGGCAGCTCGATCGCCTTGCTGGCGTACTACAACGCCGTTTATACATCCGGCTCGCGTTGTTCCTCGCTCAACCCCGTGGAGATCTGCCTATTATGGCTCGCAATTCCGAGTGTTCACATCGAGTCAGAGTCCGTTACGGAGGCAAGTAGCGGGGGATAAACCTACGACAATTACGAACACCGAAGCCGCGGCGAACGCGACTCCGGATGAGAAGAATAGCAAAAATGTGACGGCTACGAAAAACAAGGACCTACTGAGCGAGGCGAGTATTGGGGTTAAGGAGCAGCGCAGGGCTGACTGGGCTATAATGAAGGAGATGGCGAAGTACCTTTGGCCGAAGGTGAGGACTGCTTGATCGTGCGGGAGAGGATAGGCCGATGTTGACTGGATACTACAATACAGGAGGACTGGGGTACCAAGCTTCGTGTTGGGAGTGCATTATCACTGCTTGTTGGTGCAAAGGTGGGTTCTGGCATTCCGAGATCTTATGCGACTTGGTTACTTACAGCCACGAACTCCTAGATCCTAAACGTCGAGGTACCATTCTACTTCAAGAGCATAGTCGATTCAATGAACGTGGACTTTGCGGCCCTTGGAGGAACCGCTTATACCGTTGCTGGGTCAATGATCATAGCTTGTAAGCGAAACACCTTGGTCAACCGCTTCAAGGAACATTGGGCTTAACAGCTTCCATTTCAGATGGTGTAACTAGGATTGGAGCGACGCTATTCCAAGAATTGCGGAACGCAGTGTTTGCTAGTGTGGCCCAGAAGGCTATTCGCAGGGTCGCAGGGAATGTCTTCGAACATTTGTTACGGCTGGATCTCAACTTCCACCTTACCCGCCAAACTGGTGGACTTACGAGAGCGATCGATCGTGGTACTAAAGGTATCAGCTTCCTGCTGACATCTATGGTATTCCACATTGTTCCCACGGCCTTGGAGATCTCGCTTGTTTGTGGTATTTTGGTATGGTTCATGACAGGTGATCGACTCTGTTATTTTTTACTAACAATGGCATTAGACGTACCAGTACGGCGCGCAATTTGCGGCTATCACGACTGCCACGATGCTTGCATATAGTGCTTTTACAATCACTACCACTGCCTGGAGAACCAAGTTCCGCAAGCGAGCCAACGCAGCAGATAACCGCGGTGCGACGGTGGCTGTTGATTCCCTGATCAACTACGAGGCTGTCAAGTACTTTAACAACGAGAAATTCGAAGCCGCGCGATACGACAAGGCTCTGAAGGCTTACGAAGAAGCATCCATCAAGGTCACAACGTCTCTGGCTTTCCTCAACTCCGGTCAAAACATGATCTTCTCTAGCGCTCTTGCCGGTATGATGTACCTCGCTGCCAACGGAGTGGCTGAGGGGGCCTTGACTGTTGGTGATCTGGTCATGGTCAACCAGCTCGTCTTCCAACTCTCGGTTCCACTGAACTTCTTGGGCTCGGTGTACCGTGAGCTGCGCCAGTCGTTGCTGGACATGGAAACCCTGTTCAACCTGCAAAAGGTCAACGTGAACATCAAGGAACTCCCCGACGCGAAGCCGCTCGAGGTCAAGCGCGGAGGTGAAATCCGCTTCGAGAACGTGACATTCGGCTACCACCCCGACCGACCCATCCTGAAGAACGCTAGCTTTACAATCCCTGCTGGTCAGAAGTTTGCTATAGTGGGACCCAGCGGCTGCGGAAAGTCGACGATCTTGAGGTTACTGTTCCGATTTTACGATGTTCAGGAAGGTCGCATTCTGGTCGACGGTCAAGACGTGCGCAATGTGACTTTGGATAGTCTCCGGAGGGCAATCGGAGTCGTTCCGCAGGATACGCCTCTGTTCAATGACACGATCGAGCACAATATTCGCTACGGCCGGATTGATGCGTCGGATGAGGAAGTCCGTAGGGCCGCCCAGCGCGCTCAGATTCACGAACTTGTCCAAAGACTCCCCGATGGCTACACGACCGCCGTCGGTGAGAGAGGTATGATGATCTCTGGTGGAGAGAAGCAGCGGATGGCGATTTCTCGTCTGTTGCTGAAGGACCCTCAGATGTTGTTCTTCGATGAAGCGGTACGTATTCTTCAAGGTTAACATTGACAGCTATCTAATACTGAAAACAGACTTCCGCCCTCGACACATACACCGAACAGGCTCTGCTGCAAAACATCAACAGCATTCTGAAAGAAAAGGGCCGCACAAGTGTCTTTGTTGCCCACCGGCTACGAACCATCTATGACTGCGACCAGATCTTGGTGTTGAAGGCAGGCGAGGTTGCCGAGTCGGGATCGCACCGTGATCTCCTGGAGCAGAATGGCATATACGCTGAGTTGTGGAGTGGTGAGTGATTACTAGATACCAAGGTTCGATGAGATGATATGCTGATCCATAAAATAGCGCAAGAAACTTCTCTCGCGGAGGATGTGGAGCCTGATGGGCTCGAAGAGGCTGAGAAGAGTGGGAGTACCCCGGATCGTAGATAGACCCGAGGATGAAGCGGGTTCCTTTCTTTCTTTTTCTTTCTTCGTTATAGATTTCCCAGCATTTGAGTATATATTTTGCCTGTACAGTAGACGAATGACTGCGAAAGGAACAGAGGGCAGTGCAGGAGTACGAGTCCATTGCTAAATCAGGAAATTCGCGCTGTTCCATCATAACGGCTCCCCCTCACCTGAAGGACCCGGCAACGGCAAACGATAACAGCATTGTTTACCACGCGTCACGAGTTAATTAAAAAAGAACAGGGGCTCTCGGGGCGGTTACCGGGCAAAGCTTACCGCGGCCTTAACTAAATCTGGCTTAACGAGGTTCCGCTAGAAGGGGTTAATTGTGGTACTTCTGATACTAGTCTCGATGGTTCAATTTGTGTTCATTTGTGCCTGAAAGTTAATTAGATAATGGCGTATAACCGGTGGAACCATTGGAGGGCCTTTATATTAACATTGGGATGTTCTGAATACGAAAAGTGAGGGAAAACAACAGAAGAAGTTTACTAGGGATAGTTAGTTGAAACTATTGATAGATACCGCACCCCTGGGCCAGAAGTACGGTTCCTTGACAGCGGAAATACAAGTGGTATTTTTGGACCGACGGATTCCCCACACGCTGTCCCAGAATCAGGAGAACTCGAGATCGCTTGGGGAGAGCTCGCGTGTGTTTTTTCTCTTCTCTTCATCTTCACTTCTCTCTGTTTGTTTACTATTTTCTCTACAGTCTTTTACATATTCTTTCATTAAACTATTCGCTTCTATACACTCTTTTAATCCAGCAACTGCATTAGTGCAACAGCCAAGCTTTCCATACAACACTCCATAACCATTCATTCGTTTATCCTAGACGCTGTTCTACACACTCAAACAATCAATCACTAGCCTCGTTCTTTTTCACAATCTATTCGATTCTTCAGCCTGCTCGTTTCGTCTAGCCCTGCAATTAATTGCTTACACAACCACTGGATCCCCGGAGTAATAGCTTTGCCAGCCACCGGCACTCCGCACTCGCCGTCACTTGCCTTCTTTATTTTCTTCTTCGACTTATCCCACGTCAGCCACGGATTTTTGTTATCTCTCTTTAAATCTGGAGATTCAAGTGAGGAAAGCGGAAGGTAGTGTCTGTGGTCCTTGGACTTGGTAAGTCGCAACAATTGTATTTTTCTCCCTTGAGGGTCGATGTAACGTCTGAAAACGATGTCTTGAATCCACAAACAAGGAAGCTATATATGAGGACCATGTTCTAACTTGCATTGCAGATACTTTATTTTCGATAGATTCCAGCATCTTTGCATCCGAAGGTTCCGACAAACGAATTGAACAAGCGACGCCTACTATCAAACACAATGGGTATCATCGAGAAATTGCAAGCTAGTATGTCTACAAACCATTCCCTTGATACAACTAGAACCAATTCAAAACTAACACATCTTCAGAAATCGAACTCTACCGCCTGGAGCAGCGCTACGCTCGTCGCAAGCACCGCACCTCGTTCCACGACGTCCAGTATGTCGACGGGGAGTACGTCTTCAACAGCTCCTTGAACTCGCCCACGTCGACCGTCTCCAAGCACTCCACAGGAGGCCACGGGAAATCGTCAACCTGGAGCGCATCCAACGACTCGCGATTGCGGTGATGATTTCTTTCTTTCCGTTCCTTCCTTGAATGCGTCCGTCGATTCTGTTTAGCCTTTTCTCGTACGACTTTCTCACATTCTCTCTCCACATTATGTTTCATGTGGAATTTTGACGATATCTCCAAGTGAGCGGGAAGAAGTTTCATCACGCTGTCTACTATACCCATATCCACGTTTGATTGGAGATCGATATTGATTTGTGATTGTTTGACGTTCGAATCTGAGACCTGAGATAAAGGAGTCTGACTCGCCGGCTTGGTCATTATCGCATGCTGCTAGATCTCAGATCTCGTGGTGTCAAATCTGGCGGGTCAGACCCTTTGTCTCAAACATCGATTCGGCATGGTCTTTCTTGCAATCTGATCGAGTCATTCATTGTTTGAGTTTGATTCTTCCCAAGCATCGCGCTATCATTCCCTAGAAGCGAAGCAAGTTACGAATGTTTCTTTTTCTGGATCTTTTTGTTGATGAATCTTTCAAATACCTATGCGTGTCTAGCGATTTTGTCTTTGAATTTATGGTGGCTGTTCTGATTCTTCATTATTTACCTTACCCCTGTACATAGGTTTACATCTCGGGTTGTTGAATAGAAAATATAGACAACTTCTTGACAATTTGTGCGCCTTGCTCCCTGACAATTTGCTTTAAGGTTGGAGTAAAATGTAAATAGAAGCATCTCACCAAACACCATCTCATCTTGATATCAACGCTTAGACTTCCGACTCCCAATCCCCAGTCGCCCAAGATTAGGAAGACTCGACTTATGCCGATGCGCACCCCCCAGAATAGACCCTCCCCCACCACCACTACCACCCCCCTTCTGCGTCCCAGAACTATCCACTGAATTCATCCGGCCAGTCCCTCCAGCATTCCCGCCACGCGGTGACTCCCCACCCCCAGCCCCAAACCCCCGATCCTTCCCACGAATCTGGTCCGACGTCGCAGCCGCGGAAAGCGCAGCCGTTAGGGACGGGTTCTGTGGTCCGGTTCGGATACCGTCGTGGTCGAGTTGGCGTTGGTAAGCGGCGCGTTGGGCTCGTCGGGCTTTTTCTTGCACAGATTTGAATTTGTCGAGGAGGTCGGCCCAGCGGATGGAGGAGGCTTCGTCGCGGGATTTCAGGCGCGCGCCGGTTGGGCGTTCGAAGGTGGATATTGGGGCCGTGCTGGTGCTTTGATGAGTGAGTTGTTTCTTGGTTAAATAGGTAAATGTGGGGTTGGTTATTGGCTTACAGTCGTGGACTAGCGTGGAGGAGGCCGATGTTGCTGACGCTGTTTAGGCGGTTTTTGAGCGCTGCGAATGCGGAGCTTTGCGGGAGGAGCATGAGGACGCCGTAGAGGCATTTGTATAGGTATGGGTATTTCTCTGGTTCTAGGAGTTGGAGACGGAGGTCTGGACGAAAGTCAACATTGAACAGCTGAGTAGTAAGGCTGAACCAACATGTGAAGACAGGTGATTCCAAGAGCTGGACCAACTTGTCGATTTGTATTAACATATTAACGGTCATTTCGAGTTCAGCACTGGTAGATTGTCAGTCTAGAACACAGACGTGAGCACGGTATATGACACTAACAATACTTGCAAAAGATTATATGCTTGCTCATAAGCTTGAGCGAGGAGACATAGTGAGAATGTAGAGACGGCATTATGGCACCATGACCTGAAAAGAGCCACAAAGAACATTTGACCCTCCTGGAGACGGGAAACCTCGTTAGTTGCTCTTCTTGGCTTCAATTTGCAGTATCGTTTACCTTTGAATCGATATTCCTTAATCTCTTTCGAAGATCAGAGAGTTCAGGTGCGGTGATTAGATTGTTATTCAGATTTTGAACCATGATGCTAGCGAACTCGATATCCTAGCATCGATTAGGTTAAAGTCAACAGCCCATTTGCGCAGGATGACACTCACCTCTTCCTTTTCGAGACAATCTGCTAGGGTCCGATAGATACGTTCCGGGCTCAAGTTCATGCAAAGCTGCCGAATAATGAGATTCCCACGAACCTCAAGCAAGTTCCGGTCCGTCGAGAACAGCTGCAGCAAGTTCACCATAAACGAAGCAAAATAACTATCCTCGCTATTCCTTGAAATCTGCGATAGAAGTTGGAGGTCCTTGGTGACAACAGCTTCCGCAGGGTCCGACAACGTTTTGAGAAGTGCAGGAAAGGTTCCGTCATTGAAAGCGACAACCTTGCGAGGTGCCTTCCGATGTAACATTATCAGCCAGGACAAGGCGGCTACTCTTGTGGCTTCATTTTCATTCAAGAATTGCAATGTAAGTGAAGTCACAGCGGCAGCATAATCAAGATCTGCCGGAGGAGCTTGCACGGACACAATACTGCTTCGGGGTGTTTGGTCGACTGGTGGCTCTTGTTGGGAAATCTGCTTCCTAAGTTCGCTTCCCTGGGTATCAGAAGGTTTGCCGCCTGGTGTCGATAACCTTCTTTCAGCATTTTCCTTGTTGTTTACAGCGGGCGGTAATTTAGAGGTCGCGGCTGGACGATTTTCCTCCGAAGTGTCTTCAGACAGGGTAACGATATACTCCAACAAAGAAGTGTTGACTCGGTTAGCAGCCTGTCGTACCTGGTCTGAGCCACTGGACATTGCAGGAAGAACTTGAGTCAGAAGACGTGGGACGAATGGAAGGATATCTTCAGGGCTGATTTCGAAGAAGCTATCAATCCAACGCAGTGCTGTAAGCTGCATCTCCTCATCTAAGATTTAGCGTTAGCGAGAACTCTTGCGACCAGAGATGTTCGAGTGCAACTCACCAAACGACGTGTCAACGAATCCGACAAGAATGTCCAGGATCTTAGGGTAATCAATATGGACATCTTGGCCCGGGACCCAGTCACCGTCAACCTGGACAACATCTTCTTCAATAACGGATTCAGATCCCGAATCCTCAATAGCATTCTCATCCTTGTCCTCTTCTGGAGCAACAGCCTGGTCGGTAATTGCGCTCGCATCATCACTCGCAGCCGATTGTCTTTTGCTTTCTTGTTCCTTTCGACTATCCTCAATGCCCTTTTTGAGACGTGCAATCCTCTTTATTTCAGATAAAAACCGATCGAGAAGGCCTTGTGTGGCGACATGCACATCCCTATTCGTGTCACCCAGGAATTTAACTAACCCCCCAAGAAACTCCGGCAAGTAAGAGACAAGCTCCAGGTCAGGAATTGTATCCAGTAATGTCAACCATTGTACCAAGAAGGTGCGCGTGAATGGGCTGATCACATGTATACGATCCTTGAGCAAAGGTATGAATTTCGCGAGAGAAAACGCGGTCGGCAGATCTGCTTCTTCAAACGTATCTGAATCTAACGTATCCTTTTCAGAGAGCTGCAGAACTGAGATATAAGTGGCAGCAGACTCCGAAACAATGTCCTTCACAAGACGATCAAGAAGCTCAGCGCCATTCTTCACGGAGAGCTCCGAGTCTGAAGCCAACTAAAAACACATTGTCAGTGGATGCACTTCCGCAGTCTGGTTGCCGGCGCACTCACTTTGCTCAGCGCATCGAAAATCTCGTTAAAAAATAGTAGTATCTCTCCTTTGGCGACCTTGGCAATGTTGTACATGCTTTCGCATGCGTAGTACCTGACCCGCGCATCTTGGTCGGAGAAACAGGCAAGAACCGGCGGTACGATTTCCTTGAGATGAGGAGCAACACTCTCCTAAACCAGTCTCAGCACTTCATATTTACCGAAATCTTCCAGTATTATAGACTTCACTCACGGATCCCAATGCTATCGAGGCGGCAGCCAGCCCGATTAAACCACCATTTCTGGCGTGAGGCTGGTGTACGGCGTAAGCGTAGTCATGGCAAAGTTGGTCGACTATCTTCTGGATCTCTTCATGTTCTCGTTTGAAAGCGGCATTTCGGACGATTTTTTCAAGCCTAGATGGTTTCCCCTTTGTGGTTAGCATGTGCTTTGGTACGTTCGTCCGATCCGCGGGCATTTCTCGATCATACTCTAGAGCTCCCTGTTTCCTCCTATCGTAGAGCTTATCGTTCAGCAGGCGTTGGATAGAGTGATCCATCGCTCAGACGGATACGATGCACCACACAGCTCAAAGGCCTCAATAGTCGTCATTCAAGTCGTGCTCATGGTGGAGGGGGGCGTCTAGATCCGGTGCAGCTGGGCGGTGAATCGGGTCACTCCTTTTGACTACTATTATCGCGCTATCAGTATCTCTCTATTTCATAACTTCTATGCCTGCACAGTTAAGAGTGTCCTCAGAACTTACCACCTTCTAGGCTGAACTAATAACGGGTGAGTGGGGAGTTGGTTAGTTGCTTACAGCGAAAGTGCGTTGGCAACGTGGGCATGCTGTGACGTCGTTCCCGCTGAGCGTTATCGCAAAGTACTCCGCGCGCCTGCTCCATATATATTGGTGCTGATCGACGCAGCACTATCGATTCCAAAATGATTGCTGTGAGGAGAGCCGGCTTGATAATGCCATCAGGGATTCCGACATGGCCTACAAGAAGAATTTTATTCCGCTGGAGTCCGATCCGACAATCTTCACAGAGCTAATGCATGACCTGGGCGTGTCGACTTCTCACGATGAAGTAGACCATCACTATATCACACTGGTTAAACGGTCGAATCGACTCTACGTGTTGGACGGAGAAATGCAAGGCCCTGTTGACAGAGTTTCTCTAGAGGACGGTGAAGATGCCTGAACCTAAAAGGTCCCAATGTAGTAAGAGAATACACATCGAGCGATGTGGAGGGAATGTTTAGTTTATTGGCTCTGGTCAAATTATAAACAATACACATGACGCTGCAATGCGTAGCCCGGACCAGGATGAAATTCCGAAAGGGGTCTTTCTTATGGAAATTGTGGTTTTATATCTCAAGGATAACTAGTCAAACGCTCTATATCGATTTTCTATTTACATTTAGACCACAACCAACTCGAGGACGTTCTTTTAGACTATCATAAAACTGTGACTCCGGACATCTCAGAATTCTAATCAGGCCTTCCCGGTTGCACGATGTCGTTCAACCGTGGGTGAAAGTTGCAATTGAAGACCGAGGGGCTGTTGGATTGCTCACCCCGAATGATATCCGGAACCTTCAGTTGACCACCGGGGATCGTACGTACCAAACCAACCCAGCTCAAACGGAGGATCTTGTTGAGTCTAATCTTGAATAACCATACCCGGCTTCAACATGCCGCATGACGAATCCGTGAAACAACCGGACCTCGTCGTCTGGAGTACCATGAATGAACTGCCACAGTTTGTCATCGAGACCATTATGCGGGATCAGAATATGATTTGAAAGAAGATATTGGTCTTTTGCTCGAAGGTGCAATGCCTTTTATACGGATTGTGATCAACGTCAAGTGGGAGAAGCTGCCGGATGGTAAAATAGCAGGTCATATGATCGTTACCCGATTCAATACAGCAATGCAAGTAACTGGTCGAGAAAGAGTGGTAAGTTCCGTGTCTTCATTGTCCTGAGTTTGAGAAACTAACATAGTCTATAGGAGGTATTTCCAACTCCGGCGTCCGGCCACCAAACTATCGATATCACTCGTGCAGAACTCACTGGACTCGAAGTGTTCGATGGCGGTCGTAGCGCTGATGACCACTTTCAATTGGATATCAACCGTCTTCGCCAGCTTGCTCCTGAGGCCATGGTGATCATGGGGCTAATTCCAGCATGATGGACTGTTCCTGTGATCAATGATGTTCAAGCAGAAGGCTTGCATGTGGACGAGACTAGCGTTTTTTTGGTAGCATGTCTTCAATTCCTATAGCTTTAGAGCTAGTTTCATAACGTAAAACTACCATTTTCACTCTCTATATCATCCCCTTAGGATCAGCCAAATCCCCCGTCATAACCTAATCCGGAATATGCGCTTGCACGACTCCATCCTCACCCAGATACTCGGGCCTACAGTACAACTTCAGCCCCTCCCACCCCAAACTTTCCACATTATTCCAGAGATTAAACCCTGACCCAAACGGCACCCGCCACTTCCAACACACCGAGTCCTCTGCCTCGTTCACGTCCGCCTGCCCCGGGATGCGCACCTCCTGCTCCGCACCCTGTAACAAGTCTTCCCACTCCGACTTCTTCATGTGATGATGGATGACCACGTTCCCCTCCGCCGCAGATCGCTGATCGGGAACTGCGATCCATTCAGTAGTTAGGCTGTGGTTCTTCTGGCATCTGAGATCGGTAATGCGCTGTCTAGCGTATTGTCGGAGGTCGGTGTCGGTGTATCCTCCGAAGCCCGTTTGAAAGTCCTCGACAGGTGGGTTGGTGTTTGGGTTATCGAGAATGGACTGGTCGGAGTTGCGAACTAGACTGAAGATGTTGGATGCTAGAGACGGAGTGGTGCAGTCGGTCATTAGACGATTGATTACCTGTGATCAAATTTAGTTTAGTGTGTTAATGGGAGGGATCCGTTTGCCTACCGAGGCTGGCATTTGGGCCGTGCAGAAGAGAAGTATGCCCGACATGGCTAAGAGAAAGAATGAAAGTATGAAAGGATTTGATAGTGGTATGCTATTGTGGTTTATCCAGTTGATGCAACTATAAAATAGGCGTTCCGCGTGGGGGCCGGTCGAGATTACAGATTGAGTAGACCACACTGCAAGGCGTTTACAAGCAGCAAAAGCAGCCCGGGAGATTGAATCAAAAATGAGCAATAACGGCGCATTTCTTTACTGGGCGTTCAATTTGGCGTTTAATGGAAAATGGGTTATATCATCCAGTCTAGGCATCCTTTAAACGTCGCTGTTTGACATAAGGAGTCATCGTTTACAGAATAATATCACTTATCTCTCAATATGGTCTTGTCTACTTAACCACCATGCCTCTCATACACCATACATCGCAAGTGTACAGCAACTCCTCCCCACAGCAGTTATTGGAGGAGTTGCGCGAAGCAGTAGAGCAGGCTGAATCAACAACTATCCTGGAATGGTTAGATGTTGATCCTGATACAGGCAAAACAGTCACCAATCATCTTCTCGAGGATGCCTTGTTTGAAAGTTTGAACGTGAGGTAGGATGGGAAGTCCCTATCGCACTTTGGAATACGAACTGACTTCAAGATGCTCTTAGGTTATCATACAACAGCGTCACTCGTCGCTTCAAAGTCCTCACCCGGCAAACTTTTTTTATACAACGTTTTCTACTCGTGGATGTATCGTGTCCTCTGCAAGTGGGATCTCACGGAGAAGGATGATCTACTTAGACTTTGTGCCGGGGCGTGTGAGTGACAGACAAAAGCATCGACTGTATAGTATTTTATTGACTTATATGTTCTTATAGCTATAACCGACTTCAAACCTCCATATGACAAATCTATTAAAGATCCAGATGTATACCTCTACAGGAGGGCTCAACGCCTACCACAGCTCGTGGTCGAGTGTGGTTATGCAGATTGCCCTGACCACCTGAATGACGATCTCGATCTCTGGGTCTAAGGTGCATCGCAACTCATACCAGTTGTAATCATCGTCGTATGGAAGGAGCTGCCCCAGGGCAGGGTTGCAGGGCATATGACCGTCTACCGATGTGCTGAGCCGGGACATATCACCGAGCAACAACGAGTGGTAATGTCTTCTTATCATCTTTGATTCCGGAAGCGAGAAATTGACGCAGTCTATCATGTATAGGAAATATTCCCCATTCCGGCTTCTGTTCCAGAGACGATTGAACTAACTCGTTGCGATGTATTCGGCTCTGAGGTTGTTGAAGGTCGGGATCCTCTTGATAGAATTCCACTTGGTACCGAGAGGTTGCGCCGGAAAGCAACAGAAGCCTTACGATTGATGGGATTGACTCCTGCCTGAGCGTGAGGTCTGGGAGGTCAAAGAGTGGCCAGGAGGAAGTAAGAAGTACAAGCTGGTGACATGTCTTAGCTCATGGGGTCAAACTTAGATAGCTTTACTATATTGCTCTAACTTATACAAAAATATCAAGCTATAGAAAAATATATGCCTGAAGGAACCAGAACTCCAAGTCATTATCATAAGAAATGCATGCCAAAAGAATAAGCGGTTCCCTAAAATAACGCCTTCGCCTTCTTCAATCAATGACTGATATATTGAAAGACTGCAGAAACGTCCCTTTCTGTAGTCTCTTGACGAATGAGCAGATCTTGAATCTTCCCAAGCTGCCCCTTTTCTCCATCGTTGACAAAATGATTCCAGGTACTAGTGTCACCATATAGCATGGCTGGAGCTTTGATAAATTGGGACTCCTTCGGTCTACACCTCTTGCACTTGAACGTATCGTGCGTATCACTTCGAGTTTCTGGCTTGAATTGAAAAAGCTCGCGAAGGGATTCTATTGAGAAGTGGCGCTCGACATCTTCTGCGGAATCAACCACAGCGGAAGAGAGCGATTGCTTGTGAGACTGACGCTGGAAGATCTTCTCTTCGATTGATCCAGTGGCGATAAAGCGATAGACGAAACAGTTTTTCTTTTGTCCGTCACGCCACACACGGGCCAGTGCTTGTTGGTCGGCTGCAGGGTTCCAATCGGGGTCAAAAAGTACGAGACGGTTTGCGCCGATCAAGTTCAAACCACACCCACCGGCTTTGCTGCTAAGAAGGAAGACAAATTCCTCTCCCTCGGGGTCATTGAATTTATTGACCAGCTTTTGTCGTTTGTTAACGTTCATGGTGCCGTCCAACCGCAGCGAGCCGTACCCTCTTGCTCTGCAGAGCTTTTCGAAGAGATCCAACGTTTGGGTATAATTGCTGATAAGAACGATCTTGTCATTCGTATCCTGGCGAATGCGTGCTAACATACGGTCAAGGACCATCATCTTCCCGGAGTACCAGGACTTGATTTCTCGGTCGCGACCTCTGCCTTCAGGCGGTACATAGTCGTCTGGGAATGCGTGTTCACATCCTGGGAGGTCTGTGGAAAGATTGAGCAGGTCTGGGTGGTTACAGAGCTTCTTCAAGAGTCCAATGGCCTTCAAAGGCTGACTTCCCTTTCCCCTAAGCAAACTCCTGATTTCGGGACTCTGGATGAAATGATTGTACAGTCCAAGTTGGAATTGCGACATGTTGCAGAACACCACATGTTCATACTTGACGGTCAGATACTTCGACAAGATGTCGTTTGTCCGACGGATAATGAATTTGTTGACAATGCCCGAAAGTTCTGACAGACGCTCGTTTCCTTTCTTTTGCTCTTCTTCTGTTCCTGCTGCATCTCGCCCCTTAAGAATTGGTAGTTCGAATCTCTTCCGGAACTCGTTCTGCGAGCCAAGCAAGTCTGGATTGGCGAAGTTTAGGAGAGCGAAGTACTCAGACAGGTCATTCTGGATGGGAGTACCAGACAGAATAACCCGGCGGCTCACATTCAGACTGTTCAGCGCAGTCCACGTCAAACTGTCTTTATTTTTGAGGCGGTGACCTTCGTCACACAGCAATAGACCGATGGGTGAATCCTTCAGCGTATCAACGTACATGCGCAGCGTCTCGTAAGACACGATTAGGACAGGCCTAACCACGGAGCGTCCGGAAGCGATTGCCCATTGTTTTATTTGCATAGTAAGCTCTGTTTTCGACGCCTTGCCATCTACTGCAAACGGAGTAATGGTACCCTCTCCAAGCCATTTCCCTATGATCGTCAGCAGGAGAACGAAAAACAATTTATCATACTACTTACCAAGCTCATTGGCCCAGTTACCAACCAAACTTGACGGACAAGCAATAATGCATTTTTGAATAGTACTCTTCCCGGCTTCTGATGACTGCTTGAGCAGAGTCCACATCAAGGCAATGCATTGAAGCTGCAAGCGTTAGCTCCGATGTTAGAAAACGATTGTCCCCGTACATACCGTTTTGCCCAACCCCATCCCGTCTGCCATGATGCAGCCGTGTGCATTTTTATCCACCATCCCAGTTGTGCAGCGATATAAGAACTATTGGTGGTCAATCAAACCATTTGCCGTGGCGTAGCGCACAGAAAAGCATACCTTGACACCTTCAACTTGATGTGGACGTAAAATCTTCGCCAATTTCGGATCTATCACAACAGGAACCTTGGGGCGGGTATCAACCTCCTTCTTCAGACCTAGAATGTCCGCCAAGCTCTTATGCACGATAGGCTCATCCAACTTCGGTTGTTCGGGTTGACCCTCTGGTTTTGATTCGGCTTTCTCTTCAACATCGTCAACGGTCGGGTCGTATAACACTATTGCAAATTCTCCACTGGGATCATGTAAAGGTTTCACGACAAACGTCGCGCCTCTTCTCATCCCAAGCGTTGGTGCTGGCCGTGAGGCATCGTAGGCATCGGATGCTTTATTGATAAACGGGACTTTGAATCTCTGCTTAAACGTCGTATCTGTGTCTTTGGGCTTAAAAACGGGGAATCTGTTCACGTCCCTGGTGGCAAGGGCTAGGCGTTCTTCGTTTGTATATGGCTTTTCTCCTTCATCCGCGTTTCCATCGGCGCCCGCATAGTTGACTTTTCTCTTCTTTCTCGCCGGCTTGTCTGAGGCTCGGGTTGGGGTAGCAGATCCGGGACATCTGAAGGGCTTCGAAAGGCGATCGATGGGATTATGAGGACTGTTATGAAGTGATTTAGATGATGGTGTCGTTCCACCACTCTCCGTTGCGGCCGGTCGAGGTCGATACCTGGAGGCGTTAGTGGGCGTCTTCTGGGGCTGAAAAAGGCGGCTTCTCACATTGATCCAGATAAATTTCAAGATAACGACACAAATAAGGACCTTTTCTGGCTGCTTTCCATATGACACTGGGTCGTCGTCGACGCTATCAGTGCATTGGCAATCATCGGAACGCGTAGTCGCCCCCGCTTGGCGCGTCTGCCGCCACCGACCAGACACCAAAGTATCGCGATATCACGTGAGATTACCGCATCCGAGGTAAATCTGGAACCCTAAACGGAGCCCCGCTGCCGTCCCGCCGAAGACAGGTGAGTACAGAAGATCATGGAGATGTCACAGCACCTCAGCAACATCGGTCAAACCTCATGGCATCTGATTTCTGGGCTGGCTACCTCAGCGGGGCCATTGGGATTATTATCGGGAACCCGTTAGATGTGATTAAGGTTCGGTTACAAGCCGGGCACAACTCTGCAGATGCAGCTGCGGCTGCAGCATCACAGCAACGCTTGAGCCGCTTCGAACTTGCGCGAGGTTTGATAAGCACCCCTGCATACATTTAAAAGTTGATGATTGACTTCTTTCTATGATTAACAGGAGTTGCAGCTCCTATCCTTGGATATGGGGCCCTCAACGCTATTCTTTTCGTCACCTATAACCAGTCGTTGAAGTTTATGGATAGCTCAATCACGGACCCTATAAATCCCCAGGGTGTTCCCCTCTACAAACTCTGGATCGCCGGTGCTGTGGGCGGCCTGGCTAGTTGGACTATATCGTCTCCGACAGAATATATAAAATGTCGAGCCCAATTAGATAATCGGCCCGAAGTCTCGTCGTGGATCGTTGCGAAAGACATTGTTCGAACTCGTGGCTGGAGGGGCCTCTATTACGGAGGAGGGATTACTAGTGCCAGAGATTCTATTGGTTATGGATTTTAGTATGGAAACCGTCTTCCCCAGATTTTCTCCGCTCATCCCCATCCCCGTGCTCTGTTTAACGCATGCTACAAAACAGTTTCTGGTCCTACGAGTATTGCAAACGACTTGTGACCTCTGGAGATGATGATGTTCATAAAGCCGCGATGAAAGTGCTTCTCTGTGGAGGCATTGCCGGCGTCGCTACCTGGGCGTCGGTTTTCCCACTAGACGTGATCAAAACCAGACTACAAGCGCAAACTAGCGGGATATATCCTGAGGGTCGGCCGCTTCTGTCATTGCAGAGCAACAGGCGGGAACTGAACACCTTCCAGATTGCCAGGGAAGTATACCGGAACGAAGGCATGAAAGTCTTCTATCGCGGTCTGGGGGTTTGCAGTATCAGAGCATTCATAGTAAATGCGGTCCAGGTACGTTTGTCCAAAATCTTGAAAACGCACAATTGCTGATTATATGTCAGTGGGCCACATATGAATGGCTTATGAAAGCCTTCAATAATGTCGCATGGAATGAAAACCTCATGCCCAAAAATGCTTAGGCATATATAGATGAGTTGTACTCTGTACTCGTACTGTACTTATAGCTAAAACGAGTTATTTCGACCCATTTCAATCATACTCCGTACGGCTTTGTATTGCAGCTAGTAACTAAATTTCGTCTTAAGGAGAAAAGCGCCGGACAAAGGAGGTGGAACAAAGCCATACAATATCCGAAATGCGGCGATTTGCGCCGTCGCCGCACACCGGAGGAACCGCACTCGGTAAGACAAGCCTCCAATATTGCGACCATCGGCACTTGTAGTTCTCACGTGCAGGCTATCCCTTTTCGGGAGAAAAGCTTTTTCTATTGGAGCTCAGCCAATCAGAATGCTTTTCGAGCAACGACGGCATATCGAAAAATTTTGCCCTTCGACAGCCTTTACTTGCAGATTGCTGTAGCGAGGTCCTTTTTTCATGATAGAAGGAATGCGACTTATCCCTCTTGTACGCCTCATGTCCGACCTTATTCCTATGCTTCGTAGATATCATTGGAGCGCGCGGGGTAGGTATTTATTCCTCCATGGCGATTTCAGATTCCTGCGGTCGCTTGCCGTTGTCCGTTCCCAATCCCACGGCAGCTTCGGCGGCCTTTTGCGTATGAGGGTCTTCGCGCAGCAGGCGGAGTCTATAATTGATTGAGCCCCTTCCGTCAGTTTCAATTCTCATACGACGCAAGTTGGCTGCGGGGTTTCGGCTTCCATACCTTCGCTTGTGATTCTTGCCCTTGGTGTGGGAGACCATATTGTACTCGCTCTCAAACCATTTTGCGCATTCGACACAATAGTGCTTCCCTAGGCCCGGAAGATCTTCTGCATCTTTGGTGGCTTTGTACTGCGCAAGGTGCCTGGGGGAATCGAGGTCTTCGCGTACTTGATCGTAGCCTCTGAAAATAGAAAATCAGCATACCAGGACAGAGGCGACACCATCCTTGGCATAAACTAGGACATACCTTGTGAGGCGCTTCGTCTTCACTCGTCTCAATGCACCCATATTCACGTTCTATCAACCAGAAAGGACCAGCCGAAAATTCTTCCCGATGCGTCGTTGGTATCAAAGTCCTTATCACCGATATACGGAAAGACTCTGTCAAGAGAGCGGGTCACGGGGTTTCGCAAAATTACGGAGTGTTCCGCCCTTGTGTGCGAGGAACGCAATGTTGAAACACGTTGTGTCTGATTGGGCGAGAACTACACATTGCTTGGCAATCGGCCCGCGGGAGGTAGGTATCGGTAGGCCTCGGCTTAGGCTCGGTTTCGTCAGCGGATACATGGATACATGAGCCCGTAATTTATGACGTTTGCAGTTTTCGGCTCATTGCTCCGGAAGAGCAACAGTCTCGTCCATGATTTCATCCCCCAGTCATGTTGCAGGCGATAATAATAACACACCCAGTCCTTCAATGATACACGAAAGATGGAAATATTCCAACAACGACAAGTCTTAGAATTATAGAGCAAGAGTAATATAGCTCAATACTAGCTACGATATCCGGACAACTGTAATATCGGTAATATTGCTGTGTACAAGTAAGTATGGAGAACGGGGTAATCAGCCGCCCCATTATTGGCCCAAGCGGTCCATTTCAACCTCACATGCGCTCATCGCCGCACAGGCTCATTCTTCCTCCGGAGTTTGCGGCTAAACATACTGTAACGGTATGTAATGGTATTTCGGAGGCAGGGAGATCCTCTACCTCAGTAAACTGTCAATCCTACGTGAGAGTCTCCAGAGGGTCAATGAAAAGCCATTGAGGGCGAGGGTATTTCGAATTGAAAATCGTCTGGACGCTGAATGGCAGATACAATACGAGTTTAATGTTGATGGGGAATGGGGCAAGGTCTGTTCGATCTGTGCTTCCTTGTGTCCGGGAAAATTAATAGGGCGGTCCGAATGCGTAAATAAATTACAAGGACTGTATTACTGTCAAATGCGGTTACGGGTCCTCTGCTCCGGTCTCCCCCAGTGGAGTAGTCGCTGTTGGTAACAAGAATCTTTCCATTCCCATACGCCTATTCTTTTTTATCTGCTCTCATCCCTCCTTCTTCTCTTTCTTTCTCTCTTCTCCTTCTTTTCCAATCTCCACTCCATATTTGCTCCGGCTCTCCTTGGATGTGTTGCAGCCGTGTTTACACATAGAGAGCTTTCATCATGATCTCCTCAAGGCTCGCGCGCATGGGTGCGCTGGTAAGTTGCTGCTCCTTATCCCACCTCGCTGCATCGTCCTGTAGAAGCAGGAACGGCAGCTAAGCAGGAACTGCGGTCCAAGCACGGACGTTGACTTCTTGCTTTTTTCGGTTGATCGATATGCTAACTAATATCTACTTAATAGGCCCCTAAGTCCCGTGCTGTGAGCTATCCCGCCCACCTTTCACCCACCCACAGAAATGAATATACGGTTGTTGGATGGCTCTGGACAAAAGATGATTAACCTGCTATGCAGTTCTTCGGAAACCGGGGCATGGCCACCGTCACCGACAGCCCTCTCGACAAGAAGGTCGAGATGACCCATTGGGAAAAGGTATGTGTATTCGTCTAGCCCACTATGGAGGGACATCCTACGTATTGTGACATAATCGCTAACGGTCTTGATTTAGGGTAACTACATCAACTACAAGTAAGACAGCACCGGTATACCCAAAAAAAAAAAAAAAAAAAAAAAAAAAAAAAAAGCAGCAGCATATGCGGCACATCGTGCAGCTTGTGTCTGCTTGGGGTACGATTAGCGGATAACTGACATGGTTTGCGTTTTTACAGGAAGATGTCTGAGAACCTTGACATTGTCCGCCAGCGCCTGAGCCGTCCCCTCACCTATGCTGAGAAGATCCTGTACTCTCACCTTGACGACCCTCACGGCCAGGACATCGAACGTGGCAAGTCCTACCTGAGGATGCGCCCCGACCGTGTTGCTTGCCAGGATGCCACTGCTCAGATGGCCATCCTTCAGTTCATGTCGGCTGGTATGCCGTCCGTCGCTACCCCCACCACCGTCCACTGTGACCACTTGATCGAGGCCCAGGTTGGTGGTGACCAGGATCTTGCGCGTGCCAATGATATCAACAGGGAAGTCTACGACTTCCTTTCCACTGCTACCGGCAAGTACAACGTTGGTTTCTGGAAGCCCGGCTCCGGTATCATTCACCAGATTGTCCTGGAGAACTACGCTTTTCCCGGTGGTCTGATGATCGGTACTGACTCTCACACCCCTAACGCCGGTGGTCTCGCCATGTCCGCCATTGGTGTCGGTGGTGCTGATGCTGTCGACGTCATGGCTGGTCTTCCTTGGGAGTTGAAGGCTCCTAAGGTCATTGGTGTCCGCCTGACCGGTCAGATGTCCGGCTGGACTGCTCCTAAGGGTAAGCTATTCAAAATACCTATTGCGGTTCTCGCCCGATACTAACACCATGGGTTTCCAGACATTATCCTCAAGGTCGCTGGTCTCCTTACCGTCAAGGGTGGTACTGGTGCCATCATTGAGTACCACGGTCCTGGTGTCGACTCTCTGTCTTGCACTGGTATGGGTACCATCTGTAACATGGGTGCCGAAATTGGTGCCACCACCTCGCTCTTCCCCTACAACGACCGTATGTACGACTACCTCAAGGCTACCAAGCGTCAGAACATTGCCGACTTCGCCCGGAGCTACGGCAAGGAGCTCCGCGAGGACGAGGGTGCCGAGTACGACCAGCTGATTGAGCTCAACCTGTCCGAGCTCGAGCCTCATATCAACGGTCCCTTCACTCCTGACCTTGCTACCCCTATCTCGAAGTTCAAGGAGGCTGTTGACACCAACAAGTGGCCCGAGGACCTTAAGGTTGGTCTGATTGGTTCTTGCACCAACTCCTCGTATGAGGACATGTCCCGTTCCGCCTCTATTGCCCGTGACGCTCTTGACCACGGTGTCAAGTCCAAGTCTCTCTTCACTGTCACCCCTGGTTCTGAGCAGATTCGCGCCACCATTGAGCGTGACGGTCAGCTCCAAACCCTCGAGGAGTTCGGTGGTGTCATCCTTGCCAACGCTTGCGGTCCTTGCATTGGCCAGTGGGACCGTAAAGATGTGAAGAAGGGCGAGCCCAACTCCATCATCTCTTCCTACAACCGTAACTTCACCGGTCGTAACGACGCTAACCCCGCCACCCACGCCTTCGTTACCTCCCCTGATCTTGTCGTTGCCATGACCATTGCCGGTACCCTCAAGTTCAACCCTCTTACCGACACCCTCAAGGACAAGGACGGCAAGGAGTTCATGCTCAAGGCTCCCACTGGTGAGGGTCTCCCTGCCCAGGGCTACGACCCCGGCCGTGACACCTACCAGGCTCCCCCCGCGGACCGTGAGTCCATCAACGTCGCTGTCTCTCCCCAGAGTGACCGTCTCCAGCTCCTGGCCGGATTCAAGGCCTGGGACGGCAAGGATGCCACCAACCTCCCCATCCTTATCAAGTGTGAGGGCAAGACCACCACCGACCACATCTCCATGGCCGGTCCTTGGTTGAAGTACCGTGGTCACCTTGACAACATCTCCAACAACATGTTGATCGGTGCCGTCAACGCCGAGAACGGTGAGGCCAACAAGGTCAAGAACGCCTTCACTGGCGACTACGATGCTGTCCCTGCTACTGCCCGTGACTACAAGGCTCGTGGTGTCCAGTGGGTTGTCGTTGGTGACTGGAACTACGGTGAGGGTAGCTCTCGTGAGCACGCTGCTCTTGAGCCTCGTCACCTTGGCGGTCTTGCTATCATCACTCGCAGCTTTGCCCGTATCCACGAAACCAACCTGAAGAAGCAGGGTATGCTTCCTCTCACCTTCTCCGACCCCGCCGACTACGACAAGATTCAGCCCACCGACACCGTCGACCTCCTCTGCACTGAGCTCGAGGTTGGCAAGCCTGTCACCCTCCGTGTCCACCCCAAGGACGGTGCCGCCTACGACGTCAAGCTCAGCCACACCTTCAACGAGTCCCAGATCGAGTGGTTCCATGACGGCTCTGCTCTCAACACCATGGCCCGCAAGTCTGGCTAAATGCGAGAACCCTTGTTGAATCGACCTTGAAATAGACCCTTGGTTGATAAGGATTTTGTAAATTATGTGTGTTTCTATTTCAATGACGGAAACATCCTTCCTGTTAAGGAGGAAGGTCAGGTATGATGGGGAAAATGGAGTCCAGCCCTGAAAAATTTCTTTAACGATTTCCTTTTTCTGTTATTTCCCTTCCGTGTTTGGGTGGGTTTTATGGATATAGTTTTGTGTGGTGTTTTTCTATATCATCTATTCCTGTATCTTAGGAGTGAGCGCATACCATATTTCCTTTTTTTTGTTCAACTTCTGGTCCAGGTTAGTACCGTAGCTTCCTGCATCGTAACCAACTATCCTAACCGTAGTTATTCCACAGCAATGCTGACAAAGATGGCGTGCTGGACCGAGGCCCAGTGTAGATTTGCCCCGCGCTTCGGGAGGCACTTGGTGAATCTAGGCGTAGATAAAGGCTTATAGTTGGGTGTGTTACTAATTCATGTACGATCCTGTGTCTCTTATGATAACTTGTACAAGTCTCATAACGGATTACAGTGCTTTACCACACTCAGCTGGCATTGTGTAGCACGATAAGATATATTTCTACCGCCTATTTATCAGACCCGAGGGTTAATCAATTCTTAACTAAATTCCCTGCAGTTCCCTATTACAGCACCAACACAACTACTATACCATGGCTACACAATTGATCCCACTGCCTGAGGTGGAACGACTCAGTGCTTCGGTGGTGCGGATTTTGGGGGGCAACCCTGGAAAGGTAGGCCAGCAATTATCCGGGAAGTCGGAGGCGATATGGCTAACGGCTTATTGCCGTGGGAAATAGTTCACATTACAAGGTAAGTCAATCTACACTCCTGTGAAGGTTTCCGAGTATCCCGAATTCTGATAAACAACCAGGGACGAATACATATCTGATCGGCCGAGGACGCCAAAGGATCCTCATCGATACGGGCGAAGGCAAACCCGCCTGGGCAACAAGTCTTAAGAATGTCTTGTCATCAGAGAATGCAACCGTGCAAAAGGCGCTCCTCACGCATTGGCACGTGGATCATGTCGGTGGCATTACTGATCTCAAGCGCCTCTGCCCTCAAGTGATTGTCCATAAGCGCGAACCCGAAGAAGGGGAGGAGGGCATTGAAGATGGACAGGTATTTAGCGTTGAGGGTGCGACGCTGAGAGCGTGCTATACTCCTGGACACGCTTTTGATCATATGGCGTTTGTTTTGGAGGAAGAGGACGCTCTTATTACCGGTGATAGTAAGTCCATCATTATCATCCGCTTGATGCTTGATGCTCGATGCTTATATTTTCATCTTCGATAGATGTCTTGGGACATGGGACGAGTGTCTTTGAAGACTTGAAAGCCTACATATCCAGCCTGCAGAGGATGCACAGTCTAGTCTCCGGCCGCGGATACCCCGGCCATGGCCCAGTTATCGAGAAAATTCAGACGAAAGTCACTGAATATCTGAAGCACCGTCAACAACGCGAGGACGAGGTCGTCCGAGTCCTCCGATACGGCAAGCTCGACGTTGGTGACGACGAGAAATCCCCGGAGCGCAAGGGATGGTGGACTCCGTTGGAGTTGGTGAAGGCGATCTATAAGGATGTGCCTGAGAGTCTGCACCTGCCTGCGTCACATGGGGTGTTGCAGGTACTTATGAAATTGGAAGATGAGGGCAGGACGATTCACGACTCGGTATCGGGGAAATGGAGTTTGGTGGATGGGAGGTCTGCTTTGTGAATACGGGGTATCTCATGATTTTGTATAAACATGCTCTCTGGTATATATTCATGTCATTATTGTATCATTTCAACCGGCTAATACTATGTATAGAGCATCTTAATGCTATTATATCATGTTCTTAAAAGCTTCAATGGCATCGGTTGCCCAGAAACCAACTTAGCACAAATGAGTAACGTTCTACGCAGAATGAAGTTGTCTCGAATAAATAGTACCAGGAGAAGAATTGCCATATAAAATGGTGTTATTGGTCGCAGTAGTAATAGCATCATCCATTACTGACTCCGCCCAACCAAATCTCCTCCGCTGACCTCATCGCCATCTCATAACTATCTCTCCTCTATCTATTCAACCTCAGCCAGCCCTCATATCCAGTTTGAATCAATTTATGACCTTGCTATTAAGGAGCACATTCGGATTTTCTGTTCATTTTCAGCTTCGCAGTGTGATCGCTGCCCGCTGCGCTCTAGATTGCGTTGGTCCGCGCGCATTAGGCTCTGAGGTCACTCTTCCCCGCCGCCGACGACTTTCCTGCTTGTTTTGAACTTAGGATTTGAGCAACGACCTTTGCGGTTCCTCTTTTCTTTTCTCTTCTGAATATCAGTCTGGTATATTCTGATAAGTAGGCGAATTTGATCTTTGGAATCTTCTGGACTCATTTTGACCGGCTTGTCTTCCGCTTGACCTGATCCTTTCGGAATTGGTTTGTACTAATCCTTTTGAGCTTGGCTTCCCCCTCTTTTTTTTATTATCTATTTATTTATCTATTTTTCTTTTCTCTATTCCTAATAATTTCTTCAAAGCAGTGTCTTGCTGTTATCAGTCAAATCCCTTTGTTTATACGGATACTCGGACGCTGTCGCAAACGATAACCTACCTACAATCTTTCGTCGCGATGCCGGGCATCGATAACAGCGGCAACGAGGCACGGCTGCTCCTCGTCTCGAACCGGTTACCAATCACTATAAAACGTTCTGAAGATGGCAAATATGACTTCTCCATGTCTTCCGGTGGCCTGGTTAGTGGCCTGAGCGGCCTGTCGAAGTCGACAACCTTCCAATGGTACGGGTGGCCCGGCTTGGAGGTTCCCGAGGAGGAAGTACCCCATGTCAAGGATCGCTTGAAAGACGAGTATGGGGCGGTCCCGGTGTTCATCGACGATGAACTGGCAGATCGGCATTATAATGGGTTTTCCAGTTAGTCCATCTCACTATACCCGAGATGCGGGTTGAGCTAGGGTCTCGGCTATGCTGATGGCATTATCTTTTGTTGATTAGATTCGATCCTTTGGCCGCTGTTCCACTACCACCCGGGTGAGATTACATTTGATGAATCTGCGTGGGAGGCATACAAGGACGCAAATCGCCTATTCGCCAAGGCTATCGCAAAGGAAGTTAAAAACGGAGATCTGATCTGGGTACACGACTACCACTTGATGCTACTTCCGGAGATGCTCCGGGAAGAGATTGGGGACAGCAAGGAGAATGTCAAGATCGGATTCTTCCTTCATACGCCTTTCCCCAGTAGCGAGATCTACCGAATCCTGCCCGTTCGAAACGAGTTGTTGCTTGGTGTCCTTCACTGCGACCTTATAGGGTTCCATACCTATGATTACACCAGACATTTCTTGAGCGCTTGCTCACGGTTACTGTAAGCTCGGACCTCATTTCATCGGACTTTGAAGAGTGCTGACCTCTGTGCGAAGGGGGTTGGCAACAACCCCAAATGGTATTGAGTTCCAAGGCAAGATCATTGCCTGTGGTGCTTTCCCAATTGGTATCGACCCGGAGAAATTCCAAGAGGGCCTTAAGAAGGAGAAGGTTCAGAAACGGATAGCCATGCTTGAACAGAAGTTCCAGGGCGTGAAGCTCCTGGTCGGAGTGGACCGACTTGACTACATAAAAGGCGTACCCCAGAAGTTGCACGCGCTTGAAGTCTTCCTTAGTGATCACCCAGAATGGGTGGGAAAAGTGGTCTTGGTTCAGGTTGCGGTGCCCAGTCGACAGGATGTTGAAGAGTATCAGAACCTTAGGGCCGTTGTCAACGAGCTCGTTGGCCGAATCAACGGCAAATTTGGTGAGTGCGCCTTTGTGCCATGCTGATGAATGTTCTCCATTACTAACGGCCCAAGGAACGGTCGAATTTATGCCGATTCACTTCCTTCACAAGTCAGTTAACTTTGACGAGCTTATTGCGCTATACGCAGTATCAGACGCCTGCATTGTTTCTTCTACCCGAGACGGTATGAACTTGGTAGCATACGAATACATTGCGTCGCAACAAAAACGGCATGGTGTCCTGGTACTTTCAGAATTTGCCGGTGCAGCTCAAAGCCTCAACGGGAGTATAATCGTCAATCCCTGGAATACGGAAGAGTTAGCAGGTGCTTATCAAGAGGCCGTCACAATGGGAGATGAGCAACGGGCTCTGAACTTTCACAAACTGGACAAATACGTTTCGAAGTATACTAGGTATGGTCTCATTCATTCTCCTGTTTTTGAAGTTTCTCACAATTGCTGACCCATGATAGTGCCTTCTGGGGCCAATCGTTTGTCAATGAGTTGACGAGAATATCTACGGCTTCGGCAGAGAAATTCCAGTCGAAACCAGCCACGCCAGGTCCGGGCTCTCAGGTCGATGGTGTCAATGGCGCTGAGGCCAAATGAGCACTGAACATCTATATCTATATATTCGTCTATTTTAATTAGCTTGTAAAGGGGATTGCATGATATTGACATCTTTGGTTGCTCATGGCTTTGGCGCGTTGAAATGTTTGCTTTATGTTTGCTTGTATCAAATGTCTAGCTTTATAATACATACTAAGGGCTATGAAAAGTTGCTTATGAAAAGATACTTGGACGTTGTTTTGCCTGGATTAATGGAGTAGGACCTAGGGCATCCTGTTGTAGTGAGGCGGTTGCAAATGTTGCAAACACCCACTTGAGAAATTCTCCCATCCGCCGATTGAGACCGCGATATCGAACTCGCAGGACGCTGGCCCCACGACAATTATTCAATCTACTCAGCAGTCTTGCCTCGGTTTTACCCGCGACTGCCGGAGCCAAAAATTCTATCTCCTCTTTCGATCTTGTCTCGAATTCTCGCTGAGCTGCCTGGAAACGATCCGTTACGAGTCTCCGATTTTACCGTCGTTCGAAGATCCAGAACGAGACGACTCCATCTGGTTGAGCCTGGTGGTATTTTACCAGTTCGCCAATTTCATTTTGACATCGAGAACACAGAGAGAACAAGATGTCTCCGAGCAACACCCTCTTCCGGGCAATGCTTCCCCTCCGATCTTCCATGACGGGCTTGACGACAAAGTCCTCCTCAACGGCAACCCTTCTCCCTCAATTAACACGCACAAGCTTGATGGTTTCCAGCTCTCGGCGAGCAGCTTCTACCTCCGCTGAAAACCAACAGCAACAACAACAACAACAACAACCGCAGCAACAAACACCAACCCCTCCTTCCTCGGCACCCACACCCATACCCACACCTGCAACCGCAGCAGAAGCCAAAGCCACACCTCCCTCCCTCCGCAGCTACCCCTACACCCTCAAAGTCGGCACCGTGTCTTCCGTCGGCAAGATGGACCGCACCGTCCGCGTCGCCCACCGTCACACCTTCTGGGACAAGCACCTCCGCAAGTCATACCCGCAAGTCACCAACTTCCTCGTCTCGGACCCGCGCAACTCCCTGCGCGAGGGCGACGTGATTGAGTTTTCGTCTGGGTTTCCGAAGAGCCGCAACGTGCACCATGTCGTTGAGCGGATCGTTGCGCCATTCGGAAGCGGGATTGAGGAACGGCCGCCAGTGATGTCGCGGGAGGAGCGTGAGGCGGTCCGAGAGCAAAAGAGGGCTGCTAAGTGGGAGCGGAGGGAGAAACGGTTCGAGAGTGGTGATGAGGATTCGGGGGTGAAGGAGCATGTGGGTAGGATTCGGGGTTTGATTCTGGAGAGGGAGGCATATATGTGAGCTACTGCCTTCAAAATTATTTCCCTCATTTCCTCCCTCATATCTTGGATTCTGCTCGTGGCACGGAGTTTGCCTATCAAGATTTTCGATTTCATGTACCTAGTGTATTATATTGTACTGTGTTATTCAATTGGGCCTGTGGATTTTATGCAAAACAAAATCAAGCCATTAGAAGATACAAACGAATTCATCTATGAAATGATCTTCTAAGACCTACAATACTTATTCAAAGAAAAAGAAAAAAAGATATTGTCGTAGTTGTACTCCATGCATTGCGGCCATCTGAAAATGCCAAGACTTGGGTCGCCAAAAGAGTCACCACAGCGACTGTTTACTTTGTTTTTCCTCCATCGCCCTCGAACATCATCGCATGCCCAACCACGCTCCCTACCGTTAATCGCCCAAACGATCCGGACCTGAATTCGCCTTGAAACGAATTCATACATATCTGACGATTTGTACGATTGGACTCGAGCATATACACATTACTACTGTTCATCTCTCCGACCGTCTTCTGCGTAAAATCCCCTCTCTCTACAACCGAATTCAATATTCAGCTGTGATTGTACGTCTCTTCCTCTCCGTCTGTGTGTGCGGCTTCGTGCGACTAGAGGGCTATCTCCCTTTCCCACGTCTTCTGTTTATCACCATCAGTCAATTCCCTTCTCCACTTATACCAAGCCCCGCGACCCGGTATCGCATTTGAGATGCGGATGGAGTGTTAACCATATTTCTGTGCCCCTCCAGTACGAACAAATTATCGCTTAACGAAGACGAAGACTATCTTTTTACACCACTACACCCTTAACCATGCCTGACGGAGAAGAAGATCTTTCGTCGTTACCATTGCCGGACCGATTCTCCCACAAGGTGAACCAGCCAGCCATCTCGCTCGAACCGATCGGACTCGCGAGAGTTGCTTAGGTGGGAAGAAAAGCGCTGACAATCTATTACTTGAAATTTAGAATTGGAAAGTCAGAAAGGAAGGTTACGAAGATGCGAAGCAGCAGTTTGAAAAGACGCCCGACGAGTCGCATCCAGTGTTCGCTCCGTTTATACAAGAACCCAGCCTCTGGAAAGGCGCTGTCGCAGATTCCAACGTCGCCGCCCAACAAGAAGGCCTCGGGTCATATTGTTCGTTCCTGAAATTCGGAGGTGTTCAGGCTTGCACAAGGTGCGCCATGATCCATTCTGTCCCTAGAAGGCTTCAGGGGAAAACCAAGAGAAGGGGCCTGTATAGCTGACATGTTAAATTTTTTCAGAACTCGTGGATATACCGTCTCCGCTATCGTTGAGAAAGGTCTCCCATCAACACGGCCCGCCGCCAAAACGAGCGCGCTGGAAGCGCTTTTACTATGCGTCGAGTTCGACAAAGCAGACCCCGTTATCGAAGAGATCGTGCCCACACTTTCGCACAAAGTACCCAAGGTGATTGCGGCGGCATTGGTGGGGTTGAAAGCCATCTACCATAACTTCGGATGCAAGATCGTCGATCCCAAACCAGTCCTCAAGGCGCTTCCCAAGGTATTCGGACACGCGGATAAGAATGTCCGTGCTGAGGCTCAGAATCTCACCGTCGAGCTATACCGGTGGCTGAAAGAGGCTATCAAACCGCTTTTCTGGGGTGAATTGAAGCCTGTGCAACAACAAGATCTCGACAAACTCTTCGAAAACGTTAAACAAGAACCCGCACCGAAGCAAGAAAGATTTACGAAAGCCCAGCAAGATGCCATGGCAGCAGCTAGTGCAGCCCCTGACGATGATGAGGGTGAGGGTGAAGGTGGTGAGGAAGATGCGGAGGAGGATGGTGGTGAGATCGACGCATTTGATCTCGCAGAGCCCGTTGATGTGCTTTCGAAAATTCCCAAGGACTTCCATGACAACCTGTCATCGTCCAAGTGGAAAGACAGGAAAGAAGCTCTGGACGCACTCTATTCGATTATTAACGTTCCTCGGATCAAGGACGGCCAATTCGATGATATCGTTAGGGCATTGGCCAAGTGTATGAAAGACGCCAACATCGCAGTCGTGACAGTTGCGGCCCACTGTATTGATCTACTGGCAAAGGGTCTAAAGTCTAGCTTTGGTAAACATCGCGCAACAATCATGGCGCCCATCATGGAACGGTTGAAGGAAAAGAAACAAAGTATTGCAGATGCCTTGGGTCAAGCACTCGACTCAGTGTTTGCATCAACAAACTTGTCGGAATGTCTAGAAGAGATTCTCGAATACCTGAAGCACAAGAACCCTCAGGTGAAGCAGGAAACCGTGAAGTTCCTTGTCCGCTGTCTCCGAACCACCAGGGATGTCCCATCTAAGCCAGAACAGAAAATGATTGCAGAGGCTGGTACCAAACTTCTTACCGATTCCAGTGAAGTGAACCGTGCAGGAGGTGCTGAAGCGCTTGGAACGTTGATGAAGATTATCGGAGAACGCGCAATGAATCCTTTCATGGACGGTCTTGACGATATCAGAAAAACCAAGATCAAGGAATACTTCGAAACCGCCGAAGTCAAGGCCAAGGAGCGGCCCAAGCCTATTGTTGGCCCACCCAAGACTGCCGGCCCTGCTGGGAAGAGACCAGTAGCAAAGAAACCGGCATTGGGTGCGAAGAAACCAGCGCCTGCTGCTGCCGCACCTCCTCCAGAAGAACCAGCCCCAGCGCCCAAACCTGCTGCCAAGGCCTCGGCGAGACCAGGTGGTGTTCCGAAGCCTGGCGCCCTTCCTACGCCAGGATCTGGCCTCAAGAAGAGACTTGCTGGTCCAGGGGCGACTGCCTCTCCGCAACGACGAGTCGCATCTCCACCCCAAGATGAGCAACCACCACCGCCCGCTGTGCCTAAGTTTGGTCTTGGACGAGGCCTCGCTGGCCGTCCTATCGCGAAGCCCTCTCCTCCCCCCTCCGCTGAATCTACTCCTCCACCAGCCCCAGAAATGAGCGGAATGTCCAGCTCTGACCGGGCAGAACTGGAAGAGCTGCGGCTGGAAAAGGACCGATTCATGCGCATGATCGAGGACATGAAGTACGAGCGCACCAAGCTGAACTCGCAAGTCACAGAGCTGCAGAACCAAAACGCACAACTTATCGAAGACCACACAAGAGACGTCCTAAGCGTCAAGGCCAAGGAAACGCAACTGGTCCGCGCACGCAGTGACGCAGAATCCGCAGAACAAACCGTCCAAAAGCAAACGCGGGAAGTCGAACGCCTAAAGCGTGAACTTGCCCGCTCCCTCCGCGCCACCGCAATGAGCCCTCCCAACACAATCGCAGACAACATCAGCATGTCCATCCCAGAGGGCACCCCGGACACAGGCAGTAACGGCAACGGCCCCGGCGCGACCCCCCGCGTAAGCAGCCTCCAAATGGGCTCCCGCCTCGAAAGCTCCCGCCCACGCAGCTTCGCCTCCGCTTCCCCCATCGAAGACAATCAGAACAACAACAACAACAACAATAACAATAACAATAACAATAACAACAGCTTAGAATCCCCCGGTGGTCCGAATACCAGGGATAGCGGCCTTGGACGACGCAAGTTCAGTCCTACCTTCGGAACGAGCCAGTCTGGTCTTGCTAGTCCGACGAGGTCGTCGCGGGTTGGGTCTGGTAGTTACTCTGGGGAGGATCAGGGTCAACGGAGCACAGAGCCGGCGGAGAACTGGAAGAGAGCTGCGGAGGTTACGAGTCAGTTGAAGGCGAGGATAGAGGCTATGAAGGTTAGTTCTATCAACTATCGTGTGGATATATATGGAAGGACAGTTACTGACATTGAGATTCTAGGCACGACAAGGCATTTCACGACCAGCTGGTCGCTAACGACCGAGTACGATTGCATATATTCATTCTGTCCTTTTTCGATTCTTCTTTTCTCTTTTCCATCGTATTATTATTATATGCTCCTTTCATGATTCACTTTTTGGGCGGGTTCTTGGTTGTGTCTTTGTTTTTATATGATTACTCAAAATATCCATCTTTGTTCTTGTTCTCGTCTTTCTCATCAATGGGACCAGATTGGGGGTTCCTTTGACCTTCTTTTCCATATATCCGGGTTCTTCATCATCATCACCATCATTAATGTTTTGTCGTTTCATTATGTATAAACCTTTGTACCATTGCTTCTTTTGTGTTGGGTTATGGGTTTATTTGTATTGTGTGGACATGATTCAATGGATTGAATCGAGTCAAGGTGATCTGGGTCTAGTTTAGCGTAGCAAATTCTGCGACCACTCAACCCTTACTACAAAATATGCCCGCTACCAAAGGGTCTTGGCCGCCTCATTAAAATGGAAGGCCTATGACGACTACAAAGACTACTGAAGACGATGAAGTACAGAAACAGACCCCACATGAATGCTCATTCCTCAACACTATATGTACATCCAAGTTGACAAGATAAAAATGCATTCATGGGTATCTGTAACGTTGTACATGAAGAGTAATAAAAAGAAACAAGATTTGAGAAGGTACCAAAGACTTTTTCGTTTAATTATAGAAGAAGCTTTTAGAATTAGACCACAAGATCGTGAAGTTCGTCGTAAAAGAAAAAATTTTTCGTTTTTCCGCTAGACAAGCTTAGACCTTGACGGAGGCCTCGAGGGCCTTGCGCTTCTTCTCAGTGCGGGCAACGGACTTGGAACCAAGGATACCACCACCCCAGTGGCGGCGAGACTCCTCGTACTTGTCGGTGTAGCCCTCCTTGATGGCGGAGAGGAGCTTGGAGAGCTCAGCCTTATCCTCGTCACGGGTCTCAGTCAGAGCAAGGACAGCAGAGGTCTGGTGATTCGATTAGCAATTGCACATCAAGTGTACGATGGACGGATAAACATACCTTCTTGTGGACAACAGTTCCCAGACGAGCCTTGCCCTTGACAATGGCGTAGGGGACACCCATCTTGCGGCAGAGAGCGGGAAGGAAGACAACCAACTCAATGGGGTCAACGTCGTGGGCGATGAGGACGAGAGAGGCCTTCTTGTTCTCAACGAGACCAACGACGTGGTTGAGACCGTACTTGACGTTGTAGGGCTTCTTGCTGACGTCCTCCTTCTTCTTGCCCTCGGTGATGGCGGTGGCCTCACGCTGGAGACGCTCCTTCTTCTCGGCCTTGGTCTCAGGACGGTACTTGTTGAGGAACTTGAAGGTCTGGGCAGCGGTGTTGCGGTCCAGGGTGCTCTGGAACTGAGCGATCGAAGGGGGAACCTTGAGACGGAGGTTCAGAATCTTCTTCTGGCGCTGCAGGCGGACGTACTCGGGCCACTTGACGAAACGGCCGAGGTTGCGCTTAGGCTGGATGTCCTGGCCAATACCGAAGTTGCGGGGGCGCTTCTCGATGAGAGGGTTCTATTGACGGTTAACATCTTCATGTCACTGCAGTCTTATAAAGAGGAATGCTCACCTTGGGGCCCTTCTTGCTAGCACCAGCCTTACCCTGGGGGTAGGGCATGGCGGCGACCTTTTTACCGGACTTGGGAGGCTATCATTGAGAAAAGAAGATCAGCTACATGTTCCTCCAATGCTGAATCTTCCTTGAACTCTAGGGAGAGCAAGCGAGTCTCTCTTTCGAGAAGACTACACCCGCACCTCCAGCCAAATCATCACCGCTGCACGCATCCCTATTACCAGGATTTTGTGCGAACGATGGAAAATGCTTCGAAACTTGCGACACTGGAGATTTTACCCTCACAGCATCTAGCAGAGGTTTGACGAAGACTTTTTCTTTCTTTCTTTCTTTTTTTCTTTTTTTTTTTTTTCTTTTGAAATTGCAATGAAGCAAATCAGGACACTGGAAGTTAACTGCTTACCATTGTTGTCGACTGAGATCCTCTGCGCTGGGTGACGGGGTTGACGAAGAAGAGAAGAAAGAGAAAATCGAAGGTGAAATTCAACCTTGAAAAAGAACGCCGTCGCTTTCGTGGGCCGCGCTAGTGCGGAAAAACAAGCGAGCCGGCGCCGCGGGTGGGGCATCACGTGCGCAGGGTTAACCCTCCGACATCAGTCTGATCCAGGCATACTCGGGAGTTGGCTACGACTGGTAAGCAGTGGCATCTAATGAAACAGGATTATAGAGTCTTATATAAATGAATATGATCCTCGCTATCAAGCGTCAAAAATCGTCCCAAATGCAAACCGAAACGCCGTAAATGGACATTGGCATACCAATGCAGTATCCGGCCATGACATATGTGCAATGCAAGCAAAAACATAGCTAAAGAACAATAAAGTACGGGGTATACGATGTATAAAGGCATTGTGGCATCACCGCCACGCCCCCAACCCCGGAAACGCACCCCTTCCGACACTCGAACTCGCGGCCTGTATAGCCTTCTTTTTCCCATAATCCCCTTCCTGGATCTTTACACCTCCAACAATCTTATCAATGTTCGTCTCTACCACAATGCCTCCAACAATCATCTCAGCCAGTACGGCGTGCATGGTCTCGTAGCCAAAGATAAGGTCCAGTTCGCAGACATTCTCGAAGACGCGGTCTAGAGCTTCGACGAAAACCTGGATCAGATCGATAAGCGCAAGCGGAGACTCGGTGGATGTGGAGATCATGATGAATGAAAGCGTGGCATATGTCCGGTAGGTGATTTGTGTAGGATCGTCCGAGGGGCCGAGAAATGCGCTGGAGCGGGCACCGCGCGCGAGGAGGGCAGGAAGAGGGAGGAAATTGCAGGCGCTTGCAGGACGTTGGGCGACTAGGTCGTAGATTTGCTCGATGAGGGATTGTTTTGTTTGGGTATCCTGGTTGGAATGGATGTTAGTTCTAGCTGCGGTGTCTGGTGTCATCGCGGACTCACAATTTCTGTGTAGAACTTGGTAAGGCGCGGTTGCCCGGTGTTGTTGAAGAGGAGCACGGCGTTGATCATTTTGCTGTTGAATTATCAATATTTGAGGAAGAAGATGTATGTTTCCAGGTCACAAGATCGACGTCGCGTTGTTCCCAAGTGGCTTATCGGCGGGGCGGAGACTCGGCAGAAATGCCTGCTATCGGCGCCTCGGGAGACTTGCCAATCTAGAAAATCTCTGGAGAAGCTTCACATCGCGATTGCGAACTGCACTTTCAACTTTGACATACGACACCCAATCAAACATCATGAGACCACGAAATTACATCTGCGCCACCTGCCTCCGCAAAAGAACACCATACCTTCCCCACCGCACCGTCGTAACCACATCAACATCAACACCACCAACCACCGCAAACCACTCCAATCCAAACTTACTCCCCTTCCACGCCCTCACACCCTCCCAAATCTCCTGCTACTGGGACACGCGCATCCCCAATGACCCCCAACTCGCCTACGCCAACTCCCTCTTCACACCCTCACGCCACTCTCCCATAAAACTATGGTCCGCCAACAGATTCCGCACAATGCCCATGTCCTCTCTAGAACCCGAAGTCGCGTTCCTGGGCCGCTCGAATGTTGGGAAAAGCTCGTTGCTAAACGCGATCATGGGGAAGGAGATATGTTGGACGTCGTCGAAGCCGGGACGGACGAGGGAGATGAATGCGTTTGGGATTGGGGGGACGAAGGGCGGGGAGAATAAGATTGTGTTGTTGGATATGCCGGGGTATGGAAAGGGGAGTAGGACCGGGTGGGGGGTGGAAATTATGAAGTATTTGCAGGGGAGGAGGCAGTGAGTATCCCATTTTCTTTCTAATTTGGCTTAGGTTGTCGTGTTCGAGCTAACAGGAAGTACTCAGACTCCGCCGCGCCTTCGTCCTAATTGACAGCGACCACGGCCTCAAACGAACAGACCATGACATCCTAGCCCTATTTCGCCAATACGCCATCCCCCACCAAGTAGTAATATCCAAAGTCGACAAACTTCTCAAATCAAAATCCGGTGCGTCGGTAGCAAGCCTCGCCGCGCTGCAGGACAGACTACAAAGTCTACGACCTGTTGTCCAGCCTGACGGTCGATTCGAGGGGCCCGGTGCCTTGGGTGAGGTTCTCACATGCAGTACGGAGCCGCGGACACGCGTTGCGCCAGGGCACGGACAGTTTTTAGGGATAAGTGCATTGCGGTGGGCGATTTTGTCGGCTGCGGGTTATGGGGGGAGTGTGGAGGCGAAGGAGAATCCTGTTGTGTCTTCTGAGGGTTCAGGGTCGAAAGTACCTGATTTTCGATTTTGATGCTATGCTGGGTATTGGAATCCGGTATCGAAAAACAGCCAGACATCATGATTCTGGCAGTTGTCCAATACGAGGTTACTAAAGTGGTATGCTGATGGCCTCGCTCGTCTAATTAGGTACCCATGTTCTGCACTAAGGGGGCAGTTGTAATCTGCTATGTAAAGTCATCCAATCCAGTCTAGCTTGGATTCATGACGGCCACCTGAACTGAATCCTTGTGATTTCCGGGTTGGGTCTTCAAGGCCCAGAAGGGAAGCACACTGTGCAATGACTTGCTACTGGCTCGACAGGGGAAAAGGTACCACATGAATCAGAATGGGTGTATCAGAGCATGCCATTTGGTCAGCGTAGAATCAATCCAATTGAGATGCAAGAATAGTCTTGATATTGCGACAGGATTCTAAACCTCTGAACCTTGAAATATAAACATTGAAATACACATAAAACACTGAGAAACATATGCATCATGTCTTGAGTGAAAATATGAAGAGCGTGGTACCGCCACGCAAACTAAACGCCTTGTCCACTGTAAAACACTGCAATGATGAGATGCATGCTAACCGCGCTATGCAAGCTTTCATTAAAATGTAAACAAAAACAAATGACCGTGAGTATGGGTATCGCAAAATGAAGTTATGTGTAGAAATCCGCAATGAAAATAAATGCCCGCCTGTAGTAGTCGAAATTGTGGTGGTATTCGCCAAGTCACCATACTCCAAGGGCGAGGCCGGGGGTAGAATAAACATAATTAACCGTCAGACATGTCGTAATCTTCTTCAGCATAATCGCCGGTTTCCAGACCTCTTCGATTCACGACAATACGTTTCCCCAATTTCTCGGGTGGCTCTCCGTCACGGGAAGCGCCAAAGTCAAGAACCTGAACAAACCATTAGCATGTAGTCATCAATCTGAATATTCTCCCCGACTTACCTCGATGTAGGTTAAACTATCACGCTGCACTGCGGCAACGCATCTCCGGTCATTGAACTTGACTTGCCATACCCCGCTGAGATCGGTGAGCAAGTTTCGGACATGCTCCCCAGTCTGCACATCCCACATTTTCAGAGTCTGGTCAGACCCCGAGATGACCTTTTGACCATCGTGTTGGAAACATGTGATCGCACCAGTGTGGGCGCTCAACATGCTTTTACACCGACCGGTTTCGGGATCCCAGATTCTCAACGTGGAATCCGCTGCTGCAGAGACAAGACGATCACATTTGAGGTCAAGAAGACCGACAAGAGAAGTATGGCCCTCAAGGTTGTACAGAAGAGATCCAGTCTCCAGCGACCACACCTTGACCAGGTTATCCATCGATCCACTGATACAACGGTTTCGCTCGTGGTCAAGGACCACGCTATACACCTTAGAAGTGTGTCCCTGGAGTCTGTGCACAGTTTCTCCGGTAGAAATCCTCCAGACCCTCACAGTGCAATCATAGCTCCCACTCACTAGAGTATCTCCGTGAGCGGCAATGGCACGAACGGAATGTTGATGACCGGTGAGAGCGCGAACAAAGTATGGGCAATCGGCATCGTCGACCTGAGGTCCGCTTTGGAAATAAACCTGATCACCTGGCCGAGGAAGCTTCCACACCCGTAGGTTAGAATCACGGGAGCCAGTGATGATCAGCGGCACCTTGGGCATCATTTCAGCGGTGCCATCGGCCCTTTTTCCGACTTCTGACGGCAGCACGATCTGCAGACATCGCACGGTGGAAGTGTGACCATGGAAAATCTGGGTACATCTTGCTCTCTCGATGTCCCAAACCCTTACAGACCGATCGGTTGACCCGGAAACAAGGGTGTTACCGTAATATTCAAGAGCCCAAACACCGCCTTCGTGGCCTTCTAAGGTGTTCCTCAAAGCGCCGGTCTTCGTGTCATAAACGTTGATATTGGTGTCATCGCTTCCCGTGAGAATCTTGTCCGTATCAAATTGGAGACACGTGACAACGTGGCGATCATGCGCACGAAAGGCAAAATGTTTCGGCCGAACGTCCGGCTTCATCCAACCTTTGTGAATGCAATGATGCCGCTGGTAAAGAGATTTGTACAGGTGAAGGCTACGGAGAGACGACAAACCAACATCGGGGTATGGTACGGCTGCTGCGGCAGCACTAGCAGCAGCATATGGGCCTTCTGCCGTTGCAATATCGACTCTCCAGTCAGGGGTCTCTGAACGATCTGTCCCACTGGACGAGATCTTTCGCTTCGCATGCTTGCGAGTTGATGTGCGAGTGGCAGCCTTCCTCTTCGACTGTCGAGTGACCAACATCCTGTCATTGTGCCCTGCTGCTGGCAACGAAGCCGAAGCAGATGAACCTGGGCCAGACTTCAGAGGGAGATATGTAGTCAAATCCTTCTCGAAGTCTTCGTCTCCATTCGGGAATTGCCAGCCCCAACCTTCTCTAATAGCGCGTTCCAACTCTCCTTCAGGGAGAACATAGCCATCCCGATCCAGGAGCTCTTTCCAGGTCTTCTCATCGGAATTGATGATATGTCTCCATTTCTTCGACACCTGGGCCGCACGACACATGGTCGGAGCATCAAAATATTTGACGATGTTGAGACTCAATTCGAGCGGAAGCATGGACAGAAAGTCGCATTTCAGGGCCGGATTAACGACATTAGCGACAAAACGGAGAGTCGGTTTAGGACATCGTCGGAGCAATTGGTACATAAGGTACGTTTTGAATCCCTCGGGAACCGAGTCGAAAAAGTCCAGTACATTTGGCATGTCCATCAATGATGCCGTAGAACGTGGGACGTCAGCACTCTTTGAGAATCGAGGAACGTTATTATCCAAGCTAGAATCCGTATCAACTCCCGCATCCTCTGTAGAATCAAAGGATGAGTCGGCATTCATGGCATTCATAGCAGCCACGGGAGACAGACTAGGGCTCGGTAAGCACATGTCTTGAGCAGCGACATTGTCAGCTGCCGTCCTCTGGGTGTTCGTGTCAAGCAACTTTCGCTGTTGTGGAATTTGCACCGACACGTTGTCTGATAGTTTGCTAGTAGGAGCTTCTTCTTCTTCTTCTTCTTCTTCTTCTTCTTCTTCTTCTTCTTCTTCTTCTTCTTCTTCTTCTTCTTCTTCTTCTTCTTCTTCTTCTTCTTCTTCTTCTTCTTCATTATCCACGCGGGCGCTAAGATCGTCCTGCAAAACTTGTTTGCCACGATCCAACCGGGGGCTTTTTCCGAGAGCCCCAAATCTAGCCCGCGCTGCGTCCTTTCCCAGGAAGGATTTTGGATTCGAACCCTGCAAAGTCCCTTGAGACTCAACTTCAGAAGACAGAGGCGAACGCAAATTTGAGGCCCTTCGTGGAAGGGCTGCACTATGAATTCTTCTTCTTGAAAACGCACTCCCAGCGCTGAAACTGTTGTTCTCCGTCTCTGGTGTTGCTAGCCCGTCCACCGCCGGTGCACGAGTTCGAGATGAGCGGAGAGCAGGCTCTGATGGAACTCGAGAACGCGTCCGGGGTACACTCGGTTGTGCCTCCGGGATCGACACTGGCGAGACTGGTCGACGTTTTGAACTTGACGGGTGACTCGATGGCTGGCTAGATAACCTAGGGTGGGCATTGCGTCGAGGATGTCCAGCATCATTAGACGTAGTGAAAGATGCCACAGACCGAAGTAAGCCGTTCGAGGTCTTGAGCGCGTCATTCCTTTCTCTCGTCTACACACGTCAGTCATTGTAAAGCAACAGAGAAGTCGGGGGAAAAGAGGTGCTGTAAAAAAAGGAATGATTTATTGTGTGTGGATAATACAACATACCTCGTTGACAGCACTTAAAGTATCCTCAGGCTCGTTGAAAACCACAGATTTCCCTCCCAGCTCAAATTTGATGTTTCTCAGGGAATCAGGAGTAGGTGACGCCGCCAACGGATAAAGCTTGGTATCCAAATTCCTTGTTGCCCGAGGTGGTTTGATGATCAAGGGAGGAAAGGTGGTTGTTGTCGTGGTCGTGGTGGTCACGACGGTGGTCTGAGTGGCAGGCGCGAAGGAAAACTGACCAAATGAGCCATCCATCTGGGAGTTGTCACCGTTGTCCATTTCACGTTTTCGAGACTGGCGATGGCGAGAGGTAGGAGAAAGATGGGAAGAGGGTGGCTCAAGGGGCGCCAAAGACGCGTCGGTGGGTGCAGGCGCTGATTGCGAGTCGACTTCAACGACGTCGATGGCAATGGGGGCGTTTGAAGTCATGGTCTATAGACCCTAGACCGATTTCCAAAATCCAAAATGAAACGATAATAATGATATATGCACAGTATGATCGAGAATGAAAGTATGCTTGGTGACCACGGGTTTGTACGGGGGAGGGAGTATCTAATCAAGGGAAAGCGGGCCGTCGGTGTTGAAAAAAAAAATGGGGCTACCCCGTCAGTCACTGTAACTGACTGTTTGAAAGGGAGCACGTTAAAACATGGCGAGGAGAGCAACGAGAACGTGTGTAAACTGTTTAAAGCAGGTGATGTGAGTGGGGAGTCGAGTGGTGGGAGCGAGGGGGGAAAAAAGAGAGAAAATGAGCTGACAGGGAGAGAAAGAAGAAAAAGATGTTTAGATTTGGGCGGCGGCGGAGAAGAGAGGGAATGGCGCGGGCGCTGGGCGGTGGTTGGTCGTGCCTCCTTCCGGCTGTGGTGGGCGTTCTCCGAGGCTCCGCAATAATGGGGCTTATTTATGTTTCTTTTGACAATGATAGAGAGACAGATTCAGTAGTGATGATAATGGAGAATAACTGAAGATAAAAATAAATCAACTACTAGTTACAACTTCATACAAAGAAAGAGAAACATTACGTGATGGAAAACAATCTTCGAAACAAAAAGAAAGGAAGAAAAGAGGCAAAGAGACGGCGGTTGGAGACTTTGCCGTCCTGCAGTGACATCCAGATGGAATCTACGGAATCACCGCACTCACATATATCCTCCGACTACTCTACTATTTCAAACACTGATCGTTGCCTCGCATATGATATCTCCCGTGAACTGCACGATTCAAGGTCTTATTTTAGCCTGTGTATACACGTGACCTGGTGGGGGCGATAACAGCCCTGCTCGATGGCTCCATCGCGTCACTTGCAGAATATAGATTGAGGTATACCCAGGGGTACTCGAGGGGTATTAATCAGATTGTATGCTTCCTACAGGTAAGCGAAGTCGGAATATTCGGTTCGTTCTCGAGAATATTTCCATACAGGAAGGGTCCGTTTTCTGGTCCGCAATGAAAGAGACCATGGAAGTTACTGTATATTCCCAAGGTATGCCCCCGAGAATTTCTTTTCATTTACCGAACCTATCCGCTGCTATACTTCAACATCCCGCCTGGTACGTTTTGGTATTAATATATTTCCTGGACTGAGATGTGGTGTAGACAGAAGAACAGTGCATTGATTCATAAATATCAGATTATTGAGATTATACAATGTCCGTTCACTAGTCACTATACTATATGTGCTTTTAGAGGCAGCATCTTAGCCTGTGTAGCTATATATTGAAGCTGCTAACATGAGCTGTCAATATGGCCTGCTACCTATATATCTCATTTTGACCAAACTATTTATTTGTAAACATTAAAGCGTAAAAAGGAAAACTAGAAAAAAAAGAGTAAGGAAGTAGTAGCACTTTGTGTTTGTTGACGTTATGCTACTGTGCTCTCAGAAATCCCCGTGACCTGCGAATGACACCCATCTCCCAACTTCCTCGACCAAGTCACTTTGAAATCGTCCTTATCATCACAACAACAACAACAACCATCCTTCCGCCTTTTTTCTACACTATCCCACAATCTAACTGTTACCCAACATGGCTCGTATCAAATATACTGGGCCACTATCAACGGTCCAGTTACAACGAGCCCCAGTTCAAAACAAGACGCAAGCCGAATTCGATGAGGTATCCCGGTTGAAATTGCAAGAATGCCTTGCTGTAAGACAGCAGCAAAGCATGGAGATAGTACGAATCATGCTACATGTATCTGTAAGTTCCTTGTTTACCCCATCCCTCCATGGTTATGGGATTCTGACCTCGAGTCTCCTTAGTTCGGAACGTTGTTTTATCTTCGGTTTGCAAGCCCTCCATCGCAATTCGCAGTTACCGTTCGAGTCTGATGGCTACCAATAGGGAGTTCTTGCCGCTCGGGAGCTTCGATGATCGTGACCTGAAACAAACACAACGAGAGCAGAAATATTCGTATGAGGAATTTATCAACGGAAGAACACGCACAGAAAGCCCCGAGGAGAGTCAGGACCTTGGATTCGGTAAAGGAAAGAGAGGCCAGCCTCTGAAAATCATCCTTCGCAATTCAGACCCCAAGGCGGATATGATTCTCGATCTGTTGGTAAGACCCCGGGCTTTTCGACTTCCCACCTCGTGGTCTTTAACAGGATCAGGAACACGGAGTCTTTGACGCGCTCAGCAAGAACTACCTCGAAGCCATCCAATTGACTGTTCTTATCGACAAGGATGAGCCACAAAACGTATTGGAGACATACACCTTTTCGTTCAAATACACAGGGGCACGTGGTGATGTGAACAGCCGCTTGGAAAGCTTATCCCTGGATCCCGTAGGTTGCGTCGCCGATATGAAGTCTGCGCAGACAGCCCGAACTGGATTGGAGATGATAGTCAGACGCCTTATTACATTGAGTGCTTTCCTCCCAACCCTGCCAAGTACGTACCTTCCGATATGATGCTAAACAGCCCTGTGCTAACGAGGAATATCCAGACAAGCGCAATCTAGGGATCCACCTGTTTTATACTGAAGACTGCCCGCCTGAGTACGAGCCTCCCGGATTCGCCAAATCGACGCACGATACTTTCAAATACCCCTTCAACGAGAATTGGCAGAGGGAAACTCAGTCCTGTGGTACAATGAATAGTGGATGCCATGCGTAGGTGGTTACCCTTGATGCTGCTGCTCCGAGTACTGACAATGGGTAGCGTTGGTCTTAACGTGACCTCGCTGAAGTGGACTGGACCGGATTCCGAAGGCTCGGAAGTCCTGCCTAGAATTCCTCCTCAAATCGAGTATAATGATAAGGTGCAGCGAGCAGCTGACATTGGGCTTGCGAACGAAGAAACTCCCAGCATCATGTTGAGTCGGAATGGTACGGACAAGGAAATACCTGCTCCCTTCATAACCAATGCTGACCTGGCCTTCTGATAGAAAGCTTCCTGGAAGCGACTCAAGACATTGCAGAAAGACAAAAACTGCAGATGATGATCCCTGTGAGGTCCCTGTAACAATGGATTATTCCATACAAGTACTAATCGATTGGCGCAAAGACTCAGGTGTCATCTTACCCAGACAGCGATCTCGTTCCCACACAACCAATCTGTACAGTCTCTGCAACCGATATTGGAGGAGTAGATACGGATCACAATATGCGCCTTTCGCAGAAGAAGACGCACCAAATTGAAGAATTCTCACGAATGCAGATTCCGGGGCTTGCGAAAGGAACAGAGAACCTGGCCATTGGGTTGGTCAAGTGTCAATGTGGCTGGGATGGCGAAGAGCCTGAAATGGTAAGTCCTATTTACGTAGTAGGAGTCGGATAACTAAGATTTCCAGATTACATGTTCATTCTGCCGCACGCGTCAGCATTTGCTTTGCTATGGTTTTGAGAGCCCCAAAGATTCTAGGATTCTTGATTCCCATGCATGCTATCAGTGTCTCCTCGAACCAGACGAAACCCAGTTGCTGCGTGAAATGCATACCCTCGTTCTCCTGAGGCGAGCGTTGAAGATCATCCTGGATGAGGGCTTTCCCAGCAAGACGTCCATGTTCACACAAAAGCTTCGTAAGGGAATGATCATCGCCTTTGTCGGAAGCGTTCTAACTCGAGATAGACTGCAATGGACAGACGGTCGTTCAGATCACCGACCTCCTACGTAAGCACAAATTTCTCCAACCGACTCCTGGCTCCAAGAGCAAAGGATTCCTGCAGAAAGGATTGCCCAAGTTCATCGTGGCTAGCGCCGAGGATACTCGGAAGAGGATGCAACGCGAGATTCTGCACCCATTTGCGAAGATCTATCATCATGTAAGTAAGCGCTGGGAAAGCGAGTTGGGAATATCCTTCTAATTGTCTTTTGTAGTATGTTTCACAGGACACGGATTTCCTCCCCGGCGCAAAACCTACCACCGACGATCAGCAAATGTCTCAAGGACCGGCATCTTCTGGTCGTGCGTATGGCCAGGAACCACAATCATCGAACACTGGGGGTAACAAGAGCCCAGGCCACAAAAGAAGACGCACACAGGTGGAGAGCCATGGCCAAGTGGAACGTCAGGATGTCCTTCGACCGACTACCAGTCTAGGAAACCGAAGCGACAAATTTGGCAGGGGCATGATGACCAGTGACCGGATTCGTTCCCAACCTCAAACGCCCTCTAGTCGACACCAATCGGATGAGAACCTTCTGCGACGCAGTAGCCGAAAGAGGCGCAAGATCAGCAATTACAGCCGATTGATTGATGTTGGAGCAGCTAGCAGTGGTGATGAGAGCAATTGAAACACACCAAACTGGAACATGCATATGAGGTTCGGGGCGTCTCCATTTTCTATCAAAGTCGAACACCGACAGATAGTTAAATAGGGACAAGCCTGCATCAAGTACGGTAACTACCGGGTACATGAAACAGACGAGTCAGGCGCAAAAGTTTGTATGGATACGGAACATACCGAATGAAGTCTCCCCTTTCTTTGTTCTCCTTTTAGGGATGTTGTTTACAATGTATGATTTATGTTTAACAGGTCAACCTGGAGCTCACGCGATGATGTTATGGTTGTTTGTGTTTGTTTGTGTTTGTATGCAGATTGCCGAGTGCTTTTTTTCTTCTTGACAGATGTACGATTATCCTGTATGTATATTTAGAATTGCATACATAAATGACACGGAAGTTTACTACCAGTCAGATGGGGCGTTTGTAGCCTTCGGAAATTGATCGAGCATACAGAGTTATGTTGAACTCGACGATATACCAAATCTGGACACCATGGCCGTAGCTCACTAAGTAGTTATAGCACGCCAGACACGCTAAGATTCAAGATCGAAGCCAGGAACGGCGGGCCAGGAGACGACAACCACCAAAACACAATCGAGCTAAGCGCCAGGGAGGAATTCCGAATGGAATCAGACGTGCAGAACGTATAAGGCTCCAAAGTTGTCTGTAGTGCTACCATTACGAACGCCATAGTTGGGCCGGCGCGATTCGAGAAAAATTTTTTTTTTTCGTTCCCTGTTATCGGGAAGCGAGTCATGGCGGTTCCTGGCGAGGAATGTCGATCGACTCGAGGGTTTCAGATGGCTGCAAGAGGAATTTTTCTCGTAATTTTTTTTTTTTTTTTTTACGAATTGGCACATATTTTCTGTCGCATGGTATCACGACATTAGTGGTACGTACCGAGGGTACCGAAGGGAGAGTACAATTGGTAGTGGGTGGGAAATATGCCTCCCCCTGAACCGGCAGTTGACAGAGGCCAGAGTTCGATGGAAGGTGAGTAGCTTCTGCTTCGGATGGTTCCAAGTTGTTGGAGAGTTTGTAGTTTATCCAAGCGCGAACTCAATTAATGTTGGAGACTATTCTGCACCGAGGAGATAGTTAACACCAAATTGAACAATATAGCTACGCGATTAAAAACTCTATACTTGTACAGAAGACACACGAGGGTAAACAGGGGCGAGGGCCACAATTTGTCAAACCTCACTCCACTACTACCCACCAGAATGTCATACTAGTCTTAGTACAGAGTACATATGCAAGTGGGCAAATTCTGACCATTCGGGTGATCTGGGAGATCTCGGAAGACAGACAATTAAACCTCCAAACTCTGCTACTAGTAGCTTGCGAGTAAAGTGAGAGTGCTCTGATCCTCTCTACTAACCATCCACGGAACCCCATCAATTATTGTCGTCGATCGGGTGGCATATATTGCTCTGGGGCTCTCCCAGAACGATCAGAACCGTCTCGTTGGTGAAGCTGAGGCAAAAGGATGTACAATAGTGGGCAATAGTCGGAAATCAATGAGATTGTCTGCATTGCGCATATTGCACTGGCATATACAGTACATCGTTAGCATGCAGTAGTGTAACTCAGGAGGCTTTGGTGGCTTCTGTCTGACGGCAATGATAATAATATTAGCCTTTCGATGATCTTCTTGGGCCCTCCTTTTGAAATTCATATGTACTACTAGTATTGCCTGACTGACTGACTCTGGCTTGTTCCCTGGTCCCTGCGCTTTTCGCTGAGTACCTCCGTTTGGGGTTCCCCTTAAGCTGCCGTCTCTCTTCTCTTTTCTCACACACTCTCTCCTGTTCTGCTCCTTCAATCCTTTTGCTCTTTCTTTCATCCTCTTCGCTCCTTATTCCTGCATACTCTGCTCATTCATTCCTTTCTCTATTGCTTTGTGTGTGTTTTGCCAGTGTATTATTATTCTTCTAGAATATTTACCGTTGGTGATCACCGCGCTTCCGCTGCCTCGGCATCCCCAACTCTCCCTCACTCTCTCCCACTCAATTCAACGACTCTGTCGAAGATAGACTCAATTCCTCTTCTCCGAGGAAACTGAGAAATAATCTCGACAATTATCCCCGCAGGACATACCCTGGTACACTCTCCGACCGGTCGACCGTGGCCGTTCCGATTATCTAAACGTCAGCACCGCTCGCTTTTCCGTGGTACCTGGTGGAGGAACCTGAGATGACGACCAGCAACAACGAATAATCGTCCTGGTGAACCTGTTCGCGACTTAATTAGAATTTACAAACTTTATCTACCTTTTCGTTCGTTCTTGTCAGTGGAGCAGTTCGTGCGATTTGTGTTTGCGTGGACTTAGCCGGACTTTTGACTACGGAAATCCCACGCGCTCACAAACCACCCTTTAAATCCATACACAACTCCCAATTGACGACCAATTGACCAATTCACATTCTGTCACCATGGCCAGAGATCCACAGTCCCTCCATCTCCCGTTGCGGACCTCCAATGCCAATGTCGACAACTTCGACGACAACCAGGAAGACCTCCGTTCGGAAAAAGCCAACAACAGAACCTCTAAGGCCCAGAAGATCTTGGGTACCGCTGAGGCCCCTATCCAGCAGAATAGTTCACCTCGAGATGATGCCAGCAGCCAGAAGAGGCGCACACGGCGGCCCAGCTTCATGAAGGGCCCCAGCTTCGTGCCTTTTCCCACGATCAACGCCGACGATGGCATGACCCAGCAGAATCAACCACAGCTGCGTGTCCGCGCATCCTCGCCGCTCCTGGTTAACACCCAGGACGCTGCTGCTGCTTCTAACCCAAAGAAAACTGTGCACCAGTCCGGTTCCGCTTCCACCCTCTTCTCCTACTTCAACTCCCGCGATTCGACCACCACCACCACCCCCATCGAAAGCCCGACGGATGGCAAACCCGCACCCTCCTCCATCTCCCTCGGTTCGAAGAACTCGACCAAGGACTCCAAGCGCAAGCTCCGCCCTCCCCGCATTGATCTCTCGCTCTTGTTCCCCAAACCAAAACCTGAGAAGCCTGCTGGTGCGCCGATGTTGTCCCCGCAGCGCATGGTCCATTCCCCGGCTCCCCTCTCCGCCCTTGGGGAACTCCCCAAATCGAACAACTCTGATACCAAGACTTCGGGGAGGAGGTACACTGAGACGCAATCTCAGATGGATTTGCCTACAACGGCAGGGCCACCACCACCGGCAATTCCCAGGCCCGGTAGTCACCGTTCTACTCCCGCGAATCGGTCTTCTGCTATTTCGACCGACACTAGAAACACGGAGTTCCTTGAGCCCTCGCTCCAACGCACTGTTAGGACAAACGAAATGGACATGGCGCTCCAGAACTACTCCGAACAGCAGGCAGCCTCGGAACGTGCTCAGTCTGATGCTGCATCGAGTGTTTACTCCAGAGGCCGGGACCAAATGCATAGCAGCAAGGCCAAGTCCGACAGGGGCGCCCGCAGGGTGTCATCCAATGGCTCTACAGGCGGTTGGAGTAAAGAGACTTACTTGTCGCCTAAGTCGCAGCCACGCCCGGCACGCCGGCGCCAATCGCCCCCGCGTGACCAATGGCCAGCGCCGCCGTCGCTAAAAGAGACTGACACTTCATCCATGTCCAAGAAGAGCAGCAAGAGCACGTTGGCCAACTCGGATCTCAACATTTCCAGTGTCCTCTGTTTGTCTTCATCAGAAGATGAGGACGATCATGACGAGGAACTGCCCAACGATCGAACGGGCGTCAGTCACCTGATGAGGGATAGTGTCACCACCTATGGTGAATTCGAGCCCGAGATCTGCACCGCTTCGGCAGCCCAGGCGACGAAAGGACCGGCCGTCCGGCGACTTGATCTGCGACAGGCCGCGGCTGTCAAACATCGGAGTCCCACCATGCTGATGAGTCCTTCCATTCACCGGAATGACTCCACGTCCACGGCCCGATCCTCATACATCGGCCGGCGAGCCCCGGGTGGGATTCCCACCATCTCAGAACCGGACATCAGTGACCACTTCCCTGCGCCTGGTGGTAACGGGCGTGCCTCGGCGGCACCCCTGGAGAACAAGCAGGGCAATCGTCGCAGCCGAGTCATCGCGGTTACGCGACAGGAGCAGAGTCTCCTCGAAGCCATGCGGCAACGAAGGGGCAAAGTCACGCCCAGTCTCTTGAACGAAGCACGATTTAGCCAGAACACGATCACTACCCATCGCTCTAATCCTAACTTTACTCACCATAATCATAATGATAATAATTCACACGCCAATGACACCGACAAAGAGTCCATGCTGTCCGCTGCGCCCTCGCGCGACTCGTTGTACAGCACTGACATGTCCTTTCTGCGCCTGAGCGCGAGCATCCCGTCATATACGACGGCGACCACGGCCACGAATGATACCCACAACAACCACTCCCGGTCAGATCAAGGTGCAGCACACCTGGACAAAGACAGTCACCCTTTCCAGGGCGCGGCTTCTGATGCTGAACAGAAAACCCTTAATTCACCCCGCGCTAGCCTTGTCTACTCCGAAAGCCTCCCGTCTCCCGCGACCAGCGGAGCGTCGCCTCTGACGCCAACGCTACCGATCCATCGCTTCTCGCCGCTGCCCAGCCAACACCAGCACTCTCCTCCGACCCGACAACATCTCCCAACCTCGGCGCCCAACGACCAGCGTCGGCACTCGCGCCGTCGCACCGACAGCAGCGAAGCGATCGTGCTGGGCGAGGCGACTGAAGAGTCGGCCAAGGAAAACGACGAGTTTCCGATCTGGGCATTGGGCTGGAACCATGACCTGGCGGCTGTTCACTAAACGCTCTTACGCTCCCTCTCTTTATCACTTTCCTTTTCCTTTCATTGTAATTTATTTCCTTTCTTATTTTTTTTTTTATATATTTTTTTTATACTATTTCTAAAGGCTTTAACCGGCTATTTTGCCGCGTCAATTGCTTATACTCGACCTGACCTCAACGTTTCTACGGTTTCCTTTTTTTGTGTCATATAGCAGGGTACACCGCTGCTTGTTGGATTTAATTTCTTTCTCTGTTGTTATTCATAATGCGACTTGACAGTGTACAACAATGGCATATTGGAATGGATGGTGTACTGTATTCATGAGGGGGGGTTTGGAATAGATTGGTTATATCGAACTATGGTCTCTTGAAATATGTAAACAACTGTAACCGTTCGACAAACTGGGAAGGAAGTTTTCGTGCAGGAAAGCATGTTATTCCTGCAAGATCACTTGCATCTAAGGCAGCCACGAAAAGGATGGCATGGTACAGAGTATTTTAATAGGAAATCCTTGGCTTTGGGCTCTGATAAGGCGATTGTTTCGTTGTCTTTCCCCTCTAGGATACCTTTGAACGCTGCTAGAACGTCTTTGATGAATTGTAGCTCGTCTTCGGGGATAGGTCCATTGATCCATCTTTTCTGGGTAAACAGACGGCAGTGGTGGGCCAGTGGGTTCACCGGCAGGATTACAAGTACAGGGACCTGATTAAGAAAGGCGGGGGTATCCAACCCTACTGCGTGTTTGCTTTTATGTGTGACACCAGTTATCCTACTATATTAGACCCTTTTAGTAGTATTCTGTTGGATGGTTTCATTTGTCCTGCTAGCAATACTACAGTAATGTACATAGACCCGTGTCAGGTACTCATCAGGTCCAAAGTGTAATCGTCACGACGGTCCCACACCGCCTTGATTTTCTGCCAAAGATTATCTTTCGGGTGATACACCGTTGACTCTCCCCAGATGAGATCCATCTGGGACCCTTCTCCGATGTAATATTTCTCTTGTCTTTTCTATCTTTTTACTACTCTGTATACAACATTGGACCACTCGATGCTACCTCGTTGAACACGTCAACCATCTCTCTCCCCACCCACCGACTGTCCTATTACGTCTTGAACCTTTTCTTGAAACTCTGATCTGTCGATCGGTCTGGCCCCGGTTTTTGTTGGCCGACCTAGGGCCGCTGATGAACGACCTCTCCTTTTAGCCCACGCGCGCAGCTATCCCACGCTGTCATTCTGCACTGCAATTGTCCGCGATCGAATTTTTCCCGAAGAAATATCCATCTAACATCGACTATCTACGAATATATATACACATATTACACATCTTGAAGGAAAAAGAGTTCTGGTGACTATGGGGGAGCGCACGCAACGCCAGCCGCCGGGGTCGGCGCCGGTGGTGAGGCATTCTTCATGGATTTTGGTATGACTATATGGCCTCGAATTGCTTGCAGAAATCGCTAATCCATCTTTCTAGTTGGCGATACAATATACTACGTTTGTGTTGGTAAGTTGACATGACAATACTGCGGAGAAGATGGCTGACCGGTTCAGCTGCTGCACTACTCTAGAATCATGCCACCAGAAGGTGGTAAGCGATACCTGACCTCGACCGCCGTCGTTTTGAACGAAGTGGTGAAGCTCGCCGTTTCCCTCACCATGGCCCTCTACGAAGTCTCCACGACCGCACCTCCGTCCATGCCCGCGACGTCGCTTTTTTTCTCCGTCGTTAGTGCCGTCTTCTCGGGTGACAGCTGGAAGCTGGCCTTACCAGCTTGTCTATACACCCTTGCGAATTCGTTACAATACATTGGGCTTTCGAATCTGTCTGCGGTGACGTTTCAAGTCACATACCAATTGAAATTGGTCTTCGCGGCCATTTTCAGTCTTGGACTGTTGCGAAAGATGGTTCCCCTCCGCAACTGGGCATTGCTTCTATTGCTTCTTGTCGGTGTTGCCTTTGTGCAGCTACAAGATGGCGGTCCTAAAAATGAAAGTGCGTTGGAAGAGGAAACCGCCCGCATCGCTTTCCCCCGGTCGCTGGAAGAGTGGCGGGAGGTCCAAGCAGGTGGCAATATTTACAAACGTTCTGCGACATACGAGGGTATCGAAGAGGATATGTTGACCGCCTTCCCAAGGTTAAACGGGGCGGTGGGCTTGCTCGCCACCCTCGGTGCATGTGCTGCGTCAGCTCTTGCGGGTGTCTACTTTGAAAAAGTGCTCAGGGATAGTGCCAAGTCGACGTCCCCTTGGGTCCGCAATTTGCAATTGGCTTTGTACTCCATCTTCCCGGCTCTTTTCATCGGAGTCGCATTTCTGGATGGCGAGCAAGTGGCCGCCAATGGCTTCTTCCAGGGTTACAACTGGGCTGTTTGGTCCACCGTCATTGTCCAGGCGCTGGGGGGCATTGCTACATCTTTCAGCATGATTTATGCAAACACGGTTGCGCGGAGTCTTGCGACCACGGCTAGTATCGTTCTAAGCACCGTGGGGAGCATTTGTCTATTTGAATTCGAAGCTAACGGTTACGTATGTTCACCCTTTACCTATTCCTTATTGGGAAAAAGAGACTGACGCGATGGTATAGTTCCTTGTGGGTATTGCTGCAGTACTTGCAGCTACCTATCTATACGGAGAACCGAGCACGGGATACCCCTGGAATGCCCAGGCCAAGATGCAGGGTGGACGTCCACCACCGATTTGCATCGACTCATATGAGAAAGAGGCCTTAAGACAAGAGTCACCAGTATCTCCCCCGAACGAAATCTCCATCAAGCTCCCAACAACCCCCTTCCTGTCTGACGCTGGTCTGTCGACATCCCGTCCTACATCCCCGGGACAGGTGAGAGTTAGCTCCTCTCGGAACGCCAGTGGGAGCTACTTTGATAAAAACCCGCATGACGCTTGAAAGTGTTTTTTTTTTTTTTTTTTTTTTTTTTTTTTATCTCTATCTTTTGACAGCAACTTAATTTTTTTTTTTTTGGAAGTAAATAGGAACAAAAGCAAGAAAGGAGATATGGATGAAGGTGACGATATCCAGGTATTCAATATCCGAGCTACGATGAATATATGTTTTCGATTCTTTTGTTGATTTATTGGGTTCGTTATGGTTGTTGATTGAGCAAGGACTCAAAAGTGTTGGATTGATATAGTCTCGAGAATGGATCTGAGTCTGACGAATTGGCACCATGAATAATAATAATAATAATAACCAAGGAATATATATCTTCATATACTCTACATAAAAAGTTTGGTCTTCTATAGACCACTGTAAACCCTGCTACTTGTCAAGGGTTCACGTGCCCTTTTAGGAAGACCTCCAAACCTCTCCCTCCCCAACCAATCCAACCCATCTCATTCCTCACCAATCCATCAATTCCCTTCCATTTCCATCCCCCAAGACGATCAACTAGCATTCACTATCTACTCAAAACCCTACATTCAGATCATGAGACGAAAGCCCTTCAAACCTCCCTATCGACGGCGGAACGGTGACGAGCCCTCCAACCATCCTAATAGACAGAGCGGCATTATAGATCAGAGGCTCATTGAGGGAGCTCAAGTGTCCTCGCCCTTCTTTAGTCAGTTTCGGATGAATTGTGATGGTGATGGTGATAGACATCAACGTCGAGGGTTGGGATCGGGGTCGTTGCGATTGGAGACGTATACTGGAGTTGAAGGTGGCGGGGGAAAGAAATATGGGGAGCAAGATAGAGATATGCAGTTCGATGCCTTTGGTGAGTGTCATCTAGTCAATACGGTTGCTACCCTATGCTGATGGATGGCCTTTGCTCTAGATCTGCAGTTACTTTCCCAGACGGATCGAGCGATGAATAACGGACGGGATATTATGCGTGACAATCGCCCTCCAAAGCAGGTTTCGAGGCTTTTTCCTGGTAGGTGGATATACTCTGGCATACGATTCTAGTACTAAGACTGAGGTCCTAGGGCCGGGCTCCCATATCACTCCTCATCGAGCGATGGCGTCGAGCTCGTCGGAACTGGATGTCGGTTCAAGTCCGTTGACGAGGTTTCAGCACGGAAGGACAGAGAGAAATATGATTGCGGCTTCTGGAACTGAGTTGTCTTCGCAGACGGAAGAGTCACCATCGTCTCATCTGGATGTTGAAGAAATGGCGGCAATGGCTGGCCAGAGCCAATCTCTACAACCGACGACTGCGTTGATGACACCGTTCCAGAATATACCCACGTCGATTCGAGGTATAGTTCTGGTCTCGTTGTACGAGCTTCCGGACAGCTATCGGTCGATATTCCCTTTCCCGGTATTCAACGCTATTCAATCAAAATGCTTTCGGGCTATTTACCATCAGAACGATAACATTGTGCTTGCTTCACCTACAGGGAGCGGTAAGACTGTTATCATGGAGCTGGCTATTTGTCGCTTGCTTAGTACTTTGAAAGATGAGCGGTTCAAGGTTGTCTACCAAGCTCCAACAAAGTCGCTATGCTCTGAGAGGTTTCGTGATTGGAGCAAGAAGTTCATGACCTTAGGGATTCAATGTGCGGAATTGACTGGTGACACAGACCAGTCACAGCTCAGAAGCGTACAGAGCGCCCAAATCATCATCACAACCCCCGAAAAATGGGACAGCATGACCCGCAAATGGAAAGACCATGCACGACTGATGCAACTGGTAAAGCTCTTTCTCGTCGACGAGGTCCACATCCTCAAAGAGACTCGTGGTGCGACCCTAGAAGCTGTCGTATCTCGCATGAAATCCATCGGGTCGAGCGTGCGCTTCGTTGCCCTAAGTGCCACCGTGCCGAACTCTGAAGATATTGCGACTTGGCTGGGGAAAGATGCAACGAACCAGCATATGCCAGCGCATAGAGAGCACTTCGGGGAGGAATTCCGACCAGTCAAGCTTCAGAAGTTTGTTTATGGGTATCGGTCTAACGGGAATGACTTTGCTGTTGACAAGATGTGTAACGGGAAGTAAGCATATCTTCCCTTGTTGCCTTTGATGCAATAAATTCTGACTGTTGGTTGTTATAGGCTTCCGGGTGTCATTGGTACACATTCTTGTCGAAAACCGATTATGATCTTCTGCTGTACCAGGAACTCTTCTGTTGCTACGGCGAAAGAGCTTGCTCGACTTTGGTCTATGACGAACCCTCCGGCTAGGCTGTGGAAAGGACCGAGTAAGCGTCTTGAAGTACATAACATGGATTTGAAGAGTGAACTATTTCCTATACCTTATGAGGCAGGAAATCCAAGTACTGACTATTGCCCGCAGCCACAATAGTCGCAGGCGTTGCATTTCACCATGCCGGCCTTGATCCTGCAGACCGCCACACAGTTGAGAATGGTTATCTACAAGGCGACATAAATATCATATGCTGCACTTCAACTCTTGCTGTGGGAGTCAACCTGCCATGTCACTTGGTTATAATCAAAAACACCGTCGGATGGCAAGACGGCGGCTGCAAGGAATACTCCGATCTAGAAATGATGCAAATGCTAGGCCGCGCAGGCCGTCCCCAATTTGATGATAGCGCAGTAGCAGTGATCCTTACTCGCAAAGAACGGGTAAATCACTACGAGAAGCTCGTCTCCGGCTCAGAGAGTCTGGAAAGCTGTCTACATCTAAACCTCATCGACCACCTGAATGCCGAGATCGGACTAGGTACAGTAACAGATATGGAGTCTGCCGTTCGATGGCTCGCTGGGACGTTTCTGTTTGTGAGACTCAGGCGGAATCCAACGCACTATAAGCTGAAAGAAGGTGCTAGTCGGGATGATGAAGACGAGATGCTTCGACAGATCTGCGAGAAGGATATCAAGATGCTTCAGGAATGTGGGTTGGTTACGACGGAGCAGCTCAGATCTACGCAGTTTGGTGATGCCATGGCTCGGTACTATGTGCGGTTTGAGACTATGAAGAACCTGCTTTCGCTGAAGCCAAAGGCTACGATATTGCAAATTGTAAGAGACGCTATTAGTATTTGGTGGAAGGAAAAGCTAACGATGATCTAGCTCTCCAAAATCGCCGAAGCAGAGGAGTTTCGTGACCTCCGTCTCAAATCAGGCGAAAAGTCAGTATACAAAGAGATCAATCGAACCAACGGCATCCGGTTCCCGGTAAAAGTCGACATCGCCCTTCCAGCCCATAAAACCTCGCTACTGATCCAGTCCGAACTGGGTGGTGTGGACTTCCCAGATGGCGATCAATTCCAGAAGCACAAATTCCCGTTCCAACAAGACAAGAGTTTCGTCTTCACACACGTCAACCGATTAATCCGCTGCATGATCGACTGCCAAATCTCTCTCGAGGACTCCGTTGCTGTTCGGAACGCGCTGGAGCTTGCCAGGAGCCTTGGTGCTAAGGTCTGGGATAACTCGCCATGGCAGATGAAGCAGCTCGACCAAATTGGGGCCGTTGCTGTGAGAAAGTTTGCAGCGGCTGGGATTACCAGTATCGAAGCTTTGGAGTCTACCGAAGCGTATCAGATTGATATGACCCTGAGTAGGAACCCGCCCTTTGGATCGAAGCTCCTGGCTAGGGCTGCGGAGTTTCCGAAGTTGCGGGTTTCTGTTAAGATAATGGGAAAGGTAGCCAAGCCCTTGAAGAGTCGTGTAGGAAAAGTGCTGACGTGAGTAGGATCGCAAACTTACGAGCTCTGTCAAAGTTCGCTTCAAGGCCGAAGTGGCGTTCATAAATGAGAAAGTACCGACTTTCTTTCAGAGACGTGCTGTCTACGTTTGCTTTCTGGCTGAGACTTCGGACGGTCGTATGATTGACTTTCGTCGTTTGAAGTAAGTCGTTATCCATGGTCTTTGTATGAATGCTAAACTAATGTTCATAGTGCGAGTAAACTTCAGAACTCCCATGAGATACTGTTAAGTGCGGATTTGCAAAGCACGGAGGAGTATATTGTGTGCTATGCGATGTGTGATGATATTGGTAAGTTGGTCTCCGCATACTTTTTGGGACTATTGCGCTCCTTGCTAACTATTTACAAGCTGGAACGATGCGGTCAGCGGAGCTGAATCCTAGTCTCCTGGCGTCCCTGTTTCCACCGCGGCCCGAAGGGAAGAAGACAAAGGGCGCTTTAGAAGAAGAACCAAGGATAGATGCCTCTGAACTCCCGCGGAACGGAGGGACTTCGAACCAGCCAATTGAGATCGATGACCTCTTGGATGGGATGGACGTGGAGGACATCCTAAAAGCAGGTAAATTGCCATATCTAAATCTTACTGAAAAGCAGCTGACAACATCAAAGACCAGGATATTGAAGAAAAGGAGATAGACTGGCCCGCTGTAGTCGCAGAAAGTTCGCCCCAGAGCAAGCCGCGTGGTAAGGACAATAAACCTGAGAAAACAGCCCCCGAAGTTGTCGAAGAAGAGCCCGTCCGTCTCGAGAATGGTAAATGGGCGTGTAATCACAAATGCAAGGATAAGAAAACGTAAGCAGGGTTTCCTCCCTCGTACTCGGTACTCAGGGCTAATGTGATTCTAGGTGCAAGCACCTCTGCTGTCGAGATGGGCTGGACAAACCTCCCAAAGTCAGCAAGAAGCAGACTGCAAACGGAAACCAGAAGAAAGACGAGTCCAACCAATTGAAGTTATCGGCTACTATCGCTAAGGGCGCGTCCACGACAAGCAACACTAAGGTATCCGGTCGAGAGGACAAGGGGGATAAGGCCGAGAAAAACAACACGCAAAAGCCGTCAGTGAAGTCAACTCTGGAGTCGAAGCTCACGGAAGTCGAACCGCCAGGTCCTATCGTTGTGTCCTCGGGTGTAAAGAGGACGCAGTCGAGCGATTATGGGGATGACGATTTCGACGATCTACCTTCTCCATCGGTGCTGTTGAATGGAGATGTTAGCATTGAAACGGGTGACACGAATAAGGACGAGAAGAAAACTCGAGAGGATGCGGAAATCGACAAGAACGTCTTCGACTGGGATGATTGGATTGAGATCGACGACCCCGTTGAACCTCTCACTCCAAGGCAGAACGAAACGAATGCGCTTCAACAAGTCGACTTGACGATCCAATCCCCCAGCACAATTGCACCAACTGAGGAGGAAATGGTTCCAGACAGCCGAGCCCTGTGCTCGTTTCACGATGTCGAAGATTACCAACCATCAAAGCGGACTGCACCGTTTGTGGATGAAAATAGACACCCCCTCAAAAGAACGAAGACGAAGATACAACGCGAATCCTTCTCCTTATCCCACGGACAAGGAGGAATAATCCTGGTTGAGCGGAACGGGGCGAATCCCGATCCCGGCACCAACAAACCGTCTACTCCATCAAAAGACTGGGAAGACATCGACCCGTTGTTGCTGGATGAGTTCAAAGACATTGTCAATTTCTTCTGACATTTTACAAGGATACTGTGGCACTTAGAATGTGGGAGCTATACTGATTTAGATATGATCTGTTTTTGTCTTTTGTTTTGATTTCTTTCATATATTCTTAGACAGCCCTAATGAGATTTCTAACTGGAACAAACAGATGGATGCCATCAGTGAATAAAAGATAATGTGATTCATAGCCAGTATTAAGCATAGCTATTCACTGTATACCCCTCACGGTATTCTTTTTCTATTTACACCCTCTGTTTTTCTTCCATTCTCTCCTCTTTGCATCCACAAAGGAACCTATAAAAGCCACCCCAGACCCTTTCTGGAGAAAAGAAAAACACCCTCTCTTCATCTCTTCTCATCTTTATCCTCAAAGCAAACTGAGGAGGTCTGTCTCCTTGCTCTCGTTTATCTAGTCTCAAGGGACCTGAGTTCCCTTTTCATATCTCCTCCCACCTCCATCGACTTGCACCTTTTTGTGATTTTTCTAATTTTTACTCACTCAGCGATCTAGAAGAAAGGAACTTGTTTGTCTACCAGCGTGTCAGGTAAGTACGGCTTTTTTCCATTCAAAAGAGGTCGGAGATCGAGACAATCTGCTGAAATGAAATGAACTGTCCCCTGCTGCTTCGTCGACTCTAGTCTACTGAGAGGATGGGATATTGGGCTGACGACCATGGCGCTCACAGGTTGCCGCGATACTCTCGCGACTGTCGTCCAAGATGGGCAAGTTAAATTACTCTGCTGTAAGTACGAGCATTTCTTGTTGTTGGAGTCGATGGCTAACCTGTTGATAGCGAAAGATCGACGGCGTCAGGGCCGCGCAGGTGGTCGTTAGAGACTTGGTAACCTCCATTCCTTGCTCTTCTCTTTACCATTACCACAGTAAGCTAACGAGGATAGAAAAAACGAATCACCACCGGCTCCGGCGCCCGAAACACCTCCCGCGATCCGATCCTCGAACTCGACGTCAGCGACAAAAACCTAACCGACACCGGCTTCACCGATGTCCTCCACACCCTCCTCGAATGCATGAAATATCGCGACGCAGAGCACCCCGACGGTGCTGCCAAACTCACCGAGCTCCACCTCCCCGGCAACCAATTGACCATACTCTCGCTGGAGAAGCTGGGTGAGGTGGTTGAGCTTAGTGCTGGGGATCTGCGCGAGTTGGATATTTCTCGGAATCAGATTGAGATTCGCGGTGATGATGATAAGGGGAAGGGGATTTGGTTGGAGTTTCTGAGGGCATTTGAGGGGTGCTATGTGCTTAAGAAGCTGGATTTGGGGATGAATCGGTTGGGGATTGTGGGTGTTGAGCTGCTGTCGAGGGTTTATACGCGGAGTGATCTCGACTTCTTTGAGGAAGAAGGTCAGGAGGAGATCGTTGTTGAGGAGATGGAGGCGTTGGATGTCAATGAGAAGGAGAATGACCGTGGTCGTTCGAAGAAGTCGCCTAAGGGTAAGGCAAAGCAGAACGGTAACCCCTTCGAACTCACTTATTGTGGTATGGAGCTAATATAGTTCTAGGTACCGTCGCTACTTCCGGTCCTTCTACTACAAAGACCGTGAGCCCTGTCGACTTGAAGCATTACGCGTGTACCAGAGGCTTACGCTCCGTGCCATACATTATCCTCTCGAACACCTCGTTGACCACCGGTGCTGCCATCCATCTGACCAGCATGATCCTATCCCATCGAGATCCCGAGCAGCTGCTCCCCTATCTCCCCCCAGGCAAAATGTCCCCTCTCTCCGACACAGACGGCCGATGCAACGGTCTAATTTGGCTTCCCAACGACGATCTAAGCGACCTAGGACACAAGATGCTCGACTCTGCCGAGACGCTTCGTCAGTTCGCCTCTGAAATGCATCCCGAGGAGGACCAGGCCCATCGGGAGGGAAAACTTCCCCGCGATTTGGAGGGCGTTAATCTGATGGACTTCATGGAACAGCGCCGTCAGCATGCAAAGCTGAATGTGGAATACACTCGTATCATCAAGCGTGCACGGATCGAAGCCCTAAGGACGGAAGGTGTGCATGCCGCGGAGTTGTGGAGTGCTGCGTTGCGGATGATCACCACGGCTCGTATGTTGCTGATGGATGGTTCCAAGCGCGATGCGGAGGAACAGTCTGAGTCCGAGAATGAGCAGGAGAATACCGCACCTGAAGAATCTGTCCCCGAGTCTGCCCCGACACAGAATGGCGAGCTTGCCACTTCTGCGCCTTCGAATAATACTTCGATCAGCATGCCTCCGCCAACGTTGCAGACCCCGGTGCAGACTCAGCCGGTGACACCTTCGAACTCTGTTCTTGGCAGCAATAGCAGCAGGAGATACGCTCCACTCAACTACTACGCAGTTGAACACGAGTCTTTGCTGCCGTCGTATCCCATCCACGCACCGCAAACTATGCCAGGCGCCTACCCAAGCTACGACCATGCGTTCACTACTGGTTCCATGGGTGGACACTGGTCCTTGGATCCCGTGTCGGGTATTCGGTACGACGAGAAAGGACGGCCTGTGAACCTCCATAGCCAGGAATACATCCAAACAAGCAACTACGAAGCCTATGCCTACTCTACGTCTGTCGAGGAGCCCATGCCCAAGGGTCCGTTCCAGCCAGGCGGTGCGACGTTCGATGTCAATTTCCCTGCTCTGAGCGGGTCTTCCGCGAACAGGGGACCTGGACCTGCTCCTGGCCCTGGACTCATCGAGCCTCCGACGAAAGAGAAGCTTCCTATTACGCCCCCCCAACCCCAACGGACCCAGCAGCAACGACACCAGCGACAGAAGTCCAGAGCGGAACATGTGAATCGCACGGAGAAATGTACTTCTATCCAAGGACAAGAGAAGCCCCGGAATCTGTTCCACAGACTCCCCTTGCACGTCAATTATCAGATTATCGCACGCAGAGCCGGTGCGGTGGGCATCCTTAGCCCCGCGCAGCAGGAACGACTTGTCAAGTACGCGACCGACTGGAATTCTATCGCTGCTGAGATGAGGGCGCAGGGTGCTGAGGAGCATCAGCAGATCTGGAAGATTCTGGATTCTGTCAACTGCTTCATTTACTCTTCTTCGTCTTAGATGTGAGGGGTAGGGTTTGTATGTCTTGATCAGCTTTCTTTTCTCCTCTCTTTGTCAGAGTGCACATGTTTCATCTATGGTTAAGCGAAACAGACTATGAGGTGTTGTTTGAAGAAGAGAATAGCACTATGGCATGCTTTGATCTTGGTCTCATTTTCTCATGGGACTGATCGATGCTGTGCTGTATGCTTGTTTCTTTCCATTGAACGATGCTCATCTGTCTGGTTCATTTGACAAAACGCATACGAATGTACGTAGTTCAAATACAGAAGATATCTAGACCCAATCATCAATTCTCATTGACTTGAACTTATTGCGAATGCTGCGTAGTTGTAGAAATCAGGGCACGTGAAAACTGCCGAAAATCCCCCCGCAATCGTGGAAGCCCCCCCGCCACCAAAGCCAAATCCAGAACCAAAGAACAACCTTCCCACGACCACGGGTCAGCTTTTCTCTTGTTTTTTTTTTTTTTTTAGCGCCACTCGAGATTAAGATCTAAAAGGGGATATCAACCTCGAGTTCTACAGAAGAATCCATCTCTGCCATCGCGACTAGCATGAACATGGTGCGGACAAAGCGACAAAACACAGCGCCGTTGGAGGATACATCTGTTGCGCCAGCGACATTTAACGATGGCCTCCCTTTGCCAAAGCTGATCGCGTTTGATCTGGATTACACACTGTGGCCGTTCTGGGTAGACACACATGTCAGCGCTCCTGTGAAGCCCCGCGATAACAATTCGCGCTGCGTGGACAAGTACGTCCCTTCCCCTCATTCTTCCTCTCGAAAAGCATCGGCTAACTGGCGACGATAGATGGGGTGAATCCTACGCCTTCTACCCAGCCGTCTCCTCCATAATCCACGCTTGCAAAACCCGCTCCATCCCCCTCGCCCTCGCATCACGAACCTGCGCCCCCGACCTCGCCCGCGACCTCCTCAAAGCCCTACACATAATCCCCACCTTCACCGACAACCCAGCAGCGAACAAAACACGCACAGTCCGTGCCCTCGAGTACTTCGACTACGTGCAGATCTTCCCGGCCACCAAGACGCAGCATTTCGCACGGATTCACCAGGTGAGCGGGGTTGCGTATGAGGATATGTTGTTTTTCGATGATGAGGCGAGGAATCGGAATGTTGAGACGGAGTTGGGGGTTACGTTTACGTTGGTTAGGGATGGGATGACGAGGGAGGAGGTTGATCGGGGGGTTTGGGCTTGGAGGAAGAGGAATGGGATTAAGCCGGGGCTGAGGAGGGATGAGGAGTAGTTGGTTTTACGGGGAATAGTATAGACTTTTGATTTTGTATATATGTTTGACTTGAGATACCCATGTGGGAATTGAGTGCCGTGGTACAGCATAGATATGCCCAAGATTCTTCTTATCCTTCTCCGACTCCGCAACCTCCGCTCCGCACCTTCAACACGACACGACACGACACGACTACACCACCATCACCATCACCGTTACAGCCATCCTCCAAAGAAAAGAAAACGAAATGGACCACCGACAATCCCAATACCTTAAACCCCCCTCCACCCATCCTCACGCCCACCCCCAACACCGCACCTCCACAACCTCCTCTCCCCGAGCCCCAGTAACCGCCCACGCAACCGCCACAATCGCCGACACAACCGTTTTCCAAGGAACCCACCCCATCGCCATCGGCGCAGAAACAGTCATCCACCCGCGCGCCCGCATATACTCCTTCGACGGCCCCGTGCTCATCGGCGAAGGATGCATAATCAGTGAGAAGAGCACGATTGGTGCGGCGCCGGTGGCTTCGCCGGTTTCTTCGCCTACAATGGGGGCCCCAGCAGGAGGGAGGGAGGGTGTTTCTACGCGTGTCTCACACTCCGTCACAATTGCTCCGTTAGCAACGATACTCCCAGGCGCACATATCCATTCCTCCGTGTGCATTGATAGTTTAGCGACCATCGACCGCCGCGCGAATATCGGCGCGCACTCGAAAGTCTGCGCTACGTGCCATGTCCCCGCGAAAGCTGTGATCAGAGATTGGACTGTTGTTTGGGGGTCTGGGGCGGGATTTGGGCAGAGGAGGAAGAGGGCTACGAAGGCTGCTACGAATACGGGTGTGGGGATTGCGGTGCAGGGACAAGGGCAGGTGTTGGAGGGGAAGGTGATTGAGGATGCGAGGTTGGTGGTTTTGAAGAAGGAGAGGGAAGCGTTGGTTAGGTTGATTGGGGCTTCGGCGGCTGGGTCGAGGAGGAGGTGATGCTTTTTTGGAGAATTGCTTGATTTATGATACCACTTTTCTATGTCTTTTTGTTCATATACCCTATCATAGCATGAAAATAATGCGCTTGGATGAGCCTACTGAAGGTTTCAAGTATAATACAGCCAAAAAGGTCTCCTCGATTTCAATATGGAGAAAATAATTAGTACATGCAACCAGAACCCAAGCACAAACGCCATAAATCACATAAGTCACAAAGGAAAAAATAACTTGAAGATTTTTAGTTCAGAGAATGCAAAGCAACACATAGTCGAAATCAATTGAAGAAATAAAATTATTAAGAAAAAGCTTCAAAAATGCAACACATCAAGATCCTCCTCGATTCCCATGTCCACCACCTCTCATCCTCTTCCCACCAGCTCCGCCTTCATTACCAGCATCAGCCCCATCTTCTCTAGCACGCTTGTTACCCTGCGGAACGAACTGGCGAGCAGCGGCGTTCATATTACCCCGGTTCGCTTGTCCACCTTGAGCAGCGTTGGCATTCTGGGCGTTTTGGTTCCCGCCACGACCAGCGCCTCCTCCGCCCCGTCCGCCACGGTTACGGGGAATGCCAGTACCACGTTGGCCCTGTCCCTGGGGTTGTTGCTGCTCGTTTTGTTGTTGTCCGAATGGGTTCTGCTGTTGGCCGCCGCCACGCCCGCCGCCGCCGCGGCCTCCGCCTCCGCCCCTAGCAACAGGGAGACCGGATTGGAGCGCTCTCAGAACGCCAGGAGCAGTATTGCCTTGATTGCCTTGTGGTGGCTTATTGGGCAAATTCTGCTGCTGCTTGTTTTGAACCTGACCAAACGGGTTCGGGGGGGTTCCTGCTTGAGGGGCTGCTGATGCCGCTGCGGCATCTGCCGGTGGTTGCTGAATTTCCTCTTCGATCTGGCCCTCTTCCACAGGTGGTGCGGGTGCGGGTGCGGGTGCGGGTGTCGGTGCAGGTGCAGGTACAGGTACAGGTGCAGCTTGCTGCTGCTGCTGTTGTGGTTGTGGTTGAGGTTGAGGTGGCTGCTGAGGTTGCTGAACCTGCGGCTGCGGCTGCGGTTGTTTTTGCTGTTGCGGCGGTCGTTGCTGCTGAACTGCAGCTGGCGAAGGCACCGGTTGAGCAGCAGGCGGCGCTGGCGTACCCTGTCCAGGAGATGCTGCTACAGGAGGCTTAGCTCCTTGTACCTGAGAAGCAGGAGCAGGCCGTGCCGTCTTCGCCACCTCCCACACTTCCACGACAGGCTTCTGGGGTGTCTCGTTGGCTGCCTTCTGGACGACATCGATCTTGGCGTTTGCGGTACGGAACCGGGTATCAAGCATGCTGATCCGAGCCAGAGACTTCTTGTCCGCAAGCTCAACTGCAGATTTAACCTTCTCCTCCAGGTTTTCCTCGTGAGACTTCTTGAGTGCGTCTCTTTCATCGCTGAGCTTCTTCTCCACGGCGGCAACGGCTTCCTGATTGGGTTCAGAGGACTGCTGTGGCTGCTGCGGCGGTGGCTGCTTCTCTTTCTCCTTGGCCATCATATTCCGAATGTTGTTCCGAATGATCGTCCGGATTGTTTCGTTCTTCGCAACAAGTTCTCTTGCCTGGGCATCCGTCAAATCGGGAATTCCTCCTTCAGCCTTCGATGGCGTCGACGGGGGCTGTTCGATCTTTGGTCCTGGGGTTCCAGGTTCCTGCTGAGGAGCTTGCTGCTGGGCGGCGGCCATCAACCTCTCCACCTCTTGCTTGTGCGCGGCCTTAACTTCGGCCAATTTGTTGTTGTACATCTCCTTCAACTTCTCCGTACGTTCCTTGAGCTTGGCATCGTGCTCAGCATCCTTCGAGGCTATGATGGCATCCTTCTCAGCCAGAGCAGCCTCAAGACGCTGAATCTTCTGCTCAAGAGCCTTAACCCTTTCATCATCTGTGGCAACAGCAACTGGGGCGGCGGCCGTAGGGAACTGAGACGCGGGTGTCGAGTTGACGTTACCGCCTGCTTCAGGTGCCGGTGCGGCCGGTTCTGCTGACACGGTTTCTCCAGCAGCTGGTGCAATCTGTGTAGTCGGGGTAGCTATCTCTCCAGTCTTAGCCTTGAGCTCGTTCAACTCATTCTTCGTAGTCGTCAATTCCGCTTGGATGGTCTCCTTCTCCTCCACCACGACGGTGAGTTCCGCCTGCTTGGCGTGAATCCGGCCAGTAAGTTCCTTCGAGCGAGCCTTGAATTGATCTGTAAGTTTGGATCGCAACTCTTGAATTCTGTCTTCGGCCTGCTTAAGTTGCTCGGGGAATGATGTTGTCTGTTCCTGCAGGGTGTCGCGTGTCGTAACGGCCTCGTCGCGTGCTGTAACGGCTTCGTCACGTTCCTTTTGCAATGCCTCAAGTCGCTCCTTCAATCCTTCCATTTCAGCAGGGTCAACACGGTCGTACTTCTGCAAGATGTTCTGGGTACGCTGTTGCCAACGGTCACGGTCTCCCTGCAGAAGCGACATCTCTCCATCCTTGGTTTCAACAACATTCTCCAGTTCCCGGACCCGAGTTTCGAGAGGCGCGATCTGCTGTACGAGTTCATCGACACGAGCAGACTTCTCTTGCAAGGAGGACTCAGCCTGCTTGACTTGGTTGCGTAGGGTAACACTGCTCTCGCGGAAGAGGTTCAATTCATTGAGGGTTTCCATGAGCTTGTTGTGGCTCAGAGCAGTATGTTCACTATCAGTAGCAGCACGGCGCTGCTGCTCGAGCTTGAGACGTGTCTCGTCAAGCTGCGACTGAGTGTAATCGAGCTGCTGGCGCAAGCGCTTGCTCTCTTGCGTGGACAGATGGTATTGCACATCGACGATCTCCTTCTCCCGACGCAAGAACTTGATAACTTCTTGAAGACCCTCGAGATTCGGTGCAGCGTTCTCGTCCTCGCCCTCGGGGATACTGGCGCGGTCACGCTGCAAGGCGGAGATCTGGTTGGTGATGTTCTCGAGTTGGTTGTGGAGCAATGAGTTCTGGTGGAGGACTTCCTCACGACGCTTCTGCAGCTCAGTGATCTCGCCTTCGTATCTGCCCTTAATCTCGTTCCAACTCTGCTCCTTCTGGGAGAGATCCTTCTTGTACGTCTCGGACTGGGTTCTCATTTCGACCACCTCGAGCTTCAGTTGGCTGGCTTCTGAACGAACAACGTGCAGGTTCTTCGCGGCCTCGGCGTGCTTGACCAATTCAGTTTCGTAGTTTTGCTGGGCATGCTGGGAAATCTCGGCCTGAGCCTTGAGGTCTTCCTGGTGGAACTGCGCGGCAGCAACTTGGCGCTCATTCTCGTCCTTCAATCGTGTAAGCTCTGATTCGAAGTGGGATTTCTGCTCTTCCAAGCGACGGGAAGAATCGCCCTGTTCGTCGCGAAGTCTAGAAAGCTCAGAGTTCGTCGTAGAGAGCTCAGTGGAAATCTCTTCGATCCGCTTCTCAAGGTCTTGAATCTTCTCGTCCTTCTCCTTGAGATGGTTCTCGGTCTCTTCACGGTATTGTTCGTCGGTCTCGGTGACGGACTGCAAGCGTTCTTCGGTCGACTGGCTGATCGCCTTGTAGTCCTCAACCTGCTCCTTGGCGTGCTCGAGTTCTCCCCTAGCCAAATCCAAGTCGCGTTTGAGTTCAGCCACTTGAATGCCCAATTCTTGTTCGCGCGTCAAGTCGGAGTCCTGCGCACCTGGCTCGGGAACTGCAGGGGCCTCAGCCGGTGCAGCAGCGGAGATGCTAGGCTTCTTAGACTGCAATACCTGGAGACGCTCTTCGGCGCTCCGGAACTCGACAGTCAACTCATCGACACGGGTTTGCAGATGATCTCTTGTCGTCTTGGTAGCGACCAACTCCTCGCGAACGGAACTCAAGCTCGTCACCAAATCATCAATCCGTTTCTGGCTTTGCTCATGCTCGTACTCCCGGCGCAGTCCCGCCTTCTTCGATTCCTCAACCTCGTCGTTCAACTTCCGTTTCGTGGACTGGAGCTCGGAGTCGAGGGTTTCAACGCTCAGCTGGAGGCGACGACGGTTCTCGGAGTCAGTGTGGTCACGTTCGTTCATCATGGTCTGCAGGTTTGCGTTGAGCCCATCGAGACGGCTGCGCTCGTTGCGCAAAGTCTCATTGTCCTCAATAAGCCTCCTCTCAATACTCTTCCACAATTCCTTCTCGGCCTTCAAGTTTGCACTTTCCCGCTGAAGACTGTCGACAAGTCCCTTGGCCTCAACGAGGTCTTCAGCCGCTTGCTGGGTCCTAAGGTCTTGACGGTTGGCGTTTTCGAAAAGAGTGCCGTATCGTTTCTGAAGCTCAGAGTTTTCACTCTTGAGCATGCTAAAGTTGCTCTGGAGAAGCTCCGCTCGTTGGGATGCGGCAGCAAGTTGGCTGCTCGAGCGGCTGATTTCGCTCATCAGTTCACTGTTCTTCCTTGACAGCTCATTGACCTGCTGTTTCAGAGCAGTGTGGTCCGTAGCGCTTTCCTCGCGGAAATTGTCAAAGTGCGCTTGCACCTTTCTCAACAATTCGGCATAGTCGGGCCCAGATTGGTCTTCAGCGCCTGGAGGCACAGCACCAAGAGGAACCGACTGGGAGAATGCGGACGAGTCGCCGCCGACGGTCTGGCGTCTACGAGTAAGCATGCTCCGGAAAGTGTCGCGTTCTTTCACGTAGCTCTTTGTCTGAGCGACGAGGTTGGCGATTTCGTCGCGGTAGGTTTGCACTCTAATCCTCAATTCCTTCAATTCCTCCTGCTCTTGCTGGCGGACAGCATCCTGCTCGCGGGCTTCGGCGCCTTCCATCTTGTCACCAAGCTCCCGGAGCATGCGCCTGAGGGTGACGTTCTGTTCTTGAAGGTCGTAGAGATCCTTGAATGTCGTCAAGTTTCGGCTGATGAAGCGTCCTGTTGGGCTCAGCTCGGCAGTCGACTCGTCAATCTCATTGCGGGCAATCTTTTCGAGTTCTTCACGGTCGTAGGCCTCGCCTTCCTTCATGAAGGCTACCTCCAGAACCAGAACCTTGACCTGGGAACTTAGGTCTCTCAGCTGCTGGCGCAGAATATCGCCCTCACGAGCCAATCCTTCAACCTGGCCCTGCCACTTCCGTGCCCCCTTGGTCGCATCATCCCTCTCCTTTCCGGCAGATTCTAGGATATTTGACATTTCAACGACGGCGTTCTCGAGTCGCGCATGATCAGCTCGCAATTCATCGATTTCAGGTTTGCTCGATTCAAGATCCTGGACCATCTCGTCCAAGGTAGATCGGAGTTCTTGGCTGTTCTTCTGCTCCGCAGCAAGCAGGGACCGCATCTTGTCGTATTCCGTGTACATCTGTGTGAGTGTAAGACCGCCCTTTGTCCGCGAAGTTCTGGGCGAGAAAGCGCCAACGGGTGTTCCGGAGCGAACGGGTGTGCTGGGCCCTCCATTGAGACCACGGGGAGCTGGGCTCATGGATCTCCTGCTAACAGGTCCTTCGGATTCGAGTTGACTAACGGTCATTTCAAGCTCCGCAACACGACGCTCAGCGGCTTCCTTATCAGAATGTTCAGTTTCAATCTCAACGCGAAGGCGAGAGATCTCCTCCGCAGCACCATCCTTCGCTTTCTCCAAAGCCAACTGGCATTCTTGCACTCGTTGTTTAGCTGTTCCAGCAGAGTTTCCTTGAAGCTCAGCCAGTCGGTTCGCGCTGTCCAACTCAATGCGGAAAGATTCGGCGGCTTGAATCGCCTCCTCTTTCAGCTGGTGAATACTCGAAAGCGACTCTTCGTAGCGTTGCTCAACCTCGTCCAGGCGGCTCTTAAGGTTGTTCTCACTACGTCTCATAAAGTCAATATTCGCATTGGCCTCCTCATTTTCACGTTGAAGCTCCGAGATCCGGGCACTCTTTTCCTTGCGGAACTTGAGGTACTCTGCAGATTTCGTCTTCAACTCCGTCTCGAACCACTCATTGTTTTTCTTTGTCAGTTCCAGCTCTTGCTGAAGACTCTGTTCGCGGAAGCGAGTGCTGGCCGTGGACGAGTTGGCGGACTGAAGGTTCTGCTCAGCAGTAGAGAGCTCCCGTCTCAGTTCGATGGTCTTCTTGTGTTGCGTCGAAAGTTCTTCGGCCAACTTGTCGTAGGCGGCAGTCTTGGACTCAAGAAGGGAGAGAGTATCACGGTTAGAGGCTTCGAGCGAGGAAATTCGAGATTTCAGACTGCTGGCTTCGGATTCGTTGGACGTGGAGGACGACTTGAGCGTAGCGATTTCGGATTCCAAGGATGATCGGGCGTTTTCTGCAACGCGTTAGACAAAGGCCAAAGGGGCATCCTAAGCGCCATGATAAATACCTGATTCATGCAGCTTCTTCCTGGTTTCCTCGACCTCCACATGACCCTTCTCGACCGAGTTTTTCAGAACCTTGATCTTAGAGTCGGTGCTCCGTACGGCATTCTCGAGCTCTACCTCCAAGCGAAGCTTGTCAGACTTGAGCTCATCATTTTCATGGGCTTTATTGGTGATGGCCTCCAGCAATTGATTGACCAGTTCGACCGTAGGAGCTTGCGTAAGGGTAGAGAGGGTCGACTCGGAGATCGAATAATGCGAAGAGAGGTAGGGTAATTCGACTGTCGCAGTAGCCATGGTGGCTATCTAGTAGCTAGAGCAGAGCTCTGCTCAGCTTGCCGGCGTTTGAAAAACGATTATATCGCGAAATAAATGAATGGAAAAGGTAGGTAAGGTGAGCTTGCTCGATCGAACGAGTTCGTCGCGTGTAATGCGCACTGCTTCAGGACAAGTGCACACAACGCTGGCGGTATCTTAGGACATGACTGGGTTCATGAACAAGGCGAGTATAAATTAGAGCAAGCGACAGAGGGAAAGGCGAAAGAAAATCCCCTGTCGAGTGATGTGTTAATGGTTGATCGATTCAAAGGGCGTGAGGCGCTCTGGCTTTGGGCGGTTGCTTTCTCCCAACGCGGTTAGCGCGGTTAGTGCCACGTGATGTCCTCTGCCTTTCAAGGCCGTCACCTTTTTCGTATCCTTTGCCCCCAACAACCACCCTTTCACCTTTCTCTTTCGGCGTTTATGAAACTTGGGTGATAAAAGAGCCCTTTCGATTACTCGCTGGCTCAGATGACTTATATTGCTCTACGATAAGAGGTCTTTTCTCGTTCGCTCGAGGCAAGGCCTCGTCCTTGCTAACGGCTTCCCATTCCCTTGACGTCTCCACGCACCTACGAAATACCCTTTCCTTCCTTTCAGTCAAGACATTTGACAATCGCCAAAATGTCGCACCTTCAACAGCAGCTCAAGAGCTTCAACGCCGGTGTCATGGACTATGCGCAGAAGATGCCGCAGCAGCGACGCTTCATCCACAACGGCAACTCCACGAACACGTCGCAAGCACCGTCCTCAGCAGCATCGACACCAACACCCGGCATCGACCCGAAGCGCAAAAGGCACGATGTGGACATCGTTTACTCGCAACCCGCCAACACCGGCACGGGTAAAGATATCATGACGCAAGTGTTTTTCGCCATCGAGCACATGAAGAATAAAGGCATCCCGCTCAAGTTCTCGGATATCGTCTCATACCTCTCCCTCCAGAACCGTGCACATGATGAGGGTTATATCCAGGCGCTGCGGAGTATTTTGCAGGTGCATGAGAAGGTGGAATTTGACCCGAGTGGCGCGAATGGGGAGGGCACGTTTGCCTTCCGTCCGCCGCACAATATCCGTTCCGGTGAGCAGCTTCTGCAGAAACTGCAGGCGCAAACTACGGGTGCGGGAATGAGTGTCCGGGAACTACGCGAGGGTTGGCCGCAGGTGGAAGAGGCGATCAACAAGCTGGAGAAGGAAGGGAAGCTTCTTGTGACGCGGAATAAGAAGGACGACCATGCCAAGATGGTCTGGGCGAATGACCCTTCGCTTATCATTCACTTTGACGACGAGTTCCGTCAAATTTGGGAAAAGATTCGGATTCCGGATCAGCAGACTGTCAAAGAGGAACTGGAAAAAGCCGGTATCACGCCGACAAGCAAGAACAAGGTCGTCAATGCACGGCCAAAGATCGAGAATAAGAAGGTCAAGAAGCCCCGTCGTAGTGGAAAGACGACTAATACCCATATGATGGGTATCTTGAGAGATTACTCTCATCTTAAGCGTTAATCGTTAATCAAGCCTGTGTGTACCATATTAGCACTAATCTATAAATTGCAAAATAGATACCCGATAAATAGAGAATGCCAGAATTATATTTTCGTGTTAAGTATCGCTAGCACTTTGGTCTGGAATAGCTTGCTGTCATGTACATTCTAGCTAACCGTCTATGTATTCCTCAATGCATGATACTCCGAATCAAAACTAAGATATAATGAAAAATGAACATGAAATAGACACGCCCAGCAGAAATAAAATGAGATATTCAATCACAAAGCACCAAAACAGACAAGGGGAAGGTAAGGGCACGCAGTACGCGCAGCATCAACCCAACTCAATGCTTCCCATTAACAGGCGCGACCAACTTTCCCTCCGTCCTCTCAATATACTCCACCAAATCCTCAATCGTACACACCTTAATCCCCCACTTCTTCCCAAACCGCAAACACCCATCCCTCCTCATCATCCCATTACTCCCCTTCATCTCAGCAACCCCCTCCACCATCTCCCCATCCTCAACCAACTCCGCAATAACACCCGCAGGACTCTTCCCCGCCAATCTGCATAGGTCAACAGCAGCCTCGGTGTGTCCCGTCCGCTCGCGCACGCCGCCGGGCCGCGCGCGCAGAGGGATGATGTGGCCCGGGCGCCGGAAGTCTTCGAAGCGGGCGGTTGGGGAGGCGAGGGAGCGGCAGGCGAGGGAGCGGTCCTGGGCGGAGATACCGGTTGTTACGGAGGGGTCGCTGGAGTCGATGGAGATGGTGTAGGCGGTGCCCTTGGGGTCGGCGTTGTGGGTGACCATTTGGGGGAGGGAGAGACGGTCGGCGATTTCGGGAGTGATGGGGGCGCAGATTAGGCCGCTATTGTTGGGAGGAGTGTTAGTATGTGTTTCTTTCTATTTGTCTCCTGCCCATGGCGCGGCTCGTCTGTACGAATGGAGAGGCTAACCTTGTGAACCGGACGAGGAATGCCATTTGGGCATCAGTGACTGATTCCGCAGCGATGATGAGATCGCCTTCATTCTCGCGGTCTTGCGAATCCAGCGCAATGATAAACTCTCCTCTCTCTGAAATTGGCCTGTTAGCATCCTGGCTGCCTTCTCGGAGGTCCGCAACGGAGCCTCGGGGAGGAGGCATGGGGCGTAGACTCACTGAAAGCTTCAACAGTGTCCTCGATCGGGTCGAATTGGAGAACGGGGTCAGATGGCGAAGAAGGCATATTGACTGTTGAGGTGTTGAGGATCAATGGACAAGAGTGTAGTTGTAGTGACTTTTTTTGGTTTGCCCCTCGGCGTGAATGTGAAGATGTCAAGCGGGGCTATCGATTATCTCGGAAGTTTTGCTCGACGCTCCAAGGTGATTAGATTAAAAGAGAAGTAGAATCGTGATATTCTGGATTTCAACAACTGCAGGGAATTGAATTCCTTCTTATACAAGTACAAAAAAGAGCTATATTGACAATATGGGATGATAGTCGCAAACTCCGGTCCCTCGGCGGCAAATCGCTATCAAAATCGCCCCGTCCCCGTAAAGCCGGGACCGTGAATGTCTGTCTGATATTGACAGCCGCGCACAATCAACATGCGAAATAGTCGAAACCACTGCGCAGTCTGCAATTATGGTGCAGCAACCCTCCCCCCCTGCAGATCCAGAATCGTGAAACAGTTGATCTCGATCCCGAGTCTGCCAGATATGAGATTGCCGGTTTCGGGAGTGTGGGGGAAGGTTTTTAGTAGAGAGTGCGTACGCGGATGCGGTGGGATTTACATGGACGGGCTTCTTGCTTGGTATTACTATTACTAATGGGGGGGTTGGTGATATTCTGGTTCTCGTGGGATTCGGTGGGATAGTCCGTGGTCTTGTGTTGATAGGGTGTGGCGGCTGTCAGTGTAGCGTGGGCACCACATGGTATCAGCAATAGCAATATTTAGGGGCTATCTCGATGCGGTGCTGGATTTTCGTTGGTCTGGAATGTATGCGATGGGTTGAAGAAGTTTCTCAAACGCCACGTCTTGTAGTCTATCTATGCAAGGTGAAAATGCTTAACATATACCAACTCCACATCCAAATGAAGAGACGAACAAAACGAGTCATCATAAACCAAAACCTCCCATCCGACGGACTTCATCAGCCTGCCTCTCCAATGCTTTCCGCATCATCCGGGCATACTCCTTCTCGCGTCGCGACTGCTCTCGTCTCTGATCTCGCACCACTTCACGAGTAGAGCTGCCAAGCTCCTCGTCAATAGGTATATCCTCTTCTTCATCCCCTTGGTCAAAGTCAGATTCCGGGATCCCAGTAAATCGAAGACGTCCAATCCGCTCTCCAGTCCAGATGAGTAGCTCATCACTCATTAAGCTGCCCCCTGTAGGCAAGACTTTCTGGACAACTTCGTTGTTGCCACGCGAACTGGCGAATAAACCGCCCGTATCAGAGTCGTCTTCGTCTGACCCCCCAGCTTCAGCTCCAGAATTGGCTGTGCGCTGGTTTGTTTTCATATCTGACAGATGAGTGTTTATATTCCAACGACGGACTTCGGAACGTCCGTCTCTCTCTGTCCATTTGATATTGCCATCTGCGTCGGAGTAGACAATACGAGCACCGTGCGATTCAACAGACAATAGTTTTGACCGAGCAGCACTCTGACGATTTTGATATGTTGCCGAAGAAAGACTGGAGGACACGTCTGACGGCGTGAGATCATAAAGCTCCAGCGAGCCTCTACCTTTGTATTCCCCACAAGCAACTATCTTTTGCAGATCTGACCCATTCGAATCCGAACGCACCGGAAATCGTGGAGAAGGCGCTGAGGCAAGGCCGCATAGACTGCCACCAGAATGAACGATGTTCTGCAAACGAGGGAAGAACCGACGATCATAATGCAAGATCCCAGGAAAGCGGCCAGCGACAAGAATCGTGTGCTCATGTAAAGACGGGGGATGTAGAATAGACAAGGGATTAGGTTGTAATAACGATGCGTATGTAGCGTCAGTTCCCACAGAACCTGATGCAGACAACCTAGCATCATGGACATAAAGGTTCAACCACGTAGCCAGCGTCAACGGTGCTGAATAGTCCGTTTCTTGCGATAAAGCAAAAACCGGACAGGGATATCGCTGTTGCGTGACCACCTGAAGTTTTTCCAGGTCCACTTCATTCAGGACATTCCCAACTGCCATATATGCCCGTCGACGGACAGAGTCCACGCTCACGCATTCTCCCAGATTTAGAAACTCCGGCGTTGATTCCCCCGAAGCGGAAGCCGTCAGAATCCCCGGGGCACTAACACCAAGCACCCTACCCTTGGTAGACTGAGACGTAGCACTATAGGAATGGTTCAAATCCCATATGCAAACACTGCCATCTTCCAATGGTGCAACGACCTTGTCCTGCCCTGCGGAGCTCCAATCCCGGAACAGACCAATCCCTTTCACTTCCGGGGTCTCTTTTTTATTACCTCCAAGGCTATTCGTAGACGGCTGCTGTAGCCAATTGAAAGAAATCGGCCCATGTCTGTCCCTGTATTCCGAATACCAATCGATTTCCTCCCTCTCATACGACGGATCCCAAGCAGTCGCTGCTTTTGACCTTTCCGCAAGCGAGGATAGGGTGCGTCCGTCTGAACCGGTCTCGTTCGAAGATGTACTGTGCGGTTGAATCAAGGAAATAAGAGACTCCTGGCCCAGCGAGCTGAGTGACGGCGTCGGATTGCCAACGAGGCTCGTAGTTGTCTCCGCGGGGCGGGGTCGGGAAGCCTCGATATTAGCCCATGACTGTTCGTAGCAATGGAGTCTCCAGAGGGTGTTATCGTGGGCGAGGGCGAGGAAGCTTTTTGAGACGAATTGGAGCAGGACTTGTTCGCGGGGTGTGAGATCTAAATTCGATCATTAGAATCGTCAGCTTTAATGAACGGGAGTGTGGGGTAAAGATTGCTTACAGTCGATGATTTCGAAGAGGATTTCTACCGGTAGCGTATCCATGACTGGTTTCTTTGCGTGAGCAACATGGAGGGCAGACCGGTCTGTGGTGAGACTGGAGATAGCCCAAGAGATAGATGTCGGGAGGTCCGTTCCATGTCGTGGATAGATCGCGGAGTATTTTCCCGGGCTGGGTTTGACGTCACGTGTCTTTCTTTTCTACAATTATTGCGAGAGTAGTTATTGGGTATGTAGCAAATTATGAGAGGAATGAGTATATTGCAAATGGTCTATTCTAAGTGGTTGTGTGAACAGGGCTAGATTAGCCTATGCAAATACCTTCCCATATGTTCCCTGCCATAACCCTTAATCAAGACTTCATAACCGCATTAATTGTACATAAATATTAAAATAAACAAGATAGAGAGGGGAGAGATTAAGATTCCGGCGTATAGAGGGCGTCTTTGCAGAGAATGGCCACCTTCTTAAAGAAACGCCTCCATTCAAGCGGATCACCCTTGACTTTCATAAATTCAATCTCGAAAAGGCCCTCCGCTACGCATTCGATCAGGATCTTGCCCTGTAATACGCACTTTCTGGAGTCACTTGTGACAACCCGGATCATCGCACCGGCATCTCCCTGTGAAACTGCGGGAATTGCAGGCACAGGGACTCCCAAACGATGCAAGGCTTCACAAATCAAAGGAACCAGAAGCTTAAGTTCCCAGATAGAGAAGAAACGGGTCATAGTACGTAGAGGTATAATGTCACTGAACCGTTGCGCTTTCTGAGTCCGGCTCAGAGGCACGGAAGGATGAGGGGAAAACTGGGACACGGACGGTTCTTCTTCGAGGTTGTCAGCTAGCAGGGTGTCGTCCACAACTAAGGGCCTGCCGGAGGGCTGGGTAGATGAGAATGTATCGGCCAGATGAGGCATATCCCAGTCGACCAACATGTCTGCTCTCACCATCTCCGGTTGTGTAGACGGCAGCCTATGGTCCATATCATCTATATCCACGTCCATGCGATCCGGCCCGGGTGTGCCACCATTCGCGACTCGGGATACCGGTCGTGTCAAGTCGATGTGTAACGATTCAAACATGGACGTTGCTAAGTTGATCGGGTCACCCAGCCCGCCGTCCGGTGTCAGATAGCGGTTCTCTCGGGTGTACCAGGGATGTCTTCTGACATCCTCTAACAAAAATCGACTAGCGGGGTCGATGTTCAACATTCCACGCATTAATGATAGAGTCGCGGGCGGCAGCTCTTTCCATAATTCGTCCGAGGTCCTCGCGTTTGTTCTAACATATTCATCGTATTCCGCGCTCGTCTCCGTTGGACTATCCCAAGGCGTATTGCCAGCAAGCAAGACGAACAGAACGATACCACAAGACCAGATGTCTACCACATCAGGCCGATAACCTGCTCCTCTCTGTCCACCGCGAGAGCTGCACGCAATTACTTCTGGAGCAATGTATGGAGGACTGCCGCAGAACGTAGTCGATAGTTTAGTGGCCCCTTTGTACTCAAATAGCGTTGCCAGACCAAAATCCGCGATCTTCAGGTTCCCGTCAACCGTCAAGAGCATATTCTCGGGCTTAATGTCGCGATGCCCAACTCCCTTGGAATGCATATAACCCACGGCACTGATGAGCTGCGTAAAATAAACATGGGCAATATCCTCCCCCACGCCCTCATCTGCCTCAATTTTGTCGAAGAGATCGCCACCCTCGGCCAGTTCCATTGCGATCCAGCGCCAGACGTCATCCTCCCCCGTCGCGTAGAAGGAGATTATATTGTTATGGCCGATTATGTGTTTATGGACGGTCGCTTCCATCTGCAATTGACGCGGACTGATCTTGCCATGGCGCGCGGCGTATTCTTTGTGAATGAACTTGACGGCGATGATGGGGTTATCGGCGTTCGTAGGACAGGCTTTTTTTATACTGTATCAATAAAACCATGTCAGTATTATCACATGAGAATCTCCTCGTTATAAAGTAGCACCCACCAGGCATAAGCACCCTGTCCGATGGTCTTGGAGACGATGCGAAAGGGAAGATCGCTCGGTAGCGGGGCAAGCTGAGAGTGGTGCATCGTGACAGACCGTGGTGGAAGACGTCTAGAAACTATAAATTGGATGCAAAATTGATAAATAGAAAGAGAGCCATGGTCGAGTTATTCTCCTTCAGTCCAAGCAAGGGCCGGAGGCAACTCGAGACAGGCAGAAGAGAGAACAGATGAAAGAGAGGCGAACCTTCGCGGCACGCGAGAACCACTTTATCCTATTCGGGAAATGTGTTATCGCTGGAATGAATCAGCTACAGGCAGCATTGGTATTTATCATTTCCAGGGTAAAGGAGGTGCTATATGAGAAAACAAAAGATAGAAATAGACAAATTATATTAGCCCTACAATGCTACAAAGATGCAGAATTCTGGTATGCTTCAAACATCCGATCTTTGTACTTCCACCGGAGATTTTACACCTATTAACAGAATGAAGAGGGCGGTCGCTTTGAAAGAACCCATGTAGAAGAGAGTACACCTATGGAGTAGAGCAAGAGAGTCTAATTGCCCTAGCAAATCAATTCTCATTCCAGAATCCATAGTTACTTCGTCATACTTCTTCCGTTGCACACGGGGCAACATTCCGGCAGGCGAGGTAGATCTGCACAGATTCATACATATTCAGCCTTAATTTTCCCTGATCATATTCTGTATAGCTAACCCTGTATACTGGTTATTTCTCCTTCCATATTATCTCTTTGGTTTGTGGTAGCAAACAAAGGACTTCTTTACTACGTAGTACTTGTAGGTAAGCGGGGTGATGGTTGCCCCGGTGGTTGACTTCTTGCCGGTGGAGTAAACAACGCCTGTTCTTTTGTCTCTTCTCTCTCCATTGCTCTCCTTCTTCCCTTCTTCTTCCCTTCTTCTCTCTCCAAACACCGCGGGATACTCTTATTATTCTCATTTCCCCTTTTCAACTTGTACTCTCTTCTGTGCTAAGCAAGTATTGTTTTTGGTTCCAACATCCCTTTCAGTGGGTCATTCCTGCGCCCGTCATTCCAGAGAGCAACCCTCTCTTGCAACCCTGTGCTCGCCGCCATCTCCCCTCACTTTACTCATTAAACTCCGAGCTCTTTGCCCCCCGCGGCCGTTGTCTGATCGCCAGAATGGACTACACTATGGAAGATTCCCAGAATTCGGCACCCGACGCGCACGAGACCACCAAGCTAGGCTCATCGTCGACTCAGAGAAATGACACCCAGAGCGTGACCAAGCGGTTAGTCTTCCATTTTCATGTCTCAAACGAAAACCTGGCATTGACTTTTGCAGCCTCCAAGCAGAACTGATGCAACTCATGCTCTCGCCATCCCCCGGGATCTCCGCCTTCCCTGACGCGGACGGCAACCTTCTTTCGTGGACAGCCACCATCACCGGTCCGACAGAGACTCCCTACGAAGGTCTCACAATGAAGCTTTCATTTGCCTTCCCGAATAACTATCCTTACGCGCCGCCGACCGTCCTCTACAAGACTCCCATCTACCATCCCAATGTCGACTTCTCCGGCCGCATTTGCTTGGATATCTTAAAGGACAAGTGGAGTGCAGTGTACAACGTGCAGAGTGTTCTGTTGAGTTTGCAGAGTCTGCTGGGAGAGCCTAACAAGTATGTGCCGATTATAGCTCTGAATAGGTTCAATGGCTGACCTGTTCTAGCGCGAGTCCCCTTAACGCCCAAGCTGCTGAGCTCTGGGACACGGACAAGGAAGAGTACAAACGCCTTGTTCTGGCAAGACACCGCGACGTCGAAGACATCGAATAAACGTATTTCGTCGAAATCTGTCCTAGCCTCGCAGGACTGATGTATATTTACATCTTGTCGCCATACCGGGGTTCGTGCAGTCGAGTTCATCCTGCCTCCCGGACGGCACATTGCATATGCGGATGGGTACATGGTTTTGGAGTTTGCGTTGGAATCTTATAATTGGGATCACGGTGTCAAGTCAACTGCACGTGTCCCTGAATACCCTTTTCTTTTGGCATAGTATAGGAATGCATGGAGTCATCGTTTTACGACCGCTATTGTTACTGGTCGCAGCCCATATTGCTGTTATGAACGGAGGATCCCGAAATTACACCCCAACGCCTTCCAAGGTGATACAAAACAACATACATATCTGTTACAACAATAATAACTATACTTATACCTATGATGAGATGTACTGTTGCTCATCGGTGATCAATAGCCCTGCAATCGCGGCACTAGTGAAAGTGCTGATTGCTCCCGTCAACATGGCACTGATAGCAACGCGCGAGACATCACCAGCACGGGACGGGGCGATCTGAGCCAGCACACCAATCTGGTTACCCAGCGAGCCAATGTTGGCAAAACCGCAGAGGGCATAAGTAGCGATAACGCGAGAGCGTGCAGAAAGATCCGCATACTCGCTGTCCGTTTGAAGGTATTGGTAGGCGACGAATTCATTCTGCTGCTATTAATAACAACTTTTTTTCAAAAAAAAGAAAAAAAGAAAATTAAGACACTTACCGATATCAATTTCATCCCAATCAACTGCCCAACTTTCAGAATGTCATCACCATCGCGAGAGACACCAAGCAAAAATGCAATCGGGTAACAGATGTACCCAACAATCAGCTGGAGCGTCAACGTCGGCTCATTGATGTTAAGATAGCGACCCCACCAGGTCAAAAGACCGTCTATGAGGCCAATGAGCGAGATTATACAGAGCAGAGTAGCGCTCATGAGACCCGCGATCTTGATACCAACCCACGCGCCGTTGGCAAATGCATGCAATGCATTTGCGGGCCGCTCTTCCTCGGGTTCCTCGGGGATAACCACGCGGCCAGCTGTGAGAGTCTCGCCCTCGCTCTCGGGCCACCGTAGTTTAGAGGCTGCCAACGAGGCGGGGATACTCATGACACAAGATGAGATGAGAGCCTGGGAGCTAACACCCAGGCCGATGAAGGAGACGAGCAGGGAGCCTGCAATTGTGGCGAAACCGGAACACATGACTTGGTGGATTTCAGCCATGGTAAGATGTGCGACAAATGGCTTGATGAGCATTGCGGATTCACCCTGTCCGATGAAAGGCGACGCAGCTGCGACAACGGCCTCCGAGCCAGATACACGCATGCTCCAAAAGAAGAACGCAGCGAACTTGACAACGAACCACTGGATGATGTGAAAGTAGTACAGCAGCTGAACAAAGGAGACGAAGAAGATAATGGCTGGGACAACCCCGGCGATGAACCAACCGCTGTGATTTGCGGCAAAGCCATTTGTGGTTAAGAAATCGGTGCCTTGTGTTGAGAAGTCGAGGAGTTCGCGCGCCAGCGTCGAGATGAAATTGAAGATGTCGTAACCGGCCGTGGTGCGCAGGACGAACAGCGCGATGATGAACTGCACCAGCATACCCACAATCACCGTGTGCCAATTGACCCGACTGCGGTCTCGTGAGGTAACCCAGAGACTGAAAATGCACACGACCAGACCGAACAGACTGACGGCGCGGTTGTCGCGCGTGTTATCTGCGGATTCTGGCGAGGCGAAGGAGCCGATTAGGATTACCGCGATGGTGAGGAGGGCTGCGGCTGGGATTCGCAGTTTCTCGGGGATCAAGCGGACGAAGGGTGTAGCTGTGCGTTTCCAGACATAGAACACTGGTCGCGTGATGATGGAGACGGGAACGTAGAAGAAGATAATCCGCAGTGTGATGGCGAGGTATAGCAGGAACGGGATAACCCAGTTCTTGTCATGTCGGTGCAGGATGAGACTGGCTATCCACCATCTATCTAGGCATGAGTCTGCTTCTTTTCTCATCTCTCACCCCTGCTCTGTCTGCCCCCGGAAGTAAGAACTCACCCGGTGAACAAGAGCCAGATGACCGCGTAGGCGGCATGCTTCCAGTGTCGTAGCCAACGACGATACCACGGTTTGGAGATCATCTCGCCATCCTCGTCGCTTTGGCTTGGAGTTTTGCCTGCGTTTTGCTCCCAGGTAGTTCCGTCTTTGGTGTAGCCGATATCCCCGTCGGGGGTTTTTTCGTCCACCGGTTGGATGTACTGTTGGGGTTCCGGTTGCATGACCGGTTCGGTATGGATTTGAGGGTTCATTGTGCCTTCTTGCTTGGAGACGTGGTCTGTTATTTTCTCACGTGTTGAACTGAGCTGCCGGTCCTGCGGCAGTTTATCAATTCCGTGTCTGGGTGTCTGGCCATGGTCAGATCAAGATATCTCAGATGAGAGATAGCCACTGATAGGAAGTATATACCCTGCTTAGTTTGGGAAATAAGCTGCATGAATCGCGTCCTTCCTGGCTTGCTCCACTCCCTTTCTATCGGGTGAAAAGTCGGTTTCTAGGCCTAGAGCATGATGGATAAGAAGAAGAGGAGAAACAAAGAGGAGAAACAAAGAAAACAGCCGGAATGATAACGGAGAAACCGAGGGGTTTTTTTTTTTTTTTTTTTTTTTTTTGTGTATCACGGACCATCCGGTCTTTTTTTTTTAAGACGATAAGACGATCAAGGGGACCCTTCCCTCAGTGTTAAATCGCATACCGGGACTGGATACTTGCCACTGTCGGAGACGCCCCGACTTGGATTCTCCTCATGAAGTCGCAGTGCATTGTTACAGTCACACAGCATAAGACACGAGGATGGATTACTGGGTTATGTCTGGGTTATCTGTCAGGAGATATCAGAAGACTCTCTACGCACAGTGCGAGTGAGCTTAGATAGAGTCGTCTGATGGAGACGAGAAAAAAGAAAAATCTATAGAGCGCTTCCCAGATAGGAAATGTTCAGCCGAAGCTAAGAGACGGAGCTTTCCGTGGTTTAATATCGCTGATAAGAGATCTGGCGTTCACGCGTTTGACAGATATCATTGAGATATTTTGTCTATAGTCTCTGGTTGTTGTTTATATGCTGTCTATACGGACTGGCTCTATGATGTTTCATACGGCGTAGTCCGAAGACGAGTCTGAGCCAAGGTAACAATGCAACATTATTGTTCGTTGCAAGCAGATCGATGGGCACGTGCTCATCATTGCTATGCCATATGACCGTTTTCAATCATGTCCAACTGAATACTAGTAGAGTAATGAGTACTCTGGTATGCAATGATGCTCGCTTCTAGTATTTCTGGTCTGCACATGTGTTCTGCAGATAAACGTGATCAAGCTTACTTTTGCCCCTCCTCCATCCGGCGGGTCTTCTCCAGCTTCCTTTAACCTTAATCCGGCCCAGCAAGAAGATTAGCAAAAAGCAATGTGATCCATCGGTCACTTGCACTACAAGTACAATATTATCACCGCTATGGACGCAGACTGGGAGTTGGAAGAGGGTATTCCTCAGGTCGAGGATCCCTTTATCCAGAAGTATTTGAATGGTCGCAACTCTTTGATCGCTCAGGAACAGAAACAACGTCATGGTCAGCAACATCACCAAAACCACCCCTCCTTCGACTTCACATCTCAGAAGATGGTTAAGCTAATCATTCTCATCCGGTATAGATGCCAATCTCCGAAAATCCCTATCCCCCGTCGCAGACAGAGCATGTCGAATCGTCTCCAAGATCCGTACCCGCGAGCGAAGACAGGTCTGGTCCAAGGAACTCGATTATCCCAAAGACGACAACAACGAGACCACTCATCAAGCAGATGAGATCCTATACCCAGGAGTTATGTTCCATCTGGCCAGAAATCGGATGGAAAAGACCAAGCTCTGGAAGATCGTCCAGCGCATGCCCAAGGGCTCGTTGCTTCATGCCCATCTCGATGCTATGTTCGATACAGATTTCTTGATCGATCAGGCCTTTTCTACGCCAGGGATTCATATTTGGGCTCCTCAGTCATTACGGTCGCAGGGGGATTTCGATGAAGCACCGTTTTACTTCCGGTATGCGTCGTCGCCGACGGGGGCTGGTGAAGAACCGGTCTGGTCTGAGAATTACAAACCTTCTTCGTTGATTGATATTCGCACGGCTGCTGCGTCGTTTCCGAATGGGGGAGAAGCGGGCTTTCGGACCTGGTTGAGGAGTCGATGTGTTTTGACGCCGGAGCATTCGTTCTATCACTACCACGGAGTTGATGCTATCTGGGCTATCTTCCGTCGCACCTTTCCCATTATCAACTCGATCCTCCAGTACGAACCCATTTTCCGTGCGGGTCTCCGTCGCTTGCTAGGACAGCTTGCAGCCGATGGCATCCGGTATGTGGATTTCCGAGCTGCATTTGTCTTCGAGTATAGACGCGAAGGAGGCGAGACGCCCGAGCCGGACTACATCGAATGGTGTCGTGTGTTCAACGATGAAGTCGAGAAATTCAAATCCACCGAAGAGGGCAATAATTTCTACGGGGCCCGGATTATATGGACTACTCTTCGCACGCTATCCAACAAGGAGATTACGGACAGCATGAAACAATGTATCGAGACCAAACAGACCTTTCCAGACCTTATTGGCGGGTTCGATGTGGTTGGACAGGAGGATCAAGGACGAACGCTGGTCGACCTCGTCCCGATCCTGTTCTGGTTCCGGAAACAGTGTGTGGAAGAAGGGGTAGAATTGCCCTTCTTCTTCCATGCAGGAGAATGCTTGGGTGACGGTGATAGTACCGACAACAACCTCTTTGACGCTGTCCTGCTGGGTACCCGAAGGATTGGACATGGATTCTCGCTATTCAAGCACCCCTTACTTGTTGACTTGATCAAGGAAAAACGCATTCTCGTCGAATGCTGCCCCATCAGCAACGAAATCCTTCGGCTCACTCCCACAATCCAAACCCACCCCCTTCCTGCTCTGTTGTCTCGCGGCGTCTCGGTCGCGCTCTGCAACGACGACCCTGCAATCCTGGGTCACGGCCGGAACGGGTTGACACACGACTTCTGGCAAGCTCTACAAGGGCTGGACAACATGGGTCTCACGGGGTTGGCAACAATGGTGGAAAACTCAATCCGATGGAGTTGTTACGAAGACCAGACGACACCCGAGTGGTTAGCGGACATTCGTGATGGTATGCTGGGCGACGGGACCAAGGCCGCTCGTTTGCAGGAATGGTATAGAGACTTTGAGAAGTTTTGCGAGTGGATTATCCTGGAGTTTGCTGAGGAGGATATTGATGATTGATTTTGGGTATATATCCCGAGCGGAGTGGTGCCATACTGTTATTCTTTGTCTGGCGTGAGATACTGGGACTCTGACATGATCGTACTCCATAAACAGTATTCCCAGAATAACTAGTTAATCCGAAGTTTATGCAATGTCAATTACCCCTGTAAGAGCGTTGCAGTAGCATATCCAAAGTCGTGCCTAGGCACACATAACAGTGTAATCGACTACATCACAGCACCTGTTTTCGGGGCATTTTCAGGACACTAAAGAATAAACAACTCATACCAGTTGACCACAGGAAAACACATCCATCCCCTTCCCTGGCCAAGTTACCGACTTCGGCGTGTGTGAGTTGTCGGGGTGTGATTTGACCCTCCCGCCTGACCCTCTCCTCTGTCGGCGGCGGTTGATCGCCATTCGGAACGTCATCTCCTCTCCTCCATCTCTGGGGGAAAAGAAACAACCCTCTCTTTCCTTTTTTCTTCTTTTCATTCATCCCCCAAACAAAAAAAGACGCTGCTCCTACGGGACATACATACGCAAGAAAGAAAGGAGACACTACGCTCCTTTGTTTATATATCGCTGTTTTTTTTTTTTGAATAGTATTATGTTCCTTCCCCGGTGACAGTCTAAATGAGCCCCCGGTCGGCTCTGTTCGTCGCCCAAGATGGCTTCCTTTTTGCCTTCGTTTTTCCAGAAGCGGTTGCTCCGATATGCTCTTTCGAGGCTGGAGCTGGTCGATACCGAGGCCTTGGACTTGGATAGTCTGGGCATCCGCTGGGGACAGAGGAGTACGGTGGAACTACGGGATATTGGATTGAGATTAGAGGTAACCTTTTTCTAGAGTACTAGGAGACGTGATGATGGTGCTAATATGGCTGTAGAAACTAGCTAGTTTTTTACACCTGCCCCCCTCGAGTGAGTTGCTCAGCGCTCGCGTCCGGTTCCTCAAAATCACCGTTCCCGCCGATATCTACAGCAGCGGCATCGTTTGCGAAGCTAGCGGGATCGAAGTACACTTGAGAATATCGTCGGAGGAAACAGGACCGGCAGATCACGATCCGAAACCCTCGACGACCGCCCAGGATGCTACCGATGACCAAATTCTCCCCACACCGACCGATCTCGCACAATCGTTCTTGGAGGCGGAGCCTAAGGAGGAGAAGGATGAGCTACAGGCGGCTATCTCGTCGCGGTCTCAGGTGCTCCAGCAGCGGTCGTCGACATCGCTGAGTGATGATGAAGAGGAGCTGGGATTGGGGAATGAGAGTCTGTCTTTGCCTAGTTTTGTGGCTGATTTCTTGAGGGGGATTGCGGACCGGCTGCAGGTCAGGGTGAATGATATCGCTATACGGGTTGATATGGAGCTGAAGCAGGAGGGGCCGGCCAAAAGACAGCCAGAGGAGGAGCCGGATTTGGTGACTGCCGTGTTGAGTGTGCGGGAGGTCAAGGTGGATGGAGTTTCGACGACTTTCTCAGAGGATGCCTCCCATGCTCGAACGGAAGGAAAGAGACTGGTTTCGGTATCCGATATCAACATGGCCTTAGTCTCAGACCCCGTCGTTTTCTCGAACTATTCTCGATTCGCCGCCCCCCCTTCCCCGGATGACATGATGCAGTCAAAATCGAGCCAGTTTCCCAACAGGGCTCCGTCTCCTCCGCTTTCTAAGTCGTCGGGTAATTCAAACCTGGCCATGACGCGGTCGACTATTTTCGGAATACCTAATGAGCCGCAGGAGGAAGAGCCGGGGAAGCCAGGGACACCAAGACCGACTGCACCGCAGATGGAAACATCCGCATATACCTTTGATGGTCGATTTTCGGATGCAGATTCGGAGGGTGATACCAGGAGTGACGGCTATCTTCAAGACTCGCAGAACCTTGCGGATGATGGGATATTGGATAATCCGGATTATCTTGATTCGGTTATTGATACTCAATACGACGACGACGATATTGAAGGCGCATCACGCCCATGGGTGGGAGGAGAGCAACGCATTGCAGACAGTGAGACTACTTCGCGTCCTCCAAGTCCGCAGCTGCATTTCTCTGAAAGCATGCCGCGGGAGGGTGTTGTAGGGGAAACGGGAATCGCAACAGGAATGTCAGCGAGTCAAGAACGAGTATTTGATACTCAAGGCTCTGTGCATGACAGCCAGGCTGGTCTCGGGATCACTGAGAGTGCAGTACACCGCACGGGATTCTCTGAGCTTCCTCATCTCTTGGATTCTTCGCTCACTGAAAGAGGCCCGGAGGAGCAGCCTCCATCTCATACTTCGTCACCCCCTTCCGAAGCTGGAAGCGCAAATTCCGGTTCATCCAATGGAGACCTCTCAGAGTCCAAGCTCTTCAGCCATGAGGAGGCG